GTGATTTGGACGAGCTCCTGCCGAGTAAAAGCTGCAGGTTAATAAAAGTTCTGTTGTGTTTGGGTTCGTAGAAGACTAAGGAGCCTCGTGCAGACCAAGAAGAATTTATTGCAAGCTGAGAGAAACACTTTGCAGTGGAGAGGAGAAACTTTCTGTAACTGGCAGAAACCTCGAGCAGAACCAGACTCATGATGCTGAGACTGGTGAAGACGACCCAGACCTCCTTCGTCTTTCAGCTCCTTCTCCAGGATCTAAAAGTGTTTCCTCCGGTGAGCTCTGGAGGGTCTCCAAAACCTTGATGTAGGCCTCCTATCACTGGATGTGTCTGGGACAATGCCAGGGAGGCATCAAGGAGGCATCCGTATCAAATTTTTGAATAACCTCAGCTGACTCGTTTCCAAGCTCAGGAGCAGCGGCTCGACTCTGAATGTTTCTGACCTTATCTTTGAGGCCGAGTCCACACATCCTTCAGAGGAAACTCGTTTCAGCCCCGACATCCGGACCCAAACTTTGTGGTCTTGGGTAAGGGTTGGGGGATCTAAAGCTCAACTCAATCTCTCCTCACCCTGTTCATCTTAAGACACATTTACCCACTTTTGATGAGTGTACCAAGTAGGGCTGCATGATTTTGGCCAAAAATAAAAATTGAAAACTGTGAAAACTCGATTTTCGATTTCGACAAAACTTCACTTTAAAAATAAAAAGGTTTTCGATCATCTTTTAAAAACAAAACCACTGAAAACGATGTAGTGCATATGCCAAGCAAGTAAGTGGCGCTGTAAGGCTGCACAGGAAATACACAAAAGACAGAAGAAGAGTACAGAGCATGGCCGGATACGCACAGGCGCCATAAAAGAGTTACACTGTGTGTCACATGATCGTTTCCAGAGATGCAGATAGACATCCACACGGGGATGAAATGGTAGTTTATACACGCTCTGACCCGTTTTCAAAAAGTACCATTAACAGTCGACTGAAACACCGTTTCTGTGTGGATGAAACGGCAATACCACAAAAACTTTTGCGTTTCAGACAGGTTTTGCACAGAGGAGTGGTTTGCTCTTCATCTGAAACTGTGAAGTCGTACCAATTCCACACGACTGACTCACTCTTGTCGTATTTAACCACCAAATTATCGCCTTCTTTTGCAAACACCATGTTTGTTTACACTGGTGTGTGTGTGGGATCTAAGGGGTGCTCCCACAGGAAGGGGGAGCCTACGGTGGCCTGGAGGTGTATGACATAATAGAGAGAGAAATTGATTTGATGTTTTTAATTTTGTTAACATCGTCATAATCAAATAATCACAATTTAAAATCGATTAATTGTGCAGACCTAGTACCTAATCTTCACTGGTCCAGTTCCTGCCAAGTAAAACCTGCAGGTTGTCTAAAACAACAAGAACCCCTGATGTGCAGATAAAAATCACTTTTACAAAAATATAGTTACACAACCATGTTAGTCAGGTTGAACATGAAATATCTTGTCTGAAATTGAATTGAAAATAGGTAAGAAAGGATTTGATATCGTTGCTCTGTTTTTAGTCACGTTTGACACAATGTCCTGACTTCCTTGTGATCAGAGTTTGCAGATCACTTAAGAAAAGGTTAAATTTTTACGATCAGGCCCCTTTCACCTGTCAAACAAGTTCCACACACCTGAGTGAGCTGCATTACTTACTGTAATTGTTCTTTGAAGCAGATAAGCACATTTTTCCGGTTTCTTGTCAAGTGCAGAAACCCCTTGTGTCTTACCGCTCACCCATGGCACATGTGAATTTACTTCCTTGTAGATCATACATTGAGCTGCTCCAGAATTCCAGTAACTGTTTCAAAAAGGTGTGTATATTAAAGCTGCTATGAGGAACTTGGTGTTGATTTTGCAGCTCAGCGTCAAGATGCAAGTCCTCAGGTGAAAAATGACCCTGTTTTGTGAATGAAAAGGTAAAGTTATCCCTGAAACATTTGTTTCCTTCATTCCTAAAGCTGTGAAGTGTCACTTATTGTAAATATTTACTGTGGAGCTAGGAGGAGATAATATTTCCCCAGCGTCAGGTCAGTCCTCTGGTTCGAGTGGTTCGAGACCTGCCCCCCTACAGTGGTTTCAGGCTTTACAACTCATGGCCGCTTTTTTGTGGAGTTCTTTTGTTCAATATATTTGAGGTCTTGTTTTTTTATGAGTTTCATTAAATATGTTTTCGTTCTCTATTTGTTCTGTTCTATGTTATGATTCCAGACACTACAATATAGTATTTCACCATGTTATACAGTACAATAGAGTCTGATATGCACCACACAATATATACAATATGTAACAATCTGATTTAACAACAAAAGGTTAGGTTTGATCTGATTTAATATGATACAGTACATTACAAACCCTAAACTGTATATACGATGGACGACTTGGCTCCGACTTCCGTCATTATGCGAATTTGAAGCCGAATTGCTCTCTGTATTTCTGGGATTTTCACCACTTCTTGGAACCCCCACTTGCGCAGTATCGTTGTACTAATTCAGCAGGAGATTCGCTGTGATGACGCTCGGCTTAAACACCATCCACGCAATCTTTGTACGCCCAAAACATGAACCCTCTAATAACTTTTAAAAATGGAGCTGTACAGAAAAAAGAGGACTTGAGCACAAACTGGGTGTCCACCTCAACAACAAACTGGACTGGTCAACAAACACAGACATTCTGTACAAGAAGGGCCAAAGTCGTCTCCACCTGCTGAGGAGACTGAGGTCCTTTGGAGTGTGCAGGACTCTGCTCAGGACTTTCTATGACTCTGTGGTAGCATCTGCACTTTTCTATGCAGTGGTCTGCTGGGGGGCAGGGAGCACCGAGAGGGACAGGAAGAGACTGAATAGACTGGTCAGGAGGGCCGGTTCTGTCCTGGACTGCTCTTTGGACTCCCTGGAGGAGGTGGGTGAGAGGAGGATGTTAACAAAGCTTATATCCATCATGGACAATCCCTCTCACCCACTGCACCAGACTGTGGGGGCTTTAGGCAGCTCCTTCAGCAGCAGACTGAGACTCCCACCCTGCAGGACGGAGCGCTACCGCAGATCATTCCTCCCCTCTGCAATAAGACTTTACAATGAACAGTAACAAAACTGGATTTACACCACCACTTTTTTTATGGCATTTAAATTGTGTATATTGCAGAAAGCTTTATTTTTTCTTCTCCCTTTTCTCTTTTCAATTTTTTTTTTCTTAATTATTACATTTATTAAGTTCTTAATATTAGGACCCTTATTGTTATAACTGCATTTTGCACTTTCTGTCTTGTCTGTGATGCTGCTGTGACAAAAAAATTTCCCCCATGGGGGATCAATAAAGGAATATTCTATTCTAACTAATTTGTAAAGTTTGTCCACAGCTCCATAGGGATTGCTGGAGGAGGCGGGATTTATGACCTTTACTGCAGCCCGTCACCAGAGGGTGCTGTTCTCACGGTAGCTTCACCCAGCGAGGAGGCAGATGGCATCCATTCAATGATTACAAAACTATTTAATCCAGTACCATACTTAATAACTTAATATCATACAATATTTTATACAATATGATATAATCTAGGTTGATACTAGTCAATACAATATAATATGATATGGCATCAGAGGATGTGTTAGGTTCAATTAAACAGAGTAAGATATGGTACAGGATATTATGTGCTTCAATATGATATGATTAAGTTTTATTTATATGAAGGTTTTCATTATAATTGAGGGAGAAAAACAAATCAAAACCTACTGTGTGAAGAAGTGACTGTCCTTTCTGATAAAACATAACTTAACTCTGTGGATTATCACACCTGAGCAACACCCAGGGCTGCCACACCTGTTCTCAGTCATGAAATCCCTTAAATAAGACCCACCTGACAAAGTAAAGTAGACCAAAAGATCCTAAAAAGCTAGACATCATGCTGGGATCTAAAGAAATTCAGGAACAAATGAGAAAGAAAGTGTCAGCCCAGAGAAGGTTGTAAAGCCATTTCTAAGCCATGACCTCAAAACGACGGTTCATGCTCGAAAACCCTCCAATGTGGCTAAATTACATAGAAGTTATTGCAGCGCTTGATTGCAGTTGTTGCTGCTAAGGGTGACCCAACCAGTTATTAGATTTAAAGGAGCAATCAGTTTTTTCACACAGGGCCGTGTAGGTTTGGATCTTTTTTCTCCTTTAACAATAAAAACCTTCATTTAAAAACTGCATTTGTGTTTACTCGTGTGATTCTCAATTTTATTTGATGATCTGAAACATTTAAGTGTGACAAACATGCAAAAAAAAAAAAAAAATTAAACATTTCTATGTCTGTCCTCACATTCCTCCATACCGCACAGAGACACAGCTGGTCGGGACACCTGTCTGTTAAGACCTGACAGTGGCACTAAAGACAGACGCAAAAACTGAGTCAGTGAAAAAACAAACGTATATTTAGAAGAATGATCTGCACAAATAACATGCAGGAGTAATGCTCAAATAAACACTTTATTTCTGGTTTTCCGATCACAAACCTGCCAAATAATGTGAGACTTATCATTCATATGTAAGAGTAAACGACAAATTTATTACAATCAGTATTTTTTTATTTTATTTGACCAAGTCTTATTTTAAATCTCGGTTGTCCTTTTGATAATTTCCGCATTTGTCCCTTTTATTCAAAATAAATTCTGCTTAATCATTCATTTTGTGGTGAGGGAGGTTTAGCTGTGCCACCAGGAACTGAGGGAACAAAATCCTTGTCAAACATGTTTCCTTTCTTCGCTGTACCGAGTGTTTACTGGAAGCTCTTTAGATGGGGGTGTATAAAAAATGACTGTAATTTATCAAATTGTTTGTAATCCTTGAAACCAGTTCTTCAGCTCGCCTGTTGTTCTTACACATTGCATTCATTCTTTTCAGCTCGCAGCCTCACCTGTGCTCGGTCTGCAGGTATAAAAGATGCTCAGGCAGGTGTGAGCAGCAGATGACTGGAGGCAGAGAGGAGTCAGAGCATCATGGCGTCCACACTGACATTCCTGCTGCTGCTGCTGCTGCTGGTCTCACTGGCGTCTGCGTCGCATCACATGGGAGGAAAATCTCATTTCACCTACAGAGGAAGAAACCCTGATGGGACGTTTAGGGTGAGTCAAACAACTCTCAATAAATGACAACTTAAATGAATGAAACTCTGCAGAAATCTTATTTTTCTTTTCTGTTATATTCAGATTATCTCTGGTGCTGCTGTATTTAAACACCAGAAAACAGCCAACTTTCTTTTTAGTCACCTAAATTAAACAAATGCTTTCTTTAAGTCTTTCATGCAGTCATTCTTTATCTGCATAAATTTATCAATGCTCATTTGCAAACACGTCATGCATTGTTGTTAAGTTTGTTAATATATTTTTGTTTGTTCTCTTACAAAAAAAACTTCCAATTTTTCCTCAAACTGTCATTAACTACATGTTGCAGATTTTAAAATGCAGTGGGGAAGATGTGCCGTTTTTGTTTTTTGTAGATAAAAATTTAATTAAAATATTTTCAGAGGTAGAAACTTGAAACAACTCCTAAAAATGTGTCTTGGTGCTCAGATTGATTGGCTAAAGCACCTTGTATAGGATCTTTCTGTTTGTGTCGGTTTTGGCGCCCCCTGTGGACAGAGAGGCACCTCTTATTGCTGGTTCTAGCATTATTTGTTCCTTTCAAAATTAATCTAAAAAAGGACTTTTCCTAACCACAGACTTGCTTTTTCCACAGGTGGACATTTACAACCGGGACACCTACGACCGCTGTGTTTACTCGCACTACTGGTCCTGTTACCAGGGCAACTGTGGCAGTTTACAGTCAACCCCCTCTCAACAGAGTACCATCATTGACAACAGCACCAACGCTCCGTCATATGAAAGACTTTGGTGTGAAACTGAAAAAATCGAAACAAGAAACCTCCCCAGTGACAAACCTTTTGTAATGAGGTGAGCGGTTCGATTGATATGCACCATAACAAGAGTTTACTCAGTTTATGAATGCATTTTTACAGTCAAAGAGGTTTTAAAAGCATTTAGAGATAGAAGTCCTCAAATAAAAGTTTTAAGTCCATATATAAGGCACCAGTTTTAAGTCATATTGAGGCACTACAACAGCGTCTTGGTTTGGGAATCAGGTAAAACACACTTTGTGATCTTTACACTTTGACTTATTATCTGATGTACTGCACTGTTACAGTGATGTAGACTGAAACCATACATGCCTTATTAAATCCAATATTTAAAATTCTGTTACACACAAAGTACATATTACTTTTGATTTGCCAACTAAGTCGTTCATTTAAAGAGAAATCTGTAGTCCAAAAGCACAGGACAGCTATTTATTTCTCTCTTAAGGGCAGCAGGAGCAGCATCATGAGTGTGGTGAGCCAAAAGGGAAAAAAAGATGTAAAAAAATTTTTGACATAGTACACCACTCCATTGGTGTGTTCTGTTGCTATTTTATCGAACACAAATGCAGTCACTAATTTTCCCATAACTTAGCCGTTATGATTGTGATTACATCTGTCGTGTAATTTTTGTGCTTTTCCTCATTTAAACCAGGGCAGCAAGCTGTTGTTGGATCCAAACACGAAACTCCGCCTCAAATTGGAGGCTTCTGACTTCTGTGGATTTGGGAACCAGATCTGACACCGGAGAACCAAACAGATCCCCGGACTTTGGCGCGTTGCCTCTCTTAAGGTTAGTCCCTGCTTTTGGCACATAGACTAAAGAGCATGGGCCGAACTTTTGGGACAGCTTCAGTTTGATAGAGGCGTATGCATGAACAAGAATATCAATCTTAAACAATATCATCTAAGTCTGTTTGCCCAATATAGAGAAGTTCAGATGACTGTGCCCGGTCTGCAGGTATTAGCAAACTCAAAGTAAAGTGTTCATGTGTCCAGTTTCAGTCACACGAACTAGCGTCCTCTAAAGTAAATTCAGAGCATTACACCACAGTGTCGTCTGCATAAAAAGTGAATATTTGTATTGGCCATTTTGATTTATAGAATTTGTAAAAAGATAAAAAGCAGTGGTCTCAAAACTCCTTTTGTGACTGCAAGAGAGCTAGAGGTGCAGCGCTCTGCTTGCATACCCAGAGTTTTGTTTGATAGGTAATTATTAAACCAACTGACCACTTGTTGAGACAACCTTTCTTTGTAGGAATAATTGATGGTCCACAGTATCCGAAGCTTCGGTCAATGTTTGTAAAGCTAAACCCATCATCATTCAGAGAAAACTTGTAGTGAAACGACCAAACTTTTACCATCATGACTTTTTCATCTGTGCCATGCAAATTGTCACTTGTCACTCACACGATGTGTCACCTCTAGAGTTCCTCAGAACTGTCCACGGACCTACAAGCTGGTAAACTTTGACCCTGACGGTGACAAAGTTCGATGCCGATATGGAAACATCGCGAATGTGGAGTGCGGCAGATGTGACCGACCTTATGGCTTCAACTTACAGCAGGTGAGTTTGACAAAAGAAAAAAAATCAGTAAACACACTACAAAACTGTAATCTGTGCTCACCATAATTTTTCATACTGTCAGGACACCTGCACGTTACAATACAACGGTCGTGGCAAGTATGACTACAGAAGTTATGGCCTTGAGATGATGGTGGAGGACTTCCCACAAAGAAGTATCACTCTCACCTACTCAGACGGATCCAGGTCTGTCAGATCTCCCCCCTCAATGAGGTGGAAGAGGGCATCCCACTTTGGTACAACCTCTTATTGGAGGTATAGTAGAACAACTACAGCAGGAACAAGAGCTGGATGGAGAGCAACATCTGCAACACCAACTACATGGGGACCAACAACTGCAACAGGAGCAACATCAGCTGGATGGGCAGGATGGCCACGGTTTGGGACCACAACTCCGACACCAACCACAACCACAAGCCCATCGTGGCATTGGCCTCGTACCACAACCCCATCATGGTATTGGCATAGCACCACAACCCCATCGTGGTATCGTCCCCACACCACAACGTGGTATTGGCCTCATTACACAACCCCATCGTGGTATCGGCCCCGCACTACAACCCCATCGTGGTATTGGCCCCGCACTTCAACCCCATTCTCAATTTCATATTCAGCCCAGCCTCTCAGCAAACTTCCCCTCCATTTCTCCTTCCTTGGTAAGTCAGGCTTCACTCCTTTCATCGATGTCTGACTGTATTTTTCCTGCTTAACCTAATCGGAGACATAAAACCTTTACCTCATTTTTACATGGTCCATTTTCCTTAACTACAAGAAGTTAGAATTGTGGCTAAGCTTCTGTTTCAGGAGGGAAAACCTTTTACAAAGTGGATGCAGCTTGGTGTAACAGCTTATATCTGTTTCCTTTTACTCCAGTGGACCAATCTGTTCCTTCCTGTACGCCGGGGCTCTACCTGCCACAGCTTGTCAGCCCGACGCCTAGAAACGAAGCGCACATTAGTGCAGAGGTCGGCAAAGAAGTGGAAATCAAAGTTAAAGCACAGTCAGCATATTCAACGTAAGTCTATTTGATGTGGCAGCAAACACTCGCATAGTTTTATCAAGTAATAACATGAAATATTTGGGTATTTTGTTTTCATGCAGGATTGAAAACATCATCTTCAGTGGACCAAGGGGAACCAGAAAGCAAAAGACCAGCTATTCTGACTTTGTCCTCACATGGACACCAACTCCCGATGACCTGGGGCATCATTACGTGCTCTGTTTCGCCGTGGAAGCAAAGAGAGGGTGGGTCTTTGTTTTATATATGTCAGCTGTTCTGAGAGAGGTTTGCTTTTAACTTCTGGAAAACGAAATCAAGAACTTAAAAGACAAAAGTAAGAAGATCCAAAGACTACCACGTAATGTCAAATGACTTGTACAACTTTTTGCCCGTGCCAATACAAAGACCTTTAGCAAACAGTCTGAAGGACACGGCTCAAAGTGAATGAGTGACTCAACCTCTTATTGCCAGTTAAGCGGCACACAATGGGTTAAAAGAGCCAGTCAACAAGATGGCAGTGTGCCACTACGGCTCATGCCAAGACCAACATGTCCATGGTTATCCGTTGGTGCCAAGTGCATGGAAAGGCTCCAAGTGTTTATTAATTTTATGTAATACTTTTCAGGTCTAGCGTCTATCAGACAGAGATGAGGTGTGTCATCCTGGATGTTGGTGAGCAGCTAGGTGAGTCTCTTTCCTGTTTGAAGTACAAAGGCTACACACAACACACGCTCAATGCTTTGTTGAAGTGACTGCTTTGGGTTTCTGACCAATGAGTCTGTTAAAGGTAGTTTTAATTCATGGTTAGAGTAAAAGATATCAAGAAAATGGATTCACAGGTTAAGTGATAACGACAACAATGCATCTAAAAAAGGCAGAAGAGGTAAACAGGAAGTTCTAACAAAATACGAATGCAATTTTTGGAATGAAATACCAAAAATGTCCAAAAGTCAAGAAAGTTTCAGTGCCCTCCTCACTTTTTTTGGATTTCTTCGTTTTTTTCGGATGGATAAACATCGAAAACAAACATGACTCTGTGGTGGAAGTCACTGCATAGGATCAGAACCATCTGTCTGAATACAGTTTGTTGCTTCATCCACAAAAGCAGGTTAAAACCAATCCATGTAAAGACAAAAACATAGTGTATATAAGGAGATTCCAGACTGTCAAGCAGCTAGACGTCAGGAAAATCGTAAAAGCACGCAAAGTGAAAAGCTAAATGTGACTTTTTTACGAATGCAAAATAACACTTTTTGAATATGTTTTTCTCTAGTTGAGGCCAATGTGATCTGCACAGAATCCACAATGAGAGTGGAAGTGGACAAATCGACATTCCCCCGACTCCATGAGGATCATTTACGGCTCAGTGACCCCTCCAACATCATCTGCAGCCTGCAGACTCACTCCAACAGTACTCACGTCATCGCCATCTTCCCTCTGAACGCCTGCGGCACCCAGATCGAGGTACGTCAGAGTTACCTGCAGCTCGAGTTGGTTGTTATGTTTCTTTTTTGTTGCAGTTTGTGGACTGATTGTGATATCTTAAACTCTGCAGGAGGACGACAAATACCTAAAATTCAAGAACGAAATCACCACCTTCGATAACCTGAGAGACGTGATCACCAGGAAACACCTGCTGGAGGTTCAGTTCTACTGTCAGTACCCCAAACGAGGGAACGTCACTCACAGCTTCCGGGCTCACAGAGAAAACATCACAGTGTGGGAGAAAGGCTTCGGCAAGTTCACGTACCAGTGCGAGTTTTATCCCAATTCTCAGTTCCACTTCATGCTCAGTCCCAGCTCCTACCCTCTGGAGTACGACCTGGGGGATCGCATCTTCATGCAGATCGAGGCCACGTCTTCAGTCAACGACACTGTGCTGTTTGTGGAGTCCTGCAGTGCTGCACCCTATGACAACCCCAACTACAAACCAGTCTACCCCATCATCCAGAATGGGTAAGAGTGATTTATGCCCCCTAGTGGCTGTGCGTCTTTAACACCTACACCTCGAACTCTGTGCGCTCTCTCAGGTGTGCTTTTGGCACCAAATTACTCCTCCTCTATACGGCTCCTGTTTGGAGCTGCAAAATTACAAAGACAGTGTTTCATATCTTTGTTTTTCTCTACCTTTAGCTGCAAAGTGGACCAGACGGTTCAGATCCACAGCACTGCGAATGACAGACAGTTTAGGTTCAGCATCGAGGCCTTTAAGTTCATCGGTTTGCACGATCAGGTGGGTAAAAAAGTGTCATTGTTTAGAATGTTTTTAAAGCTCCTGTGAGGAACTTTTGGTCTGTGTTGATTTTGGTGCCCCCCTGTGGACAAAAGTAGTGTCTTTTCTTGGTAATATCTTCTTAATCTATATCTGCAAATAAATGCAGACTTTTTTTTCATAAACTGCAGCTACAGTTTTGTTGATCTTCCCGCATAATGAAGGCGTGTTTTTTCTCCTCAGGTGTACATTACCTGCTCAGTTTTGATGTGTCGGTCAGGAAACCCCAACACCAGGTGCGCACAGGGCTGCATCAACGGAAATAACATGCGCGGCAGGCGAAAGAGGGAAACTGTGGCCCAGAGCTCAGCTCACCTTGTTTCCCAGGGTCCTTTGCGGCTGAGGGGGTCAGCAGAGAGCAGAAACAGCTCAGGTAAGAAAACGCCAAACTCTGTCTGTACAGCACTCTCACTTTGTTTGAGATCCGAGTTAAAGTCTGGACCAGGTCAAACTCAGTCTGTGTTTCTCTACTCTGCAGACATGAACCTGAACCTGAACCTGGTTTTCGTCGTTGGATGTCTCCTTGCAGCCGTGGGTATGATCAGCGGAGTGGCTCTGTATAAAGCCAAAGTATCCAGAGTCAAATACCAGCCTCTGGCCACGTCTGAAAATTAGGATGGCGGCGTGAGCAGAAGGAGGAATCTTTTTGATCTTACTTGAATCTATTCAGATGTTAGGATCATATCTGTTCAGGGATTATTGGGTATTTTCATTTGTTGTCACTGTTTCCACATTTAAATGAAGGAATTTCACGTCTTTGGACTTGATATCAGGTGTAATGGCAAATAGAAAACCTGAAGTAATTTTGATGAGAAGATGAAGGAAAAGTGGGCATTCATCACTGCAGCTGCTGAGTGATCATTTTGAAGTGTGTGTGTGTGTGTGTGTGTGTGTGTGTGTTTTTTTTCTTACTGTCGTGGAATATTTCCTAACTTTGCACGTGTTTCACACTCACATATGAAATCCTCTGATTCAGTTAAAATATCTCACTAAAAATGTCTTCTGTGAAACATAATAGTGATTTTGCTGTGTTAAAATCTGTCACAAAATTCCCATTAAAATAATGTGATCATGTAAAACGGTTTGAAATGTAACTTTAATTTAATGCTCTGAAATCAAATAAACTTTCAAAAATGTTGGGATGTTGTTCTTCTGTGAAAGAAATATACTTATTTAAAATCCAACAAAAGGCAACATGTGTCTGCTGGATCTGAGGTGCAGGATTTGTTTTGGTACGTGGAGAGGAGCCATTTATACGGTGGCCCTGAGGTGCAAAAAATAATGGCAAATAAGAGAATAATAATAAAAAAAAAAAGCACAACAGCAAATAAGAAAACACAACACAAAAGAGAAAAAATAAGAAAAGGCAACAAACAAAAAAGGAAGGACAACAGTACATAAGAAAACAACACACACAGAAAAACAAAACAAAAGGAAAAACACAACTGCAAATCATAAAACACAATGGCAACTAAGAAAACAAAATAACCAATTAAAAAACAACAGAACAAGAAAAAAAAACAACAACCATGCAGAAAACAAAACACAAAAAGAGAAAACACAACACAAATTTTAAAAAAAAGATAGCGGCAAATCAGTAAACACAACAGCAAATCATAAAACACAAAGGCAAAAAAAAAATAAAATACAACACAAAAAGAAAAAACACAACAACCAATCAGAAAACAAATCACAGAAAGAGAATACACAACAACAATTAAGAAAACACAATGGCAACTAAGAAAACACAATGACCAATTAGAAAATACAACACAAAAAAAAACACAGTGATCAACTAGAAAACAAAACACAAAAAGAGAATGCACTACAGCAAATTAGAAAACACAATGTCAAAAGAGAAAACACAGCGGCAAATAAGAAAACACAACACAAAAAGAAAAAACAACAACAGAAGAGAAAACACAACGGGGAATTAGAAAATGCAACACACAAAAAAGGAAGGACAACAGCACATAAGAAAACACAACACGCACAGAAAAAGAAAACACAACGGCAAAAGAGCAACAGTTAATGTTGTTATTTTTTCAGATTTGTCATTTTGTTTTCTCGCTTTGTGTTGTATTTTCTGATTTGCTGTTGTGTTTTCTCTCTTTGTGTTGTATTTTCTGATTTGCTGTTGTGTTTTGCACCTCAGGACCACCGTACATTCATGGTCACCTCAGGTTTGTTTGTTGTTCTGTTGTTTGGGTTGAGCTGCTGAAAATTTAGCGACATAGAGTGAAAAGTTAATGCCAACATCAGTATATTTGTGTCATCATCAGCCTAAAAGTGAGCGATCACTCCCTGTATACAGATCGAAACTGTCTCAAAATGGAGAGGGAGGCGGTGAAAAGGGGACAAGATTCGTGTGAGGTTGTCTGAACTCTTTCTCCAGGTTAGACGAGCAGCTGTAGCTTCTCATCACAACTGAGGACGACTGGAAAATGAGCTGTTCTTACACAGGACTCACATAAATCTCTGTAGAGCTCAGCGCAGAAGTCACACCAGTCCTCCTGTTCCATGTTCAGGCTGAAAACAGACACAAGCGCCCACCTCCTGACCTTCTGTACATACACAGTCTTTGTTTATGTTGTGAAGTCCAAGTCTGCTCTCCTCCAGGGTCACTAACAGGCCGGCTTTGTGTTGGATCATAAATTAAGCTCATCTCTTTGTAGGTCAGAGATTACATTACCCTCGTCAGGTGTAATCTGAGTGCAGACCACCTCTCTCTAAATAAACATAAACAGCTATAAACCAATATGTAATCCCACGTCTGGCCAGTAGGGGAAGTCTGCCAGGGAACCAGCTTCAGACCCCTCAGAGAAAATAAAAAAAACATTCAAATATTTGTAAAGAGCAAAGATCAGTGTCTTGATTTTCTTCCTAACGTGTGATTCAGTCTCTTTTTTTTCCCACGCCATGCCATGCTTGACTGTAATCCACCGCAAAGTGATCTAATTGGCTGTAATCTAATCTGCTGTGAATTTATCCTCTCTAATCCAATCAAAACTGATCTCACGTGTGCCACACTATTTTGGCAGACTGCAGTTATACAAAGTGTCTTTTTAAAGATTGTTTCACTCGGGAAAATTGGCGACATGTGAAAAACGTTGATAGAAACAGAACATGACGGTTCACAAAGTCTGACTTGAAAATGGTCCAAAGACGACGTCTGAAATGTTGAAACTGAAAAACCTGTTTTATCTCAATATGTGTACGCTCATTATTATTTCTAGAGCAGAGCATTTATCTATGATTTCCAAATAGAGTGTCAAATTTTGATTCATCAGACCCTACGATGGTCCTCCACTTTCCTGCAGTCCACCTTAATTGGGCCCAGGTCTAGAGAAGTCTCTGGAGTTCTGGATCTTGTTTCTATCTTTTCCTCTTTTCATGGTTCAGTTTTAACCTCATTTGTTGATGCAGCGATGAACCGTGTGGTTTTTGGAAGTGATTTTGAGCCCATGTGTAGGATGATCATATTCTGACTTCCCAAAAAGAGGAAACGACTACCCGGGGGCGGAGTCACACAAAGTTAATTTTAGGAGTTTTCGGGTTGGATCGAGTGTCTTTTACACTCTTCTAACTCCGAACAATTCCACACAGTCCCCAAAGAAGAGGACATGTCCAGGTAAAAGAGGACGTATGGTCACCCTACCATGTGGCGATTTCCACTCCAGAGTCCTGTCTGTTTTTTAATGCAGTGCCTCCTGAGGACCTGAAGACCAGGACCATCCAGTCCTGGTTTGGTCCTGGTCCTTTTTGTTCAGAGGTCTCTCAAAACTGCCTCAATCATAAATCAGGTGACTCGGACCCTGTCTGGTCTGGTAAACAGTCTCGGCTTCATCACAGGTGAAGATAATAGAACACCTTGTCCCTCAGGTACGAGCTGTTCTCAGGGGGGTGGGATTATCTCTGAAAATACTTCATCTCAGCTCCATTACCGGCTTTGTGTTTAAGCAGAGTGGGTATATAAACGCTCAGAGAGATGAGATGATCACAGACAGAGAGACTGCAAAAAGAAAGAGATCTTCTCTTTGTTTTGCAGATCTTCCTCAGCTCGGAAACTTCCACACAGCTTCTTTTCTTCACTCATCTGAACCCGCAACAAACTACCTCGCAGGTGAGACTCGATATACAGACCGATATTTGCTTTATTAGTTACCTGTGGAGAAATTACAAACGAAATTTAAAATCTATCATTACTGTGTAAATCTATAAAATCTGCAAGTATCTCACATTTTAAACCAGAGACGTTGTTACGGATAAGAGTTTTAAACTTTGACTCAAACTTTAATTCTGAGGTTGTATTCAGGCGGTGTGGATTCATTAAGGGGTCAGTAGATCTCCATTAAAATTTAAGTTCCTCCTAAGTGATCTGCTGAGGATGCACTGTTTGGTAGATAGACCTGATGGACTAATTTCCGCTGTTTGCATCTAAGATCTGATTCTTTATCTTTCCACCTAGAAATTCATGACAGTAGGTGAAGTTTGGAGCTGGGCTAGTTTATGACCTCTTCTCCAAACACGCGTAAAAAAGGAGCCCAAGCACATCGAGTTGGGATTTAAAAGCATCTTTTAAGCTGCTGCTGTCAACTTAAAACAGACTCAGAACAAGCGGTACCAAAGATTTTCTGTTTTCACAGAGCCCCAAAATATCCAACTGGAATATAAACGCAGATACATTGAAAACTTAAGGAACTAAAACAATTTTAAAAAGTCTGAAACAATTATCAAAACTATTCTGTCCTGATTAGAGACGAGGAAAGATGACTCTGCATCAGAAAACATGAGAAAAAGGAGATTTAAAACGAGACACTGCTCTCCCCTGCTGTCAGACTTCAGTTATATTTATGACACTTTGCAGAGTTGATGCATCAAAAATGTTTTTTTTGTTTGTTTGAGATGAAGTGTGTCATGGTATTAATTTCAGCTTTGCAGCTCACTTTACAGACAGCTTAACTTCAGAGATTAGATGTAATTATGACTAATTATGAGAGCAGAGAACATGTGGTAAGAGAGTTATGGGATTAGCTCAGGTTTGGTGCTTCAGTCTGCATTTTTTTTCTTTGCACTGACTTTTATTCACTTCATGTGTTGTTTTAACAGAAATGAACGCTGCAGCACCAACACCCGGAGGCTCCAAGGCCGCTCCCCCAAAGTTCAAGCAGAAGGAGACCCGCCAGTTCAAGAGCAAGGCTCCCAAAGCCGGACAGAAGGGGTGAGAAACACTGAACGAGGTTTTAATCTCTGTAACAAAACGCAGATCTTTGTCTGAACTTTTCATTTTGTTTTACAGATTTGATGACGTTCCTGGGATGGAGGGCCTTGGAGGTAAATATTAGTATATCAGTTTACATATCAAACACAACAAATGTGGTGTAAAATAGAAATTAAGAAAACCATTTTAAAGGCTCTAAAATGTCTAAAAAGTCACATCGACCTGTGTTCGTTTGTGCAGGAGCTGAGGTCATCTGCCCCTGGGAGGCCTTTGGGGACATGGAGCTGAGTGACCTGGCCCAGTTTGGCATCGTGTAGACCCGGTGCCAAATGGAGAACAGTTAATTCCTGGTGGCTGCAATCCAGCTGCTTTTTTTGTGCTCTCCTCGTGAGTTGTTTGTGCGGAGATGAGCCTGGACGGGTTTCATTTGAACGGAGGAACAGAGGAAGAAGCTCCTGGACCGCAGCCCCCGAGAATGACTCTTTCCCGGTCGGCCGACACCTACTGGAAGTTTTTAGCGCCTCTGTCTTCGGTTACACCTTATTGAGATCTCAGGACGTCTCTGTTGGGGTCTTGTTGTCCTGTGTAGCTCAGCGTGTGTGTGAAAGTGTAGCACACTGTACCGCTGCTGGAGTTTCACTAAAGGGACAATCGGCAAACAACTCAGAGTCAAAATATTAAATACACATTACCTCAAAAACTTCAGCTAAACAACCCAAATGTGTGTAAATATTTTACTGTAAAAATCTATCTATCTATCTATCTATCTATCTATCTATCTATCTATCTATCTATCTATCTATCTATCTATCTATGTAATCACATCATGTAGACTTGTGCTCTGTGTGGTTATAACTGAAAATATTGTAATAAAATGTAGTTCAGTCCCATTATTTGGTTGAGTCTCTTAATTTCGATCATTTTTTGTTCACAACATTTTTTATAAAAACACCCACAGTCCATCATATTTTGACCAGAAGTCCATATTTGGTCTTTTCTATGTTGTATCGCGGAGACTACACCACTGGTCTAACCTGAACACTGCTGTGGTCATGGCACCTGTAACCTCCTGAGACCCCGCCTCCTTATTTGTGGACGTGACCATAGACTGTATACAGAATGGACGCCGTCTGCCTCCTTGATGAGTAAAGCCACCGTGAGAACAGCACCCTCTGTTGACAGGCTGCAGTATAGGTCATAAATCCCATCTCCTCCAGCAATCCCTATGGAGCTGTGGACAAACTTTATAAATTAATGACACAGAGTTTAAATGTTTCTCCCCCCTGGTTGTGATGTTGGCATGTAGTTACTGTAAGACTGGTTTGTGCTCAAGTCCTCTTTTTTCTGTGCAGCTCCGTTTTTAGAAGTTATTAGGGGGTTCATGTTTTCTATGATTGACACCTGATACAGCCTATGGGCGTACGAAGATTGCGTAGCTCACCTGGGGGATACGCTGTTTGAGCCGAGCGTCATTAAATTCGACTCTCCCGCCGAATGTCTACAGGAAGTGGAGAAAATCTTTGAAAAAAATGAAAGAAACTCAGCTTCAAATTCGTATAATGACGGAAGGCGGAGCCAAGTTATCTATAGTTTATACAGTCTATGGATGTGACATTTTGGACCATAATAATGAATTCTGCTGACCTCAGACCCTTTAGCCCCAGTCCTGGACCCTTGGTCTGCCACCCTGTGGTCATAGAGTAGAATACATCCATCAGTGTTTATTCAAGAAAAGATGATTCATCAGAGTTTATGGTTCAATATGACTCATTTTATCAAAAGTAACACTGCCAAATATGCAGTACTGAATGAGGACATTGGGACTCGTTTGCCGGCAGAATGCATCAAACCAAACCGTCGACACCGTAGCTCCCTGAATTACCACCTGATCTATACCTGTCTGAATGATTGACACCATACCTGACCTTAATTTATGACCTATACACATGTATTCTTATACATGTTTCTCACTGTTCTGTCTGCTTGTTTGTTGAAACCCCAACCCCACCCCCACCTGTCCTGGTTCTGCTCAGGTGAAATCACTAATCCACAATCAGCATCACCTGTTCCTGTGAGTTTAAAGTCCTGGTCTCCCCCTTCAAATTATGATACAGGCTGACCACGGAGGTCTACTTATGGCGCCTGTTCCTCCTGATTTGACAGATTTATTCGTGTAACTGTCCGGCTCTTATCTTGTAATCTTAGATGTTAATTTTTTAAGTGTTTCGGAGAGCGTCTGAAAGTCTTTTTCCTTTAAAGTCACATCCAAACCAAAGAGGCAGAGCTGAAACGCCCCAAAAAACAAACTTTAAATGGAAACTACAATGCGCTGTGAGATCCTTTAGCTTCATGGTGAATTCATCTTTAATAATTCTGCTGCTAATCTGACCTTAACATGAACTCATAACTCAGCGAGCCCTATCGAACTCATGTCACGAAGCTTTTCACATGCGGCGCAGGCGTCATAACCACGCAACACCCTTTATGTGAGCGGGTTTACCCGTCCAGAACTGAGTGTTACATTTCTGTATCTGCACTGCCTCTGTCTAAAGGCCGTTAGGTCACATATCTAATCCTGCTAATAATACTGATGGTCCTGAGTGCTGGTGTATTCTGAGGCAGCTTAGAGAGTAAGCCGACGTGTTCTTTATCGCAGCTATGGCATTGTGTAATGTTGGTCATTGTGTATATTTACAAAGGAGCACGTAGACGGTAAAATGACTGAAATCTGGAAAACAGAGATTCACTGAGCTTTTGATAGTCGTCTTAATTTGCACCTTTCTCTACAGCACAACATCTTAAAACATCTGAGAAGTCTTGTCTCAGAATCATGACGCACATCTACTCCATGCATTTGTCGCATCCTGGTTGGATTGATACGTTGACTTTATATCAGGCTGTTGGAGTCGATCTCTAAAGACGTTTCAGCTGCTCTGAAATGCTGCAGATAGGAGGGAGATTGATGATCCATAATCCATATTGTCTATCTATCCTAATTATCTATTTATGAACTTTTGCATCTCTATTGATTATGTAATTGACTTGTATTTTATCTACTGCTTGTATATTTATTAATAGATTTTTTATGGAGGTTTTGTCGTGTGAGTGTGTGGTGAAATGTGACAAATAAAGCACTTTGACTTTTGACTTTGATGGAAAGGTCCCCACAATTACTCCAGTTGAAGATTTTATTCAAACACGATCTACTGCTCCTGCTGACGGAGATTTCAGCTTTTTCTTTCGTGATCCAGATCGTCGAGTTGTCTCTTTTGTTCGATGTTCAAACCGATAAACCTGATTTTTTTGTTTTTTTCGTAAATTTGAATTTGATGTCTGCAACACACTCCAACAAAAATCATGGAAAAATTGAGGACTGCTTCAAAAAAAACCTGTTTGGATCAATCCACAGGTGATCAGGTTAACTGGAAACAGGTGAGGGTCATGATTGGGTATTTAAGAAGCATCCACGAAAAACTCAGTTCTCCACAAATAAGGAAGGAGAGAGGTTTACTACTTTTACTTACTTTTACTTTTACTTTACTACTTTTTTTCTACTTTTACAAACACGATCATTTTGGATACCAGTGAACAACCATCTGTTTTCATATGTCACCCAGCAACCTTCGCGCTAATCGGTTATCGTGACGCAAATATCCGCTCAAGTTGAGAAATTTTCAGCTCCTGTCCAATTTGTGTCATTCACGCCGCCAGAGTAGTCAGAGCGTCTAATTGCGTCTTTGCATTGATTAAACATGTAATTCAGTTGCATGAATGATTTTGCTTGCACTTGGTGTGTGGAGACATTAACAGTTAACACAGTTGGTCTCAACATCTACAAGTTTAAACTCTACCATGTAAAGCCAAAGCCAGTCGTGAACGTGGTCTGAGGGTGTGTCAGCGCCCATGGTGAGCTCTCAATGCTGAACGATGGTCCTACAGGTTTAGGAGCAACATCTGCTGCCGTCCACCCACGTCTTTTTCAGGGGTGTCTCTGCTTATTTCAGCCAAGACACTTTCTGTCCATAGGATGAGCTGTTGCATCATCAGCCCCTGCTGCTGCTGTAAACACGATCCCCTAAGGCTGAACTCTCATTAGTGCACATTGCTTGTTATGCAAAAGTGTCCTGAGCTCCTGACCGTCCTCTGGGAGAGAGATTATTACCCATAATCCCTGAGTTTCTCACCATGCTGAACCTGTATATCCTAAAACCAACCCATAGAAAATAAATAACAGCGTAAATAAGGTGATTATCAATTATGAAAGAGTTATACAGCGGACTGAACCAAAGTCAACTCAACATTTCACATCATGATTTCACATCTCTGAAATGTCTGTTTTTTTCTCACTCAGGAATTTGTTTTAATATCATCTACAAAAGCTCCACTGCTGTTGAATGTAACTGTTACTAATATGAAAACATAATAACGTGTTTAAGCACAAACTTATTTAAAATATTGTTTTTTTTAGTCAGATTTTTGTTTTTGAATTTTTTCCTTTTCATGAGACTTTTATCACATTTGTAAAAATAAAAGTGTGATTTTATTCCTTTTAAGGTCAAATTTTGTCACTCTATATATATTAAAATCATTATATTTAACATCTTTTTTTTCATTCATTTGAATTTTTGAATTAATATTTATTTATATTTTAAATTAATAACCCAATTTTTGATTTCTTACATTTCCTGTTTTTTTATTTCAATTTTTTTTGTCTTTTTTGTCTTTTTATTGTTCGTCTTTGTTTTTTTCTTTTCTCTTTTGTTTTTGCCTTTTTTTACTTCTTATAGTTTTTGTTATTAAAATGTTTGATTTCTTGAAATTTTGTCCTTTTAAATTTTTTCCCTGTATGATTTTTTTAATGTTTTTTTTTTCTTTTTTGTTTTTTCTCTTTTTCTTTTCCTTTTTTTGTTAGATATATTTCTCATTTTGATTTTACCTAAATTTATTTAAAATCATGTAATGTAAAGATATTTGTCCATTAAACCTTTCTTAATCTTTTTGTTTTGCTTTGCTTTAAAATTGTTACATCTTTTATTTTATTTTTCAAGTGGACTTTTTATAATTCATGTAATTTCATGATTTCTTGCAGTAACATGAATAGATATTTTTCACTTGTTTTTGCTTTCTTGTGTTTGTTCACTTGTTCTATCCTTCCACTGATCCACTTTTTATCATTAGTTTTTAATCAAAACCAACAAATAAAACTTAAAAACATCCTGTTACAGCGGTCAGAGTTTCTTTTTTACAGCTCATATATTTTTCTTGTGGTTATGATAAACATGTTTGGTAAACAAAGTCTGCTGGCTCTTCAGATCTCATCATCTGATGTCAAATTTGTCTGCTGGGTGATTAGCTGTGTGTCTGATCAGGCTTACTCATAAGCCCACTCTGAAAATACCCCTCACTCAATCCTGCAGATTTGCAGACCCCCACGTTTCAGATAGTGATCAGAGGCGAGGGGATGAGACCGAGACTATAAAGACAGGAGCGCAGAGACGACGGAGACACAATAGAGAGACTGCAGGAAGAAAGAGGACTCCGTCTTTGTCTTGCAGCTGCTTTTTTGAATCCTCTCTGCAAAGAGACTTTTCTTTGACCTCCAGTCAAACCAAAACCAAGTAAGTCGACTTTCTCTGTCTTATCCTGGATAGTCACATTAGTTTTGATTTTTGTATTTCTGTTGATGTTTTGAATAGAAATTTGCATCTTAAACAGGAACATATTTCAAAATATCTGCACTGTTTTGAAGTCTGTAAAACTGTCTATAATGTGTGTGAGTGTACGTGCACAGCTGCATGTGTGCAAAGTTCAGCCTTAAGAGCTCGTAGACTTTTAAACCATGATGTTCGTCACATGCAAGGGAGAGGTAATGACCATGTCCATGTGGACCACGGTTTGCAGCTTACACACCTGCAGCTTGGCACGCATGACGGCTCTTTTGTGAATCACAATCTCAAAAAAAAAAGAGAGGAAATAGGGAAAGTAAAGAATAAAAATGAGAAACGGGGTAAAGCTCAGACCTGGGGAGAAAAAGCTGAACTTTCTCTGCACTTCTTCAACTGCACGACTTCAATCCATCAGACTACCACAGTGAAACCAATAACCGAGCGACAACAACAGCCTTTGTAGATAGACAAGGATTTAGATCTATACAATCAGATCATATAGATATATGATTACATAGATGCACAATCTGTCATCCTCAGGCTTTTTGGTTGTTGTTTTAAATATCTTTAGCATTTTTATTCATTTATTCCAAACTATTTGTTGTAATTTTTCAATTATATATATTCATCAAGCTATACATACATAGATATTTAGATATTTAGAGGTAGACACTATTGCAGGTAAGTTAAGTAAAAGGAAATAAAACAACAAAAAGTTTAAGCATAAAAAAATCACATCAAATATTGATAGTCAAATATTAATAATCATAAGTTTAGCTAAGAAGTCAAAGATTTAAAGAAAACACATCAATAAAGCTATCATAAGGATTAGTTAAATTGTAAAATGACATTTATTGACAATAAAATAGCAAAACAACAAAATCCAATCAAAATATCTAAATAATGAACTTCATTAAAGGTCGACTAATTACTTTAAATTTTAGCTTCATATTTGTAAAGATTTTGTGATTTTTTTCCTGTTTTTCATATTTAGCTTTAATCTATTTTACCTGTTAATGTCTTAGTTTCAGGTACCTCCTCAGTGTGAATTTGAGTCACAGATTAAAAAAGTGGGACGAGTCATAAAAACAAAAATCCTGTCAGGTATTCCTGCTGCTAGAAGAGTTCAATATGATCCTCAGAAAAATAGATTATAATCCCTCCCTGTCCCAGAACATGAGATGATCGATCAGATCTTGTTTGGTGTCACTTTATGATCCTCAGGTGTTTAACACTGATCCCTCCTCATAAAATCTGACCTTTGATCCCACCCAAACAGGATTACAGAGGGTTAAAGCTGAGGGGCTTTCAAATCAAGGTGGATTATTAGTTACATAAAGACAAAAAATTACACTTTTTACCTTTTAGATATACACAGCTTTGTTATCTGCAGACTGAATCCAGATTTTGAACATATTGATTGTTGGTGCAAACTTCAGAGGAATTAAAACTGCTGTTAAAACCAGAAATATACTCTCGGGATGTTGAAGTTGAAGGATGACGCAAAAATATCAATTATCCTCGAGCTTTTTTTCTGCAAATTTACACGTGCGTTACTTTTCCCCTCCAAAGTCTCCAGAATGAACGCCGCAGCAACAGAGGGCTCCAAGGCCGCTCCCCCAAAGTTCAAGCAGAAGGAGACCCGTCAGTTCAAGAGCAAGGCTCCCAAAGCCGGACAGAAGGGGTGAGACGATTATTTCACACGAACTGCATGAGAAGATTTAGACACCTCCTGACTCTAAAGACGGTTTTATATCCGAACTCTCCAGACCTTCAATCTAGAGGAGTGTGGTGGAAAATTATGTTTCTAAAATTATGTTCTAAATCCTGCAGATTCCTGCAAGTAGAAACAAGAAGACAAAAAAAAAAAAAACTGAGCATGCATTTGGATAGATTTGTTCTGTTCTCAGTCCCCTTTAGACTGAGAATGTCTGTTTGTGTTATTCTCCACTGTGGAAGATTGCAGGAGCTACAGTCATAGTTAGGACGCAATGTCAGCACTGAATACTAGACATAAAAACAAAACAACTGATGAACATCGGGTTTTCAGGATTTCAAGATTTCAGAGCAGTGCGCTGTAGTTTTTGCTCATCTCTGTGCTCAAACAAAAACCTCAAAACCCACTCATGAAAAGAAGAAAAATCACGAGCTATCACTGCTCACGTTACATCCTTAAAAAAGATCAAAATCACCCACTAAATCAGGCCGCAACTGTCAGCAGAGGCTGGAGAGGGCCAATCTCTACAGGGTGTTATCTCATGATTAATATGCCCCTCCTAGTGGCCTGTTTGAGTATAGCAGCGACAACAAAACACTCCTACCGCATAAAACTCTGTATTCAAGATACAAAATACATCATAACAGATAAATGATTATCTACTTTTTACACATTCACCCCTTCCTACGGGAAAAATGAATTTATCAGGTGACTTTTGAACACTTATGCATCATTATTCAGGTCGTGCTCTAACTCTTAAATGTTCTGTTTTGTTGAAAGGTTTGACAACGACGTCCCAGGGATGGAGGGTCTTGGAGGTGAGACTTGATCACATATACATTCTTGGTATCCATGTTTTCAGTCTGTGATAACTCTGGGTTTGTTTGATCTGTTTTCTTCAGACTCAGCGGTGGTCTGCCCCTGGGAGGCGTTTGGGGACATGGAGCTGAGCGACCTGGCTCAGTTTGGCATCGTGTAGACCTGTTAGACGGGGAACTCCGGTCCTGGTGCTGCACAGATGGAGTTCACAGAGATTGAGGAGGGTGTTTGAAGATGGAGGAGGGATTTTTTTTATAAAAGAGGAACTGTGGGACAGATCAGTGCAGAACCAGGACAGAGTTAAACCCGGGTCAGAGATATTCATCTATTTATTTTTCTAGATTCACTTTATTTTTGTTATAAAAACACATGAAATCAGCATATCTACCTCACTATATGACTAACACGTATGCACGTGTAGCTGCTGTGTTGCTGTAATGATGATTATTGCAAGTATAAACATTTACATCTGCACCTGTTTAAGAGAAAGTTATTTTATCTGCATGTTAAATATCTTATCTAAGATGGTGTCAGTGAACTGGGATGCTGTTATTGATAATAATAATATAGCATGTTTTTTGCCCTTTGTTGATCAATAAAGCACCTTTAAATCAGAGTTTCTTTATTTTAACAGATATATATGTGTACCCTGGATATTAATAAAACAAAAATTAAGAACAATAATGATATTTTCAGGTTAAACAGAGATTTGTCAACGCTGTATTTTACTTTTCATCTATTTTGATTTTTATTTCAGATCAAGTAATCACCCATTTAAGGTGTCATTACCACACTTTGGTGTTTTTGGCTGCTACACTTAAAAGTAACCAGTAATTCACACAAATTCTTCTCAAAAGTTCTGTAATATCCCTTTAATTTACGAAGATGGTCATTTAATCAAAATAAGACTTAAACTGACAAAAGACAAGGTGCCACCGTATGTTATATCGAGCACCAACTCTGAGCAGAAAGAATGAAATAAAATGCAGTTCCTCAAGTGTCCACAAGAGGGCTGTCACCAAAAATAAGTGGCAGCCGCTGTTTTAAAGCACCTGTACCTGCATTCTTTCAAATAACCAGCAGAGGGAGACTTCACTCAGGAATAACAGGACAGTTCAAAACAGAAGAGAGAGAGAGCTGATAAACTAAAATGAATCCACATTACTCCAATCAAGTCAAAGGCTTCTGTCCACAGATTAACACCAGAGGGAAAAGGTAAAACAGATAATCCAATACCAGATTTTGTGATTTGAAGGACAACTGACCGATGTGTGGAATCTAAAGGCAACTTTTTTTCAAAATTTAAAATATTAAGTATTACAAACTGTAACTGTCCTCCCTACGTGTGCTAACGTAGTTTGACAGTCACCCAAACTCCAGTTTAAATGTTGATTGAGTCAGGTCTCAGTTGATCTTGTTTATTCATCACTAGTTGAATTCAGAGTGAAAACTATAACAAAGAGAAAAAGGCACAGATCAACAAGGTGCTGTAAACAACTTCTAATAGAAAATACTAAATTTACTGTTAATACAAATTGGTGCTAAGCTAAATGCTAATTGCTAACACTAATTACCGATGCGAAGAGCTAAGCTACAGAGCTGAATTGAGCTGAGTGTGAGCCTTCGCTACATGCTAAGCTAAGCTAAGATACTGGCTAACCAAAACTTATACTGCAATAAGCAAATCAGATAAGGTGTGGGCTTCATGCTAGGCTAAGCACCAGGATGAACTTAAACACTAAACAGATAAGTAACAAAAATACATGTTCTAACACCATATTCTGCTAAACAACCAAGAACCAGCCACCTTGAAATCACACAAAACAAAACTCACATCTGATGCTTTCATAAGCGACACAAGTCGGTTTGCAGTCGGGCTTCCTCAGGAGTTCGCACATCTGTAAACTGCTGAAGATGAAGGGAAGAACCTCCAACTTCCTGGTCCTTTTGTAGAATTCACACTTCCTGGTTTTCCTTTAATGATTGTACTTCCTGTGTTAGAGTTTTGCTGGCCAACAGGTGGAGCCATAGCTGCCCAGGACAGAACACAGACTAAAGCCTCTAACGGGTGTTTAATTAAAACTGAAAAATAGACGGGTTTCTGTGCAACGTCATCGCAGCCAGGGGGCAGAAAGTGGGACATTTCTTATTTGTTTACTAACGGAGTCAACGGAGAAAAAAAGAATTACAAGGAGCTGTTGTGCTGTAAATGCACGAATCGGCAAAACAAACAATTACGACCCTGCTCCTGATATTAGAAACATCTAAAACAACTTCACAACCCGGTAAATTGAGTGAAATTCATGGATATTTCAGCAAGTGTTTTTCTATTTTTGAAGACAAAGTGATTTTTCATTGAAATTAAATTTTATTGCAGTTGTGTCAGGGAGAACTTGCAAACAATACGGCATTTTCATTGATATCAGTTCGATCTGAAGCAGGCTTTTGCCCCCTGGTTGCGTGCGCACCGAGTATTGTTTGTACACAAGAAACCTGTTTATTTAACATCACGTTAAGAAGTTAAAAGTCAAACAGTTGTAATTATTGTACAGCCAGTCAGGAAGTTGTAGACGAGACTTAGGGTGAAACAAGGTTGTGATCCAAAGAAAAAGGCGGAGAAGTTCAATTTTGACCTGATATGGTGCCTACATCAACATATCTGCACAATAGTCCTCAGAGGGGTCCCATCCTGAGCACAGCACCACCAACTGACTAAACAGGAAGTCACAGCCTCACCCTATCAAATAAAAACCTGGTTTTCTGAATTCATCTTAACACTCCCTTTGTACTGTACATCCAAAAGACCCGATCTCAAACTTCACACAGAGCACAGAAGTCCATGACAAATGCTTATTTGCACTTAAACAGGGAGTTATATTTTAAAGGGAGAGCCAACAAACCTGGTACTAAAGGGCCCGGTGGAGCAATGACCCATGTATATGTATAGTGGCTAATTATCTCACTACAGCCACGCCCACCAGCACATTTATGGGCTTAACTGAACTTTGATTCTTCACAACACCTACAATATAGTCTCTTAGGAAATCTACCGCAAATCTACAATTTACAATTTTTGATAAATTCAGAACCTAAAATCAATTTTAAGTGAGTGACATGTTTGTTTCTCTGTCCCCCATTAGATAATACCTCTCACGTGCACACACAGGCGCACACTCTGGACCAATCACTGTCTTGGACATACATGGACACGCCCACCTCATTTACATACCAGTATATGAAAAACATGCAGCACTGCTTGTAGGAAACAGGAGAAATTAACTGAGCGTATGGACGATTTAAAGATAAAACAACCAGGATGATTATGTGGTCTGATTTATTTACAAGCCTGTCGATGATCTGCTGTCTGTGGTCCACTCCTGTGATCTGCAGAAGAAAGTTTTAATTTTAATTACTCGGAGGGTGAGGAGTGCAGTGTGGGGCCAACTGGTTCAGCTGGGAGCCAATTGTGTGATTAAGTCGATACCACACAGTTGGCACAGCAGTTGTCACCCAGGATCCACAGTGTTGCGAGACTTTTAGACCTGCCAGAGCCTCAACCTGTTGGCTAAAGTGATTAAAGAGTTAATCAGATTGACAGATTATAATTAGCCCCCCCACCCTCTGCCTGGACCAGGAGGGGCTGAACTGTCCTGCAAAGCCCTTTACTTTGATTTGAGTGTGACCCGCAGAGCCTGAACTTTTCTGAAGAAAACCGTCCCATCAGGATCTGTTTTCTCCTCTTTTCTCCATCGAGGGAATAAAACAGTCATGGGACAAGAGGAGAGTCACAACGAGGAGATGGATTTGGCTCAGATTCAGGAGCTGTGTATCGTTTTCATGAAGGAGTGTCCGAGCGGAGCGCTGCACCTTCACGAGTTCAAGAGGATCTTTGGGGTGCCGAGTACTTCTGCAGAGGAGTCCCTTTACATAGAGACCATATTCCGCTCATTCGACACTAACAAGGTAGGGGAGACCAGGGACGGCTACAACAATTTTTTTTTAGTCATGTTTTTTTAAAATTACCTGAGCGCGAATCCTGCGCAAAATGATCCACAATTTACAGCATTTGGGACCTAGAGCTGCAAAACTTTTTTTTTTTTTAAACCAGATATTTTTTTAATCATCATTTAGTTTTTAAAAGCCAGAAAACTGAGACAAAATTTGCAAAATCAAAATACTTAATAAAAAAAACAACTTTTTGTGTCATTTGTCACTTAAAAACTGTAGTGCGGTTTCAAAATAAAAGAAAAAAATATAAATATATATTTATTTGATCTGACTCATTTTTTTGCGCACATGCGATTACATAAAATCTCCTTATGCAAAAAAAGAAATGTAGGAAGTGTTTTAAGAGAGGTTAAAAAGCCAACAGAGTTACACAAGAGACCTCGCCGATTAAAATCAACAAATTCAATAATGAAAGGGCGACAACAAACAAAGAAATAAGTGAGATGATCCATCTAATCCACGTTTTTTAAAAATAATTTGTTTGTACTCGCCTGTATATCAGGGAGAACTGAGCATGATGCCATCTATAAAAAGGACGGCTGAGATAATCCACCTGTCTGCTAGTCTATTAATAATTTTGACAATGCAAAGAAAATGTAAAGAAAAAGGAAAGAAGATATATTTTTACATAAACAAAAATATCTGATGAAGAGTTTCAGAGTTTCAAACATTAATTTAGACCGAGAATCTAAATATATCTCTTACAACAGTATTTACCTGCGAAAAAAGGACCACAGTAATCCTCTCCCACCCTGAACCCATGCTGCAGTTTGGATTATCTCAGTGCTGAGCTATAAAAAACTAAAGGACACCATATTTACTTGGTCCAGCTGGCAGACACATCTTCAAATGTGGGATATCTTTCTTTGGTGTTACTTTGATAAATCCAGAGGACGCTGTTGTGCCATTTTTAGCTTCCTAATGTCCACCAATATTCACCAAATTATAAAAACATGGTCTCAGTCTATCTGAGTGTTCACTATCTTGAGTATAAAGAAAAGATGTCAATCTAGATGTCGATTAAGGACATGAAAGTCTACAAATCATGACAGATGGTTTTTATCACCATCATCGTCATCATCATCATCATCATCATCGTCATCATCATCATCATCATCATCATCCTGCTGTTTCTACAAACACAAGTGTCAACAGGCAGACATGAACTCCTTTTGCATGGATAGATCTGATGTGATGAAGTTCATCTGTTTTTTTTAAATAAAAAGTCATCACTGATTGGTCAATACTTACACTATAATAGTGTCTTGACCAATCAGAATCAAGTATTTTACTCAGCCTGGTAATATAAAGGGGTTGAACACCATGTTGTCACATGTGTTTATTGACTTTATTTATGCCTGTGTTTGATATCAAGCCGTTAATACCAAATTAACGGCTTTCCAAAGGGACCACATTTGAAGTTAATTAAACTAAAATTAGGTCAATTAGGCTAAGTTAAATGAGGTTAAATAGGTTCACTGTTAACCCAGACTACAACTTTGTGATCACAATAGATTAATATTCAATTTATAGCTTTAAGACGACTGTAATCTGATTGGATAAGGACTTGACTTCAACTTTATTCATGTGAGATTACAGTTTAAACGCGTCTTTAATCTCATAACTCATAAATGACTGCAGTCTTCTGAGATTATGAAACGACTGTGACTTCATTCCCAAGAGATAAAGATTGAACTCACTTTCTTTCTTGCTTTCTTTCTCTTATTTTTCAGGACAACACTCTTGATTTCCTGGAGTATGTCGCCGCTCTTCACCTGATCTTACGAGGGAATCTTGAGGACAGACTCAAGTGGTCGTTCAAGATGTACGACAAAGATGGGAATGGAAAGCTGGATCGACACGAAGTGAAGCGAATCATCAGGGTAAGAAAGAAACTTTCAGACATTTAAAGTTGTTTTTAAACCAGGGAGTGATTTTGCTCTGTAGGGCCAAAGTTGGGCCGGTTTTCATGAAGTCAAACTGTCAGAAACACCAGCTTTCATAACGGCCAATCCTCTCAGCACAGATTATTGTAGTGACCGAGTCACGGGGCTTATGTTCCCGCTCAAGAGTCTCAGAAGGGAGTGGACAGTCAGTGGGAGCTTTTCTCAAAATAAACGTCTTTACTGAACATTACTGTAAGCCTCCAAGTCAGAGGAGTAAAATTAGCCCATCGCCCACCTGACCTGACCTGCTGGAGAGGACTTAGGTAACACCTGCACTGTTTACCTGAAGGAGAATAATGCAGCCCTCATAACAACAACAATGATGATAATAATGATTCGCTTCACTTCTTGAAGCGGGTCTTTAGCCTCCTCACAAACAGCTACAGCCCACCTGTCAGTCAAGCCAACCGTGCCTCTGATTGGCTGATTTTGTAACCTTGATACCTTTACAGCATGTGATAAAAATCCCTCCTTGTTCAGTGGGAGCTCTGAGATATTCAGACTGACACTGTGTTTTAAATCAGACATGTTGAAAGCTGTGAACAAGCAACTTTGGAAAACTTAGGGAATGCGTGTTATAAAGAAACTTTAAAAACTTTATGCAGGTGGAGGAAATGTTATATTTCATAAATGGGAAATTGCATCACAAAGCAAGGTGAAATTGAAGAAAAGAGTCTGAAGAGTGCGGATCGATCCGGTAAAAACTGATGACAAAAAGAGAAAAAAATAAATAGAAGATTAAATAGAAACATTTACAGATATTCTTTACGTGTCTCACACAGATAATTCACAAACTCAACTCCCGGAGGAGCGACGGCCACATGTCTCCGTCTGAAATCTGTGACAGGATCTTTGAGCTGGTGGACCAGAACAAAGACGGTGAGTCGGTCATTCACACTCTTGTCTAAAAAAAGGAGAAAAAACAAGAGGACTGGACTGAAAGAGAGCCATGTTCAACGTGCAGTTTTGTCTTGAAAGTTTCATGAAAAAGCAGATTTTAAATGAATAGTATAGACTTTATTTTAGGAGTTTATTCTCTAAATTCTCTACTTCGATCTGGCCCTGATCCTGCTATTATGACTGAAAGCTCTGCACATGTCAAACTTACGGTGACAAAAAATATATATTGATTTAAGTGTTTAACATGAAGACAATAAATGATGTAAACATACAAACATTTTGGAAACATACAAATAAAAAAAAAAACATAATATCTTGTGAGTTTAACATTTAGGGCCACTGTACAAACTGTAGCTCATGTGTGGGTTCATTTTAGGCGTTTGTTAAAAAAAAAAAAACACTATCCAACCACAGAAACTTAAAAACAGTATTTTAATTTTCTCTAAAGTTCTACTTCTTGTTGTCGTTCATTATTTTTGATGAATTTAAAGTCCTACATGTTTCCGTTTGGTCTCCTCCAGGTCAGATCACTCTGTCCGAGTTCATGGAGGGCGCTCAGAAGGACGAGTGGGTGATGAAGATGTTAAAGCTGGACGTGAACGCGACAGGCTGGGTCATCCAAAACTGTGGGAAGTTACCGTGATCTTTTCCCTGAGTGGGTGGAGCACCCACAGTTTTTTTTCTCTGAGGCTGATGGAGAGACGTGTTTGTCTTCCTCGTCTTTTGTCTCCGAGCTGAGTGTCCTGTCGACAGCAGCTGGAGTTTACTGCTCTTCTTTCAGGGCTGCGGCTCTGCTGTGGTTTTTACAGCAGGTTTGAGGGTCTGGGTCCTGCTGCACGCCTGTGGATGAGCTGAAGATATATACCCATTATTCTGGAGGACTTCTTAATCCTGAATGGTGGACAGAAAACCATAATTTTTATGTCATTTACTGCAAATCTTTTAGTTTAGGAGTGAATTGTTTTTAAATAATAATAAAGTTGAGCTTTCAGAGTATTTTAAATTAGGCCTTTTATTGTGAAATGTTTTAAAATGTTGATACCCATTGATTTTAATAAGTTTGAATATTCTCCTGTGAACTTTTTAATGTCTCTCAGTGCTATGCAGTAATTCATAACAGAATCAGCAGGGATTTGTGGGTATTTCTGACACATCATGCTCTTCTGTTTCTTTATGCAGTGTATTATTACCCAATCAGGAGCCCTAAAATAGGAAATATTCATTTATTTTTTTATATATGAAAAGTTGCAGGTGAAAGAATTTAAAGGATGTTTTTTTCAGTTTGAAATGTGCATTTATTTATTTTTAATAAAAACGTTTTTTACACAGTCTTTGTTGGCTTTTCTTGACTGACTTTTGAAGCCTTTGCAGTTCATGATCCTGCCACTAGATATCAGTAAAGTCAGACATGTTGACGGTCTTAAATGTAATCACTGTGGGACCTCTGCTGCTCATTGGATACTCTGCTGGAGTTTAAGAGATGTGGATGAAGCTGTAAGTGTCACATAAACTCACTTAATGCTAAAAAAAACCTCACATTCAATCTTAGAAACCAAGCCAGTCTGGTCAGCTCTTCTGCAGGAATAAGGTGGAGTAAATATCTAAGATGAGCATAAGTACGTGTAAGTCATTGCTGCAGAGAGAAAACAGAGATAAAGACCTCCAAATATCCTTATCTATATCAATCAATTAATTAAACTATATTTATATAGCCCCAATTCACAACAAGTGTTATGTGCTGAAACTTAAAGAGTTGGTCCAGACCAGACCGTGTTTGCAGAAACCCAATGGTAAGGTGGGATCAGATAGAGCCCCCTCCTGTAAAATCAGATCCGCTCTCATCCTGTCTTTTCCAGCACGAGTGAAACACTTTACAGCATTTATCAAATTACAACCCACTGAGCAAAAGTCGGCTATTGGACATCTAATTTTTTTTTAGATCTAATTCAACCGTCTAGATTCCGTATATTTTTAGATGGAATTTAGACGTTGCAGCAGCATCATTATTATTCGATAACTATTTATTTCAAAAAGCAACTGTGAGCTGCATAACTGATCTTCATGTACTTAATCAAAAAGAATTATGATAGCCGTTGATCAATATACAGTGTAGTATAGATATAGCCCATATTTAGACTTGGTCTAAACTTGGTCTTAATTAATTCATTTTCAGACCTGTGGTAGCCTGATTTTAGACCAGTCGTCTAGACTACATTTAGTCTATTTGACCTCATTTAGACCAAAAAATGCTCAGTGGGAGTGGAGAGGAAGAACTTCCTTTAACAGGCAGAAACCTCGAGCAGAACCAGATTAATGTTAGACACTAATCTGCTGAGACTGAGCTGGGTTTAGAGAGAGATGGACAGAGGGGAGTTTAAGCAGCTGGTAAGTAGGCAGGTCCATGACAGCTGAACATCTGCAGCAAAGATCCAAAGGGACCAAGGGACCGAGAAAAGACTGTTGTTATTGACTCTGATGGGACATGATGATTCGGCATCAGTCATTTTTAGATGCACTCCTGCGTATTTGCTCATGTGTAAGACTTTATTCTTCAGAGAAATAAAATTAAACCCTGACTTTGAAGCTGTAAATCAAAGTTTCAGACCAAACGGATGCAGCAGTTTTTAAATCAAAACACTGATGAGCATGACTTTACAAGGCTGATATACAACATGTGATTAAAATGTGATCAATCCTGATTAACTATTGAACCTGTGAGATTAATCGCAGTTTGAAAAGTCTACTCTAGGTGTGCAGCTGTGTGAGCTGCTCAGATGATCCGAAGTTTCACTAAGATCTCACCCAGGCTTTGACGTCACAGCGTCTGTTAATCCTCCTGACAGCTCAGAGTCGGTCTTTTGTCTCCGGAGCCGATTCACTCCTCCTCTGACCGACGGCCAAACGTGATGCTGCTGCTTACGGGCAGGTGCATTACAGCTCAGCGGGGACTGAATCAGGAATAATGTGTAGAAGTTTTGGAAGAGCTGAAGAAAGAGAAATATTGAAGAGAAGAGGGAAGTTCTCTGAGGAGGCAGGTGGATTTATCCTTGAATAGACGGGAGGTCACAGGAGCTGTGGGGTCATGGCTGATGCACAGAGTGAAGAGCACTTCTCTGTGGGTTTATCGACACATTAGACACTTTTGCTCATGAAACCATGGGTCAGGGACAGAGCAGCACGGACACGGAGGTGACTCTTCAGAACATCCAGGAGCTCTACAGGAAGTTTGCCAGTGAATGTCCGAGTGGAAACCTGCACCTGCACGAGTTTAAGAAGATCTTCGGAGTCAACAGTAACTCCACAGAGGAGGAACATGCATATATGGACAATGTGTTTAGGACGTTTGATACCAATAAGGTAACGTAGCCGAGTCTTCTTTCAGAATCCAAAGAAAACCTACATTTTTATCTCATTTTCATTCAGAAATTTGTTGTTCTCTTTCCTCTGTGCTGTTTGCTCTGCAGGACGGTCACATCGACTTCCTGGAGTATGTCGCAGCTGTGCATCTGGTTCTTCGTGGAAAACTGGAAGACAAACTGAAGTGGTCTTTTAAAGTTTTTGACAGAGACGGAAACGGATGCCTGGACAGACAAGAAGTGCGAACGATAGTGAAAGTAAGAATTCAGCTGTTTCTTCAGTTTGGATCAGAAACTCTGTCGGTTAATATTTCACAGGACTGAATAAAAAATGATCAAAATGCTCCAGGGACGGTTTCTTTGAGGCAGGGGCTTACACAGGCTGTTCCAGGGTCAGGGGTGAAATGAATAAAGAGGGCACCACCTGTGTGTCATGGGCCACCAGCGCTAAAACCGTGGCTAATGAAGATCAGTCTCTGCAGGTTGATTACCTGCATTCACCTGCAACTTTTTAACTTTCCGTTGAGTATGTGAGTGAAGAGGATGTAGAGGTAATTTGGAGGTGAAAGAGGCTCAAACTATCTTTTTGTCTTTTTTCAGATCATCCAGAAATTAAAGAAACACAACGATCCAAACATCACCGTCAGGAATATTGAAGATATTTGTGACAGGATATTTGAGCTGGTGGACAAGAACAGAGACAGTAAGACCCCTGTTTGTACTTTGATTAATCGTCTTTTGCTCTTTGTCATAGCTTTAAAATTCACTCTGTTCCTTCTCTTCTTCAGGCCAGATTTCTTTGGAGGAGTTCATGGAGGGGGCGAACAAAGACCCCTGGGTGATGGATCAGCTCAAACTGGACATTGGACCTTGTGATTGGTTTATCCAGCAGCAGGAAAGGAAAACCTGATTTTACAAAGATGAAGATGGAAATATTTTGCCTTAAGTCTGATTATTGTTTACTCAAAAAGACTTCAGATGGTTTGACTCTTGTTTGGAGTTTTTCTGCCGGACAGTCGTCTGAGAAAGTTTGGATCACGTCAGTCTTTCACTGTGGTTTCTATTTTTGTCTTTTTTGGAGAAGAATCAGCCTGAAATAACTAAAAATGAATCTTTTTTTAATGTGCAGGAGCTGCTGCACAGAGACTGCGTCCAAACAGCCATGTATCTCCGCTTTGCAGAAATATTCAGATGGATGCATGCTTAAATCACCATCCTCAGGGAGTTTTTTATTGAGTAATATTTTATCTCACATCATTTTTTCCTGTTTTGTCTCATTGAAACAGAAGATCCATGCTCCTCCCGTAAAGGGAGACTCAGCCAACATTGATATTTGACCAACTTTTGAAAAGTAGCTGATGGGTTTGTTTTCCACTGTCCTGAAAAATGACACAATAAAGAAGTAAGAGTTGTGTTCAAACTCTCTGCAGCTTAGTGCTTAGTGTTCTGGTTTGCAGCTTTTCCAAAAGGATATTTCATCATTTCTGAAGTGAATAGTTTTATGACTCAAGCAGATGTTTTAGCCACAGAGGATGTCTGTCAGCTTGGCCCCTTTCATGAGAAACTAAACGCAAGTAAAGCTGCATCTTTCTGCAGACGAGTTTTACTTTGCCATGCATTCGAGAATTTATCTCTGTTTAAGTGTGCGCTCTACTGAGAAATGAGTGCAAACATAAATGGGCTTTCTGATGGGAAAAGTAAAAGAGCTGAAGATGTTCTCAGTAGGGTGACACTGTTTGGGTCAGAGAGTCTCAAAATGATCTACATTACCTGGCAGAGTTGACCCGTCTGCATATCTAGTCCAGTTTCTTCAGCAAGTGCTGAACTGACCAGGAAAACTCTGAAATATCCCTTTAAAATGAGGCGCTGACACTCACACAGTGTTTTGTCTCATTTTAATGAAAGGCAGACAGCATAAATGATTAATGATTGGTTAAGGAGTTAGTTACGGTTCATCACTCCTTATGATGCCTCATCATTACACTCCGAGAGTTATTTTTCCTCTTTATAAGATCCACTCCTGCGTCTCTCTCAAACACAAACACTTACTTGTCAGTGAAGTGTTGCTGACCTTAAAAAGACCTCAAAAGAGCTTTTGCTTTATGGATTTACTCTGACTTTCTATTTTTAGCTGTTAAGGCTGTTCACCTAACCTTTGGTTTACAGGGATGCATTTTAAAACCCATCTGAAAACATATTTTGTAAGTTTTGGTTAATGTAAAAGCAGTCAAATAACTCTGTATTTAAAGTGACAGTTTTACTCTCTTTATCTCAGAATCTAAAAAGCTTAAATTTGGTTTCTTTTTCTTTATTAAATGAGAAAATTGACTTAAAATATAAATAATACAAAATACTGCTTGTGCCTTTATTACTGTGCATGTTATACTCATATAGTCTAAAAGTCTTGAGTGAAATCATGGAGGATGGGGGTGTTTTTTCAGCTGATGGATATCATACCATTAGGCAAAGAGTCTTAAAGGCTAAGATTAGTAAGACGAGCTAAATCCATACGGTAAAGGGTCCCGCTGGTCTCCGTAAACGGACTGCAGTCTGTTTGTGAGCTAATCAGCAGACAGGACACATTTCCACCATCTTTGTGGGCGTGTTGTTATTTGACTAAGTGTAAATGTGTTTGGGCAGGGGTGCAATGGAAATAATAATAGCCTCTTTTTATTTGTTATGATATTGAGGCCCCAATCATTCAAACCTTACTTATATTTGAGATAAAAATGACCACCAACCCTCATTTACAACAAGATCAGATTAAATCAGGCACACAACAACAAAAACAAGAGATGAAACAAATTTTTAAAAAATCCTATTTATGAGAAAAGAATAGAAATTATAAGTTAGATAGTTGTAATTATGAGGTAAAAAGTCATAATTGTGAGATAGTAAGTCAAAGTTATGTTATAGTCATAAAAAAATAGGAAAAAAGTAAATAAGAATATCAGATTAAGAGTCATAACTATGTGATAAAAATCATAGCTGGGAGATAAAAGGCAAAATAATGTAAGTAATTTTAAGATAATGGTCGTAATTATGAGGTTAGTCATCAGTTGAGGAGGTAAGTTAAAATTATGATATGTATATGAAAAAGTAATCAAAATCATCATGGTATTAAAAGCCATAATTATTTTAAAAAATTATAATAATGCTATGAAAGTCATACATTTCAGATATAAAATCCAAGTCATTAAATAAAAATTTGGAATTTAAGGTTGAAAGTCAGAAATAAAAGATTAAAAAAATTCAATAACAGGAGAGATAAAGGTCAAAATTACAAAATAGTAAGACAAACGCTTAAATCGGGGACATTTTCGGGGACAACTTTTGCCAGGGACAGGTCATCCAATTCGAGGACTGTCCCCGGAAATTGGGGACGTCTGGTCACCTCACCCTAACCCCTATATGAGGTTTCACTATATAGTTGACTATGCATTTTGCAATGCTTTATGGGAAATTTTGAGTGGCCTATATAGGGCATTGGAATTGATCACTGAGGTTTCGGACACACCTATATAGGGGTTAGGGCTCCATTTTGGACACAGCCAGAGATTGCGTAGCTCATCCAAGGGATACGCTGTTTCAGCCGAGCGTCATCACAGCGACTGTCGGCGACTATCCCGCCGAATGCGTACAACACTACAGCGCAATGGTGGTTCCAGGAAGTGGAGAAAATCGCGGAAATACCGAGAGCATACTGGCGGGAGGCGGAACCAAGTAGTTCATAGTACATACAGTCCATGACGAGGACCAATCTTGGCGTTTCTGTCCTCTTTGGTCGAACAAATCAGGCCTCACCATGGAAAATAAACCATAAAAAGCCGAAATATTCCAATATTTCTGAATACTAATTCGACATTTGTGCATTTAAGTTTGATCTAATTCCCTCTATGCTAATTATTTTGTTTTTTAGCCTCTAATTCTCGTTTAAATGCATGAATGAGTTTCCTGTTACCTGTCAACGTGACGGAACAGCGCATGCGCAAGATTTCCCCAGTTGTCTGTTGACAAACGTGACCATTGCATATCTGTTTCTCTGTCGGCAACTGGAATAAAATGTAATTTCACAGGATTTCATCGACGTCGTGAGGCTACGGGTGGATCCTTCATGAAGCTGTGATTACAGTAAGCACATTTTGACCATATTTGATGAGCTGCGGTTGGCTTGACTGAGCTAATTTATCAAGCGGAGAGTCAAGATGCAGCCCAGTGCTAGCAGAGTTAGCATGTAGCTACATAGCTGAGGAGATAAAGTTAGCTGGCTGGATTTATGTTGGCTGGAGCCGGTGACTGTTATTCTTAATCACTGACTGAGTGACTTTGAGTATAAAAAGCATGTTCGGGTAGATATGTGAAGAGTTAGCTCCTTAAAAGAGACGTTTTGCGTGTCGAGTTTGTGATAAAACATCATTAGCAGATGCGAGCTAGTGACTTAGCTAACGTGCAAAACATCGATTTGCAACTGAAAACTCATGCTGTTTGCATACTATCTGACAAATTTATCTTAACAGTGATAAACATTGATTATTTTTCCATAGTATTTATGAAGCTGTGTGTGTTTTTGTTCCCTTTAAAGCTGCTTTAACCCTCATTATCTGAATGATTGGGTTAACAGCTACAGGTCTGTTTAAATAGCCTTTAGCATCTGTCTGCAGACTCTGTCATCATACTTGATATTTACTCAGCCTGTCAGTCACAAAACATCATCTATAGTAGATTAAAAGCATAAAAACATGATTATAATTCAGAGGGAGGGGTTTTCTCCTCATTTCACATGCTCTTCCTACCTGGTTAGAAACATATAATCGTATTTATTGACTAAGTTTGGTTGATTTTGATGATCAGGAGAGACTCCAGGTAACCTCGGTGTTAGGTCGGGTCCTGTTGCTTACAGAGGAATGCCTGAGAGAAACCAGTTTGACCTGATTTCCCCTGCGTCACATGGGCTGGACTGTGGAGGTTTGGCTGATCCTGCACCCTGACAGCAGACTCAGACCTCAAGCTGTGACCTGTTTAGTCTGAGAGGGACTTGGGCATTTAAAAAGACAAACCAAGAGACTCGCCTGTCAGTCTGGTTTGTCGCTGACTGACTGATTGTGTCTCCATCTTTGTTTGGACAGCTTTCAAACAGTCACCTGACTTGGCTGGCCTGTCTGTCTGTGGAGGCCTAGCTTGTTGAATTAACCTGAGTGGCTGTTCTCCTGCAGCCATGGCCTACTAATCCAGAGGAGCTGTAAATAATTCAAAGGGAAACGGATTGTGCCGCCTCATCCTGTAACTGGTTTTTAGACGTATTCATGCCTGTGAGCATGTATGTGCTGCATTCACTGCTGCAGCGGTGGTCTGAATCTGTTACTACACCTTTACAAGGAGTGGGAATCACAGTGTAAGTCATAGTTCATGGTTCATTGTAACAGTATCTTCACTAAACAGGGATTTTGTCATTATTGATGAGCTGCACGACACACATGTAACATGCAGTATTAGAGTGAGTCATAAAGAATTGATACGGTAGGTCAAATTGGAAGTAGGAATTGATCTAGAAAGCCTTATTTGTGTTAATTATTATTGTTGTTGAAGATATGTTTGGGCTATTTTTGATTTTTATTGACAGGTCAGCTGAAGAGACACACACACACACATAACACACACAGAGGGAGAGAGAGAGAGAGAGAGAGAGAGAGAGAGGATGACTTGCAGCAAATAATAAAAGCCAGAGTCTTATCTGTGAGGGCTACGTTACACTTACATATGCATTAATGGCAGAGGGGTTTTCTTGGCTTTCTTGCATTGCGCGTCCTCTGCCGCGTGGCGCTGCTTCATGTGGTGAAAAAGATTTGAGGTATTCTCCGACTTTGCGAGAACATCTTCTCGACTTAATTTGCAGTACACATTACTCCGCTTAATGTCTGACCTCAAAAAACCAAAATACCTCCACACCACCGATGTTTTCGTGCCAGTGTTGTCGACGATGTCGTCATCTGTTGAGCCTTCATGGTCATTTCTGTCGGGGGTAGCACTCATTTTCTTTTTTTTTCACCAACAGTGCTGTTGGCTTCACCTGTTAAAGTATTATGGTTGCATGTAGCTGCTGTCTGCTGCTATGCTACTTGGTTCTAAGTCAGCACATGATTTTTGCTATTCGTATAGTCTACCAAAACATGGCAGAATGCCGACTATTGAAAAGCATATTGACCATGTTTTATATTGATATTGAGGGAGATTCTATATCTTTATTGTTTTATCACCCAGCCCTAGTTCAGACTTACTATACCTGTGTTATAGGTAGAAAGTTCAAATGAATCTGATGTGATGAAGAATAAGTCTAAACTGAGCGCGTTTGTGTTTCAGCTCGAATCTGAAACCATGCTGAAATGGTTCTCCGGAGAGGAGGGGGATCCCGGCTCCATGGTGAGTATCCATGTGCTGATTTTTTTTTTACTTAAACGGTCACATTGTTGTGATGGTCACTTGACAAAGATTAGTGAGTCGCTTTTCCCACAATGACGCATCCACTCAGGGAACAGTCGTATTTTTGTGTGAGTGACATGTCCTAAATCATCAGGGTTTGGAAAAAATGAAGAAAAAACATGTCTGCTTCTGTTTGTTTTCAGTTTTTCACCCCAAATTTAGTCACATAAAATGACACAGACTCTTCTCATGGTTGGTTTAGTTTGATCCTGCACAGCCTGTCTGTTAAAGCCACTTTACCGGCTGTAAGAAAACCCTGCAGTCAGGACGCAGACTGATGGCAGAGCTTTCCATATAGACTGGATTTATTGAGACTGCTGAGCACAGAGCTTTGACTCATACAAACAGGCTGCACACTTCCTGTGAGGGGGCACCACTGCTCCAGCTTAATCCCTCTCTGCAGCCCCACCCTATTTACTGCATGTCTGACCCAGGGGCCAATCACAGCCTGAGGTCTATTTGATCCGTTCCTCAGTCTCTACCTGAAGATGTATGACTTGTTTTGCCCTCAGGTGTCTGTCTAAAATGTTGCTGCACATACCACCACATTCGTTTCAGCTCCAGGGGGTTTTATTTGCTGTCTGGTCAGGATGTGCATTCCTTCAACCTCACAAACACAGTGAGATTCTTCTCTGTGGTCACTGTCCCACCTCTAACCTGTCTCCCCCTCATCCCAGGGCCCGGGCTCCCCCCGGGGTCCTGCTGCTGCTGCAGGAGGGGAGGTTGCTGTCGAAGAAATGGCAGAGCGGCTCACTCAGACCGAGCTCCTCGTCAGTCAGCTGAAGGAGATGATCCGAGAGAAAGACGCAGCACTCCGCTCCAAAGATGAGCAGCTCAAGGTCAGATGAGTCTCCTTTATTTCACAGAGTGTCTCTCCATTAAACAGGTGTGCTGATCTGTGGGGAAAATATGAACAGAGGAGAAACAACCACTCAAACAGCTCCTCCAAAGGGTCATTTTAAGAGGTGTAGCAACAGATTTTATCCTCTATGATTTGTGATTGGTGATATTGTACCAGCAAAACAGTGGGTTAGGATTAATTGTCTAAAAATTGATAGATTGATACATATCTTGTCATTCAATATTTCATGTTTCTAAAAAGACTCACTCTTGTTTGTCACTGAGATTGTTCAATAGAAAACCTGTTAAACTCCAAAGTCCAAATCTACTGCACAGTAAAAAAACACAGGAATGTGAGATTAGAGTTCACGCATACCAACACAGCCCGTCATCATCATCACGCCCCTGGTCACTTATCTCACTGCTTCAGGGCAGCGTCCTCTAAAAAGCTCCAATAAAGAAACAGCTTTCAGACGAGGTCTAACCGAACACTGTGATGATGTTATACTGAACATACCATCTGTGATTCAGGTGGAGAAAGAAACATGCGAGGCCAAACTGTCAAAGCTGCGTCTCCAGAACAAAGCGAAGGTGACCTCCCTCACCTCACAGCTGGAGGAGCTGAAGAAACAACATGGGAGTCCGGGAACGCCGACACACGGCAAAAAGGTAAAACAAACATCGAAGACATAAAAAAAAAGATTAAATTCACTTCTGTTTTTATTTATCCTCATTATTCTGCAAGGGCTCTTAGTTTCTCGTGTAAAGTCACTGTGAAACACATTACACTGCAGCATGAACATCCTCTTTGAGTCCTGTTCCCAGGACATGAAGTGCTGTCTTCGTGTTTCTCTGCAGGGGTCATCAGAGGGAGGAGGGGACCAGGCCAGTCGAGGGAAGATCGTCCTGCTGAAGAAGAAGGTGGAGGAACTAGAACAGCAGCTCGCACACAAAGTGGAAGATCTAGACAACAAGGTGATGAACTTCAAGCTGAGTCAGGTTCATTTGTTTTCCTGTGAGCTCAGAATTATGCAACTCATTTAAAATAAGAAAAGCCAAACAGAATCAGTAAAACAGTCCTGCGGAGGAGTGATCTGATGTTCCCAAAGCTTGTTTTTTGGGAGTTTGCAGTCTGACTGATGGATATGGGTTTGTCACTCTAGTGTTATGAGTTAAAATACAGATCTTACAAGTGCTGGGCGATATGGCCTCAAATCAATATCACAATATATTGATCAGTTCACCTCAATAATGATAAATGGACGATAACTACTCCACAAGCTGCTCACCCCCTCCCACATTAACTTCGTCTACTTCAGCCGCTCCAACTTTCTCTCCGTCCTCCATCTCCTCACCTGTCTCTCCCTCTTTGTTACGGACTGGATGGGATGGAGTCACGTCTCTGATGTAGGACAGCGTCTTAAAAGGACATGAGACTATAGCCAACTTTGATTTATTTGACACTGAAGATACCAATATGGGCAAAATTACGTCAGTTATTGGTATCAATTTTGGTATTGTTAAATTTTCAGTTTATCGCCCAGCCCTAGATCTTACATTTTGATATGTGCATTTGTGCCAGAAGTGATTACACTGCAGCCTCAACAGCCATTTTGTCTATTATCTAGACCTCACTCTACATGATATCAGGGCTCAGGTGTAGAAAATACCTGTTTGGTTTAAAGTGTGGAGATATGGGTGCACTCAACACCAGGAAATCCTTATGATACACATGTTTGACCTCGAATGACCTCTAAAGTCTAGTTTGTTTAGCCAGTGTGAGTGCTTTGTACAAAACCTTGGCCCTCTCATGGTGAGACAGGTGGACTTCGTTTGTTTTGGTTTCACCCAAACTCCTCACAAGAGGACCTGAAGGGGGACAGTCCCACTTTGGCACAGTGGAGAGCAAGTGGGGCTGATGAGAGTGTGCCTTCAGTCTGACTCACCGTTTCTGTTTATGTCTCGGTGGACAAATGGCATGCTGTTGTGATCAGGTGATCCAGGATCAGTTCTGCTTCATGTCAGCACAGTTCAGTCCAAACACTCAGAAACAGCACTCAGGTTTTTAACTCCATAAATGAGGCACAAACTTCAGCTTCAAGTGTGAATTGATTATTATTTTGTCCTTTAAAATCTTTGAGGTTATTCCTGCTGTCATTAAACTGTTAAATCCTCTTCTATCTTTTTATCCTGCTTTGTGTTTCCTGTAAAGTGCTTACTTAGATTTGTCTTGTTGATATTTGCAGTCCAACTTAACGTGCCCTGACATTTCCCACTGCGGCATGGTTCGTATTAAAGCTGACTGAAGAGGACAGCTATCAGTTTACAAAGCGAGATGCTGTTATTGAGTTTCTAATGAGCGTCGGTGCGTCTTTGTTCCAGATGAAAGAGGTGGAGTTTCAGCGGCAGCGAGGTGAAGAAATGGACGCCATGCTGACAGAGAAGGACAGGAAGCTGGCAGAAAAAGAGGCGTATATAGTTCACCTTCAAACGGCATTAGCAGGAGATCAACCGGTCGCACCTGCAGCACAGCAACAGGTCATACTTTTTACTTTTCCACAACGTTTTGAGATAATTACAAAGGAATATATTCCAGAAAGCAGAAATGCTTGTTCATCACTGGGCTGCACATCTTCAGGTGACAGAGGACGGCGGGGCGATGCAGGAGCTGCAGCTGTTGGTGCAGAGTCTGACCAGGAAGGTGGGGGAGTCGGAGGAGCGCTACAGTTTGCTGCAGGAGCAGGCGGAGAGCCTGAAGGAGCTGGTGGACTCTGAGAAGGAGCAGTACAGCCAGAAGGAGAGCATGTACAAACAGAACGTAAGTCTGAGGGAGCCCAGGTCGAGTTTTCAAGTCAGTGCAGGCAGGGATTATTTTCCCCTCGATTGAGTTTAATTCACAGTCTTTTGTTTGGTATTCTTAACAACCTTTGGTTCCTGTTAATTTTAAGCTCAATCTAGCCGACTTTGTCCCCAAAACGGACATGTAGAAAAGTGTTCCAAAAAAACAATTTTTTAAACATTTTTAATGAAAGTCTATTGTCTGTTTTGCAGACAAAGTAGGGTGGATGGAGCTAAAATGCGACGACAGAGTTTTTCAGGCAACAATTTTATTTTTGTTTAATACGAAGAAAAAGAAGAACTCTCATCAAATCTGATGCCCCAATCTTTAAAACTGTGACTGTCAGCTCAAAATAAAAATAAAAAAAAAAGACAAAAGTCCGCAAAACGGACAAAGAAGGAACCAAGGGTTAATCACTCAAAACGCCAAAATACACAGAAACCTTTGATTAAACAAAATTTAACCCCTCCCCTTTTCTGAAGAGCTCATCACATCGCCATTCAAGGATCCAATCAGTTTGTTTGCAACAGAGTGGAATCAGATTTAATGTCTCTTTCTTGTCTTTTGAATCAAACAGGACCATCTGTGAAAAGATGAGATACTTCTAGAAAATCAAGAGTGTGCTTAAACTTGATGTTGTTTGTTGTTCATATCTTTGTTTGTTTTTCAGATCCAGACGTTCAAAGACATCATTATTCAGAAAGATAATCAGCTGATGGAGATTAACCAGATGCACGAGCAGGAGCTCTTCAAGCTCGCTGCAAAGTCTGATGCCAGTGCAGACCTTGAGCAGGTAGTGACAGTGTTCAGTTAGTCATTGAGATTATGTCGGGTGTCGTGTTTGTGTACTGTTGTCAAATCCATCTCTTTGTGTCGTTCTCAGCTGCTGAAGGCTCTGAAACAGAAGCTCCATGAAAAAGAGGAGGTGCTTCTGGGTAAAACTCAGGTCATCGATGTTCTCCAGGGAGAGGTGGACGGCAGGGACCAACAGATAAAGGTCAGATGCAACATTTCTCCATGATAGCATCGTCTTCCTCCTGGTGTCTGTTCTGTTTAAAAGTTTCTGCTTCTTCTGATTTCCATCACATGCTCACATGTCCGGTCTCTCCTCTCCCCTCAGGAACTCACTGAGCGGCTGCGGCGGCTTCACGTAGAGCGAGAGAGCCTGGAATCCAAGATGGAGGCGGAGAAACACGTGATGAGAGCGCAGCTTCGAGACCTGATGGAGAAGCAGCGAGCGGAGGTGCAGCGACTGACGGAGCAGCATCAGGCGCAGATGGCCCAAACACAGCAGGATCTCCTGGGGCAGCTGGAGGAGCTGAGGAGGGTCCAGACCACGGCGCCGGCTGTCGGTCAGGACGCCTCAGGAGGAGGAAACACGGCAGCAGATTCAGTGTCAGCTGAAAGGGTCGCAGAACTGGAAGGTGGGTGATACTTCGAGACTCGTGGCGAGTTATTTGTCACAGTCTACCCTTGACTTTCCTGTCCTAAGATTGAGTGATTATAGTGGAGTAATAATCAGGTTTATAAAATAATGTGTCCTATTTATTTATCGTCAAACCAGGCGCTACTTTTATAGAAATTGTTCTAACATTTTAACTTGCGTTGATATCAAACTTTCTTCTCTTTTTTTGTTTTCAGCCCAAGTGAAGCAAAAATCCGAAGAAGCCGGCAGATCCGAGGCAAAGTTCCTAAAGATTAAAGCCTGGTCTAAAACTCGGATCAGACAGCTGGAGGAGGAGTTAAAGAAAAGCCAGGTGATGATGATCCCGGATTATTTCATGACTATGATATATCGTCGCTGTTTGATGAAAAACCTGTATCTCCATTTTTAGCAATATCCTCAATAGACATTTTATAACATCATCTTTTCAACAAGTGTCTCCGTTGGGTGTTGGAAGTGTCAACAAAGCATGTATGCCCTGTGTTGTTATGTCTTTACGCTGTTACAGACTCATTACAGTACAGGGAAGCGCTACATTAATGTCCTCCTCACATCGACTGATGCCGACCTCAAACTTTTTTCGAACCATGACAGTGCTGTTTACCTGTACGTTAGATTTCTTAAACTGTAGTTCATCCCCAGAGGCAAAGCTGCTGCTATTTTCTCTCTCACACTTGGTTGCCGAAAGTAGTGCATGTTAAATCTGGAGTCCTATGTGGAAATGTATGTTGACATAGTGAGACATTAAAGGAACGAAGCTCTTAAATAATCGACCATCATTGGAGCACATTATTTAAAAAAGACATGTATATCCATATCCACTATCACTCACAACGCAAAGCACGTAAGTCAGTTTAAAATATCAAACAGGTCACTGATGACTGTAAATATAGATATTCATATCAGGTCCTAATTGTGTCTAATTACAGTGTTTTGGGTTTATTCTGTGAGGTAGTTTATGATTAAAATTGTTGTTTAATGTTCCTGAAAAAAAAAAATGGAGATTTGTGTTTTTTATTGGACAGCAACGATATGATAAATCTGTCATATCATAAATGATCAATTTTGAATGTCCTCTGAAAAGAAATTCGTCTCATTATCTTCGTTATCAGCGGTGCAGGTTAGCTCTTCATTGTCTCATTTTTGTCATCGAGAAAAAAGGATCATCAAGAAATGATATCATCCTGATCACTTTGACCACATTGCTGACTTTTGTTTGTAACTGGACATTAAAGTTTATGTATTTTACTTTCTAAAACTGAACAGACAGTCTCAGGAGTTGCAGTAAAGTGCAGAAAGAGTTTTCCTGAACAAAGTTGTGGCTGAAAAGTTGAAAAGAAAAGCTGAATGTGAAAGAGTTTCTTTAATTTGTCCTTTTAGGGCGGTGGCGCCCCTCCAGACTTGAACGCTCTGCGGAGTCAAATAACAGCGCTGGAGGAGGAGAGGGAGGAGAACCTCTGGAAAGTGGAGCAATATCAGGAGCTCAAAGCTAAGAATGGTACCCAAATTAAATCTGTAATGAATCCTTTAAATTTAAGTTCATGGTAGCTTTCGCGCCCTAATCGACTTTGTCTTTGATCCTCTCTGTCAGAAATGCTGGAGGCGAAGCTGGTCGTGTACGAAGAGCAGCAGAGGACGCTACAAGCAGACCTGGAGCAGTTCACCAAGAGGGCTGCTTCTCAGGTACAAAAACCTCTCTTTACAATCAACCGAACTTCTGATTCTTTCCGGTCCGCTGTGCCTCATCTGCCCCTCCTCATCACAGACGAGCGAGTCGGGCAGCGCTGACGACACTCAGAGCCAGGTTCTGGAGTGGCAGGAGATGGTCGCCGAGGCGGTCAGCGCCAGGGACCGGGCCAAGGAGGAGAAGGCTGCCATGGCTCTCCGCATCAGCCACATGGAGGAGGAAAGAGAGGGTAAGGCTTTGACTGGAAGATAAAACAAGCTCATACAAGGAAGGAAGTGATTTGGAGAAATTGTTGGGTCCAGAATTTAGCTCAAAGCGTGGTTCACACTCACGGCACACACACGAAGCGAAAATGCGTCCAAGTCACCCCAATGTGATCTACACCCTTCCTTTATCATCACTCCATCTTTGCAGAAAGATATTTTAGATGTTTTTAACCTTCAGGCTCACAGTTCAGCTCCTACCGATGCAAATCAGGCTGCAGCTGTCTGTCTGCCTCACTTTGGTGCAGAGGAGGTCTATATTAAAGAAAATCAACGCTCTGCTGAGGTGTAATCGACTCAGGCAGGTCGAAACCTTCTGCAAAGACTTTTCCAAAAACAAAGTTCTCTCCTCTACGTCCCTTTAGGGGCTCCCCAGATCCTTCCTCTGCCACTCCTCCTCATAGTTCTTCCTTTTTCCCATTTTCAGAGGATTTTCTTAATCTGGTATCGGGTTCAAGGATGCAAGGAGTGTAAAGCTTTATTGATTTTATTGATTGGTGCACATTTTTGATCAGGGAGAATTAGTGACATGTGAAATAAAAAAAGAAGTCTTAATTCAGTCCCAAATACAAAATAAGAATATCTTAAAAAATCATGAAAAAACAAACGTATAAAGACTTTGATCTTGTTTTAAAATCTGATTTAGTTTTTCCTGTAGTTTCATTTTAAACCCCTAGTGCCCCCCCCCATCACCTCCACCACCTCCATGATTTTCAAACAGAGACAGATCTGAGTTTGTGTTTGACTGCTGACCACGTGTCCTCTGTTGTCTGACTCAACATTACTTTCTTTTTCTTAATTTCTCCCCCCCTTCCTCACCCTTGTTATCGTTTGGAGCGTTTGGTCTCCCCCGTGGTGCCTCCCATCTCATGGACCTCCACCCCCACCCCACCCTCCCACCCTCCCTCTCCAGCCCCTGCTCCAGGGATGGGAGCAGCCACACTGAACAGTTTCCCATCAGTTTTGTGCATGCAGGCTCCTCCAAACCTCCAGTGGCGCTCCTGCTCGCTGTACTTCCTGCAGCTCCCCCCTGAGTTGAACCTTTGTCGGGTCGAGCTGCAGGCAGTACAGTACCAGGCGGCACTTCAGGGTCTGCCATTTTGTCCTCCTTTTCTTCCCCTCTCCTGTGTTGTTCCTCCTCCTTTCCAGTCCTTTCTTTTCTCCTGTCCTCCTGAGTTTTCTCTACTCTGATTGAAAGTGTTTTTGGCCAGACTAAAACACTTTGGAGTAATCCGCCTGTTTCTTTCCCTCCTCTCAGATGTAATCAAACAACTCTCTTATTTTCTTTTCTGATGGGATGGCGAACTAGAACTAACCCGGGGAGAGGGACTAATGTTTACCTGCTCACAAACAGGAACACTGAAACTTACTGTGCAGAAAGTGAAGAAGGAAGTAAAAATATTAATTATTCAGTCATTATGATTACTTACAATGTTCATGAGAGCATAAGAGAGCTTAAAGGGTAATTCCGCTATTTATAGACCAGGACTGTATTATCAAATCCTGTGTGGTTGATGAATACCCGCCATACTTTATGACTGAAATTAGATTTGTGCCATTGTAAAATAATTTAAGGGGCGCTCGTGTGAATAACAAAAATGACGAGTGGGAGGCAGCGATCTCTCAGTCTGAGTGTGCAGCCTTAAGAAAAACAAAACAAGTGTTTGAGATCATCGATTTACTCCTGAGAAGAATGAGTTAAGTTGTAAAATCTGTCCTAACTTCAGATATTTTAGTTATTTTGTCAAATCAAAAATACACTGACCGAACCTCTGTGGAGACACACAGGCTGACGGTCTCTTTACATTGACAGACGCTGTGGATTTGGATTAGCTCTGTGTGCAGCTGACTGTTTAATGACTTACTCAGTGAAGTGAAGGAGACTTTAATGTACGAAGAGTGAGACCCTGGAGCTCAACAAAAAACTCACAGTGATCAGTGTTTTTTTCTGAATGAACACTCGAGTTTCCAGTTCTTTTAAATTTACTAACAGAGACTGTAATTCCCTCTTTTTCTTCTTCTTCTTGTTCCTTTTATTCTTCTTTATTTTATTCCGTCAAACCAGTTTGAGTCATTTTTGGTGATTTGATTCAGGTCGAGGGGAGCAAACGCACTAACCTGCTTTTCGTTTTCTGAAAATATTGTAATTAAGACTTTTTAAAGTCAAAACTCTGATTTACCTTCCAGAATAAAAGCATGCCTGCTTCTTAATACAGCTATTTACTGTAAAAATGATTATCTTTAAAAACACAGTGATGATAAAATTCACCAACGCTTGCTTCACTTCTGCTCTCTGTTTTTCTGCAGCAGCGCACAGCGTCTTTGGTTCTGTGTAACAGCTCCATCATAGTCATTTATAAAGTAAAAACTGGAGTGGGAGAAAGTTTGAATTCAGGGAAACAAGCCTGTTAGGTTAAAATGGACTTTACTATGCACACTGGAATAACTTAGTCAAAGTTACTGAAGTTACTCGAATCACTGAAAAGACTCATGATGAGTTATTTTGTCACAGAATGAACCAAGTGGAAGAAATTTGCATTTCGTGAAACAGAGCTAATGAGCTTAAGATGGGTGAGGTTCTTAGAGTTGGTATCCTATGAGGGGAAGAGAGTTTTAGTTTTGTTGACAATAGTCTTAAACTCAGAAGAACAGGATTAGACAGGTCTTATCCGTGAACATACAGAACAGTCAGCTGAAGGAGGTGAAACCTGCAGAAAACAGTTTGACCTTTTTTATCGTACCTGCCTCTCCTCCTCTTGTTCTTACACGCTGTGCTCTCTGTGGATAAACATTCGTCTCGCTCTTCTCTCCTTCAGATCTGTGTCGTCCCACCTGATCAGCTGCATGATCTATCAGCTGTTATATTGATTTTATATTTTACACATAGGTAAAGTTTCTGCTTAGTCCTGCTGATACACTGAACCCACACTGATGCTGCTTAACCCCCTGAACTCCTTTCCTCTTTCTGCCTCACCCTCTGCTTTGAGCTGCCCCCCTCCCCACCTCCCACCTCCACCTCTAAATCAGCCTGTTGGCACAAAACAGATGGGAACATGTTTTGTTCAGCCTGATCAATCTGGCCTCTCCCTGCTTGCATCCTTTGCTGCTAAATGAGAACTGAAAGAGAAATTAAACCCCTGAAAGGACCCCTCAGATCTGCACCTGCCCCGTGTTCCTCTAAATAACGCTCTGGTCTCCCTGTCCCAGAGAGAAACCACGGTGACTCATGAAAACGCGCCCTCTCCTTCCTCCCACAGCCACCTTTACTTCCCTTCTCCTCCGTGTTTGAATGCTGTTGTCCTCTGCTGTGAAAATTAGGTGTGCATGGCTCTGACCAGAATGTTGCTTTCCAGTGTTTCTCAGGTCCTCATGCAGATACCAAAGTCCAAACGTCTCTGTAGTTTTAGCCTCTCGAGCTGTCTCCACACTTGATTCTCTCAGCCTGTCTCCGCTCTTCTCTCACAGTCTGTCTCTATTGTTGTTCAATGAATCTGTTTCTGTGTTTTGAAGTCCATTTTTTCGTGTTAGAAGTGCCTCATCTTTTATTTCATCAAACCATCATCACCATCTTCTCCAACACTCTCCATCTTTCCATCCTCACCATCCTGTCCTCGAAAACTCTTCTTTCACGCCTCCATCATTCCTTCTTACCCATTTCAAACCCCTCTCCCATCCATAAAAACATCCTCAATCCAACCAACCGCCCCCCCCTTTTCCCTGTGGCACAAAACTGATTGAGGATGACTGGTTCTTTCCTGGCTGCTCCGATCCAGCACTGGCCTCTCGGCAGCAGGAGTTGGAGGAGGAGCTGGCTCAAACTCGGGGGCTCGGCCAGCACAGGGCCAAGAAGCTGTCGGCTCCGGCCCAGCGAAGCCTGCAGGTAGGTGGACACGATGACGTCTCTGTGATTGTACCGTGATTATATCAGCGAATTCTCTGACAGACAGCGAATGAAACTTAACTCGTTTAGTGCCAGGTTCATTTATGCAATTTTCACCCAGTGCCATCATTGACCGCAATAGAAATTTCTGTATATTTCAGGACCCGCAGAATATCTTGTGCTTGGACTAGATTTAAGTGCAATATATCAAAAGAAAGGAGTGAGTCTTTTCTTTCACCAGAAAACAAAAGTTAGTCTCTAACCCGCTCCTCTGTTTAATTATTGCCTGCTCAATGCAGTGTGGTCATTTCATCTTTGCTGATCTGGAAAAACACTTTTTTTCGAAGGAGAGACTTTGAAGCAGAACTCTGATCGTCTGTTTCATTTCACTTCAAACTACTTTACCGGTGGCATCAAGGTCCTCCCTCCTCAGACACTGCTCCTCATTACTAAGGAACGGTGGTAGTCATGTCGGCTCTTGAGAACCTGACGCCGCGACGTAAACCACACGGACTGCTTGCGTCCTCCTCCCCGGAACTGTCACTGAATTCTAACTAAGTCTGGCTCACCAGTACTGGCACCGGCGGCACAACGACACACCAGAAAATCGTTCCTTTGATTGTCTGCTGACAATGTGAAGGTCTGGTACCGGGATCTCCGCTGGATTAGGAGACGGTAGCACCGCACCCATGGGGACCGGTGCGCCAAGACCGTTTGCTCTTGGCTAACGACTTCGGCTTTTCCCACTCTCCTCATAGAGAAAAAACACTCCACGGCTAGGCTAATGGGCACACTTTTCACTGGCGAGTACTTGTTTTTTGTTATTGTAACATGGTTATGGCGTATTTGTCGGCTTTTCTCCGTTCAGAACAACCCCAAACTTAGTCGCATGTTGTGGAGGAGCGCCCTCTGGTGGAAAACAAGAAAACTGAATTTCGTCAAAATTCGTCATTGGCACTGAATGAGTTAACATTTTGAATCCCTCATTTATCGTTGTCAGTATTATATCAAATGTGTCCAGAGGGTAAGTATGGTCTGAAGTTACTGTGTCTCTCATTAAAAATAATAATAATTAAAAATATATATATATTTATATGTATTTACAGAAAGACACTTCTCTTTGTTTCTTTTCAAACTCCTTAAAAATTTCACATCTGCTTCAGCTTTGAGATTCGATGTTTGAAAAAAAAAAAACACCCACCCTGCTTTATCTAATCTAACCCCACCTACAGGAGGACTTTGAATTCGACGGGCAGACCCCGTACCAGAACCCTCGGAGCCCCTCGGAGAGCACGACCCCGATGGAGGGAGAGAACATGGGAGGTTGGTGGCCCGAGTACAGTTCTCCTGACACAGGTGTGGAAGCCATTAGACAGTTTACACCGGCATGCACACGGTCATCCGCACGTCACTTTGGGAGTCTTCAGTTGCCTTTTGGGTTTTTGAGTTTTCATAGTTTCACCGTAAAGCTCCTGAACTTTTTGATGGAGTGTTGGCTGTCGGTTTGTTTTGGTCCATTTTTTTGTGTTTTGAACTAACTCTGAATATTCTCAACGTAACACCTGGGTTATTGGGTTATTATCACGGCTGGGATCAACTTGGTTTCACCGCTGCGAGCTGAACTGGAGATCATCTCACGATCAGTCAAACTTTAAATTCAGAGAGAGATTCATCAGTTTGCATCTCCATCAGTTTTTCTTTGGACACACGTGCATGCTGGTCGAGCTGCCTAGTGTTTGTTGGGATCAGTCTGTATGTGCAGGATTGTTGTGAGATGATTTGAGTGTAGGTGTCCAGACCTCATCACAGGTAAGTTTTGTTTTTCCATCGCTTGCATGTTCACTTCCTTTTTTCCCATTTCTTCTCGTCCTGCTTCTTCTGGTCATGAAACTAAAAAGTACATCAGCAGGTGTCTCCAACATAAATAAAATGAGTTATAATTGTAAAAGTGGCTGATGTACTTTTTGGTTGAGACGTTTTGTCCTGGAATTTGCATTTTTCTCCTCCTAATAAACATCAGTTTGATTCGCACATGCACTTAAAAATGTTCTGCATCAGACCGTATGTCCTATGATTGTGAATTCCTCCTCTTTCCCCCTCTCTGAAGATTTTTCCTCATAAACAGTAGGGCTGTCACAGATTTAGAGCAGTGGGGTCCAAACACACCTGGAAACAGAAACAAGCCCTGAAGTTGAGGTCCACTTTTAATTTTACGACCCAACAACCAGAGCAAACAGCTGCTTTAGTCGTAAGAGATGCTGGGATGCAGCTGTAAGGCAGTTCGATTAGAGTTGATAACTTGTAGGGTTAAAAAAACATCAATTCATCTTTTCATTGCATTTTATTTTTCCCGGATTCAGACAACAGGATCGATCCTTCCACAGGATGTCGCTCAACTGGCCAAGAGTAGTTCTTGTTTGGGAGCCAGCTTCCCACAATGCAAAACGCGACCAGAATGCATGACACTAGTTTACCTGTGAGGCTACAGGTTAATGAGGACAGCCCTGTGATGACCCACACCTCAGACCAGAACAAAGCAAACGAGCTGCAGGAGTAAAACAGCCTCACTTATAAATCAAGTTGTTCAAAGTTTCCTCAAAAGCCTAAAGCTGATTTTTGGTCTGTGTGGAGGTGAAGAGTTTGATCTGAACTTCGAGCTCTCAGATTCCCCTGCTGTATAAACGGTGACAGCCCTGCAGTAGTAAGATACAGTCAGTTAAGTAGAAGTTACTCTCCTTGAGCCTGTGAACGACTTTTTATCTCGAATGTTTTTGCAGGAAGTGTTGAATCTTCCAAGAGTTTATGAGTCACATAAATTGTATTTTCTGTATTTGCTGTAGTCTCTCAGTCCTCCTCTTTCTTCTGCCTGATTTCCTGTTTATCTCTGATTCATTCATGACTCATCTTTAATACCTGCTCTCTCTCTTTCTCCTGATGAATCCAGATGGCTTGCGTTCGGTTGTGGAGGAGCTGGAGCTAGAGAGGAACCAGCTCCAGGAGCAGATCCTGAGCCTGGAGGAGCGCTGTCAGGATCTGGAGGATCGGCTGCAGCTGCAGGCTCGCATAGAGTCACTACAGGTAACGTGAGGGAGCGCAGCCGCGTCCCGACATCCCGTCCCGTACTGTAGTCTCAGCATGAAGTCAAATCAGTATTTATCTGATGAAACAGGGTCCAGAGGAAAGGTCAGATCAGAAGCAAAACACTTTTCTTTTGCAGCATGATGTGCAAAAGTTTTTACACGGTTCAAGAACAATGAAAAAAACTTAAACAGGTGATCTGAAGTTTAAAAAAGTGCTTTACTTCTGATCTGAAATGATGAACTCCAGACTGACTGACCCACTGATTTATAACAAACTGCATGTTTCCCTCCGTCAAATTGGGATTTTGTAACAAAGCCTTCTAACACAGGTGACGTTTGATGTAGATGAAGATGAGCAGCCATGTTGGGTCTCTCAGGTGTGTTGGGCCTCTCATGTATGTGTGCGCTGGAGAGCACCTCTGGCGGTGACGGCTAACGGTGTGGTGTGCTTGTTTAACTTTGGACACGTTGTGATTTCTGTGGTAGACCTCCTGGGTGTCAGAAAAAATCACACTTCACTGCTGGAAATCGTAGACGTCAGAGTTTAACGTTTGGGCTTGATGATAAAAACACAGACATTAATAAAACAGTCTGATTTAAATCTTTTCTCCAGCCGGTCTGCTCTCATCCACGTCTGTGTGCTGTGATGGTTTCATTTTGAAGGCTGGATGAAGTTAATTCTCGCTTATTGATGTTTGTTTTCCTGCCGCCGCAGAACGAGTCGGAGAAGCTGCAGAGCCAACTCGCCAGCCTCCGAAGTCAACAGAGCAGAGATGCAGAGAAGCATCAGCTGCTGGTTAGCAATCTCAACGAGCAGCTTAAAGGGTAAGTCGCTCAGTGACAACAAGAACGACAGTTTAATCATTCCTAAAGCAGCGAGTATTTTCTCTCTGCAAAGATCTTAATTCAAGATATTTGCCATAAAAGCCTCGGCTATGAAGAGAAGGTGAAAAATGCCAGTTTGCTCCTTTTCAGCCTATCAGTATCTGTTCATTTTGCACTTTTCATTCCACGTTTGACTTTAACACTCTGTCACTGAGAAAATGCTGTTTTATATTTTTATTAAACTTCATCTGTTGTGTTTTGACAGTCTGAGTAACACACAGGAGTGTCTGGAGAGTTCCCTCATTGAGAAGGAGAACACGTTGGCCAAGACGTCGGAGAAACTGGAGCTCATCAACAGCCTCCGAGAGTCTTTGAGTGAAAAAGAAGTTCAGTATAAAGACGTGTCGGACAGACTCCTCCAAACCGAGCACACTGTAAGCTCTCTCTGCTTTTCTTTTTCTCACCGTTTGACGATCAGAAATCCTTAATTTGGTTCACGGTGTCGTCTTTTTCTTACAGCTTGAAGACGTTACAAAGAAATGCAGCCGCTCAGAGAAACAGAGCTCCGAGTTGAAAACAGAAGTGCTGGATCTCACGCAGAAGCTGAATGTGCTGAAGGAAAAGGTGAATATTCAACAACTGTTTTTCTTTCTCACTTTGGCTTCGTCTTGGAGTAGTGTAGTTGAGGATGCTCTTACTCACAGTGTTGTCTGTAAAAATTTTCAGTACTGTTTTTTCTTCAAACTCACTCATGAAAGCAGAATCAGAACTTTTACAGCACTAAGTTCAAGATTCAAGATTTTTTATGATAAATTTCTGCCGTATGTGAGTTCATACACAGGAATAGAAAAAGACGTTTGTCTTCAGCCAATAGAGAAGAGTATAATTGTCAATAATCAAAATAAGTTAGAGCTGAGAAATCCTTATTTGCTTTATTTCTGTAAAAACAGCTCTGACCTTTACTAACAGTTCATTCTACCGGTGCTGGCTCCAGATACCGACTGGACCTTGGACTTTATTGACCCCCTTCTTCTACCCAGAAACATCAAAAACTCTTCATGCCTTTATGATTTTAAACAGAATGATGTTACGTACTGAACAGACAAACACTGGTTTTAACAATTATATAAGGGACCCCTAAACTGTTGTTTTCAGCCTGTTACCATAACAACCATATTTGCATTTGAATGAAAACTGCCAGTTATTATAGATTTATGTAAGTTTTTTCAACAATGTTTTTATTAGTTTTTCAACGTACTGGAACACAAAGTCATACAATTAATAATGGCAAATATTTTTCATTAGATCAACTCAGAAAAGAAAGACGAAAATCGTGATATATAAAACCTAAAATAATATTAATTAATAAGGAAAAAAATAAACAAATATATTAGCAAAATATATATGTATATATGTGTGTAAAAATCTAGACAACAATTTGTACTAGCCAGTTATTATATATATTATTATTATATATATGTGTGTGTCTGTCTGTGTGTGTGTGTGTGTGTGTACTTACTTATCTGACAGAGACAAATGCATGAGACTTAGCTCAATATGATCCATAGCATCGATAGTCTTACCCTGAAACTGTTTGCGTTGTGTCTGACCTGTTTGAAAACTGCTCTATAAATAAAACTTGATTTATTTATTGATTGATTGAAACATCAGCCAGCTTATCAGGGTGAGAAATCCTGCTTTAATACAGGTAGTTTCCTTAGAATGAATCCACAAATGGTTCATAAATTTACCGCGATCAAGAAACAAAGGTATAAAACAGCATCTCAACTTTCTGTATGTCTTCATTTTCAGACACAGAAGCAGGAGGTCACCATAGAAACTCTCCAAACCGAGCTGGATCAGACCAACGAGGAGCTGGACAAACTAAACACCGCCTACCTGGAGGAACGAGCCCAACTCATTCATGATCTCCAGAGCTGTGAGCGGGAAATCGACAGCCTCAAAGACATCCTGGTGGAAAAGGACAAAGAGATCACCACCCTCTCTGGAAACATGGCCGAGTACGCCGAGCAGATCACGGTGCTGAAGCAGGAGATCCGACTCAAAGAGGAGAGCCTGGTTCACGTGGAAAACGCGCTGAGTAAAGCGGAGCGAGAGGCTATGATCATGAGGGAGTCCCAGAGCTCAGACCAGCAGACTCTGGACACCAAGATGACTGAGCTGATGGGAAACCTGAAGGACGCTGAGACGGAGCTGAACCGAGTCAGAGAGGAAAGAGAGTCTAAAGTCAACGAGGTGGAACAGCTGATCAAACAGGCGGAGGAGGACAAGAAAACCATCCAGGAGCTCCGAGGAGAGGTCCAGAAACACCTCCTGAGCCACCGTAACCATCTGTCTGAATGTGAACCACACATCACATCCCTGAAGGAGCAGCTGACTGTATCCTCCCAAAAACTGCAGGAGTCGGACGCTCTTATCCTGCAGCTGAAAGATTCAAACTCCAGCAATGAGCAGCTGCAGCTACAGCTCAGCGAGAGAGAGCAGGAGCAGGAAAAAGAGCTGAAATCTGTCAAAGAGGAGCAGAACAAACTTCTGTCACAGGTGGAGAAATACAAAAACGAAACACAGACGTTATCCAGACAGTTAGAGGAGCGTGTGCAGAGTGAGGAGCAGGTCAGAAAGGAGGTGCAGGAGAAACTGGAAACCATAACATCTCTGGAAACTCGGCTGAAAGCAACTGATCAACAGGCGGAGGAGGAGAGGCAGAAGTACAACAACGAAATCCAAGTAAAGGTTTCAGAAAATGAGAAACTGAGCAGTGAGCTTCAGAGCAAATCCGAAAACATCTCCAAGGTGAAGAATTTATTAAAAAACATGAAGACGGAGAAAAACCAGCTGCAGGAAAAACTCAAAAAGCTGAACGAGGAGCTGGAGCAGCAGAAGCAGAACGGAAACCAGCTCAATGAGAAGGTCAGAGCAGCTCTGGAGCTCAACTCCAGCCTGGAGAATCAGTTGCAGAGCCTCACAAAAGAGAGGGAGAAACTTGAAGAGGAGGTGGCGGAAAGTGTGAGAACAGTTTCAGAAGTTCGAGCAGAAAAAGACTCACTACAGAGCCGGATATCTTCTCTGGAAACAGAGCTGTCACAACGTAACCTGCTGGTGGAGGAGCTGCAGAGAGATAAAGAGGAGCTGAGCGCTCAGAGTCGGGAGTTAAACCGAGTTTTGGAGCAAAGCACGCACTCAAACTCCGAGATCCTTCTCGAAATAACAAATGAATGCAGTCGCCTCAAGGAGACACTCAGGGACAGAGCGGAGACCAACACACAGCTGCAGGGGAGAGTGCAAAACCTGACGTCTGAGGTGGAGAAGCTTCAGAAGGACGTGATCGACAGAGAAAAGACAGCGAGTGAGCTGAGATCTCAAACAGAAGCTCAACAAAACGACACGACGCAACTTCAGGAAACGCTGACTCTGCTGAGAGAGCAGCAGAACGCTCTGAAGTCCGGGTTAATGGAGAAGGACGCAGAGCTGAAGGAGAGCCAGAGTGAGATTACAAACCAGAAGAAGGTTGTGTCCAAGCTGGAAGAAGAAACCAAATCACTTCACCAGCAAATAGAAGAGAGAGAGGAGATGTTGAAGAAGGAGAAGCAGCAGAGCGAAGAATATAAAGAAGACCTGAACGATAAAAACATGACGATTCGATCTCTGAGCGATCGTGTCACAGTGATGGAGGAAAACGCAGGAAAGCTGGAGTCTGAAGCAGAGCGGAAGCAAGCAGAGATGTCTCAGCTGAAGAGCCAGATCCAGGCAGCCAGCGAGGAGAACATCCAGCTTCGTGCCGCATGTGAATCCAGTGGGAAGGAGGTTTCCCAGCAGACTCAGGCTCTACTAGACCTCCAAGGACAGCTGAGAGCAACTCAGGAACAAAACTCCAGCTTGAGCTTGAAGATCAGCAGCTTGACGGAGGCCAGTCAGAAACTCCAGGAGGAGCTGGAACAGAACATCAGATCCGTATCTGAACTGAACTCTGAGAGGAGTTCTCTGCTGGAGCAAAAGTCCGGACTTGAAACGCAAATCTCAGAAAATCAGAAAACAATCGAGGGCTTGTTAAAGGAGAAAGAAACTCTGACGTTCACTGCAGAGGAATCCAAGAAGATCCTCAGAGAAAACCAAGAGTCCAACTCTGCAGGTTTGCTCCAGAAAACGAGTGAATGTGCAAATCTGTCCAAGACATTAAAAGAGAGGGAAGGAGAGCTTCAGAGTCTGCAGGAGCAAGAAAATCAGTTAAGAAACCAACTCGATCAGCTAAACATGATTCTGAAAGAGAGAGAGAGGACTGTTTCAGATCAGAGCGCACATCTAGAGGCTCAGCAGAACCAGCTGCTGCAGCTTCAGGACACCGTCTCAATGCTGCAGGAGCAAGGAGCCGTCCTCAAGTCAGGGCTGATGGAGAAGGAGGTGCTATTCCAGCAGAAAGCAGAGGAGTGTGTCGTCCTGCAGAACGAGACTGTGCAACAGAAAAACCTCCTCTCCCAGATCCAAGGCGAGGTCGAATCGCTCAGGAAAGAGTGTTCGGAGGCGAAGCAGCAGATCGAGGAGAAAGAGCACGTGTTGAACGGAGTAAAAAGTGAGCTGCAGAACCACAAAGACGAGCTGAATAAGAGAAACGAGTCCGTGATCTCGCTCAGCGGTCAGCTCGGCGCCATGAATGAGAGCTCCGCAGAGATGGAGGCCGAAATTAGCAACCTGAAGGCCGACGTGCAAAAACTGACAGAAGAAAAGCAACAGCTGATGCAAGAAGAGGGCCAGAGGAAAACCCAGATGGTTGATTTTCAGGATAATCTCCAAGCAGTGAACGAGCAGAAGACCAAGTTAAAATCGGAGTTCCAGAAAGCCGTCAAAGAGCTCTCCAAAGCACAAAAAGAGAGGAAGGAACTGAAGGAGGAACTCAAGAAGAGGAACTCGGAGAAGGAGATGTTTAATAAGACCATGGAGGGAAAAGAGGACGCCCTGAAACAGCAGGAGAGCGTCATCCAGGAGCTCAACAGTAAGATCGACCTGCAGGAGGAGCAGCTGAAGCAGAAAACAGACGACAACGTGAGTTTGAGTGCAAAAGTCTCCGAGCTCGAGGACTCTGTCGGTCGACTAAGAGGACAGATGGAGAGTCTGACTTCAGAGTCCTCAGAATATCAGAGTAGATCTTCAGCAGAGTTTGAAAATCTAAATACGAGTCTACAAGCCAAAGAGGTGGAGTGTGAGAGCCTGAAAGAACAGATTTCTCACCTGGAAAAGTCGGTGACGAAGCTCAACGAGAGCCTCCAAGTTCAGAAATCTGAGTCTGAACACCTGAAGAGGTCCCTGGAAGACAAAGAGGTCTGTCTGTCAGACCAGTCCAAGACTCTCCAGGACATCCAGAGACGAGCGGACGAGGCTTCGCTCTTTAAAACTCAGTTCATGGAGAGCACAGAGCTGGTGTCACAGCTGCAGAACCAGATCCACTTCCTGTCCACGGGATCTGAAAACCTCAAGAAGTCGGAGGAGGAAACTCAAAGTGCCTTTAATAACCTTCAGGAGAAATATGCAACAAATCTAGAAGAGCTTCAGGAGGTGAGGAAGCAGCTTTCCCAAAGGATGGAGGAGGTGTCAAACCTTCAGAGAGCGTTAGATGACACTGACAAAGAGCATCAGGCTGCGAAGAGCGCCATCGAAACTCTGAGGAGCGAGGTTTCCGAGCTTCATCACAAAGTCCAGAAGGCCGAGGAGCTGAACTCCAGCCTGTCCAAGGAGAAAGACGAAGCTTTCGCCTCTCATCAGAAAAGCGTCTCTCTTCTGACCGTAGAAATCGACCGACTCAAATCTCAACATCTTCAAGTCGTGGCGCAGATGAACGCCCTGACCGAAAACCTGGAGCAGAGAGAAATGGCGCTCCACGCGATTAACAATCAGTACACATCTCAGGCCAAACAGGCGTCTCAGCTGGTCTCAGAGATGCAGAAACTGGAGGAGCAGAATAAGAGGATGAACGAGGAGAAGGAGGAGCACCAGAAGCTCCTCACGGCTGCCAGGAACGAAAACACGCATCTGAAGGAGGAAGTCAGGAGAGTTTCAGAGGAGAAGGAGGAGATGCAGAGAAGACATCACCAGCAGGGGGAGCTGCAGTCCAGCAGCATGAACGAAACTCTGCAGAGGATGACGTCCGAGAAGGAGAGCCTGCGAGCAAAGGTTAGTGCCAAAGATGACGAGCTGTCAGAGTTAAAACAGAGCATTCAGAAAGTGGAGCAGATTCTGCAGGACTCTGAGAAAGAGTGGCTGCTAGTTCTGGATAGAGAGAAGCAGGATAAGAACATGCTGACAGAGCAGCTGAGAAGTGTAGAGAATGAGATCAGATCCAAAGATGTGAAAGTTAACGCTTTGCAGCAGGACTTGGACAGTTTGCAGGAGAAACTCGCCGCGGCATCCTCCGCAGTCAGGCAGGGCTCCGATCAGCTGAGCGCTAAAGAGTTGGAGGCTTCTGCGTCCAGGATTCAACTGGAGAAGATGTTAGCATCGGTCCAGGAGAAGGAGAGAGTCAACAGTGATTTACAGCAGGCGATAAAAGCTGCTGAACGAGAGCTGCAGAAGCTTCTAACAGACGCTAACAGAGATTCTTCAGCATCTGAGAGGTCTGCTGAACCCTCTCTGCAGGAGATGATCATAAATCTACAAGAAGGACACAGATCTGAAGTCGACGCGCTGAAGTTAGATCTCGATCAAACCGTCAGGAAGCTTCAGAAGGCAGAGGACATGCTCAGCGAAGGGAAGAGGAGCAACGAGGAGAGGAGTCAGCAGGTTTCTCTTTTCCAGGAGATGGTGGAGCATCTCCAGACTCAACTGAGCGACCAATCGGAGAAAGTCAAAGAAGCTGCAGCCCAACAGTCGTCTCTCCACAGAGACCTTCAGGCGAAAGACGATCAAATCAACTGCATGAGCATCCAGATCAGTCAGCAGAAGGAGCTCCTCGCAGGACTCAGTCAACAGCTGAGGGACAAGGACGCGTCGATCGCACAAGTCATGGAATCGGCTTCAAACGAGAGAGTCCGACTGAATGAGGAGAAAACGTCGATAAAAGCGCAGCTGGAAAACCTGGAGCAAGAACACCAAACCTCCGTGAAGAAGCTGGAGGAGGTCTCCCAGAAGTTAGAGGAGCAGCTCTCATGTTCTCAGAGTGAAACCCAGACCAGGACTTCAGAGAAGCTCCAGCTGAGTCAAGAAAACGAGGACCTGAGGAGTGAAGTATCGAAGGTCTCCAAAGAGAGAGACGCGGCGAAGAAGAAACTCCAAGCTGCTCTCATCGTGAGGAAAGACCTGCTGAAGAAAATCCAGAAATATGAAAATGAGAAAGAAGAGAGTGTTTCACTTTTGGAGGAGAGATTACAAGAAGCTTCGAGTCAAGCAGAAGCTGCAGTGAAAATCTATGAAGACAAGGTTTCTCTGCTGGAGAAGAAAATGACGGAGAAGGAGGAGGAGAGCGAAAGACTCATCGAGGAGTTCAAGTCCGAGAAAGTCGTCCTGCAGGAAACTCTGAATGAGACCAAAGTGTGTTTGTCTGAAGCTCTGCAAGCGCTGACGGAGAAAAGCTCTCTGGTGGAGCAGCTGCAGTCCACCGCCGCCGAGAAGGAAGACGCTCACGAACGAGACAGAAGCAGCTGGACGCAGAGATTCGAAGAACTTCAGCGTGAAATGGAGACGTGCAGAGAGGAGTTACAGGACAGATCGTCTTCCGCTGCCAGTGCCGTCGATTTAGAAAAGGAGCTCGCACAGATGAAGCTGGAGAAAGCCACGCTGCAGAAAAAGGCGCAGGCCGCTCTGTTAGCACGCAAAGAGACGCTGAAGAAAGCTCAAGAGAACGAGAAGAAGCTAACGCAAGAACTCAAGGAGCTGAAAGACGACTACAAAGCTCTGCTGGAGCAACGCTGTCAGCAGACCAACGAGCTCAACGCCATCCAGCTGAGCTTCGACGAGAAGGTCCGAGAGCTGGAGGAGCTTCGTCAAACATCTCTGTCGGACCGAGACGAGCTGGGAACTCTGAGGCAGCTCGTAGACGAGCGCGATAAAACTCTCCAGGATCTGAAGATGGCCTTAGCTGAGAAGGAGAGTCAGTGCCACTCCCTGTCAGACCTTCAAACAGAGATGGAGAATATGAAATCCAGAAACGAGAGTTTGTCTCAGGAGGCGGCGAAAAATTCTGAGGCCTTCCTGGAAATGACGCAACGAACCGAGGCTTTGAGATCAGAGCTGGAAACGGCGGTAGAAGACTTACAGAAAGTTCGAGCAGAATCGAGAGAGAAAAACAAAGAAGCAGAAAAATACCAGGAAAGGATTCAACTTTCAGAGCAGGAGAAGGACGTTCTACTCAACGAGAGAAACACTTTGGAGACCCAGCTGAGCGAACAACAAGAGAAAAACAAACTTCTGACGGAAGAAAACAAATCTCTGTTCGAGCAGAGCGCTCAGATGAGAGCGGAGCTGGAGGAAACGGCGGCTTTAAGTTCACAGAAGTCTGCAGAGGTCACCGAAGTTCACGGAAAATTAGCTGAAATCCAGCAGCAGCTCGGCGAGGAGAAAACAGCCTTCCAAGAAACTCAACGTCAGAGTTTGGAGAGACAAACCAAAGTGGATTTATTAACGCAGGAAAAAAGAAACGCTCTGACACTAGCGGACAAACTCCGAGAGGAAGTAAACGCGCTGAGTAACAAGCTGAATGAGAATCTAAACGAGCGTTTCGACAAAGAAGAGGGCGTGTGTTTGTCGTGTAAATGTGCCGAAAACTTTGAGGTGAAGCTGAAGGAGAGGGACGAGGCCTTGTTAGTTTCTCAATCTCAAGTTTCAGAAAAAGACGAGCTGATTGCCGCACTTGAGCTGCAATTACAGCAGCAAATTAAAGCCCATGAAAGAGCCGTAGAAAAGATCGCAAAGGAGGCTGATGAGCTTCAGAGATCACAAGAAAACGGCAACAAGATGAACGATCAGGACAGCCAAAACAAAATTGCCCTCCTAACCCGGAAACTCCAAGCGGCTTTGGTTTCACGCAAAGAGCTCTTGAAGGAAAACGCATCCCTGAAGGAGGAGGTGGAAACGCTGTCAGCCAAACACGGCGCCAAAGAAGAAGAGTTTGTCGCTCTGGAGGCGTCGCTCCTGGGGGTGAAACAGCGAAATAAAGACCTGGAAAACTCTGTGGGATCTCTGAGAAAGGAGAAAGACAAGCTGGTGTCTGAAGTCGACGGCATCTCCAACGATAATCAAAGTCTTTCAGCCGCTTGCGAGAGTTTGAAGCTAACCATCGAAAACATCACGCAGCAGAAAGAAGCCTTTTCCTGTCAGCTCGAATCTCTGAAAGACTCGCAAACAGACGAGCTCTCCAAGTGGAAGTCGAAGCACGCCGAGCTGAAACAAGAGTACGAGTCTCTTCTGCAGGCTTATGAAAACGTCAGCAGTGAAATGGATAAGATGAGGCAGCTCTTGGAGGGGGCGAAGAGAGAGCGGCAGGAGGCCCTCCGAAAAATCCACAAACATGACTCCGAGGTGGAGGTTTTGGAAAAGCAGGCGAAGGAAATCGAGGATGAAAACGGACGACTCAAAGAGAGGATGCACAAGTTTGTTAAAGAGAAACGGCAGAAGATCGAAGAGTTGGAGGAAGAGAATGAAAAAGTAAGAAAAGAGCTGAAGGAGCTGGAGGAAAACCACAAAACGGCGATGTGTGAACTGAGCGATACAAACCGACAACTGAGAGAGTCATCGGAGGAGCTGGAGGGGAAGCTCGTCGACATACAGGCGGAAAATAACCAGCTGAGAGAGAAGGTAGAGGAAGCGAGCTGTTCGTTAGAGAAGACAAACCTGGAGTCGAATACGTACACGAGCAACATGCAGCTGAAACTGGACGAAGCTCTGAGTTTGAATAATTCACTGACCGCACAGATCGAGGCTCAGAAGACGGAGCTGGGCGCTCAGCGGGAAATCAACGACCTCTTACAGAAGGAGAAGCAGAACCTTTCCGAAAGGATCGAGACGATTCACACCGACCACGAGGCGCAGTTAGGACAGAAAGACGAGGCGATCCAAGAGCTGAAGGACGTCATCAACAAACACAGTCAGGAGACCATCAGCCTGAACGAGAAGGTCCGAATCCTGGAGGACGACAAGTCTCTGCTGCAGGAGGAGCTGGAAAACACCCAAGAGATTTCAGACAAAGTGAAGAATGAAAACGAGTATCTGGAGACGGTGATCCTCAAGAACTCCGAGAGGATCGATGAACTGACCGAGTCCGTCACTCTGCTGCAAACTCAAAACAACCAGCTGACCTCTCAGCTGGCGGCGAGCGAGGAGATGAGCGGCCAGATCCGCCGAGAGAAAGAGAAAGAGCAGCTGAAGTTAGTGCGAGAGTTTGAGGGGAAACTCAAGACGGTCCAGAGAGGGAGTGAAGGATCCCAGTGCATGAACACCGAGCTGAGGGAGCTGCTCAAAGAAAAACACCTGGAGATCAACCAGCTGCAGCAGAACTGCATCAAATACCAGGAGGTGATTTTAGACCAGGAGAGCTCTCTGAAGACCTCACGCTCGGCCTGCGAACAGCTGGAGAACGAGCTCAAGAAGAGCTCACAGAGAGTGTCAGCGTTAGAAGAGAGGAGTCAAGAAGCTGAAGCTGATCTGATTTCACACAAGAAGCTCCTTCAAGAAGCCAGCGAGAAGATTCAGAGTGTGGAGGCCGAGAGAGAGAAGCTGGTTCAGGTTTTATCACAGGAAAGTCAAAAGTCTGAAGAGAAACCACCTCAGAGTGCGGAGGAGAAACAGACCGATCCTTACATGGAGAACCAGCTGGTGCTGCAGCAGCAGATCGAAGATCTAAATGAGCTGAAAGACCAAGAAAGTCAGAAAGTGAACGAGCTGAGGCAGAAACTGGACTCTCAGGATCTGCAGATCCACACTCTGAGGAGAGCGGCCCAGACCAACGAGGTGAAGCTCTCTGCGTTATCCGCTGCTCCTCAGGGAGCCGAGGCCTCCAAGCTCTGGAACGATCTATTCCAGAAGACCTTAAACGAGAAGGACAACCAGCTGCTGGAGCAGGGCTTCGTCATCAAACGCTTCCTGGAGGACATGAGAGTGAAAGACAAAGAGGTGAACGAGCTCCGGGTGACCAAGTCCAGACTCGAGAGGACTCTGAACGAATACTCCATCGCTGCAGCCGCGCAGCAGAGACAGCTGTTTGTCATGAGCGCCAGTAACGCCGAGTTCAACGAGTCCGTGGAGCTTCTGTCCGTGCAGGTGAAGGAGCTGAGCGCTCGTGTGGAGAGATCAGAGAAAGATAAAAACACGCTGAGCCGACAGCTTCAAGGCAAGGAGGACCTGATCTCTCAGCTGCAGCTGAATCTGCAGCAAACCGAGAAGATAAACGCCGACTCAGACGCTCAGCTGCGTCTCCTCCAGACCAAAACGGACAAACTTCAGGCGGATTTCGAGAAGCAGGAAGGGATTTCTCTGCAGCTGAAAACTCTCCTGCAGAGCAAAGACGCCGAGATCTCCTCCCTCCTTTCCTCCAAAGACGGTCAGATGTCGGGATACCTCGAACAACTCCACGCCAACCACCGCAGCCAGGTGGGAGTGTACGAGGACAGGTTAGCATCCTCGCGCTACCAGAGAGAAAAGGCCGACAGAGAGCAGAGAGCTGTGGAGGCGAAGGTGAAAAGTCTGCAGATCACGGTGAACAGGGCCGTTCAGGAGAAGGAGCAGACGGCGGCGAAGATGGAGTCACTGAAGAACGCCATGGTGTCTCTGCAGAGCGAGCGCGAGCGTCTGATCTCACAGTACAGAATCCTTGAAGCAAAGAGTCAGCTGAGTTTTGCAGGGAAGGACGGAGCTTCTGACGGCGAAGGGGGCGCCGCCAAAGGCCTCAAACATGAGATCCGGAAACTGCTGCATCAAATGGACGACCTGAACTCGGAGAACGCCATGCTGAGGGCCCAGCTGGTCCGCTACAGAGAGGACTTAAACCAGGTTTTATCTCTGAAGGACAATCAGCTGAAGGTCCTGCTGAAGAAGCAGCAGGATGTGATCAAAAACCTCGAACACCAAAAAGCCGCGTCTGAAAAACAACAAAGAGAGACTCGACTGGAGCTCCAGAGGGAGGAAGAGGCCAACAACGCGTTCGAAGCCGAGATCGCCAAACTCAAATCGAAGGTTTCAATCCAGGAGGAAGAAATATCAACGCTCAGAAAGGAGAGAACTCGGACGGACGAAGGGAAGGTGATTTCTGATCTGCAGGACGCCGTGGCGGCAAAAGCAGCTGAATGTAACGACCTCCAGCAGAAGATTCTGTCCCAGAAAGTCCAAGCGGATGAGCTGAAGGAGAAGATGCAGCTGCTGGAGAACGAAACGGAGCAAAAACTGTCTGAAGCTGAAGATAAATACAACAGTGAGCTGGACTCTTTCGAGCGAGACGTGCAGCTGATGAGAAACGAGCGAGAGACGGCGGATCAGAGGGTGGCGGAGCTCGCCAAAGACCTGGTCGACATGGAGCAACAGCTCTCAGAGGCCCAAACACAAAACAAAGAATCAAAAGCTCAGAATGAGTCTCTGTGTAAAGCCATGGTCGCGCTGCAGGACGACAGAGACCAGCTCATCGAAGACTTTAAGACCCTGAGGAACAGGTACGACGAAGAGCTCAGGGAGACTCAGGCAGCTTTCAACAAGGTGGAGCGCAGTCTGCAGGACGCCTCCTCCGACTTAGCCATGTTCGCCAAAGAGCGGGACGTCCTTCTGCACAAACTGAAGGCCTTGGAGAGCAAAGACGTCCCCGCAGAGCTGAACAAGCTGATGGACGAGCTGTCCAAGGCCTTATCGGAGAAGGAGAGGGAGCTGACGCAGGTCGTCCTGGAGAACAACACCTACAGCAGGCAGCTCTCCGCCTTCTCCAGATCCATGGCCAGCCTCCAGAATGACCGAGACAGGCTGATGGACGAGCTGAGCGGAGCCAAAAGGGTGGTCGAGTCCGCGCAAGGGTCGAGCCCGGAGACCTCCACGAAAGGAAGTGATGTCAGAGCCCCTCAGACAGAGAGCGAAGCGGCGGTAAGTGGACTCATCAGCTGTGTTGAGTTTGGCTGCTGCTTGCGCTTCCTCTCGGTGTTTCGTGTTGTGGAGGGCATGAAGGCTCGTGTCAGGGTTCATTTTCAGTTTGCATCGTTGCTTCATCCTGCATGGTCTTTTCTTTCTGTTGGGGTGCACCGTGAAGTTCTCAGTTCAATACCAGGTTTTACAAGATCCACTTTACTTCAGTGACTGATGACTTTCTCTTTGGTGTGATTGCAGGAGACCAGGCTGGAGATGGAGGAGGTGGAAACTCAGAGATCAGAGAGAGGACTGGACCGGGAAAAAACTGCAGACCTGAGGTAAGATCCAGATTAGTCTATGAACCCTTAAAACAGGATTTGGCCAAAAATAAAATCCAGATTTTTTTCTCTGAAAACTTGATTTTCCATTTTTTATTAAGTGACAACTTCACCAAACTTCACTTTAAAAATAAAAAGGTTTTCTATCATCTTTCAAAATGAAAACACTGAAAATGTAGTACATATGCCAAGCCAGTAAGTGGCGCTGTAACGCTGCACAGGAAATGCAAAAAAAACAGAAGAAGAGTACGGAGCGTGTGTATAAAGGTTGTTATGGCTGGATATGTGCAGGCGCCATGAAATAGTAACCCTATGTGTCACATGGTCGTTTCCAGTGATGCAGATAGAAATCCACACGGAGATGAAATGGTCGTCGTTTACAGATTTATACACTCTCTGACCTTTACAGTCACCTAAAACGCAGTTTCTGTGTGGATGAAACGCCAATACGACAAAAAACTTGTGGACGGGTTGATACCGCCCTCAGACAGACTTTGCAGCAGGGAGTGGTTTGCTCTTCCTACGAAACAGTGAAGTCGTACCAATTCAACACGACTGATTTGCTCTTGTCCTATTTAACCACGAAATTATCGCCTTTTTTTGCAAACGCCATGTTTGTTTACACTGGTGTGTGTGGGAACTGGGGAGCGCTCCTGAAGGAAGGGGGAGGAGCCTACAGTGGCCTGGAGGCGCGAGACATGATAGAGAGGAAAATGGATTTGAGGATTTAAATTTTTTCAACATCGTCATAAAATTGATTAATCGTGCAGCCCTACCTTACACCATAAACCCTCAATCTGCGGCCTCCTTTAAAGACCAGGATCAGGAAAAGCTTCTGATCCTGGACAACGATCATGACTGCCTTTGAGAAATCACATATGATAACACTGAGATAGAGCCCACACTGACAGAGATAGACGATCAGAGATTAGAGCTGAACTGGCACTGATGAAACTTATGTTTATTCAGAGGTTTTTACTCATGAAGCTCGATGTTTCTCTGCAGGTCCGAGACAGAAAGGAGAGACTCTCTGCCGGCTAAGGTAACACATCCAACCTTTGTTACTGGTTTTTAATGCACATGCTTGATTCCTAACCTGTTCCTAACTATCCAAGAACATTTGAACATCTCCAATACAAAAAAAAAGTCTCTTATATTTGATTTCAAAGCCTCGTTCATTTCCTCTCATAAAACAGGAAACAGCTGTTCTGGCAGGTCGCAGCAGCACGGATGAGTTGGTGAGTCAGTTGGAGGCCGAGCGGGTCCAGCTCCACGGCTCCCTACAGCGCTGCGTGTACGAGATCCAGCAGAGAGACCAGTACTTACTGCAGCTCAACTCCAAGGTACCAAACAGCTGAGCCTGTGCGCGCTTATGTGTGTGCATATGTTTGTGTTTGTGCAGGTGAAAGGTTGGCGGCGTGGACACTTGATTATGCAACATTCTTTAAACTCACTGCGTTTTTAATGATTGTTTTCTTCGGATGAAACCTCCGAAAGTTTAAACTCAAAGAGAGAAAACACTCCCCTCCTTCCTCCCTACAGCTACAGCAGGCGGTGGAGGAGAAAGGCGCTGCTGCGGCTCAGCTGAGGGCCGTTTCTCAGACTCTGAGGGACACTCAGAATCGCTGCCACTGGCTGGAGGGACAGATCCCGAACCAGGCTCAGGTAAACCATCAGTATATCAGTATTTTATTTTTTTGTATACCACAAACAGTTCGGTTTTGATTTTAATTATCTGTCTGCCTGATAACCTGTATCTGTCGCTGTAATTCTGCACCTCCACCAGCAGGGGTCGGTATTCACTGAGGTTGCACCTGGAGCCCCACAGGAGAGGAGCAACGCGTCCATGACGGCAGAGACGACTGAGGCCCATCAGCTCAGGGAGAGGTGAGGAGACCCGTGTTCATCTGTTGTTTTTTTAACTCATTTCCTCATGCAGGTTAACCGCCATCGCCGTCCGACCTCATGGAAATGTTTTTCTGCGTTCAGGCTGCTGGAGTTGGAGCAGAGCCTGACCGATGAGCGAGCCCGCAGAGAGACAGCAGAGGAAGCCCTGAGACTCGCCGAGGATCGAGCAAAGAGGTGAGACCCACGTTTGCACAAAAACACTCAGAGGTTCATAAAGCGCCGAGCTCTGGAATAAAGGATATAACTTTGTGTTTCTGCAGCGTTGGTTCCAGCCTGTCCGCTCAGAGGGACTTCAGCATCGAGATGGAGACGGAAGAAGAGTGGGACGCCCTGACTTTCAATCCAAACCAGCCGCTAATCACACAGAAGGTACAAAAATATCAAAATGTCAAAATGTCGCTCCTGTCTGATTAGATAAACCTTCAGAAAAGTCTTCTATCTCTCTGACTGAAGGTTCAAAGTTAATTAAGTTTCATAGTTTGCGCAGATCTTTGTCTTTTACTCCTGGAGCTCATTATTTATGCAGCTTCATAAAAGGTTATTAAACTGTAAAACCAAGTTCAGGTGAACGATAAGTGATGTTTCGACCATCTTCTGCTTGCATCTGCAGGTAAAAGGGGGCGTGGTTCTCTGCCGGCGCTGGCTCAGGGGGCGGAGCCTGTACTTCTCCAGGCTGCTGACGAGCCGCGCCCGCTCTCGATACTTCTTCCTGGCCTACTTATTCACCATCCACGTGCTCGTCTTCATGTGCCTCACTGGTGCCCTGTAACACACTCACACACACACACACACACACACACACACACACACACACACTGTTTTGGCTGTTTTTTGTTTTGGATATTTAAAGGTAAATGACGTTAAACACTAAAACCGGCTCAAACGCGATAGTTCGAGAGGCTGCTGTTTGCAAAGAGACTTTTGAAGACTCTTCCAGACTCATTTATTCACACTTTTATCTTTTATTTATATTTATTCAAACAGAAAAACTATTACGTTCAGTTTTCTAAAAGTTGAATCAAGCCTTAAACATCGTCTCACTGGCTCTTTCTAAAAAGAGGCAGTGCAGCTCCCTCCCTCATAAAACGAAAGCTAAGAAACCTGGATGTCTGTTTTCCTTCATATCGAAGCCTAAGAAGATGCGGAAAGCCATATCCATATTTATGAACACTACAGTATGAAGATAGTTTGTGATCTCATCACCTCCTCACCTTGTTCTTGTTTGACCAACATACAAAAACACACTTAATGTTGGAAAGTAGAAATGTTCTGATACCAGCAGCAGAAGATCAGGTCCAAAACATGAGATCCTAAATGACTTCAGTGTTTCAGTCTGTTTTTAAAAGAGGCACAAATAAAATCAGCAGGTTTTCTGAATGAAGAAGTCTCATCATGACGACCTGGTTTGGGGTTTTTTAACAGGATACGATGACGGGTGAAGAGAGCAGGTTTTTCTGATGCGTCTGCTGCGAAATGGTTCAGTGAGGGACCAAATAACAAACCTCTACTGTCCTACTTTTTCAGCACCCTGCTGTCGCGGTTCCAAGTGCATCGAACCGACCCTAAACTGCAAAGATAGTTCTCGACTAACCCGGTTAGATTTGATCATTTCATCTCCGTTTTCATGTAGATTTAGTCGTCAGGGATTCATGAACGGGTGATAAAGTGACAAAGACAGGTAAATGGCTGAGGCCGTCAATCAGACCAAAGTCCATCGACTGTATCTCCAATCTGCAAGATCAGGGATCACTGCAACAAACCAACTATTAGTGTGTTTGGGGGCTGCAAGCTGAGCTGCTGCGAACTTCATCTGCTCTGATCACCTTCATGCTGTGACTCCTCATCAGTTTTTTAATTAAATCTCCTCCAGAACAAACTGGTCAGTAAATTAAACCCTCAAGAAAAAACTGAATAAAGCAGCTTTGAGGGAAAAAAAGAAAGTGTGTTTAAGAGCTGCATCAAAAGAAGTCTGTACAGATTTGTTATTTCCCTGTTGATAAATTTATGATCATCATAGATTCAATCTTTCCCTATGTGTCTGTTCGTGTTTAGTAGAGGTTCATCTTCGGCTCAGATAGAAGAGAAATTGGAGCGATCACGTCCCGTTCACTCAGAGTCTCACTTTAATATTTAAGCTGCTCCAAAACTTCCGCTGGTATCAGAACATCTCGATAAGTATCCGTTAGTTTTGCATCCAGATCACAGATTTCGTCACCAGCTGCTTCTTCTTGGTTTCATACTTTGCACATAATCGCGATGCTGAGTTTAAACTATGCACTGAGAGTCCAAATGTGTAAATAATCATCTCGTATAGACGCCGAGAAGCACGACTACACCTCTCCCACTCCCTCCTGTCGTTCCCTTTAAGCCAAAGGTGTCTGTGTTCTCACCTCGGCTCTCTCCAGCCTGGAAAACTAAGTGGGAGACGACGGCTTCCAAATATCCTCCAGTTTCACCGCAGTACGCTGGTGTGCCATTGAAAATGGACCGCAAAAAATACAGAATCTATACTGTAACATAGAGTGTATTTAAAGTTTTTCTGTATTTATATGTGCATCTGCAAAGTTTGCTGTAAACGGACTGTATGTATGTATATATATATAATTTCTATCCTCTGCTTGATGATTGTACATTTCTTTTTGATTGTTTAGAGTTTGAAAAAAACTGGATTTTCACAAAAAAGAAAAAAAGAGCTCCGTTAAAAAGCCAAAATTAAAATTCTGCGGCTTTCTAATGGAGAGATTTTTGTGGAGATCCAGGTCTGCTGACGATGGTACTTTGTCCTAATGATCTGTACATAAAGGAGTGATTTAAGGACGTGGAAAAAAAAAAGAAGTGAATGAATCTATTTATGAAAACTACTGATAAATTGTTCAGATGGCATATTTTCTCCGCTGCCTCTATTTTTAAGAGCGAGTGATGCTGTCGGCCTTTTGAAGACAGGAGGCTGAACTCTGTGCAATACTGTGTCAGAGGAGAACTTCCAGGTCCTCCTTCACCATCTCCAGAGAAATTTAATAAAAGCGTGACAAAGTTTTCCTTATAAATGATGTTTATTTCATTCCTGTGGGGACACCTAAAAAACTCTACCGCGTCTACGATTGACTGTACTTGGAATCTAAAGGGATAAGGACAAAAAACTAAACTGGATGGTCCTGATCTTCAGGTCCTCATGCAGCACATCTTCAAAACCAGACAGGACTCTGTAGTGGAGATCACCGTATGAGCTCTGAATTACTTTGGAACATCAATACTCGACGGCCTCCACATCTGTGAAGGCTACGTTAACCCAGAACAAGACCTACAGGTTTAGGAGCATCAGGACTCTGTAGTTGGAGTCACAGCATATGCTTAATATCACTTGTCTGTGAACTCTCACTCTTTCAACGAAGAAATGAAAATCATAGATGCTGCATCCTCAGTTTTAAGCATAATGCTGAACAACATCTACAAGTTTAGGAGCAACATCTGCTGCCATCCAGACAAAGACTTTTTCAGGGAATCTCTTCATATTTCAGTCGAACCAGACTCTGCAGGGATTACAACATGCGACGTTAAGGAATAATAAGATAATTAGGTCATTTATGAATTTCAAAATATGAAAATATCTATGTTTAATTAGAGAAACATTTGAGTAAATAAACTTTATAGGAAGACAGTGATTATTAAAATGACGACAAAGCACTGTAAGCATTTTTGAGCATTTAAACCCCCTCCTGACGACACCTGCCGAGCAATCAGTCTGTCTTTTTCATGAGAAAAAAAGTGATAGAAAGTGAACCTAGTATATACAGTCTATGTTCGGGACAGTCTGCGTTATCTCTGCTGGGGGTAAGTCGGTCTCCTGTTCGCGCCACTTGCATTTCCATCAGTACATGTGTTAATAGTGCATAAGAAGTGTAAAAACCACGACAGTTCATCACACAAAGTGTTTCTTATAAGAAACGTTTATAGTTTGTTTTGCTGTGTGGCTTTGATAAATAATACTGGACTTAAAAACGGCGCGACTAGCTTAGCCGTAGCTAGCCGCTGATGAGCCATGATGTACCTGTTTCATTCATTGTGTGACTCTTGTATTTTATGCTGGAGCGAATTGCGTGTCAGATTGCGTGTTTATGATATTAGCTTTCATTGTACCCCCCCAAAACTTAAGTGTTTGAGAGCTGTGGACAAAGTTTCTTGGTCACAGCAATATTACAGCTAAAACATTTCACAGAAGACTTTTTTCACAACCGGCATCAAAAAAAGAAAGAGAGATGGTCTTCGCCACCAAATTACATCTGAAGTGATAGACGCTGTGCCTTCAATCAAGACAACATCACCAAGTTGTCAGCCTGCCACTTTACCGGTAAGTCATTTTCTTCTGTCCAGTGCTAATAATTCAACCGTGCCCGCCTTGCTAACACTACGTTAGCTATCAGTATCTATGAGGAAACAAGGCATGTACTGCACGTTTTGCTGTGGAAACTGTCTCACTAACCTAACTTTAGCTTCTAAAAAATTGCAGAAGAGTCATATACACACTCGAGCAGCCCCATAGTGCGCCAAAAGTGGAGGGTGAAGGTCTGTGCAGCACTGCCTCCCTCCACATGGCTAATTTACATATTAAGCTCATGCACTTTGTATCACTTTTTTTCTCATAAAAAAGACAGACTGGCGGCTCGTCAAGTGTCGTCAGGAGGGGGTTTAAATGCTCAAAAATCCTAACCAGGTTAGAGTAAAGGTGTCAAGGAAGCTTTTAACCATCTCATAATGCTATTAAAATGTAAGCATTCGGCCAGTGCATCTAAAGAATATATAATACCGTGTTATGCTTTGATAGTGCTTTTTAACCGACCTAAAAAAGTGTGAGATTAATGATGAAGTTATTTACCGTGATCTGTTTTGTCTGTTTCCAAAGAGTAATCTCTGTGGCAGCCACGTGTCTAAAAACCAGAGATGTAGGCTGTCGGTGACCACTGACCACTGCTGCTCCTGCTGCTGCGCCAGCACCACTGTTTGTTTCTGAAACTGGTTAATGTTGACAACTTTATGTGAGCATGCAAACATCAGCAGCAGCTGTCTGGAGTGGACTACGTTCACTTTAACTGGAATTTGCAGAACAAGCAGACTCGGTTTACCTCTGGGGAAAAAGCAGTCAACAGCTGCCTCCCCTCATTCTGTCTCTCTTTCTTCTTCTGATACCCTGATTTATGCTTTTTGGGCAGCATGATGTCTAACCCCCAGGTCATTCAGTCTGGGCTCACTGACATTACACTTGTGGCTGGTTGCTGTTGGGGTGGACTAAACCATAAAGAAAAAAAGAAGTGATTTCAGTTTCACAGTTTAGTGATTTTTTATTTTTTTTCCCCCACAATCAAAAAATTCATCACAATCTCAGCTGAGTCAGAAACATAAAAACAGTCTGACTAATGAATGTGATTATTATTACAGTGATTGAAAAGCTCATAACAACATGCTGATGTACCAAAAGTGTCATTATAAAAACACACTGATCCAACAGAAGCAGACAGAAATATCCACCGATCACATATATATACAAATATTCAGCAAACAGAGAAAGCACAGATCATTTGAAGTGTTTTTGGAGCAGACTGGAAAGACTTAAGACGGTTGGATTTGGGACAGGAAATAAGGTTGTGTTTTTTCATCTTTCTGTTATTTTGACGTCACTTTTTTCTAAAGTCTCAGACCTTCAAAATCTGCACCAACTGAAGGTGATTTGAACAAACGATCACCTTGATGATAACATCAAGCGGCCGAAATGGTATTCCTTCGCAGGGTGGCTGGGCTCAGCCTTAGAGATAGGGCAAGGAGCTCGGACACTTGGGAGGCGCTCAGAGTAGAACCGCTGCTCCTTCACGTCGAGAGGAGTCAGCTGAGGTGGCTCGGGCATCTGGTTAGGATGCCTTCTGTCGCACCAGGAGGAGACCTCGTGTCCGGCCCAGGACCAGGTGGAGGGATTATATCGCTCGCCTGGCCTGGGAGCGCCTGGGAATCCCCCCGGAGAAGCTGGCGGAAGTGGCCGGGGTGAGGGCCGTCTGGGCTTCCCTCCTGAAGCTGCTGCCCCCGCGACCCGGACCCGGGTGAAGCGGAAGAAAACGACGACGACCAAAGTTATCCACAATCACTGTCCTTAAAGCTGTGACCAAATCAGCATCTTTAGAAAAGAATGAATCAGGTAGACTGATTCACAAATGTCTGTTTGCTGTGTTTAGATCCAGCGTGAGTGATTGTGACTGTTCTGCGTTCGGCCCGGGGAACCAATCTGTGTGTGGTGACTCTCCACAGCACCGGTGCCAGCAGCAAACTGAGTGTGGTGACACTGAGGACCAGCAGGTACACCTGAGCCCAGAGAGAGACAGAAATATATGAGTTTTAGACACATCTCATATAGAAAAATTAGCTTTTTCTATCTTTTGGTTGACCTATATAGGAAATATGGTTCAAAGGGGTTCAATGAGGCAGCAAATTACAAATTAAAACCTCTGTAATCTTTCAACGCTAACCTCTCTTGAGATGATGCCAGCTCGACGTGCCCGGCTACCCAGGACGAAGGAGAACTCGCTGACCTGTGCCAAACCGGCTGAGACGACCCAGCGTATGTGTCGAGAGCCTGGAGGCAAAATCACTGACAGCACCAGTACGGCCATCACAAACTGGGAGGAAAGGATGGGTCAGATTTAGAGACTGCGGAATGTGGAAATTAATAAACAAAAGAGGACTGCTGTACCTTCATAATGACGAGAGTGAGCGTCAGGACCAGCAGGATGGTGAGCTCATACAGCACAAATGTCGGGAAAACATGGAAACCTTTAGAGAAATAAAGAAAAGTCAGATTTAGAGGAGTGTAACTGTTCATTGTGGCGTGGCATCAGGGCGCTACATTGAACTGTTTGGATTCGTCATGCTGTCATTTTTGGTCTCACCGATTGAAGCAAAGAAGATGATGGTGAGGAAATCTCTGATGGGCTCGATGCATCCCATGACCTCAGCAGTGACCATGTGACCCTGAGTGGACAGCAGAGCCCCAGCTACGAAACAACCCAGCTCCATCGACACATCTAGAAAATCTGTCACCTGTAGAATCAATCAGAGCAAGAAAAATCAATTCGGATAGCTTCCTTGTCAGAATAGTGAAAGAGAAATGTCCCCCCTCAGTTCTTGTGCGTACCGTCAGCATGAAAAAGACAAAAGCTGCCATGCCAAGAACTAGGATCTCCTTGTTCCCTTTGCTCTCAGTGTGCAGCTTCTTGTAGTACGGGCCAATCAGGACGGATTTAATGAACAGACAGAGCAGCAGCACGGCAGCAAGAGAGGCTATGACCTGAGCCAGCAGGTATAACACGCGGAGACTTCCAAGAAGGAGGCTGTGAATCACAAAGAGAACAGCAGATTTTTAAAAGCGCTGTTTGTATTTGTGTGTCTGTGTGTGTCTGTTTTTGATTTACCTGTCCAAGTCACCACCCTGAGCTTGGATCAGAGTGGGCATGACAGCGATGAAGAGACCAAGCTGAACATCTTGCATCACTAACATCCCGAGGAGAACAGAGCTGTAGTCCAGATCACCTGTCACACACAAGCACGCACATATATAACAGAGAATTTGTCTTTTGACCTTATTACTCCATTTACTCTATAATAACATGCAGTCGTATCTTAATTTTAACCGTATGAAAACACTATGATGAACAATCACGATTCTGAGTGCACAAACATACCTACATACCTTCTTTTTCCCCTCTGCTCCCTCCTGCGAGGAAGCGGGACACGAGTGGAGTACTGGACAAAGAGAGACATGTGGAAATGAAGACAGTCTGGGTGTGCCGGATATGCAGGACTTGTCCCCACACCAAACCAGACCCCACCATCAGCAGACTCAGGTAACACGATCCCTGAACTGAGGTCTTCCATACCTGCACACACACACACACACACACAAAACAACAAACACCTAAGTACACACTGCTAACGTATTCCACACTGTATTAGCATATTTTACGACTTAAAGTGTCCACACACAGGTTTGATCTAATTAAAGATTCTTCATTAGTGGGATGAATGATAAAGATGTGTGTCGAGCTCCAGGAATGAAAAGAAAAAGGGCGGCAATGTTTAAAAAATATTTACAGCGTATTTAGCGTACATTAGAGGTATTTAAATTAAAGTCCAATTAAATTTAAGCCCCTCTTGTTTACCTTTTGAAGACGCTCAGGTGAGAATTCCAATCCCACCACAAAGAGGGTGAAGAAAACACCAAGCTCACCCAGAGTCTCCACCTGGACCATCGACTGCAGGACACCAACATGAAAAACAATTAACGTTCATAGATAATGTGATGATGTTGTTCAAGACATGCTAACTCCTGACAGATATAAACACACCTTGATGCTGTTAAGGCATGAAGGACCAAGTAACACCCCACAGATGATGTATCCAAACATGGGAGGAAGGCCAACCAGAGTACAAATCCAGCCGCAAGGCAGGGACAACATCACCACCGACACCAGGTCCTGCAGGGACATGATGATGAAGAGTGCTCAAATGTTCGTAAAGTTTAACTTTCTGTAACATGTCAAATCTGTGAACTGTAGAAATGTGCCTGAGTGTGAGGTACAAACTGACCTTGATAAAGTGATGGTCTGCTCGGGGCATGGTGGAGTCTCGTGGTTTGGTAAGAACATACTGGTTGTTCTGCGAGTCGATAAGCATGCTCAACCCCAGGTCATCTTCCACTTCCTTCAGCTGGGACTTGTTCTTCCTCTTTCCGCTCTTCTCCTCATCCTCCACTCTCAACACTGCCTCTACATTGACACCTTTCATCTACACAACAGAAAGTATTCAGGTGGGGACCTATTTGACACTTCCTTTCAGTGCTTCACTGTACCACATGCCTTGTTTGCTGACCTGTTTGTTGTTATCAAAGGCGTGCTCCTCGATCACCTCTTCCAGACGGTCTGCAGCCTTCCTGACATCCTCTAGGATCTCATCTAGCATGGAAAGTGTCTTATTCTGGGCTAAAGCGCTCTTTAAAGCTTCCTGCTGGTGCTTCTCAGCAGCCACCAGCTCCACGTACTCCTGCTCCTCCTGTGGGAGTCGAACCCAAAAGACAAGCTTGTAAAACACATTCAAACTAGAGACACACACTGAACAGGCAGTACTTTCACCAGATATAATGCATCAACGACATGACATTACTCTAAGATTTATGGGAGTATGGTTGGAATACAACTTTCAAAAGTGAGTCTGAAATCATGCAAAACTGACTTAATTTACAGTTTTCGGACATATTGCATATACATACCAGCATATACAAATTGCATATTGATACTGTATTGTGAACTGAAACAACCACTGCATCACCTTTACTTGGTAGTAACATAGACACAAGGGCCGTAAAGTTCTAGTTAACTGGTCGACTTATTGGTCAACATGCGCTGGGTCAATTTACAGTCTATGGTTAATTTCATCATGAGGAACGTACCAAGTGCTAATGGGGGTGTTTTCAGAGCACCCCCGTTTCACAGTTAACAGCCTGTCTCAGAACCCCCCTCCCTTGTTTTCACCATTTAGGATTCACCCAACCCACTGGAGACCGGCTGGAGACAAGAAGATTGAATGGCCTCCATGTTAATCAACGTCTGGTGGCTTGCTGAATATGATACTTGTGTTTATTGCCGTCTTGTGCTGATATCTGAATATTTTTACCCCGCCGAGCTGCATCATCCCCCCATTAGTCAATTTTTTGTAGAAAATTTCAGGGTTTTAGTCGACCAAGAATTTTTTTGGTTGATTACAGCCCTAATAGACACATTATCATGTAGATCCCACTGTAATAAATGAGCAAAGATGGAGAAACAATGGCTCAAGTGCCAAGAAAAAACCTCCACTTCAAACTTACATGAATTCAGTACACAGTACATAAAACATCCAATCAATATGTCATACATCTATCTTTTCATCAGTAAATTGTGACATTAACTGTTTGATGCAGCCCTGTTACTCCTGTCAAAATATGATTTAATTATCATCTTGGGGTATCACTCAGTATTCTTGATTTTTGTCTCTCTGTACATAATAGACATAATTCACAGATATATCACTCTGCTTTGTTTTGAAGCACAGTGACTGAGTAAACTCCCTCTCTCCTGAACTCCCAGGAAGGAATACCCCATGACACCCCATGACCCGATCTCAAACTCCAAACTAATAGACTCAAATTTTAAGACGCATTTGTGTGCGTTCAGGACTGTCCCACAGTCACATTATATGATGAATGAACTTTCAGTTGCAAAGATTACAACACCAAATTAGACACTTTTTATGTGTTTGAATTTTTGCAAACTTCATTCACTGCAAGCCTGATGATATGAGGGATACCACTACCACCCTGTCCAGCTCTTGACTTAGTGTTAGCAAATGTTATCCAGTCGGACCAGTCTGAACAGAAAAACATCTGAGTGAAGCAAGCATAAAATGAGTTCATTTGTAATTACAAAATGTAGCTCAATAACTTTTTTATATGATTTCTTTCACATTCATAGATAACTTTCTTTTTTGTTTAAGTATCAAAAAATTATAACTGTGAACCCAATCTTTTGATTTTTGCCGGGAAGCCTACATCATAATTGTATTTGTTTATTAGTATGTAACAGAACAGAGTCGCCAAACACAACGGCAGTCGTTTTTAATAAAGACAGAAGTCGCTGAGGACACACACTGCATGTCTGACACCCTTGGATTCTATGAAGCCTCAGTGTTCAGGCTTTTGGGGACTTTGGGACTGAGAACACAAAGCTCTCACCTTTATGGCTGCCTCCCTGAGAGCCTCCAGCCTTTGTCTGCTGCTCTCTTTCATGTTGACAACATCCCTGTAGTCTCCCTGCAGTGCCCTCTGCAGGCTCTGAACTGCTTGAAACACCAGGTGCTCACTCTCATTCAGCTCTTTCTGAAAAACCTCCAGAGTGTGAACCTGAACACAAACACAGAGAGTGAGAGAGAAATATGACTCAGACATCACATCTTTAAAAATCTGGCACCAGCTTTACTGAAGCTCCAGAATTATGATTTTGAAAGACTTTATGAGACAGGTCATACTTCTTTCAGAGATTGGATGAAAAACATTATCCAGATCATTTAATTTGTACAACTTACCTGATATTTTCAAAAACTTCACAGGAACTGACATAACTATTACTGTGTTAATCTAAGAAATATGTTAATCTAAGTCTTGGTATGTTTGTTTTATGAAAAAAATGTGAATTAACGTGGTCTTTTCTGTTTGTTTTGTGGGTTGTTTTTGAAAATAAGAAATGAACTGTAAAAAGGCATGTTGGTTGATTAATATCATATGAAAGAGGTCAGACTCTATAAGAGTTTTCTTCTCTCTTCTCCTTTTTATTCACGTTTGAGATTTTTCCTTGTTTGTATTGAATGTTTTAAATATTAACTTAACGAAATAAAGTATGAAAATGAAAAATGAAAATGAACTAAAAATAACATGTGAAAAGTGTGCTCTATTTATCTTAATAGGGCATCTTTCTCTTGAAGTGAGACCTGAACTGTGAGTTTGACATACAAAATGTACCAATGACCAGCCATTGTACTCAAAGACCTAAGACTGAAAAGACAAGAACACCACCCTGAGGAGCTGCAGGAATCATGTCTCACACACTTTGTGCTGTCCAAGAGTGACCTTTACCGTACAGGTATTAAATGGACCCACTGTTTCATCTCATTCTCAGTTTAGTACCTGGAAGTGCCTCTCCGGTTCTGAAAGGCTCTGGTCTTTTCCCACAGCGGCAGCAGCAGCTGCCAGTTTCTTGACCACCACATTCTTCTGACGCAGGAGACCAACCAGCTGCTTACAGTTGCCTGGCACCCAGCTGTGGCCCTGAGGAGTCCCTTTGCTTCGATAAAGCTTGATGGCCTGCTGGGCCACTTGGTTGTTGTGCAGTAAAGCAAGTGCCCCCGCCGTGCCAAGGCACAGCAGCAGACACAAAACCTGCATCCAAACCTCCCTTTCTGTCTTCACCTGAGGGTGGAGAGTGATGAAGAGAGGGGGACCTGGGAACAAAGGGACAGAGACGGAGCAGGAAAGGTGATCCAGAGACAGAGAAAAACAATGAAAACTGACGATGAAAACTATGGCATATTGTGAATAAAATGAGATTTGAAAAAACAATGTCTAATAATACTTTGATTTTCCTGACCTCAACACACTCCTAACCCTAACCCTTAAACAAATGCTTTTTATGTATCTAAAGCTTCAACCTGCAACCCCCAAAATAATGGTGCCAATGACTCACAATCCTCACAAGCACCTGAGGTGGTTAACTGCTCACAGTCAGGCGAGCACTGATGGGCCAATCTTAAAGTTCTGCATGGTGTTTGTTTAGACAGGAAGCAAAGTCAAGCTCAGCCCATCCAACAGAAGCTGATCCTAATACCAACAAATGTAGACTGACAGCTCAGTGTATCAAATTAGCAAATCTAAAATAATTTCTTTTGCTCCTCTGCTTTACAACTCATCTTCGCCTCAGCTCCTCCTTTTAATGCTGTGTCTTATTTGACCAGTCTCGTATGCATCATCGCTGCCGTCTGCTCTGTATGCTGGGAATCATCACAGCTGCGCTCCCTGCTTGGGCTTTCTGTGTATGAACATGAATCGGACATATAATGTTCAATAAGCAGACGCTCAAGTGATGTTTGTGTAAATCTCTGTGTGTAATGCAAGCTTAAATAGCCTGATGTACTTTATTTACCCTCCTCCTCTGCTGCTTTAAATAAACATGATGATTACATTTATCAGTCATAATCACCTCAGAGGTCAAGTGGCAACAAAGAAAAGCTCAAATCTGCTGACACATCTTTTATCTACATGGTTTAATTTAACATTCAGCTGATATTTCTGATTATATTTCTATAATAATGAATAAAACATGTCATTTGGAATAACCAAAAGTAAACCATGTTTTGAAACCCCTGTTGTCAAGTGTGGTTGGTGTCCAGGGACCCTTTACTGGTGAGTAACACTGTTGCACTTGCTGATACAAAGTGATTCTGGGTAAACTCTCAGCAAAACTCTGAACACTTGTTTGTGTCAGCTCAGGTAACCGGTAGCTACATCCCTCTAAATTGCTGAGGAGTGTAGGTGTGAAATTCACATGTGGCACATGTCCAGCTGTCACACCTCTTAAACACAAGGACTAATCTACAGTACAGAAACTGCATTTCATACCATGCATCCTATGAAAGACAGCTTTTGCCATAACACCAACAAAACACAAGTCGAATGAGTTTGTGATCTCCATAAAGAAGGAAAACAGTGTTGTGGATTTGACCACTTGACTGGATTATCCATTCTTGTGATTTTAAAGTGGATTTTTCAGTATTTCATGTTGTATGCTTTGCATGTAACCATGTTCTGAGTTTATATGGCTGCAACCTTGTCAGATTTCTTCTTAATATAAAACAAGGCATACTTGCTTTTAATGGAAGGTAAAATATAAAAACTCACTGGCTCAACAAGTTCTTGGCTGAAAATAACTAAATGTACAGAGCTCTTATGCTTTTGATTTTTGATTTATTGATAAAATCAACACTATACCTTTTGAAGCATTGACAGTCCCAGCATTTGTCCTCAAGTCTGATGTAGATTTCCTCTTTTTTTATGGATGTTTTTGTAGTAACAGAATCATCTCAAGAGATGCTTCAATTACTTTTGTATCAGATAAAGGCTGAAACAACATCTGTGTGTACACACCTGTGGCCTGCCTTGCTCTGAGTGGCTAATAACACCTTGCTGTGCTGGATTTGGTGCAGCTGACTTGTTGGAGCTCGGCACATGAGCAGATTCCAGTCGTACTTGCTATTCTGCCTTAACCAGATGCTATTCTTGATCTCTACCTGAGTTTTATTGAGAAAAATTGAGCTAATTTTAGAGGCGGACTCTTTCTCTTCTCTCTCTTTGTCTCCACCCTTTCATTGAGATCATACTACACAGGCATTATGACTAAATGCATTCAACTCACACCCAAACAGGACCCCACCTTTTTGAGCATGAGGTAAGATGAAGGATGTTTACTTTCCAAACTCCTCCTCTATCCTCCTTCCTTGGACTGGACTGCACCCATTCTGCTACTGTTGATAGAGACAATTGAACAAAAGAGTGCTTTCATTAGGTTGATCAGTTTGTGATAGTGTGTCATAGTCATGAGCTGACCATAAACTGGTTCCTATGTAAAACTGAACTGTAACTAGTGACTACAGTCTTGAGTTAAGACTGTAGTCACTATTTAAAGTTAAAGTGTGCAACATTTCTCTCTGAAACAGGATCAGTAATTAAAGAATGCTATGAGATGACCGAAAATAGCTTAGATTGTTTGAAATGAAGGTTAGTAATAGTAAAAAAAAAAAGAAAATAAAATTCAAAAAATGACGAATTTTTTTTTTCTGACTAAAGAATTTATTTCTCACTCATAAAGGTGTGAAAACAGTGATATTTACATTTGAGATGCAAGAATCGGGTCATTTTGACATTTTTTTTAATTGACACAATTAACTGTCAATCAAAATAGCATTCAATTAATGTAATAACTGACATGGGAAAACAAATTACTATCTTGAACTGTAAATACCAATGTTAAGAGTTAATTTACTTTCTCTTAGAGATGCTGTTGACTGCTGACAGGTTGACATACACCGACTACCCATAACATTATGCTCCTATGCTCCCATGTATGGGGTAAGTTGACCAGGAGCAGGGTAAGTTGAGCCGTATCCCTACTACCCCCTGACTCTGCATCCCAGCCCTCCCTCACCTTCTCTCTCCCTAAAAAACAGTCACTTTGTCACATTAATGTGTATTTTTATCTGTTATACACTATCCAACTGGTACAATAATTCATCTTATTATTATTGTATATAACTGCTAAAAAGCTGTTTTATAAAAAGTCATTTTAACATGAGAATGTCTTTAAGTGATTCAGAACATTCACAGCTGTATTTTTGAGAAGAAAAAGTCAAACATTTCAACAATCTGAACTGAAACTCTGATCCTTTCATCAGACTTCTTTACTTTCTCAGTCGAGAAAGTTACCCCAGAACAACTATTATGATTTTATTAGTCCTCTAAGCTCAAATGGTGGGCTTCTATGCTAAGTTATTGACCTAGAGATACTACAATTGATGTATAAAACAAATTTAAAATGATCTTTTTTGGTCTGAACACAATTCTAATAAAACTTATGACAGACTTAATTCACTTTTAAGAGTGAAGAATGTTTTTCTTTGTAAATAAATGTCTAACCCCTTCACCCATGAGCTTCAAACCTTCACAGACTCCATGAATTGATGCCCATCTCCTAAATATTTGGTCACATGATCAATTTCCTTTAACCTTTCTAGGCAACAGGGAGTGGCTCAACTTATCCTTTGGCTCAACTTACCCCACTCTCCCCTACTGGATTACATTAGATGGCCCAGGTGCTAATGTTATGGCTCATTGGTATATTTACATACCAACTATATTTCCATACTGCTCTTATTCTTCTTTTCTCAACAAAATAGAAGACATATGACAAGCAAAACTAAGTACAAATTACTCTGTGTTGAAATCTAGTGCAGAAAAACACCTACAAAGCTGAACACCCCCACCATAAGGAATGAATGACATTTCAGCTACAGCAGGAGACAGCACAGGCGGTGAAATCCTGACATTTTAACACTTGTTGACTTCACAAACTCACTGAACTAAACACGCGGATAAAAACACAGATAAATAATGTAAGAAAAGCAAAAACTACCTGCGAAATACACGCACAGGGCTGGCTCTAAACCCAGGTCCAGGACTGAAGGAGAAGCTGAAGTAGAAGGGAACAATCATGCTGTTGTACTGCACCACCAACACCACCACCTCCTCCAACAACACCCCTCCTGCTCCTCCTCCTCCTCCTCTCCTGCCACATAGCAGCCGGAGCCAGCGTCCGTACAGGCAGACAGACAGACAGACAGACAGAGAAAGAAAGAGAGACAGGCGTTCACCAGTTTACACCCCGACTACTAACTCCTTGTTTACCTACACCTCCTCCAGCCGTTGGGAACGTCTGTCGTGCTAACAGGGTAATGCTAATGTTACTTCGCTCAGGTAGGTACGTCGGCTTTAGCTTTAAAAAGAAAAACCTCCTTCAAAGTTGAGTGAATCGAAGTGTGTATAAAGTTCAACCTGTTTTCTATACCGGATCAGCAAGTAAAACTAATTCCTTCGAGCTGTCAGACCAGCTCCAGCCAGCTGAGTCCACACACAGAAAAGCTAACCTAACTTTGCTAACGTGAGCGAAGTTACAGCTAAAACAGGAACAACTGATAATATTAGATGAAATATTACATTGTTTTGAAAGGACAGAGTGTAGCGTTTGGTTAGTTCCAGATTATAGTAAACAACTTGTGCATTGTTGTTGGAGTGCGATCGCGATGACATAACTTTGATCCATTTGAAGATTACTTCCGAAACATCTTGATCAGCTTTGATATGGGAGTTGTAGTTTTTTAGACATTTCCGCGAACGGCGCTGAGAATGTGACAACAGACCACAAATCCTTCAACCTATTTCAACAAGAGTATATATAATACGATATTCTTAACAGTAAAAAGACAAGAGAGCATTTTTTAATGAGTTCACAACTAAACTTCACTCATTTTCAGACTTGAGGCATGCTTTTTCTCTTTTTTTTCTTCTTTTTTTTAATATCTCTTTTACCTTTGAGTCTTTGTTTTACTTAATCTTTTAGGACTTTTATTGATTTTATATTTTTTTCCTGCTCATTTTTGCTATTCTATTTTATTATCACTATTCCCATCATTATTATTTTATTATGGTTTGATTATTATAATTAATATTTTTTATTATTTGTTATTTATTTATATATATTTTACTCACAGATTACCTTAGAGTTTGTTTGAAGAACTTACCAAAAAAAATGCAATGAGCAACTATGCACAAGTTTAGCATATAATTAGTATTTCAAATACAGGTTCTTTGTATGTCAGAGAGGTTATCTTTTTTTCTTTTATTTTTTTCAAATCTCTTTTACCTCTATCTTATTTCAACTTACTGTCCTTTTAGCTTTTGTTTACTTAAGTTTTTAGGCCTTTTATTGATTTTATTTTTTTTCCTGCTCATTTTTGCTATTCCAATTTATCATTACTATTACCATTATTATTATTTTATCATGATTTTATTTTATTTTTTTAATTATTTTTTTTATTTCTTTTTATACTTACTATCCTGTTTCCTGCCTTCTACCCCCTTTTTATTACATTTATTTTTCTTACCTATTTTACGTTTTTATTTTGGTCCTCATGGTCTCATTTTTTGTTCAAGGGTTCTTAGATTGTCTGTGTTTTTTATGACAAATGAAATAAGCATCAATTCGGAAGCCTTGTTTTTAACTGAGCTTTTGTTTTATATTTGTTTTTTGATGTTCTGTGCTTCACGGCTGTTATGTCAAAGCACTTTGTAAGCTTCTATTTTTAAAAGTGCTGTAAAGATAAAGTTATTATTATTATTATAGACAGTTATTCGAAGTTGAGATGCTTTATATTTCGCAAAACCACTTATACAAACGTTCACCTTTAACTTTGAAAGGTTTTCCATTGATGAATAAACTCATTTAGGAGTATTTTCGCCATAGTCATGCTGGACTACATTTCCCATCGACCCCAATTCCCCCTTTACAGTAGCGCAGTTCTTTTCGCGCATGCGCACCAGGGGTAATTGGATATCAAGTGGGCCAAAACAGCGTGTGATAAAATGGTAGGTGAGATTAAATATGGGAAACTGGGGCAAATCTTAAGCTCCTTGAAACAAGTGCAGAAGCCGATAACAGCTCTGTTTAGCGTTAGGACGCACCAGTATTCTGGGATAAGGGTTGTCCTTAAGAAAGTGTCGCATTGTCAGGGCGATATGTGTCGGGAATATGAGGGAAATGGAAGGTCAGTTGTTGGTATTTTGAGATCGGACCACTCACACTTCTTGCGGCACGTACCTTTCCCTTTTTGGTAACTCGCCTGTGCTCTTTGCTGCCCCGGGTTAGGAGAGCGAGCCCGCTGGATCACACGTCCCCCTCCCAGGAAAAAAAAACTGGGTCGCAAAACACTGGCCTGTCACGGTGAATTTGCTGTGTGATCATCGGGTGGGTCAGGTCTGCAGTTATGCAAAAGATGTGCAGTCTTAGTGGATTTCTCCAGGATGATTTTTGCAATCTAACGGAGCCGTGCAGCATTGCAACAAGAAGTGTCAGTGTTTAGACTGACTTAGATGTTGTTGTATGCATGGTGTCAGCCTTACTTTTTTTATTTTATTTTAAAGAAATTCACGCCAAATTTTACAGTATGGTTAAGTAACCACCATTCAGCAATTGGTGTAAACAACTGAAAGTACCAGAGTCGTTGAAAAAGACGCATTTCATTGGAAAGCAAATGTTTGCACTCTTGTTCCTTAACTTTTCTGTTTATCTGAATGTTGATGTCTGTATTTCCCATCAAACCAGGCTGATTTCTTTTACTGGGAACCCCTCTAAGTTGGCTGCAAGAAAGGGCCCCAGTGTGCAGGTGTGCACATGCATATTTACCTGCTGATAAGCACCACAATAGCACTATAAATACAGAAACTCTCAGATTGCGTTAGAGTTTGTTTTAAGAATTTACTTTATGATAAATGCGATAAAATTAAAATTGGTCGGAGCAGCCTGGCGCAAAACAAAATACCCCTCTTCTAGTGAGTTTACCCGTCTTTGGCTCTCATTCGCCATTTCAGCCATCTTAATCTGCTCTCATTCAATTGTCAATACGCGGGCTACACAACCGATTACGTCACGCAAAGTGGCACTGCTTTACGGTTCACCGCAGTGTCACTGAAGTGGAACTTCTGTCACAGTTTTCTAGAAATGAATTACATTTTGAGAGTCATGAATACAGTGATTTATGAAGTCGAGAGGCATTCTTAAAAATAATGATAACTTGGGTCAGTGTTTCATGTCCTCTTTAACCCATAATAATATGCCTAAGTTTAGCATATTATTAGTATTTTGTTTACAGGGAATCATCACATACAGGCTCTTTATCTGTCTGAGAGGTTATCTTTTAAAGTCGTCTGAATTCAGCCCATACATTCATGGAACAGCTCTTGCATTTGCCTGCGTGTCTTCTTACTTCGCAGCACAAGTTGAAGTCATCGCAGAAGGACAAGGTTCGGCAGTTCATGTCCTTCACGCAGGCCGGGGAGAGGACAGCCGTGTACTGCCTGACGCAGAATGATTGGAAACTAGAAGTTGCCACAGACAACTACTTCCAGAATCCAGACCTTTACTACAAGGAATCCATGAAAACCTCAGTGGACCGCAAGAAGCTGGAGCAGCTGTATAACAGATACAAAGGCAAGCATAAGTGAAGTTACTGTTGATATCAGTGCGGTCTGCTCCACAGCACCACTCTGCTCACTGCTCTCTGGTGTGTTTGCAGACCCTCAGGATGAAAACAAGATAGGCATCGATGGGATCCAGCAGTTCTGTGATGACCTGACCCTGGACCCAGCTAGCATGAGTATACTTGTGGTGGCGTGGAAGTTTAGGGCAGCCACGCAGTGCGAGTTCAGCAGGAAAGAGTTTGTGGATGGCATGGCGGAGCTTGGGTGAGCAATACTGGTGACATTTTTAGTATTTTATGCGTTTACTGCCATGCTACTCTTTAAAGCAGGATTTGCAAACTTGATCTGTTTTATTTTTTTCTATTTACTATCTCCTCTAGCTGTGACAGCCCAGACAAACTCAAGGCGTTGCTTCCCAGACTAGAGCAGGAGCTAAAGGACACAGGAAAGTTCAAAGACTTCTACCAATTTACCTTCAATTTTGCCAAGAACCCTGGCCAGAAAGGTTTAGGTAAGCTTTATAATGATTGGAGAGAAAATAAAAGCCTTTCAGCCTGGTTTAAAAAAATCTAACTTATGAAACGTAAACATTTTGTGTCTCAGATCTAGAGATGGCTGTCGCTTACTGGAATCTAGTTCTCACGGATCGATTTAAGTTTTTGGATCTATGGAACCGCTTTCTACTGGTAAAAGGATGTTTTTGTTTTTCAACCTATGATTTATTTTCTGTGTGCCAGCAGAATAATACAGAAACATATAGATATATATGCTGCAAATAGAAAGGAAAAACTGTTATTTGGCACATTGTTAACAAGTGTCCCTGTGTTGCATTCAGGAGCATCATAAGCGCTCAATTCCTAAGGACACATGGAACCTCCTGCTGGACTTTGGAAATATGATTGCAGACGACATGTCGAACTATGACGAGGAAGGTGAGGACATGAAAGACTTCTTGCTGAAAGCTATTCATTACACCGTCCAAGTGTTAACATTTCAGCTGTTAATTCTCTGATGATAGATGGACACTCACAGTTGTATGCTGATAATTCAGGCAGTCACCCCGATGAACCCGCACCGCATCAAATGTCACATCAAAGAAAAGACACACAGTGAGCGTTAAGATAACATAAGATATCCCTGTATTAGTCCCACAAGGGGAAAGATGGTGTGTTTATTTTGGAACCATACTTTTTTCAACTGCAGACAGATTTCTTAGTGATGAAACATGATGAAAAAAAAATGCACCAAAACTCTTTAAAGTGACAGTCTGTGCATACTCCCAGTGAGACGCTTGTGTTTTTAAAATCTTTTTTAAATGTATTTTGCCTCACAGAATGAAACAGGAGTACTGTAAGTCATATTCCAGTCAGGTCAGCTAAATTTCAGGCCAGCAGGTGGCACCTGAAACCACCACAGCTTTAGCTAATGTCTCGATTAATCAAGCAACAAGGACTGATTACATTGACATGTTTCTAATCGTGAGTGTTTTTTTCTCTCCTCAGGAGCATGGCCGGTCCTCATAGATGACTTTGTGGAGTTTGCTCGGCCGATTGTGACAGGGACTAAGCGCAACATGACATAGTTTTTACCCCAGCCTCACCCAAGGGGGGACAGAGTTTCTTCTGATTTTCTTTTTGTTTGAATGAGGATTTTTCAAAACATGAGCCAAATAGAGACTTCTTCGAAAGAGTCCTGTCCGCAGCTTGTCTCTAAGATTGTTCTTCCAACTGCATTAGATGCCTTGGCTGGGGAGCAACCTGAAACGCCAGTTCAGAGAAGACGGCAGCAACAGGAGGGAGAGATTATGTTTTATGTTGTTTGTTTTTGTTTGCCGTCAAGGACAGACTTTGCAACTGCAATATATAAAGGATGGGTACCGTTAATCCCGGCACCCATCGATAAATCACGGATGGGTTTGGCTTTGAACTGCTGCTGTGGACTCACTAACCTGAACCCTCAGCCCAGTTAGAGGGACAGTACCTTGGCACATGCAGAGGATTCGTTGTGGATGCAGTAAGAAGTGGCCTCATGCATTATCAACAGTGAATGACAGTGTGTAAAATCTGCATGTGTTTGTCAGCTGGTGCAAAGCAATGGATGCTGATGTGAATGTGTGGATGTTTGAGAGGAAACTGAGAATGTGAATGTGTAGCTCTCATACAATCACACTGAGAGCAGAAAAACCGTGTGCTTGCTCATCATGATGTGTTTGTATGAGTGGGTAAATGTGTTTGAGTGTTTTTTTTTGTTTTTTTTTAAGGGCGTGGTTTAACAATTTGCTTCTTTTAAAATAAAAGAAAGAGGTTTTCATTTAATTTTAATAAAATTGGCGGTCAATAAGTTATGAATCACCTGCACTAAGCGGCAGTGAAAATGATTTTGTATTCACACTGAAAATTGGAGACAGCGGCATGTGTTTTGAGCTCAACACCAGCAGAATTGCCATCCCACAGTAGTGAAATTCTGTACCCAGAGAAATAGAAATAGATGATTGTAAAGGGGAGTGACGAAATTTATCTGAGAAAACAGGTAGTGGTATTTATAATCATGACTAGTGCACAAGAAGCATTTAGAGTGGCGATTTTTTAAATGCTAATAAATTTCATTTTTGTTTGTTTTGCAGAGTATGAGCTGCTGTACACAAAAAAAACTGACTGGCACGTTGACTGTTTTCTATAATTCAGGTGACGATGACTTGCCAACCCTATGAACTGCACTGATTTTACACTTTTCTGTTGTAGTTTTTTTTTTAATCAGATAGCACTGTATACAGCTACAGAACTATTCAGTTTACACTTACATATTAGTGTTAAAATGAACACGTATACCCTGGTCAGAAGCGTGGTCAGTATTTGTTTACACTGTTTGAGGCTATTCACTGAAAAGGACCCCTGCTGCAGGGATGGTGATGTGTTGAAGTACCACAGAACTACTACAAAGAAAACACCATTTTAAGACACTGTTCCTGCTGCCATCTAGGGGTGACAGCGGTAAAGCACTTCTCAAAGTACAACGCTTCTTAACAACTGGATGCGGCCATCTTTACAAGTACACACAGTTGTAATGTTGGATTTAATTACTCGAAGTGTTGCTCTTGAAATGTATTTCTAAACACCTAAAATCTCCCTGTGAGCCTCTCTCTTAGGGGTCTCTTTCCCAAGCTTGAGAGCACGACAGAAGGTAGAGCTCAGGTACTAGTCGTCCTCTCCCTGTCATAGTGAGCAGCAGGCAGCTTTTTTGAACACACTACATCAGTATTCAACTCTTGTGCGATGCTGTCTTGTTCTTTTGTTGACCTCATGACTTAGCTTTTGTGTAGACGCAGTTATGAAGTATTTCCCCGCGTCAAACTTCTCTGTCCTGTCACCTTCAAGCTACACTGGGAATCATTTGCCTTCTGTTTTCCTTTAAACTGACAAACATATTTGTGACTTTACATTTGTATAAGCAGAAGTCAGTCTTTTCAGTCTAGTACATGAAGTATAAGAAGTTGTGGCAAATCATGATGGAAAATCATACTTGTTTCAGTCAAGGGTTGAGGATAAATGCAATCCACCTGTCTATCTTAGGAAGCTACAGTTGATACATGATGGTGCAGTGAAATATCTCACACAGATTTTGAGTCATGTCTGTTGAGGTTTTAAAACATCTAAGTTGTCGCAGTTCTAAGTTTAGTCCCATAGGAGACAGACGTCAAAAACTCCAATCAAGTCCATGTTGCCTTTGGGATTAAACTTGAAACTTCATCTGAGTATGTTGCTAGATGGTGTGAAATTTTCTACCAGTTGAATGTTGTTGACTATATGATCTGACATCCTCTGTGGTTCACGAGCAAGAGATCTTTCAGTGTTCAGTTTGGTTATACGGTACACTTGGTACATTTTTATCATGTCAGACGTGTGGTTAACAGTTTGCAGTCATGCAGATATTCTCATAAAAAAACAGTGTTATTTTTGCTGGCAAGAAAACAGGTATTTACAGAATGTTATGTTTGTCATAGATACACACCATACTTTGTTTTCTTCGAGAACATTTTCAATAAAGCATGTTGTTTATAACCGTCTTGTTAATGCTGGACTGTCTCTAGAGAACAGAAGCAGGTGTCTGTTCAAAAAACTGATCCAAGGATTTAAAACGGGTTTATATGAGGATTTGATGTGACCAAAAAAGTCTAATTCAAGAAAACAAACAACATTTCCTTGACCAGTCAGACTTCTTTGGACAGAAAAAGTTCTGATCTTGTTGTATTACATTTTCCCAACATAATTAATGATCTTGTAAAAGTGCAGATGGATATAAAACAAGATCTTCATTTCTCTATTGTACATTTCACTAAAAGTTTCCCAACTTCAATGAAACATCAAAAAAAGAAACTGATGAAAACTTGGATTGAATGACTGAAATTGCACAGGCTTGGAAGTGAGTGATACATTAAAAAAAAAGTGGGGACAGGACCATCATGTTGCCTTATCTCATCTTTTTTTTAATAATCTAATTTATTTTCAGAATTTACATCGAATCATACATCATTTTTAATTCAAATAAGGTAGAAAGACAAGAAAAGGATAAAACAAGAAAACAAAAAAAGAAGGGTAAACAAAGAAAAACACAACATGTCATCAATTAGAGAAAGATGTGTCTTTGTATTTATATAAAAAAAGTAGTTTTAATCATTAGCTCAGTCTGGGACCCCCTAAACCACCGTACCCCCTCCACATAGTTTAACTTAGACCTTAAGACAAGTAATCCATAAGGGGGCCACCATGTGTCCATAAAGATATCATCATTCCCTTTTAATTTGGCATTTAGCCTTTCCATCGGTAAAACTCTAAAAACTTCTCTGTGCCACTGAGTCACAGTGGGAGATTTGTCGCTAGTCCAATTAAATAGTTTACGTTTTCTGGTCAAAAATAAGAGTTTATTAAGTAATTTTGATCTTCTCACATCCGTAACTCTATTTGTAGGTGGCAGCCCCAATAGAAACTGTTTATAAATGCTCCATTTGTTAACTTACATTAAGGGCACGATGGTGATCTATTAGAGTCAGTTTTGTTCATAACATGAGGTTATTATCTCATCTTTTAACAATGCTATGCAAATGTTTAGGAAACAAGGAGACTGGTTTCTGGAGTTTTAAAACTGACATGTCCCGGTCTTGTTTGTTAACTCCATATAAAAGGGGAATTGCCTGGATGGTGATATATGTCGCTCCTAAGCCTGTGTATATATAGTTCAGCATTGTTACTGGCAGAAATCCAAATGTAGGTCAAAGGTTTACCAGTTCATCAGGAGTAATTGGGAGCACCTGTGATCTTTCTCAGCTGAAGCAGGGAGGATGTATAGGAGGCTGAGCCCTTATGTTCAGCAGGGGTTTTTTTTTTTTTGTTCTTTTACTTCTCAAAGCCATCAGCTGTCTTTGTTTTATGCTGAGTGAATATTTGTGGATGCAGCAATAAATTATTTTGACAGACAATGTTTTTGGGGACTTATTTTGAGCCCATGCAGTGATTTACACTCCAGAGTCATGTCATGGAGGTGTCAAGTCTTGTCATTTTCTGGCTTTGTTCCTTTTGTGCAGAGATGTCTCCAGATTGTCTAAATCTTCACTCAAGTATTTGCTCATGCAGTCTTACAGGGTGCTCAACCACTTCCTATCTTTCCTTCTATGAGACTCAGCCTCTCAGTAGCGCCCCGTCTGTATCCAGTTATGTTACCAACCTGCTGGATTTAGATCAAAATATTTATCGAAATCATACCCTGACTCATTCAGAGATCTGCTAACTTAAACCTCCTCCTGTGTTAGGGTCTGCACCGACCCGTTTTTGTTTTTAAATGCTTTAAAGAACCACTTAAATTAGCTTTTTTTGCATCAAGACTTTTTGACTTTGTCAGGAACCTCTATTCCAACAAAATAAAAAAAAATTAAATTGACTAAATTATAAAATACTCTTATCAAAATTATGGCACTTGTCGTGTTAGGGTCACTGTTGACCCGATTAGATCAATATCTAATAATCAGAGCAAAAACTGAAATCATAAGTGTACTGTCAGGCACCACACGGACAGTCAGATCCTATTCCGAACATGTGAGATTTAGGAAATTAAAATTTTATGTTTCACCATGCACAAAAAACAACATCAAGCATGTCCAGATATGTGAGATCAATTCAGTATAGATGTCTGTAAAGGCCCAGAAGCCCACACCAAAAAATAATACAAGCAATATTTTCATGGATAATGAAGCCTAACAAGTTCACCGAGAGATGAGAACCAAATTGGATGATAGAGAAATGTTTTTAGTGTAATTTACAGCTGATTTCAGATCAAAACTGACCCTTCACATGATGGGTGCGTAGTAAAAGCTAACACAGGAGGAAGTTTAACAAAAGCAACAATTTAGGGAATAATCCAAATAGATTTCTGTGTTCCTCACGTGACAGCACTGCCCGCGTGAGCTTGACTGCTTGGCAACAGTTGTCCCTTATCAGGTTGCATTCCTGCAGCATGTCATCATCATAATCGGCTCCTCTGGAAAGTCTTTGTCCACTTTTACTTATGTTTGGGGCTATATCTTCCGACAAAATAAATGAAATATGGGATATAAAATGCTGGAAACCAAATGTAAACACACAAGGCACAAAGAGGGCTAAACAGGACTAGGATACATTTGAGAGTAATCCCAGTGAAGAGCAGCTTGTGTCGGAGTAGGAGGTGATTAATAAAAAAGTTTAAAATAGTGAGGTTAGGATTAGAAAATTGAGCCTCATTGAAGGAGGGGGCACCAGTCAGGATGATGTTCCATTCTTACCCTTCTCCCACAGGACTGGTGGGATGTCAACAAGGCCCAGCACCAGCTGACAAGCTCATAGTCCAGCCCAGGAACACATTAGCATCCCTCCCAGTGTGTCCAGCCCCCCCATTACAGTCCACAACCAGCCATCCAGCTTCCAGACTCTGGTGCCATGGGGATTGCCTTTTTAGGATACACCTGATCACAGCTTAATCCTGCGACGCCCAACACAAAGAAAGTGTTGCTGATGATGTGTGCACGGCGAACCCGCGCTTCAGTGTGTGTGTGTGTGTTTGTGTGTGACAACAGATGAGACACTGGAAGAGAGCTGCGTAGGCGAGGAAGTCTGTGGCGACTCTAGATCCAGCAGGAATCATATCATTTGGACTTTTAGGATCATATCTGGAAACAGTTGGTTGTCATGTTTGTCAGCGAGAGCCTGTTGAGGTGGTGAAGATCAACTACAGCAGGAAAAAAGTCCAGATTTGTTTGTGACAGGTGCTGTCCTAATCCCAGGAGCAGGGGCTTCATTCACGGTACGGTTTTAAATTTTCTTCCTGTGATCAACAGAGCGGTGTCCCAGAATCATGGAGAAATTCAAAGCAGCCATGGTTCTGGGTGCTGCTGGGGATGCCCTGGGCTACAGGAAAGGTCGTTGGGAAAGTTGTATCTCTGGAAAGAAGATTCAAGAGGAACTGGCTTCTCTGGGGGGACTTGGGACCCTAAAACTGGACCCTGATAACTGGCCCCTGAGTGATGCCACGCTGATGCACATGACCACAGCAGAAGCACTTATAACAGGTCAGATATTTGTTTCATATCAGCAGAATTCACACACAAATGATATGTCTTTTCCTTGTTTTAAAATGTGAAATATAATTGACGTCGATCCGGCTCCAGGTGTTGGTGCTTTCTACTTTTAGAAGGACCAGAATAGCTTCTTATATACCGTCAAAGGAAGCTGCTAATCACTTACTGGCAAAACATCTCTGAATGAAAAACCCTGCTGACATACCCATAATCCATCCCTGCTAGTGGTCATCATAGAAAAAACATCAGAGACTTTATCCGGGATGCCCTCACTCAAGAGTCATTTCAAGCCCTCTGTGGGGAAGCCAGGAGTTACCAGGACAGAAAAGTCCAAAATAGACTACTTTGGAAAAACTGATCCTCGGCTCCCCTTTACTGAACAATAGCAGCTCGGTAATCTACCGGTATCGTGTTTGGCTACAGATGTGGATCATGGCCAGAGACAGCAGTCCTGTGAATAGGCGATGACAACTTTGGAGATTAGAAAGCCCAGTTTAGACACAATGCCTGCACACAAAGACATGCACACATTGTAATAAATCGTAACAGCCGAACATATGGTGACAAAGGAATTCTGTCTGAGGCTCTTTAGCGCTCATTGAATTGGCATGACACAGTCTTACACGAGATACAAAGACGAAGGCACAAACCCATTTTCTACTCTCTCTTTGAAGAGTCATGTGAGAAAATAAAGAAACACACCCGGACAATTTCAAGTCGATCCTCCTTCACCCCCTGCCTGAACTGCAGTCCAGTCTGCAGGGTGAAGATGTCTCTAATCTAAAGACAACCGAGATCACCAAGTTAAAGCTGATGCTCCATCAACATGGGCTCCCTCTCTCTGTTTCAAACACATACAGTACACAAACAAACACATTCTAGCAGGATGGCTGCGGGCTGTCATGGAGGATCCCAGTTGACCTCTTGGTGTGTGGAAGTGACTCCACTCACTCCGAGGCATTCTGGTCCTAATCTGTGGTGCAGCAGGCTGAAGCTAAACTTAGCCCGCCACAGTACCACTCATCTCGTCTTGCATGCCAGTCATCTTACTCTGTGTGTGTGTGCGTGTGTGTGTGTGTGTGTGTGTGTGTACAGATTACTGGTGCTTGGAGGACCTGTACCGGGAGCTGGTGCGTCTCTACGTTGAGGCCATGGTGTCTCTCCAGGGCAGAGCTCCAGATCCTGCAACAGTGGAGGGCTGTGTTCACCTCAAACCTCACAACTTCCTGCTCGCCTGGCATACACCGTTTAATGAAAAAGGCGAGATGAAACTGAAGATTTTGAAACTCTCGAACTACATCACATAAACATGTATGTTCTGACGTGCACATATGTACATGTTCAGGGTCGGGCTTTGGTGCAGCAGCCAAGGCCATGTGTGTCGGTATGAGATACTGGCAGCCTGAGAGACTGGACAGCCTGGTGGAGGTCAGCATTGAGGTTGGAAGAATGACCCACAACCACCCAACAGGTGACAATATTAGCACTTTCTAACCTGATTATGAACTGTTAAGTGTCTTTAAGCATCTCACCTGCAAGTTTTAATACACACCTAATTGGTCTTCACTACTGGTGTTGCTCTTTGTTTCAGGCTTCCTCGGCTCGCTGGCATCAGCGCTGTTCGCATCCTACGCCATCCAGGGGAAACCTGTTGTGACTTGGGGCCGCGAGCTCATAAAGGTCATTCCTCGTGCTGAGGAGTACTGTAGAAAGACCATTCGACACATGTCGGGTGAGGCCTGTTGGTGTTAAAACCCAATAAAAACAAACAAAATGATGTATTTTTCAGTACATGTGAAGATGACTTTGAATGCATCCCAGAAAGCACGACTATCAGGATTGTAATTGTATTTTCCTGTGCAGAGTATCAGGAAAACTGGTTTTACTTTGAGGCCAAGTGGCAGTTTTACCTTGAAGAGAGAGGAATTGAGAATGAGGGACAGAACAAAGCCTCATTCCCTGACTCATACGATGCTGAGGAGACAGACAAGGTAAATAGCTGTGTATATTTACATCAGGAACTCTGGTTCTTAAGGAGCCCCAGGTGTGGACAAAGATATGGTTTTTATGTTTTGTATTCAAATAGTATTTTAACAGAATGAACAACATAAAGAAAACAAAACAATGATGGAAATTGAGAAGATGGTTCAGACCAGTTCCAACTTAGTATTGGGAATATACAAAAATACCACACAATCCAAAGTTCGGTTGTTCAAAAACACCATAAAATCCAAGTTTGCCCATTCTCCTACTCCTACAGGTGGTTCTTATCCTACCGCACTTTTCTGGGGTTAGCTCGCCATCTGGTTGAGTTGATTGTTGACATTCTGGTTAAATTTATAGTTGTGATTAGAGTGAAGTTGATAGTGATGATCTACAGTCCAGTACAAAATCCTAACCTAAAAAAAAGGCCAAAACATAAATGAATATCATTTTAATCAAAAGGAAATTATTCACTATTTTTAGAGTTAACACAGAAATTCAATGTATGTATAACACACAAGCAATATATATTACTGAATATCCAATATTCAAGTACTCAATCAAAAGAAAGTATCAATAATTCAACTTATTAGGACTTTACACATTTCCAAAAAATCAAATAGTTACATACCCAAGCAGAGATAAATAACAATCTATTTGCGCAACATTAATATAAATCATGGAGCTATTATCCATTGATCGAGTTCAGCCTCAACCAAAACTCACTGCAGTTCAGCATGTATCTACTAAAAGCTGCTCAAAATTAACACGTCATGAAGAAACTGTTGCCTTTAGGTTAATAGGTCAAAAATAACTCTTAATAGAAGCAGTTTCTTGTTGTTTTCTGTCCACACAGATGTATAAACGCTGGAGCTCAGAGGGCCGTGCAGGTCGAAGAGGTCACGATTCTCCTATGATCGCTTACGATGCTCTTCTAGCTGCAGGCAGTGACTGGGCTGAACTGTGTAAACGAGCCATGTTCCATGGAGGTGAGATCTTCGAGCATGCTGCACCTGCAAGACATTTAAAACCCAGACATGCAGATGATTACTGTGACATCTGTGAAAATGCTCTCGATTTTAGGTGAAAGTGAAGCCACAGGCCTGATCGCGGGGTGTCTCTACGGTCTCATGCATGGCCTGAATCAAGTTCCCCAAAACCTGTACCAGGATTTGGACAAAAAAGAGCGCCTGGAGGAACTGGGAGAAGCGCTTTACAAAGCAGCATCTGCAGAGAAGTGCATAGACAAGTAATTATGCTCTTCACTGGCCTGCGCCCTGCTGGCTGCACAGAGGAACTGCACATGACTCTAAAACTGCCTGCCTTTATCCTACACTACCCTCTTGTCCTTCTACACACTCATCTTCTATAAACTGAAACAGCTTAATTGCCTCAGTTGGCAGCTGCAAAACATACTTTTTATAACTGCAAGTATTTACATGGGGCAACTGTGCTCAGTTAAAGTCCTCCTTTCAGTGCTTGTTTTCTGACAGGCTCACATTGTTCTCAAATGTCTGACAACATCACAGGAAGGATATAAACAGAGACAGGATTTCTCAAATTTAACAACCTAAGGATAATTTCTTCTCTGAAATCCTGTTGTAAAACTAACCAGTATTAACATGAAGCTCATAGTGATGTTGTTGGAAAATACTGTGCAAACTTAAAACAGAGCTTATCTGGTTTTTAAAAAAATTCTCGACACAGAAATTTTCAGTTTTTTTCAATCTGGATTTATCTTTTGATGCATGTAACGTTTTAAAAATTTGTCATGATTTTAACTTGATGGCATTACATGACTGAGTTATATACTGTGATCTATTTGCACTGTGATGCTCTTATCAGGTTGAGTGTCCTATATTGTTTAAGTGCTATAACATGGTGAAAATTCATATGATATCAATATTAAAATGAACTAAGATAACAAGATGCATGAAGTGCCTGTCTCTTTGTCTGTTTGATATCTTAATTTTCTACCAAAAATTGTCTTCTTGCTACACAACCCTCCTCTACAACACCCTCAACTAATCTGTAACATGTTCACTGTGCAGGAACATTTAATAGAATAGTATAGAATTGTATCTTTATTATTGTAGTTTGTCTGCTGTTCTGCAAACCTGGGATAATTATTGTTTTTTTTCTAGTTCTAGTTGAAGCAATGCTCATAACCTTTAAAATTCACCAGGGGAACATAATACTTTAGAGCACCTGTGAGGAATCTTCTGCTGACAGTGTAATAGAGTGAAATTAAAACTGGCATCTCTGTATTATCAACAAAAACAAACAAGACCATAGGAGGGGAGATTGAAATTTCCATTAAGTTATTTAATAAGCCTGTAATCCCTGCCGGGGGGTAAGTGTCCATTTATCATGCTGCAGAGACACCTTTTTAAAAACTATTAGAATGACATTTTAATAAAAGCTGGAGGACGTTTTTCGTCAAAAAACACGACCTTTATGTGTACAGAAAAAAGTCAGCTGAGAAAAAGCTTCCCTGTTTTGTTCAGAGGATGTGACAAATTTAACATAATGTGAACGTCACTCCAAGGAAAAAGTCCTTACTGGGACGACCATATTTTGATTGTTGACATATAGGTTTAAGATATAAAGAGCTAACTTTGAATGAAACAGAACAGTGATCCGGCCGTGTAATCCAAAACTGCTAAACTGGGGGATTTGATTGTTCCCTTCAGGAAAGTAAGCTCTGTACTGGCAACATGAAAATCTACATTACGGTTGCTGTTAATCTTTTTTGGTTGAATAATCCAAACATATTTAGTTTCATTTAAATTTGAAATGAAATAAAGTTGAATGCAACCATTCAATGGTAAAAACATACTTCAAATTGTCTTCCATCTGGAAACAGTGATTCTCCATTCTGACATCTAGAACTGCCACTTACATGCAAGAGTGCATTTATTTCTCCTCTGCTGTCAATATCTGTAAGTAGTGAGATATGTTAAGCTGCAGTTGCAACAGGGATTAAATTCTGCATGTCCTCCACTCTCCATAGATTAGATTCTTGGAAAACCAGTATCTGCATTGATGCCGGTATGTTGAGGAAGTTGGTAAGAGACCGCAACTGTCGCCCTGTCCTCCGAGGGATTCTGGAGACTCTCCTGCACTACCTGACTCATGATCTTCCAAGGCTGAGCACCAGAAACCAGGAGGCTCCTGGGTCGGATATTGTTGTTGAAAGGTTTGCAGACTGGCCTGATCAGAAAATTAAGACTGCAGAGAAGCAGAATCAACTTGAGACAAGTTGCACTTTTGTTGACCTAAAGGAAAAACCTGACATGACCTTTGAGGAGAATGCCAAGACGCGTTCCAAGACCAATCCAGATTCACAAAAACAGGAAGGAGGTCCAAAAGCAGGAAACTTAATTTCCAGACGCCTTACAACATTCCAGATCCTCCAGTCCAAATTTACAAGATCCACACCCAAACCCCCTCTCACCCACCAGCGGGAGGTAGGAACTCTTTTCCTAAGCAAAGTACATGGAGGTAATGTGAACCACTGCAAAGACGGTGAGCAAGACATGCATCTGAAGGCTCGCACTGGAAGAGAAAAAGGGCTGAAAAGGGGAGGCAGTGTGAAAAATATTGTAGCAAAGTTTGCCGTGGCTGACCAGAAAGAAAAAGGACAAAATATGTCCAAGAAACAGCCAGTCAAACCTAGACTCATTGGGAAAAGGATCCTCCTGACATCCTTGATGGGAAGGTTTGAGACCATGGCGACTGTAACTAGGGCAAGTGACTTGAAGTGTTCACAAGAAAGGCCGGCTGAGGGGATCAAGATAATAAGTAACGTAAAAGAGAGGGTAGCATGTCATGAAAGACAACACCAACAAGCAGCTGAACAAGCTCTTCAAATACAAAACCGGGTCAGACAAATAAAAAGTAAACCTGTTGGACGGCAATCAAAAGAGAGAAAGACTGAGCAAGAAAAAAGATCCAAACAAGGAGTGGATGTTTCACCTAAAGTAGACTCGAATCTGGAAGGAACTAAAGATTTAAAACTGAAGCAAAAAGAGGATGTTTCACCAGAAGTAGATCCAAATCTGGAAGAAGTTAAAGATTTGAAACCAAAGCAAAAAGAGCATGAAGAAGATGTTTCACCAGAAGTAGACTCAAATATGGAAGGAACTAAAGATTTAAAACTGAAGCAAAAAGAGGGTGTTTCACCAAAAAGCAAGAAGAACATGAAGAGGATGTTTCACCTAAAGTAGACTCAAATCTGGACAAAGTAAAAGATTCAAAGATAAAGCAGAATGAGCAAGAAAGGCAAATGGAAGACCAAACTTCAGATCAAAAGGCCAAAGACTATGGTTTGACAAAAGAGCATACAACAGGTCAACTTGATGACACAAACTGTGAGCGCAGGGGGTTGAAGGAATGTGGTGAATCTCAGACAAAAGTAGAAGAAACCAGTATGAGCACCAAGCTAAAACATGGTAATGTAGAGCTTCTTTCTTTTGCATCTGTTACTGAAGGCTCACCCCCTGAGTTGTGTCGGCCTGTTCTGAAGGTTGAAACTCAAAATCATTGGCATGCTGCAACCATCAAGACCTGCCCTCTTGTGATTTCCACATGTATAGATTCCCCTCCTGTAACATACCCAGAGAAACCATCAGAAAGCTTCAAATGTGAAGAGATACCAAACCTCATGGTAGATGTTCCTCATGGAGCCCAACAGTTCAATTATTGGCAGTCAAGTGCAGGTAAACCATCTGCCTCAGTGACTGAAGAGAGAAGTGACTTGAAGACCAAAACGGAGGGTTTTATTACATCTATGGACCTCACAGAGAAAGGAGCAGCAGAATATCCAGAACCAACCAAAGCTGCGATCACTCAGCGAACATTGCCCAAATACCCCATTCCATGTGTTCGCAAATGTGATGATGAAAATGTTGATCATCTGACTGATTCCTCTATTCAATCAGGACCACAAACTACCTCCCCCTTGATTTCAGCACCAGCGATCCCCTGTGATACTCCTGGGACAGCTCATAACACAAGACTGGTGACTTTTAAAGACAAAAACCTGTATCCCTCTGATGTTCTGAAAGAAAAGACCGATCTCACACCAACAAAAAAGATTTCAAGAGTAGACAAAGAAAAACATGGGGAGGCAAAAGTAGAAGTAACAGACGAGGATATTAATGATACCAGGATGCTGCAGAGTGTAAGGGTTTCTGATGACATTGAGGCTCCATTTAAAGGCAGTCAGACTTGTGCGGTATCATCAAGCGTGATTCAACCCGAAAGAGACAGTCCAAAACAGAGACCAAAGTACACAACAGTCAACTATGGGGATCCTTCAGTCAAACAAACATATAAACCCAAAGTCATACGATTCACCGACACCTTTACTTTCTAGTGTGGAAATATCTGGTCATTTTCCTTTCAAAGTAATGCGAGTCTTTAAAAAAATCAAGTCACTCCTCAACAAAAATGCAGCAAGATTATTTCAAAAAGGAAAAAAGGAGCACATCCAAAATATAAACTACCTTTGGAGGGCACTGAATGTCCTTTTAACTTACATAACAAGGGTAAATGTACAGCCAAGCAATGAATGTGTATCAGCCATAGGCCTTATTTCAAGCTTGTTTCAACCAGCTCTGCAGACTTGTTTAAACATGAACATAGAAGAAGTCATACCATCATTGGAAAAGGAAATGAGTACTGTCATATGTTCTTCTTGCATCACTTGAAAGGCTTACTCCTAGTATCAACACTTAGCATCAGATATAGATATAGATTCAACCATTCTGTCTAGATATCAGCCTGATAGTATCTCCTGATAGAGTCGTATTCGACAAATACATGTGAAACTTTTATAGAGTTCTCAACAAGTTTGGTTTTATTCTTTAATGAATGTTAATTTATTCTTCAAATAAACTCTAAACTTGAAATAAAATGTCTGGAAACAGGGTCAAGAACACTTTTTTTTCTAGGAACCTCACAAATGAAGACATACTTACACACAGGAAGGATTAACCAAAGCCAGACAGCCAGATTATAATGTCTGTCTGTGGCATAATGAGCAGTGCTTTGTAATACTTCAAGTGCATTTGAACACGTCTTTGAAAGTTACAGACATGATTTCCCAAAATGGATGAACGGCTCCACACAACAGGGCCAAACATGTCAGAACTCTTCCTGTTGACAGATCTGAGCCTGCCCACCAGCAGGATTATACTACTGCATAAGCATTCAGACCTATTTTGGTGTTTTACAAGAGGATAACAGATGAGAGCTACATTATCCATCATCTGTCCATACCAAGGCTTATCCCGGTTTCCTATGCTCTCGCCTTGCTGTGGTGTTTAAAAGAAGGATGATGTTTTTATCGAGCATCTACTGTATGTGTGTGTGAATGTGAAGCAAAGTCTCTGAAGCAATTTTTTAAGTAGCTTTGTTTATAAAAGACTAATTAGATGGCTATAAATCAAATTAAATAACTGTATGTCTTATATTAGTTATTTCTGCTCTTTGTGTGGCATGAAAATATCCAGCAACTTTACTGCAACAATCAATTTGCTGTTTTACCAGTAATTTTAAGTACTCCTTCACACATTTCTATCCACCTTTATTCAGTTACAGCGTATAAGATACTAGAAACAGACGATGTTCAAAGATGACAACCAAGACACCAGTAAAGCACCCTTGATGTCATCTTGGGACAGTGGGAACATGTGTCTGCATCTCTGCTCCAGAGTCTCTTCTTAGTACATAATCAAATTGAAGTCTTGTGACTTGTTGTAATGCCTGAGTCATCTTGATGCTTGTCACCTCCTTCACAGAGCAAGGTTTTCCGCTTTTACTTTTGAGAGTGAAAGATTTCTCTGTTTATTTTCAAGCTCTTTTATATACTATCACATGATTATTTACAATAAAAGGGTATGGTGCCAAAATAATACAGGGTTCTCAAGAAGCTTACAGTAAACTAAGAAATTAGGGTGACATTAAATAACTTTGACAGAGCTTTGAATCCCATTTGAAGCAGAAATGTTAGATTCATTTCAAGGCCTTGTATGAGCACACTGAGCTGACTGAATTTACCTGCTCTACGTGGCTGTGCAAAAGAGGGCGCGGCTTTTTACTTTTCCTGCTGCCTTCAAGTATTATCGGAACTTCCAGTACTGTAAAGTGCAAATGAGGGAATGTAATTTAGAGGGGGTAGGGGTTGGTGAGGCAATTTCTGGTGTAAACTGTAACCGTTGCAACATTTATTTTTTTTTACTGGTAAAATACAGTTATGGTAAATATATTTTACAAAAAAATAATATAAAATAGATAAATAAATAAAAATAAAAAAGTTAAAGTCCAGAAGATATATACTAAAGGCCTATGTGTATCATGAAGTGTCTCAAAAAATAAAACAAAACACACCAAAAAAAGAAATTGAACAGATTTAGCTCTTTATTTTTTTATTTCATTATTATTTTTTTATACTTGTACTCTTTTCTTAATTAACCTTTTAGGCCTTTTATTGTTTTATCTCTTGCCCATTGCTGTTGCTCTATTTTACCATTACTTTTATTATCAGGATCACCTGCTATTATTCTATTATCATTGTTGATATTGCCTTTTACATCTACTTTCCTGTTTCCGCTTTCGTCCTCCCTAAAAATTCAATTTTCTTTTTTTTCTTAACTATTTTATGTTTTTATCTTGGCTCTCATGGTCTCATTTTATGTTGCATGGTTCTTGTATTGTCTGGATTTCCGTTTTAACTGAGCTTTTTGTTTTTGTCTTTTTCCATGTGCTCTATGGCTACATGTCAAAGCACTTTGTAATACTCTGTTTTTTAAAAGTGCTAGACAGATAAAGTTATTATTATTATTATTATTATTATTATTATTATTATTATTATTAGTAGTAGTAGTATTATTTATTCAAAAGGTAGCAGCTGTTACATGTTGTCAGCGAAAAAAGTAATAATAATTTAAAAAAAAAATCTGTGCAAGGCCCAAACTGAATGGTCTCAATCTCTTGGTACATACCACCCCTTTTCGTTCCAAAGCAGCTCCTGAACGCCTCACAAATGACTTTCCTCACAGAGCTCTGATTTAGGATGTTCCAGGAATCACTTGAAAGCAGCATTAGCGTTGATTGACGTGCGTGTCCTGGGACAAACGTCAGTACTTTGAAATCTTCCACCGCGGAGTAAATTAGTCCGGACCAGAGAGAGGAGCAGCAGAGGTGGCTCTCTGGGTTTGTGTGTGTCAAACTCGGCAGCGTTGACTTGTCTTTGTGTCTAAATGTTGTTTTTAGCGCCACAGACCGTTTGGCTGTTGGAAGAGAGGGGGGACCAGTAGCACCACCACCACCACCAGCAGCAGGTGCATATGGATGCCGATAAAACTCGAGGCAAACTCCGCTCCCTCCGTGCTGTTTGAGTAAACGAGGGCGAATCGGTTGAAAAGCTGAGTTGGTTGATTTCTAGGAAAAGAGAGGTGTCAAAACGCGAGGATGTAGCTCTGTCGCTTTCGGGAATAGCGTGTTAATCCCAGGAAAAGACAACGTCGTGTCCTCGGTTCCTCCGCACGCCAACATGGATATAGTTAAAACTCAACGGCGACTTGAGACGGTGACTTTCTGACACTCATGTTTGGACCGGGCTTTGTTTTTGCACTTCTGAGTGAAGACACAAGGCGAGTTACAGAGTGAAACTTCAGAGCAGAGACTTTCGGGGGATCCCTGGAGGAGTAGAAGCCCCTCAATGGAGAAGAAGAAGACGGTCAGTCAGCCCCCCTCTGCTGTGAACGGAACAGCCAAAGACCGAGTGGAGAGGTAAACGTTAACAAGCGTACGTTTGACTTGGACGGTAATATTAAAAAATGTAACATCGACTTTTTTACGACTTCAAAGTGATCCAATAAGAAAACTTAGTTGTAGCTAATGACTTTATCCCTCATTAGTTCTAAATTAGAAGCATTAACTTACTATTTTAAACTCTCAAGTCGTTAGCATAGGGCCAACGGCTCCCAATTTAGACGTGTTTACACTTAACATATCGCGATATTTGCTGTATTTTTTTTCCCTACTTAAAAAGTTAATTTTTGATTCAAAGCTGGCAATTAAAGAACCATTTTAAGCACAAAGGAAGACTCCTAATTAGGACTGGGCGATTTGGCCAAAAAAAAGATCACGATATATTTTGTCATATCAATTGATTGCTTTGGTCGGGTGGCTGCGTCTCTAGTTGTTACTGCCTGCTAATGCTACTGCCTGTTAGCAGTGAAAGGCTGTGCAGACTCACATTTTTATACTTTCCGCATAATCACTCAGGAAGAACGTCTTCAAATGATTAAACAGATCTGTTGTGTTGCTGGTTTTTGAGGGCGCCGGCTTAATTGCTCAACGTCACTTCGAAGATGCCCGAACCACCACCACACAACCGATGTTAAATAACTTCTCAACAGTAACATCTTCGGAGGATGACTCAAAGTCATGGCTGACATCTATTTTGCTGCAGTTCTCCGCGGTTAGCTCTACATTTGGTCTATCTGTTTACTTCTTCGGCTACTTACAGAAGTGAGCAGGAAAAGCTCGACTCTGATTGGCCGTTCTCACGCACATTTCCACTACCTTTGAACGAGTAAATATGCTCACAGCTGATCCCCATGATCGAACGGAAATTTATCACGATCATATAATCGCCCAGTCCTACTCCTACTGTTTATGAAATAGACTTAAATTCAAATTGAATGAAACGATATGATGAACAGGGCCGTCAGTGACCAAATTAATGATTAACACTGTAAACTTTAACACCTGAAACAGGTGTGCAGGTATAGTTGTTAGCTGAGTGACATGAGCAACAATCCCTTTTTGCTTTTTCCAAAGGGGGTGCCAAAATCTACAGAGACCGAAGTTGCCTACAGGACCTTTAATGTATCTTTTAGTAGTGGACTCTGAGCTGAATAATTTTGAATCAAGTGTAATTTACTTTACAAAGAAGTAATGCATTAGTCTCATTATCTAGATTTGCACGAGAGAGGAAACCCACCAATACTGATAACAGTGTGACTCTTAAACTCTATACAAATCCTCCCTCTAAGACAATTATAATGTAAAGTTGTTGTTTTTATGTGAAAGTGAAAAGTAGGTATATGCTGAATATGTTGTTTGTGTGAAAATAGAAATTAAAATAAGATTAAGATTTGGTCCTCTTGTAGGCAGTAAATATCCTCACCCCTCTGTAAGGATGTTTTCAAGGGAAATTGTGTAGCTGTCACTGACTGTGTATTTTAAGTTGGGTTATTTTTTTCGTTATGCACAACCAGTTTACCAAACAGAGTAATTTGTAAAATCTCAAAAACTTAGCTTCGGTATGTGTTCTCGTTAAACCAACATCTGACATTGAACTTACATGAAGAAGCACATCACATGCAATTTTTACATGTTATCAATATATGAAAATAGATAGAAAATATTCTGCTTTCTTGTAGATTTTCTTCATTATTTTGGGTGAGAAGGGAAGTGGTAGTGCCTGAAAACAGATGACAGTTTTGTAAACTTCACACTTCTACATCAGATATGTGTGCCCTTCCCTTTGTTTTGGCAACAAGACCTTTTTCATGTAGAGAACATGTTATTTGCAGTAATGATACCTTTATTTTTGCCTCATATTCGCAGAGCCACTTGAGTTTGTGTGTAGTGTGCAAACATCTGGTAGGTCTGATATGTATTAACATGTTCAAAACTGAAACTGTGTGTTGGCGCGGGCTCTTCCTCACAGATGACTGCACTTTAAAGAGAGGGTTAAGCTACAGGGAGATTATCTTGTTACCTAAGGCATTAGGTTGAGCCACCTACACACAACTTTTTCTTCCAGAATCAGCTTCTGTTGTACACAGACATGCTAAATAAAGACAATTGCTTAGATTAAGTAAAGCCACCAGTCTCCCTCATGTGCTAAACTGGTTTAACCCAATTGAGGTATGCCTAAACAAGGTACTAAGTATGTAGGAATGACAAAAATTCAATGCTAGAAGTACAAATTAGTTGAAAGCTGCTGGAAAGTTAATGACCAACACAGTCCAGAAAGTTCTGTTCAGTTTAAAATTTCCCCACAATTCAGTTTAATTGTAGTACATTAATGCACACAGCAGCTTTCAGTGGGTTGTAGATCTTGTTTCTCAAGGTTTTTTTTTTAATCAAAACTGTTTTTATTTCCCTAACTGTCCTTTTTTTTTGTCCAGTGTGGATCCGTACGGCTTTGAGCGCTCAGAGGACTTTGATTATGAGTCATATGAGGAGCTCATGTCTGAGTATCTGGTTGTGCTTACTCGACGATCTATCAAGTGGTCCAAACTGCTGAAGGGGAAAAACAAGGTGCAGAAGAATGTAAAATGTGAGTGTTAAAGCTGAACTTTGCCAGTATACTCGCAGAGAGAGGGAGAGTGTGTGAATATGTGTGTAAACTGAAGTAAATCTCCCTGTCGCCCTCAGTAAAACGTTATGTTCGTAAGGGGATTCCCAACGAGCACAGGACTCTGATCTGGATGGCATCCAGCGGGGCTCATGAAAAGCTGGAGAAGAACCCTGGATATTACCAGTCCATGCTGGGAGCCCAGCACGACCCCAAACTGGTGGAGACTATCAGCACAGGTGAGACTGTCCAAACAGTTTCTTGTTAACTCAGATGCACACTCAGACCTCAGTAAAAGCAACAGCATGCTTCACACTGACCCAAACTTTTTTGTGTGTGTGTCAAAAGTGGGTCAGTCTTTTGCTTTAGCTTGTACTGAAAACTTTATCAGATGCCTCTTGAGGGGGAAAAGCAATTGTTGTATCTAAACATGATGAAACAGTTATCTTAAATCAGATCAATCAGATCAAAAGTTCTAGTTTTTACATGTTGGGATTACAAAAGATGCAGGTCATATTTTGGTTTTCCAAGCTGCAAAAATGAACAACCCTTCGTGAGTAAAATGCAAAACTTTGACTGTAAGATCTGCTGAGGACATTGAAGAGTATCTAGGATGGCCAGCGGTAGATTTATAGGTATGCTGGTGTATCGGGTGATAAAAAAAAACTGCACAGAGCTTTTAAGAATTTCAAAACCCTGGAAAGTTTTCACAGCTGCAGTCAGTTTCTCCTTCTCAAATAAATCTCACCTCACCATGTGTGGAGTTCACGGGACAAAACAATCCACCAGATATTCGTGCCTTCATTGTGTATTTAATTGTGCTATTAACAGAACATGTCATCATCTGCAGTCGCTCGGTTAAGTATTACAAACTCTAACAACACTGTATAAACTGTATATGTATTTAAGCCTGCTGTGTTTGTTTTGATGTAATGTAAACTCACCAACACAGCAACAAAACTTGAAAAACATTCTCTCACACATGTAATTATGCTTACACAAGAGAGACAACAAACTGTTGAGGATTTTGTTCAAATACAGCCTGAATGACTGACTGACTGCTCCAGGACTGACCTGACTGTTGTCATACACTTATTTAGTGTGTTTTTCTCACAGACTTGAACAGAACTTTCCCAGACAACGTTCAGTTTCGCAAGACTTCCAGCGTATGTCTGCAGAAAGCTCTGAACAACGTGCTGCTGGCTTACGGCCACCACAACCCATCTGTGGGCTACTGTCAGGTAATATTGCTGACGATCCTGTTTGAGGTGGATTTTGCATCATATCAATGTTTTTTTTTTAGCTTTAATAAGGTGGAAGATTTCAAGTTGTTCTATGATTCACAGCTTATAATGAAGTTGAGATAAACTGTGTAGTATTTCTCTCAGAATACTTATTTTTCACTTGCTTTATGACTGATACACATTACATTACATTACAAAAATAAGCACAGCTGACTGAAATATACTTCAGTTTTTGTTAGAGTATAAAACAGATCAGGCATTGTGAAGTTTAGTGGGTAGAGTTACGCATTTCCTTCCACATGTTCACGTCAGTCTGAGAAGTAACTGCGCAAACACCCAACATGTTAGAACCCACTTTAAGTATAACCCACAAGCACCCAACTGTAGTCTCACTCGTCTCCTTTTTTTAGGCCCATTTTAATCTCTTAAAATTATCTTTGTTGCTTATAGTTTCATTTTAGCTTATTTATGTAGATTTCTATGGGTGTGCGTAAGTTTACTTTGAAATGGTACATCACATTTATAGAAACAAATCACACAAGGAATACATTTTTAGGAAGATTAGAGGGATGTGACTAAACCTTGTCTTTGTCTTTATACAAGTTTTCTAGTTTTATTCACTGTGTTTTATACTTTTCAAATTTGTGTTTTGGACCCATTTGGAGAGAAAACGGTTCTCCACAGGTCATGTCTTCTCAGAATTAAAAACTCTCAGCCTTTCTTTTAAATGGTTCGATGAAATAGTTCTATAGTAAAAGCAGCTTAGGTGGGATTATAGGATTGGTGTGTAACATGAGCGTTTTTCTCTTGTGTCTTCAGGGGATGAACTTCATAGCTGGGTATCTGCTTATTATCACCAAAGATGAGGAAAAATCCTTTTGGCTGATGGATGCATTACTCGGCAGAATTTTACCAGGTGTGTGTGAATGTGTGTGCGCAGTCATTTGCTGTTACTCTGATGTCATGGCGGCAGCAGTGTTTAGGTGCTCTAGTGGTCCCCTTCTCTCAAAAATAAACGGATAATGTTTAAGAGGTTACACAAGTTTTATCTGTCCATGGCCTCAGAATTACTTTGTGGTTTGGTTTGCAGCTTGAACTCTGTCAAACAAGTTCATGTTTATACAAATTAGATTATACCCAGTTTGGCAGTTGACAGAAGAAATAATCTGTTTTGGTATTAGACACACGACATGGTTCAGGAGTTCAACTGAATCAGGCTAATTTTAGTTTAAACTTTAATTAAAGTTTGCGTCACAAACAGGAATTTATTCAAGTCCTTACGCAGTTAATAAAAATCAGAGCACAACTCATGATGGTGCGTGTGTGCGTCTGTGTGATTCCAGACTACTACAGTCCAGCCATGCTGGGCCTGAAGACAGACCAGGAGGTTTTGGGGGAACTGGTGAAAATTAAAGCTCCCAGAGTCTGGCAGACCATGGTGGATCAGAACGTCATGTGGACCCTGGTGGTCTCTCGATGGTTCATTTGCCTGTACATAGATGTCTTACCTGTAGAGGTGAGTGTACCTGTGTTGATTTGTCTTACTTTGTGCAGTGAATAGATTCTAGATAGAGCTTGATTCCAGACTTCATTAAAACATTTACTGTAATTCATACAGAATATTCACTGGGCAGAAAAGATTTCAGGTTTTGTTTTTTTAAAAATACAATAACAGCTGTGCCAAAGCACACAGAGTATCAATTCCTCAGCAGAGATTTTTACTTGCACTGCTTTCATGAATTCAGGTAATAATGTCAAAAATCTGCCTTTTAGTAATCCTTCCCCTGAAACTTACAGTATAATCCAACAGTACTGTTGCTTATTCTTTCTGTCAGCCTGGAGAGAGGTGTGGTCTGCTGTGTTTTTTCTTTAAAAACAAATAGAGCTTCACTCAGAGGGTGTAACACATGCAGTGGTCGAAAATATTCCCACTATCTCATGATTCACCGGTTTCTTATCCCAAGATTGGTTCAGGGTTACTGCTGCAGCTGAGTTTTTTCTCAGTGTCACTTGATAGCAGCACCTGAGTTAAATGTGAACGACCATCAGCACTGTTGCAGAAAAGATGGAGGCTGTAACTTCATATAGACAAAGCCAATAGTTCCTGGGGCAAATATCTATTTCAAATATTGGCAACACAAAGATCATCCTCAACAACAGTGGAAAATTGCCTCTCTATCTCACTGGCATTGATAGAGATTGGGGAAGATTGGGGGAAAAACCAGGTGATATTTATGACTGAGCACTTTATGTTATGGGTGAGCTTTGTGCAGGTGCACGATTATGGACAAAACAGAGACATACAAACGGCACACAGGAAACATGCAAACAAGAGCTACAGACAAACAAAATCCAGCACCTCGCAGCATGTTTGCACAAAGTTAAGAATTCCCTAAGTCAATTAGAGCGTCAACAACAATAACACACTTGGACATTAACACACTCAGATGGTATTTACCACTAAAACACCGCTGCTCTCTCTCATTCGCTCACAACAGCAGCGGTTGAAAACATGAGTGTAAACCTGTGTGGTTTTTTTTATAGGCTTCAGTGCTTTTTAATTTTAGATAGATAATGATATGGATAATGGATGGTATTGTAAATAACAGGATTGTACCATTTATAAAATTTCAATTTAAAAAATGTGTAGAAGCATTTAAAAAAGTGACAACTGCAGCAAAAAGGTTTCTCTTTTAAGATCAGCAAAGGGAAACTAGGTTGAACAATATAAAGCTGTTCATTGTCTTGACTCAAATTTGAAGCGTGACCAGGATAACCTCATACTGCAAAATACTTTTAAGTGATAAAAAAAACCTTTCTTGTACTTTTCAGGCTCTTACTGGTGGTCATAATACGACTGTTTGCTCACTAAGTCAAGAGGAGCTCATAAATTCTCTGTTAACTTGCAGACTGTTCTGCGGATTTGGGATTGCCTGTTTTATGAGGGATCTAAAATCCTCTTCCGTGTAGCTTTGACACTGATCCACCACAATGAGGCTGTGATCCAGCAGGCTCAGTCACTTCCAGATGTCTGCCAAAGCTTTAAGCAGATCACCCATGGACCATTCGTGGATGAATGCCACACTTTCATGCAGGTAAAAGGAAACAGAAGTTTCCCAGCGTTACTTTTCGTGATGAATATTGTTTCAGTTCACTGGAGGACAAAGAAGGTGTAGAGGGGATGCCTTTGTTATTCGCTTTCTTCAATCCCTCGCTTATGGTGTTTTTGTCTTTCCCAGAAAATCTTCACTGAACCAGGAAGTCTCTCCATGGCAACCTTGACTAAGCTTCGAGAGAAATGTCGATCTCGCATCATTGCAGAAGAATCTTGAACCAAACACGACTACCTGCACAAAATTAAAACATTCCACTGGGCTCAGCACCCAGCGTCTATTTTTGCACATTTTTTACAGTCTTATTTTTACACAGGCAACTTACAGTGTAATGTCCGTCTTTAACAGATGATCATACAGGTTTAGTGTAAATATACGGTCAGAGATGAAGAATAATTATAGCTATGTGCTGTACTAACTTATAATTCCACATGACTTTAACATGTTAGTCTGTTTTTGTTTGTTGATATATGGTACTTAAAGGGATATTCTGGCGTAAAATTAATTTAGGGTCAAACACACCGTCACAACGAGTTAGACACCCCCACAAGAGATGAATGTTGCCGACCACTCGCTTCTCTAGTTATACCAACTTTAGTAACGACCGCAGGATAGCAATACACAGCAGTCTGAGGAGCCATAAACAAACCTCAACCAAAACGCCACTTTATAGCCACAAATAATGCTCAGAACAGCACCTAACTTCATCAACAGGACATATAGGGTCACAGACATAGTACTAGACACCAAACATCTTTTTAACTTTGACTAATTTCTTTAGCAAAGAGACTAAACATAACTCACCTACTCTCTTCCAGCAGTCGCTTGTTTGTATGGCGACCTTGACCTTGGGCGCGTCCAAACTTAGTACAGCAGGGTGACGCAGCTCAAGGAAGAACATTTAAGATCATTACTTTATGGAAATGGAAAGGCAGAAGAACTACCATGTCTGCAGTGCAAAAGGATTAATATGATGATTATTACCTCAAGTCTGAGGAGCCATTTCTTTATCATTTCCTTATGTGTATTGCTATCCTGTGGTCGTTACTAAAGTTGGTATAACTAGAAAAGCAAGCGGTCGGCAACATTCATCTCTCGAGGGGGTGTCTAACTCGGTGTTGCGATGTGTTCGACCCTAAATTAATTTCACGCTGGAATATCCCTTTAACACTTAACTCCATCAAATCAGACACACTGTAGAGGCTGTCAGACAATTGATGAGCTGCACACTGGTGTATATGTATATATTACTGTAATGAAAACACAGCCACAAGGCTTGCTACACCACTGCCTACTGAATTCACACTGTGCAGTCAAATTGACTAAACTCTCTGCTGGCACCGCCTGCTGTGGTAACTGAATGTGAATCTCATTTAATTTCTCCTTAACATTTCAAAATGGTTCTTAAATCTTCCTTTATTTTGTTGACGTTTTTTCTTGTGGTACATGATCTCAACTTTAATTTCAAATGCACTAAGATTCAGTTGTTGAAGCACAGTAAAACAGCTGTTTTCTTTCCTATAAAGGTGTGTTCAGTTTGTTCTGTCAGAGTCCTAAAGTCAGACTACATGACTGTGAGCCAAAATAATCTTGGCGTTGGTCCCGGCTCAGTATCCTGTCTAATCTGTGCAAGTCCAGAGCAAACGGCACTGTTTATTTCACACATAGCAAATCTGTTTAACAGCTCAAATCAACACTGCTGGGTTTTAAAGAGTTTTATTACCTCTCAGTTAGATGCATAATAGAAAACAAGTTCAAACCATCTTATTCAAAAAAAAATAAAAGACCAAATCACGACAGTTCATATCTACACGTCTTTCCAAAAAGTGGGGAGAAAGCAAGGACGAAGAGTTCATCCACGCACTATTTCACTCGTACTGTTAAACACGTTTGGTCATGCTGAGCTACCCTGTGAGTTTGAGCCTGACAACTATTCACTGTTCACTTAGAGCAGCAAACCACCCTTTTCTTACAGTATCAGCCATCGACTGTATATACTATGGACAACTTGGTTCTGCCTCCCGCCTGTATACGGGTTTGAAGTCGAAAAGCTCTCGGTATTTCCGTGATTTTTCTTCATTTCCTGAAACCAGTGCTGCGCAGTAGCGTTGTGCGCATTCGGCTGGAGAGTCGCTGTGATGACGCTCGGCTCAAACAGCGTATCCCCCCGGGTGAGCTATGCAATCCCTGAACGCCAATAGGCTGTATCAGGTGTCAATCAAAGAAAACTCAAACCCCTTAATAACTTTTAAAAACGGAGCTTCACAGAAAAAAGAGGACTTGAGTGCAAACCAGTCTGACAATAACTACATGTCGACATCGCAACCAGGGGGGAGAAACATTTATGTTCTGTGTAATAAATTTCTTAAGTTTGTCCACAGCTTCATAAGCTTTGCTGGCGAAGGCGGGATTTATGACCTATACTGCAGCCCGTCAACAGAGGGTGCTGTTCTCGGAGTGGCTTCACCCAGCGAGGAGGCAGACTCTGTCCATTCTATATACAGTCCATAGTATCAGCACTGTGCTAAGTAATTTGGATTTTGAGCACACAGTTAGCTCAGGCTGTTGGCTGTGGAGGAACATGATGAGAAAAGATACACATTCATTTCCCTTTTCTTGGAGTCACTGGGATTATCAGAGAGCTCAGGGGGCCCGTTCAAACAGCCGGTGGGTATGGGTAGGCTTAAGGAAACATCTTTTGACCAACAGTGGACAAGCTGTTTGCTCTCCCTCTGGATGAAATGCATGGGTAAACAGATTCATTAGGGCCCGAGCGTAGCTGCTAAGCAGCTGCGAGAGCCCTCTTGTTCCTGTAGTTTCCTTCTTTTGTTATTATTATTATTATTATTATTTTTCCTCCCCTTTGAACTGGAAAATGGCCCACTTCCCACTGGCGAAAACTCATGAAATTTGGCAGGACGACCGGGCCTGGTGAAAAATTTGATATTCCGAAGTCGCCCAAACAAGAAAATGCAAAATGGCTCCATAGCGCCCCCTAAGGTGAAAATTCACACTATTCACTGTCACGCCGGTACGCTTTGTCAAAATGACACAAAAATTGACACACACATGTATCTCAATAAGATCTACAAAAAAGTCAGTGCGGGCGTATCTGTCAAATGTACGGTTAAAGGGTTATTTCGCATTTTTTGCCGATCCGCACACATTGGAATTTCGCTAACTCCTCCGAAGGCTTTCGTTCCACCGGCACCACATTTGCTCAGGCCAATCTACACCCCATGGCCATTAAAAGTTATTCAAATCATGACGCTGCACCCCACGGTTTAGGTTCTAGGGGGCGCCAAAGATAACCCTAAGATCCACATATTTAAAAGTCTTATAACTTTTTATTTTTGCCCTCACTGGCCTCCAAGTTTTCTAGGATGATGCAATGTCCAGCCATCAACACATTTGTGAAGGAATTTTTACTCCCCAAAAGAGCGCCCCCCATGGCAGGAGAAAAAAGTCAATTTTTTCTTGTCCCCTAAGGTGAAAATACACATTGTTGAGTGTAACACCTGTACGCTTTGGCAAAATGACACAAAAATTGACACACACATGTATCTCAATAAGATCTACGAAAAAGTCAATGCGCGCGTATCTGTCAAATGTACGGTTAAAGGGTTATTCCGCATTTTTTGCCGATCCGCACACATTGGAATTTCGCTAACTCCTCCGAAGGCTTTCGTTCCACCGGCACCACAATTGCTCAGGCCAATCTACACCCCATGGCCATTAAAAGTTATTCAAATCATGACGCTGCACCCCACGGTTTAGGTTCTAGGGGGAGCCAAAGATAACCGTAAAATCCACATATTTAAAAGTCTTATAACTTTTTATTTTTGTCCCCACTGGCCTCCAAGTTTTCTAGGATAATGCAATGTCCAGCCATCAACACATTTGTGAAGGAATTTTTACTCGGCAAAAGAGCGCCCCCCATGGCAGGAGAAAAAAGTCAATTTTTTCTTGTCCACTAAGGTGAAAATACACATTGTTGAGTGCTACGCCTGTATGTTTTGTCGTATTGACACAAAATTTTACATACACGTGTATTTACATAAGATCTTCGAAAAAGTCAATGGCCACGTATCTGTAAAATGTACGGTTAAAGGGTTATTTCGCATTTTTTGCAGATTCGCACACATTGGAATTTCGCTAATTCCTCCGAAGGCTTTCGTTCCACCGGCACCACATTTGCTCAGGCCAATCTACACCCCATGGCCATTAAAAGTTATTCAAATCATGACGCTGCACCCCACGGTTTAGGTTCTAGGGGGCGCCAAATATAACCCAAAAATCCACATATTTAAAAGTCTTATAACTTTTTATTTTTGTCCTCACTGGCCTCCATGTTTTCTAGGATGATGCAATGTCCAGCCATCAACACATTTGTGAAGGAGTTTTTTCTCTTTAAAAGAGCGCCCCCCCCCCTATGGCAGGAGAATAAAGTCAAGTTTTTCCTGTTCATCATTCAATGGCTCAAACGCACTGCTCTCTCGGCAAAAGCGAAAGGAGGAGCAACTTGGCATTTGGATATATCTTAGCTGTGTTTGTGCCCTCACTCATGGTCCAGACTTTTTTCAAATAGGACATGGAGTTTTTCTGCAGCGAGCGTTTTGGTAGAAACTGCGCCTCCCGTTCATTATAATGGTAAATGACCACAAACAAGTGCGCACACCATCTTTGGACCTTGAGTGTGACGCGATCGGGTGGGGGAGGCGGTCGCGCTGGGGGCGGCGTGACACGGCTCGGGCCCGCCAGTGCCCCAACGGGGCCCTAGTTATAAATAATTACTGGACAATAACATTAAACAGCAGTTCAAGCAAATCCAACCAATTTCCAGAACACACAGGAACAGGAATAAAACAGCTGATAGTGAACTTACATTGCTTCACCCTCCCAGATGCCATCTATGTGGATGATCACACGGACTAAAGTTTGCAGATCTTTGGCTTCTAATCATCTCAAAGAGAAATTGAAAATAAAATATTCAGAGGTCACACCTGGTATGCAAAAACAGCATGCACTCACAACAGAGCACCACAATCATCCATTCACTCATTTTGCATCTAACAACCTGCTCACTCGCGCACACACACAGACACAGATTCATCTCCGCCCTTCAGTCTGCAGGTTTGAGTTATTGATGAAGAGTCAGTTCAGATGGTTTGGTATCCAGCGTGGCTCCTCTTCCTGCCTATTAGATAAGCAATGAGGACGATGAGCACCAAGCCAGCGAGAGCTGCTCCGACGATGATGGGGATCAGCATTTGTGTTTGGTCTATCTGACACTCCTCCGCTAAAGGTGAAGAAAAGAAATTAGTTTGCAGGTTTTTAGATCTTGATATGCCAAATTCTTTGTATATTATTTCTTTGTATCTACTGCTGGGGAAGTCTGGTGTGACTGTATTTAAAATTGTCAGATGCCTTTTTGAAATGTTGAATAGAGGGATTACTGTTTCTAAACCCATGGCCCTTTGAGTTCAAGACTGTTTGAGGCCGGTCCAAAACCTCGCTGTTCAAAAATTTTGAATGTTCTCATTAATGGTGGAAACAACCCAGAAAAAAGAAAGCCTTTTTAAAATGGGGTTATGAACTATCGCTAATGGAGCAGTTACAACTAGTCCCTACATACGATTTATAAAAAGCTTTAAATACCAGAAAAGGCCCTTATTCACTGTCTTGTTAGAAATGAGATGAAATGAACACACCTCTTTCGTGTCTGTCCTTTAATTATGAGAGCCTCACCCAACTGACAGTCAGTTCAATCAAAGCTTCGCATAAAGACATGATTCAAGGTGAAAATGCTAATGGGAAGTTTTATGCTGTTACTCTTTGTTGTGATTTACAGATTAGAGGGTTCCCACTGAGCATTTTTTGGTCTAAAAGAGGTCTAATAGACGTCTAAATGTAGTCTAGACGAGTGTTCTAAAATCAGGCTACCACAGGTCTAAAAATGAAAGTTTTTTAGATGTCTAAGTTTAGACCAAGTCTAAATCTGGGCTATATCTGTACTATGTATTTTGCTCAACGGCTATCATAATTATTTTGGTTAAGTACTTGGAGATCAGTCATGCGAATCACAGTTGCTTTTTGGATTAAATAGTTATGAAATAATGGGTTACGGTGCAACGTGTAGATTCCATCTAAAAATATACAGAATCTGGACGGTTGAAAAAACGACTAGACGTCTAATAGCCGTCTGTTGCTCAGAGGGTTATAAATGCAGTCATGTAAATCCAACAGTTTCAAACTATCCCTTTCAATCTGCATTTTCTCTTTAAACCTTTAGCACCAACATCAGAGGACAATGTTTAAGAGATTGAAAAGCAACTGGGAGTTTCAAAGAAAGCTCTGTTACCTGTAGCAAACTGGTTTGTGGTGACTTCAAAGGGTTGCACCTGCACCCTGAATGTGTTGAGAGAGAAAGTTGGCACCACAGCTAGAGTTTGCTCTGCATTGCACATGTAGGAGCGGCCCAGTGTGCTCCTTAGGTAATCCAGACTGGTGTTACTGGCCAAGAAGGGAGCTGCAGAGAGAGAGAGAGAGAGAGAGAAAGGTGGGGCAGTGAGTCTTTGAATCTAAGAACTCAGAGCCAAGAAAGCTACGTATGTCGCACTAAACAATGACATACCTGTCATGTCAGACCAATTAGCAAGGAGGGTGATTGCACTCAGTCGGTATTTGTTGCTTGTGGAGTTCTGTGAAAAGGTAGAGAGGAATTCAATTAACACGGTCCAAGAGCAAAAAGGCTAAAAAGCTGCTTATTTCCTGTAAGAGAAAGTTTGATGTTACCAGAGTGAAGGTGAGATTAAGCATGGTGATTTGTTCCTGTGTTAAAACCAAAGACGCACTGCTGGGTTCACATGATCCTGACACACTGGTCTCATTGGGACTCAGATTTACCAGTTCTTGGATTGTCTAGAAAAAAAAAGATGAATGTGTTTAAATTGCATTATGCTGCAAAGAAAATAAATAAGTTTATTACTTCTTTACTTTGAGTTGTAAATCTCTCATTTACCTTGTTTTGGGATAGAGAGAAATAGGAGACGTTGAGCTGCAGTCCCATGCGGGCCAAGAGACACACTGTGCCGTTGATGTTGTTTACGGAGTATGTGCCCCGTTCAGGTGTTCCTGGAGGGGTTGGTGGTAGGGCTGTCGTTGTTGTAGTGCTGGCAGTGGTGGGTGGAGCTGTGGTGCTGGTCTGATCTGCGATGCAAACGCTCTCTGCAGTAAGAGAAATTAAACAGATTCGATGATCAACCGTGGAAATCAAACAATCTTGACTGTGCACACTCAGGAACACACACGCCGTCAGAGTGAGTACCTGTTGGACTCAGGTCATTTCCTGGCATGTACGCCTCCAGCTTCATGCCAGAAAAAGTGACGGTTGCTCCACCGACGCTGACAGCAGTGGGACTGTCACAGCGATAAGTGGTGTTGATCGTCGCAGAGATCCCGACGGATGATGACACAACGGTGACAACATCTGCAACAAAATCAAACAAACAAAACTGAGTTTGAAATATCATAGTGGTATATATGTGCATGTTTTTAACCACTATGATACGATATTATCACGATACTTGGGCCACGATACGATATTATTGCGATATTTAACATTTTGCAATACAGTGTGTATTGCGATACAATATATTGCGATTTATACAATTTTTTCAACTGTTTAACTAATTTAGCATTTTTATTTCCTTTATATTTGTCTTATTTACGTTGTATTTCATTTTCATGTAGCACATTATGCAAACCTTATATGTATATATTTGTTGTACTAACTTTCTCCTGCTCTACGGTGTCACCTCTGCCAACCTCACTGAACAAAAAGTTGATTTTATTTTTCCATTATCATAGATCTGACTTCATATTAATTAATTTAAAAAATCGATGTTTGGTAAATGAGACAATTTGATATATCACCAGAGAAAATATCACGATACTATGCTGTATCGATTTTTGCTCCCACCTCTATCAACCACACAACACCAGTCTAGATTAACTCTGAAGTGCCTTTGGGTTTATTCTCACCAGGGCTGTCAGCATCAGGGAAGATCGAAGTGTCGCTGAGGTTGTACTGCAGCATTAGAGTAGCAACACTATACAGACTTCCATTGGATGAGAAACCCAGCCCCAGAGCATGGCCAGGCCCGAACACGGCTACCAGCCACGGTGAGCTGCTCGCTGTGCCGCATGAGCTGCTGCCTGCTTCAACTGTGGAGGAGTCAGGCAGAGAGACCTGCACTGTTCTCTGAAGGGAAGACATAAGATACAGGCGGTGCTCACAAGTGATATGCTCAATCAGATCAGCGTTAAGAATCAGTCCAGTGGTTCAGAGACATACTGTCAGTGTACTCACCGTGCTGCTGGAGGTGTTATATGTGATGGTGAAGGATACAGAAAGCTCTGCCTTGATGCAGGTGGTGTTTCCTTCTTTCACCTCCAGAGTAACAGCCTGAATATGACCTGACAAGGAGAGAACAGTGAGGGCAAAATGTCAAAACATGTAAACATAAGATATAAAAATACCTGTAATCGCTCATTGTATTCAGATCAAATATAAATGGCACAGTAATAACACTTGGTGTTTGTCTCACAATACTAAATCATCCCACGATGCAAATCAATGTGTAGTTAAATAAGACATTTTCAATTTGACCTGATTATAATAAGTGATAGTCCCACAGTTAAAGTTTATTATTGTATGTCACCATCTCTGTTGCTAAGATATAATAAAACACATAATAATATAATAAAACACACTTGTTTGTTGCTGGAATATTCATTATCTTGATGTCCTCGATTCAATATGACCGACCTGGTCTGATAAAGACTCCCTTTATGAGTATAAATGATAACAGAGGATTATAATAACGTAACCACTCCTGTCACATGATGTTATGTCCTACATTCACAACTGAGCAGTTCACATCAGTCACCAGCAGAGGTCTCCAGACTCTTTCCTGTAAGAATTTTTGAGTCCAGAAAAAGCAGCGGCTGTTTCACTCCATGTGCAACAAGTGAAGAGCCAAACTTTTGCCTCCTATAAACAGAATTACCATGAAGAATTCGCCTGCTACACCAACCTGGCATCTTTTGCATTTTCATAATACAGTAGGCTATTTATATCTTTATGCTTTGGAAACTGCAAACTCACTGCTGCTGTCAACGTGCCTGTGTGTGAGGATAACATTCAGACCTTTTGTTTGAGAGCAATGGTGGCTTTTTAGGACTTGCTCATATCAATTCTCCTGAGAATGTTTCTCTTAAATGCAAAAGGTATAAACCTAACACAGGAATTTTACTGCTAAGTTCAATATCACTTTCATATCTACAAACAGGTCAAGACAGTTTGTCCAGAGTGGCTTTTTATGACCCCAGCTACACAGTATAATTGTGTTTTATTTTCAGATTCTATCCAGTACGGTCAAACTTCAATGCTATAAAAACTACTCATAACATAATAAATGCTGATTACCAGCTTGTTTCCTTATAAACAGATTTATTTGACTGTTTGTTCATGTGTGGTGCGAGTCGCCCATCATGCTGCCGTTACTAATTTTATAACTCACTTATTACACAACCAAGTGACTGAACGCTCTCCCCTCCTTTCTTTCCTCATCCTCCTGAGCTTTCAGTCTATTGATCTCATTGGAAAAAAGTACTGCATGTCTGTGCTGTACAGGGTAAAACATGCACTCTCTTCCTTGCTGCCTCACTGAAACTTGACCCAGATGTCACCTCTCTGTTCACTATGTAAACACACAGTAGACGGTTTTCACAACACCGCAATCCGATCATGAGGTGTCTGACTGTGTATACTGAGCTTTAGATAGCAGCATCAGGTAGTCTTTATGGAGAAGATAACAAACAGAGAAGTATCCCACAATGCCTCTTGTGATGTGGAAATGATGGTGTTGATGCCCAAGAGTTTAAAGATCACTAAGGTCCAGCTGTATACAACACAACTACTCAAACTAAAGTTAAACTGGGCTCTTTCACTGCCAGCAACCAGTTGTCTGTTTGTGTGCGACTGATCGGGGCGATTATAAATGCTGATACTCACCCTGACAGTAGGCCCCTAAAGGCCTGTGTGCCAACAAAAACCATCACTGAGTCATGTGAAGCTCTCAAATGACACAACAATGGGGTCAATCTGGTCCACAACATTCACAAAACACAGCTATGAGAATAGAACAGAATAGAAGTCCAAAGACTTTTCTCAATCTGGCCTGTCTGTTTTGACTCGCCATTATTATAAGGAAAGTTAACCTTTGTGTTTTAGAAGTTCTCAAAGTCCACCTGGACCTTGAAAGGCAGTGACTCTTGCGACACTTTGGCGATCTACTTCAGGTCAAACTTTCAAGCTTTGTAGTTCCCACTAGTTCCTTATCTTACATTCCCATTTTGGTCAAACACTTAAAGAACAAAACTGGTTTTCTACGACCTGCAGGTAGTTTAAGGGGAAAATAACTTGTTATAGCTGCACAGAATATGTCACATGTAGGGGCCTACTTTAAACGTAGTTCTTTGCCAAAGTAGGGCATGTGTCATCTGCTGTATATAATCTATATAGGGGGAGAGTGGGGTGAGATGAGACAGTTTTTCATATTTCGGATCACTACATCAAGTCAATCATAGTTTTCTCTCTAACTCGTGTATCTGCATATATTTCAGGATGTTGTTCATCCCTGCAAACCAACAGAATGAGTGTAAACATAACTGTCTCCTATGGTCAACTTACCCCGTGTATGGGGTAAGTTGACTCTCCACCCCAGCCCTCCCTCACCTTCTCTCTCCCTAAATAACAGTCACTTCTTCACATTTATGTGTACTTTTATCTGTTATACGCTATTCAACTGGTACAATAATTCTTATTATTATTGCATATAACTGCTAAAAACATGTTTTGTAAAAAGTCATTTTAACATAAGAATGTCTTTAAGTGATTCAGAACATTCACAGCTGTATTTTACAAAAGAAAAAGTCAAACATTTCAACAATCTGAACTGAAACTCTGATCCTCTCATCAGACTTCTTTACCCCTGAACTACTGTTATGACTTTATTAGTCCTCTAAACTAAAATGGTGGGCTTTTATTCTAGGTTTTTGATGTTGTAGCTCATAGATATCACAATCGATATATAAATCAGATTTAAAATGATCTTTTCTGGTCTGAACAATTCTAATAAAACTTATGACAGACTAAATTCACTTTTAAGAGTGAAAAATGTTCACCCATGTGCTTCTAACCTTCACAGACTCCATGAATTGATGCCCATCTCCTAAATATTTGGTCACATGATCAATTTACTTTACTATTTCCAAGAAACAGGGGGTGGCTCAACTTGCCCCACTCTCCCCTACTCTACAAAACTATGTCTATTCCTGTGACTGGCAGATTCCTGTAAAATCAACATTACACACCCTACTAACTTCAGTAAAGTCCTGGTATGCTCTACTGCACTAATCTGCAACTATTAACTCCATGTTTGTCAGTCAAATAAAACAAAATAACAACCTCTAATAGGTTTAAATATTGAATTTGCCATAATTGAATTGAAATAGTCTCATTTTTTGGAAAAGCTGGAACTTCCTCGGTCAGTCTTGGGTCGAGCTCTAGTTTAACATGTGTCTGTCTGGCTCCCTCCATTGTTCCAGGTAAAGAGGTAAACACCTGGTTGAACTGCACGAGCTCACTTGTTAGTATGGACAACCGTGTGACGTCACTCCTAACAAAACCGTGTCAAATGCGGAAAAAACACTCACCTGTTACCGAAAACCAAGCGATGATGAGCACGGCCAAACTGTGGTGGAGCTTCATATTTCAGGATATCTCGGAGGAGGACGCAGAGAGGTGCCGTTACTTCGCCGCTGCAGGCGCAGGTAGGTCCTCACGAGCGCGCCGCGGATTGCACTTGACTTGACGGACTGACTGACTGAGATAAAGAAGAGTCACTTCGGCTCCCACTGCTGAGGTTTACGCTCCTTTAATGCCCGAAGAAAGTCGATAGAAAATCTCAGCCTTCATCAAGCTTGTCCTGTAGTAAAACGGACAGAAAAACACGGTTAGATGTCGGTCACAGGCGCGTTGGCTGCATAAGCCATGTCTCCTCACGTCATGTGAACTGGTTGCATTTAGAGCTTCTCGGTCACGTGAGGCTGCCCCTCCACCCCCCACCCCACCCCCATTCTTTCACGAGCTTCATTCAAGGCAATACTTATCAGCTATCCTCTGCCCTTTAAAGAAAACACACTCATAAATGAGAACAGCAAAAGTGAACACTGCACCTCTGTCTGTAATAGTGTTGTTAAAAGACGTGTATTCATATATATGACATGTTGCAGACTTATATAACTACACATTGTAGGGGGTGGGTGATACCAGAAGGTGCTCAGACCCTTGAAGAGAAAAAAGTGCACTTCCAAGAAAAATGTTACGATGAAATGACTTACACTTGTGACTCATGTCAAGAGTAATAAATCATAACTTATTAAAATGTGATGACTAATAGTGTCTATCATTGTTTATCTGAAAAATATAGGGGAGAGTGGGGTAAGTTGAGCCACCCCCTGTTGTTTGGAAATGGTAAAAGAAATTGATCATGTGACCAAATGTTTAAGAGATGAAGCATCAATTCATGGAGTCTGTGAAGGTTAGAAGTACATGGGTGAAGGGGTTAGACATTTATTTACAAAAAAAAACATTTTTCACTCTTGAAAGTGAATTTAGTCTGTCATAAGTTTTACCAGAATTGTGTTCAGACCAAAAAAGATCATTTTAATTGTAATAGTAAATAATTTTCTATTGCGGCTTGGTGGCTGTCTAGCTTGAGTCTGGTCCTACCCAAGGTTTCTGCCTGTTAAAAGGAAGTTTTTCTTTTCCACTGTTACTCATGTTAGATGAGATGGGCCAAATCCCTTCTTAGGTTGGGTCTTGACAATTCATCAAACAATGAGCGTGGTCTAGACCTGCTCTTGGGATGACAACTGTTGTGAATTGGCGCTATATAAATAAAATTTGATTTGATTTTAAGTTTGTTTTATACCTCATTTGTGGTACCTATGAGCTACAACATAAAAGTCCACCATTATCATTATCAAGACAGTTCTGTTTACACTCATTCTGTTGGTTTGCAGGGATGAACAACATCTTAAAATACATACAGATTAACTAGTTAGAGACAAAACTATGATCGCCCTGATGTAGTGATCCGAAATATGAAAAATGGCTCATCTTACCCCACTCTCCCCTCCTGTAATTGTAGAGATAATGGCTTTCAGGTAGAGCAGTGGTCGTGAAAGGGTGAATTCATAAATGCAAACATGACCATAACATTCCTGAAATATCTGCCCAGCATGCAAAAGATAAACTATATGGTAAATGTATGAACTGGAGCACAGCAGAGTTTCTGTAAAAGGGAAGGTAGCATGTGAGAGTCTACACACACACACTCTCACTCACACACACACACTGATGTGCAGGCTGAAAGTGCATGAGTTGCAAGTAGTCAGCTGACACCTTCATCAATTCACGAGGGTGTGTAAAACCCCAGAAGGAACGCAGGGGCTGCTTTAATGCTGCTGTCCAAGACTTATCAGGACCCCACCACATTCCCCTTGCATAGTTTGGTCACACTTTGTGACAAACTTCATGCTTTTTGTGTCTTGAAATTTCAGCATGTTGTGAAGAAAGTATAGCCCTTGACGACACATTGTGTAATATCCTTTTTGTAATCATGTACTTTCATTGTGTAAGATTTTCAGTTCCATCTTCCAGTAACTTGAGACGTTAAAACCCTCTTTATAAGGAATAACTTATACTCATTCATAAAAGAGAAGTATCTCATCCATCATTGCTCAAATGTGTTGTGAGAACACATGCTGTTTGCTCTGAGTGGTACAGGCAGGAAGAGTGTGAGATGTGTTAGAAATGCTGATTTTTGATTCTTGATTGGAAATAAGACAGACACATAAAGGCCAGAAATCACTCATGCAATTCACTTGTCTAAACTCACATTATAAAGAGTAACTTTTAGATCAAATGCAGGTATTGTTTAACTGGGGCACAACTTGTTTCTAGTGTTTTGTTTTGATTGATATGACACCCAGCTGTAACTCTAGTAAGCTATGTTGCGAACTCCAGTTAAGAAGAGAAGCAACAGGGTGTGTTCAGGACTTAAAAAATAAGAAAAATAATAACAACCACCAGCTGGTTATCCACAAATCATTCAGTGAATCATTAAATATCCATTTATTCAGGTTCACTTTTCTCACTCTTACATAGAATACAATCTGATCTACAAAAACGTCAGCACATAACATTGGACATTTGAACATTTTGGTCAAAACATATAAGGTACCCAAAGAAATACCCAAGTGGCTTACCTGTGTGTCAATCAGCTTCTGTGTGACAAACAACACCCCCCTCCCCCCCCAAAGACCACCCATGTCCAACCCATCCACTGCTTCATGCCTCTCAAGTCTTTTCTTGCATCTTTTTATGCATTCAACTGTTTATCTGGCAAAACAAGCAACCAACCAATCAGGTTTCCACTTAGCGATTGTTGAAGCCATTCATGAAGATAAGCCCTGATCAAAAAAAAAAACAAAAACTTAAAACCCAAGACAAACTGGCTATAGTAGAAAATAAGTGATTTTAGAACAATTGATGGAGAAAAAACAAAAATCCCAATCCAGAAAAAGAAAAAAAAAATCAGATTAGAGGAAAAGTGCTAAGTTATTTTCAGTTGAGTTTTGCATTAGCATTTTTGTAAGTCACATAAACCAACCATCGAAAACCCATGTAGCTCCTCCAGCCCCCTCCCACTGAAGATCGTAGGAACAGTCCAGCCAAGTCTCTCTCTTGTCTCCGGAGCTCTGCGTGATCTGGACACTGCATCCAGAATTGTGAATGGAGGGGGGGAAATGAGCACCAGAGGGGATTTTGGGGGGGCTGTAGGGCTGTGATACTGTGTTTTTGGGGGGTAGCCAGCTGTATGCTTGCTGTGAGGAAAGCATGGCTTGAACAGTGGCTCCCTTTCAGGCAACATAGTGGTACTGGTTTGGAGTCTCCTTGTCCCGTTCCATGTAGTCTCTGTCTATGAGCGACTCAATGCGCTTTTTCAGATCCCCTGGCTATGGAGAGAACAGAAAAGTCAGATGATGTGGGCTTCGTGTGTGTTGGAAGAAAAGGAATATAACGGTGAGGACACTTTACCTTGACGGGGAACTTGAGCTGGTTGTACAGCTCTGATACCAGAAGGTTGTGACTGAGAGTCTTCCTCATTTTCATGATGCGCACCACAGCTGCATCGATCTGATACTGCCTGTCCTGAAACACCCGCTCTGTGGTGCTCACCTGCTCCTCTACCTGCAAGAATCAGAGCCCCAGTTTTATCGAATTGGCAAACATGTCTAAGTATAGAAATAAGCATAAAGATATAAAAAAAGAGAATACAGAAACTGATTGAAACATTGCCAAATAAGAAAATACTGGCCAAGGTTTAAAGATCGGAGGCCTATATGGTTAAAGACGAGGGTGTGTGTGCTGTTGTTTTACCGTTTCCTTCATTTGGATCTGGTTGATCTTGATGCGAAACAGTTTGTGTTTAAAGTCATTGTTGAAATTAAAACGGTCTCCGTCCTCCACATCTTTCCCTCGGGGGTTTTTGTTGAGGACACGGGCTTTTCCGCAGGCCAGAGACTGCAGCGTGCGTCTGAGTTCCCCTTCCTCTGCGCAGGATAAGAAAGAGTGATGTTTTAAGTAAGGTTCCTCTTCGAAAACAGAATACTTATTCTACATATTTGTACACATAGTTAACCTATGCCAGTGGCCGTGCGGATCTCCTCCATGCTGAATTCTTCCCCCTCCGTAAACATAAGCAGCACCAGCGTCTGGAACAGAGAGACCTGCAGCTCCTTCTTACCCTGCAGGAGAAAGAAGTCCTCGTCACTTAAGACATTTACACCTCCCTTTATAAACAGAAACATTACCACAACCTTACCTCTTTAAACTCTGCCTTTAATACAGCATGGCCCAGCGTTGGCTGCCACTGCAGCTTCCTCCCGCTGTGCTTCCCCAGATAGAACAGCTTAAACACCTCCTGAAGTTTAACCATCTATAAAACAGCAAGGAGAGGATATTAGCATCAAGATTGTCCTGAAACCACTCTCTACAATGTTATTCAACCTGGAACAAAAGTTGAAAAATAGCAATAGCTATAATCTCTATATGAAAAATACCATTTAATACAGCTTTATTTAATAACAGACAGAAGTTGTCCCGTGTAATTTGCATTGTCTCTGTCAATTAAAGTATTTAAATAAAAAATATAATTTAAAAATTTAATTTAAATAGTAAATTTCACCTTTGTCCCCTAATTTCTTCCAATGTGTTAGTCAGTCCAAAACACAGATTTAATATTAGTTTTACAATTTGCCATAAAAAAAATACGAGTACATGTTTGTTTATTTGTGCAAAATGCTATAAAAGCTTTTTTTTTTTCTTTTTTTTTTAAAATCATACAATCATCAAAATCACAATTATTTGTTTGTCAAGTCAACAACCTTTTCATTAAAGCTCCAACATCACATCAATTATACCGTGGATCCAGGTGTTTGAATACACAAATGACAAAAGTCAAAAATAAAATCTAACTCTTTATTATATTGTATTTATACTTAATTTATATTGTGTGCAATTTCTGTGGATTTGATGTGCTTTTCGAGTGAATTTTGTCTCCGCATCAGAGTAAACCGTGAGCTCACAGAAGTGCACAACAACCGTAGAGAGAGCTTACCTCTGAGGGCAGGTGGACCTCCATGGGTGTGTATGAAGGCCAGTAGCCCATGGTGAGGATATTGACTGTCAGTTCTATGTTGCTTGGTTCACTCTGGTTCTGCATATACTGATGCAAAAATGAATGAAACACAGTTAGCACCATACTGGTGGTTAGCACATGCATGTGTTGAGTGCCTGCACAGAGGCTGCACAAACCTGTTTGAACTGGATCATTATGTCTTTGGACAGCTCCATGTCCTTAAACATCCCCTCTAACTTGCTGGTAAATGCTGCTCCGCATTCTGGGGGAAGTGAAAATTGAAAAAAAAAAAAATCACATCTGACTTAATTTCACACCTCTCACATACACAAATGACAGAGCATTCCAGGCTGTGCTGCACTGCTAGAAACACTGAAGATTTCGACCCTCTAGTGCACAAAAGAAAGTGAAGAGGAAACTTTAACCAAAGTAAATATGAGCGTGTTTTAAAACATTTAACTGCACGATTTTATCAGAACAGGAAGTGGTGAACAGGGAATGAAGGGTCTACAAAAGTACAGAGGTCACGTCTAAGTAGACAAAAAGTTTTTCAATCCCAGAGGGGGAAGAGGGACATGAATAAAACAGTGAGGGAGTGTTGCAGCCTGATATTGTTCTCATGTATTCCTTCCTCCTTCTCATGACTGTTAGTTTGCAAAAGCTATGAGCTTGATACGAAGAATTCCACTCGTTCACCCATCTATATAGGCCTGGGTTTTTTTTGTGTCTTAAATTGAACATGTCTAACCTAAGAACAACACTAAATGGAGAGGCACTTTGAATCTTAAACAATAGCAAAAGCTCATGTCATTACTGATCTTGCACTGGCAGGTCAAAACAAATGTTTCCTCACAACTGTCCTTTCAGCGCCTTTCACTGAATATTCGAGAACCTAAATAAAGCCGTGTTTAAATACCACCAATTATCACACAACCATGAGCGAGCTCAGCATTCTTACTTATGACAACCTGCTTTTTAAAATATGAGACAATGGACCAGAGGCTCACCGTGTTTGAGTTTGGACAGCATGGACTTTTCAGCATCAACAGAAGCACTCTTGCCGACCAGCAGACGTTTGGCCAAGTCCTTCTTATAAAACGCTTCAAACACATCTTTCCCTGGAGGGGGAGAAAAAACAGAGCTCAGACGAATACGCTAGAAAAATAATTACGCCAGCAAATCAAACCAACAGCACAGACACGGTCACATCAATTTGCATAAAAGCATAACTGACCATGAATGAATCTGAAGATGATCATTATCTTGTCCAGGATTCGCTCGAGCTCCTCCTCTGTGGCCTCCTTGTTCCCCGCTCTTAACTTAGAATCCACATATTTTGCTGAATGAGAAGAAAAACATAGAAAAGCTATTATCATGTGCGTGAAATAACCAGAAAACAGCAGTTAAATGGGCAATTAAGATGATTACTGAGTACAAACACTGTATTATGTATTTAACATTTGTAAGACCAGAAATCAGCACTTCAGTGTGAAGATGTTTTTTTCTGACCCACCGATAAGTTCTGCAGGTTTGTTGGGCCTCTTGTTGATGAACGTCTCAAAGGCCTCCTTCATCGCATTGATGAATCCCTCATTCCGGGTAAAGCAGTTCTGTGCCACATTATCCATCTTGTCCTTGAAGTCCAGAAGCTCTTGCACCATGTCTTTGTCTTTTTCTGGAGTACAGACGATTTCTCCTCCGAAGGACTGAGACGACAGAGAGTTGCACCAACGTGTAAATATGCGGGGCAAATTAAAAGGACGTGGTTTCGTGGTATGACTGTTTTGTGTGGTATGTCTGCAGATATAGAATGAGAGGTGAGGCCAGATGTGTACCTTTATGTAGTCCCTCCAGAACTGCAGCAGCGTGGGAAGTCCTCCCTTCACTTTGCTGAAGAGCTGGTACAGGAGAGCCAACTCTGTCACACGATTCTCATCCAGGAGGGTGCTCAGACCTGGGACAAACACAGAGCAGATTTTCACCATTTAAATTAAAATGAGAAAAAAATTCTGCGTCATGTTTGAAAGAAAGTACATGATATTGTCTTTTGCATGTGCTGAGGGTTACTTTGATGCTTCGAGTCTCACTCCATCGTGCAGCAGACGTACCTTTTTGTAGTATTGCAGTCATGTGCTCTCCTAAAAGTTGTTTTTCAACACAACTAATGAGGGGTTTCCTGTGAAACAATCAGGACAAAATGTGCACAGAGGAATCAGACAAAGTGCCAAGAAGCCAGATGACATGTATAACTTATGATTTAATGACCTCCTTTTAAGATGCCTTCAACATTTCAGCTGAACCTTTTTTTTTTGTTCAAAAATTACAGCTTCAACTGCAGCTCAGGGTCGTGTGTTTAAAAGTGCTTGGAAATGTCGCAGCTAATGACGATAAATTCAAAAAGGTTTGGGGACCTTTTCTGGACCACATTCAGAAACTCTCATCATTTTGACCGAGCACGCTCCTCTTCTAGTTGTTTTTTTTTTATATATATGTATCTGTGATGTTTTATAATCATACAATTTGAATTTTTATCTTTTTTGATGGACTTTTTCAGTTTTCAGCGACTTGTCTACAGATGTATTTCTCTTGATGTGCAGTAGTTCATTTAACTTATTTTCTTACCCTATTATTTCTCAACGTCTTACATATTTCAAGATCTACAAAACCCAAATTCCAGCACTTACTTTTTTTAAATCTTTGTTTTAGCTCCAGAATTTGTTATTTAAGCACAGTAATAGGAATATCCAGCAGTAGACAGGGTCTTGAGGGAAACGGGGTGTTTGTGACGTGTTTCTTTTGTATCTGCAAAAACGAGCTATACATATTAACTGAGCCACTTTTTCTAAATTCTTAGGTTATGAAATTTTATGAGCTGTTTTATTATAAAATAATGCAAATAATGTTTAGAGCAAAATCAAAAATGCTCCTTGACTCACTACAGAAGTTCTTTTTAATTGAGGACAGTCTCAGAGGTGCTTGCAAATTTGCTGTACAAAAAGCTAAAAAAAAAAAGGTATGAAAAGGAGATGTGTCCCCATTATTGGAGTTAAATTCTGAAATAATGCCAACAGAAATCTAAAAACATGTCATTCTTTTTTGTTTTTTAAGAAAACGGTTTGTAAAGCTAGTTTTGAAGCTTATAAGTGCGATTAATTATCCGTTGTTGTGGTTTCTTTGCTTTTCTGGAGGTCGGTCACCTAAAAGTTGACATCACAGGATTGGCTTTTATAAGCAGTTTGCTTCTGCTTCTTCAGTCAATATTCAAAACATGATTCTTGATTTAGTAATTTTGTGTGAAATGTCAATTTTGTGTACAATATTTGGTGTTGTCATGACTGAATAAACTACTACTACTACTACTATCTTGTGCTGTTTCAAGAGCTGTACTGTTTTAATCTGTATAAAACTAATAAAAATATTGTTGAGTAAAAAGAAGTGCTTCGAAAAAATAAATAAAACAGTAATTCCTGGACAATTAGTAATTATAACCCTGTGTACTGGAATTGTAAGTCGTCAGATGTCACTGTAGAGACCGGTTTGCAGTCTATTCAACACTCTAGAGCAGTCACAATAGTAATTCATATTCATTATCTTTTGTGAAGTTTAATTTTAGTGATTAAGGATCTATGGGGAAAAGATAATGTGAAGTAAAAAGGTAATTACTGAGTGCTCTGGTCGAGGTAGCTCAGAATACGATCATTCTCTTCCTCCAACCGACGAGCCACATGGTGCAGGTACTCAGGCACCTGGATTCAACACAAACACACATGCAGATCTGATTATTGCTGGATAACTTCATACATGACAAACCAAGAAACAGAGAAGTCTCACTCACATCTCTCTCTTGCATCAGCCGCTGTCCCTCTGCTGCATACAGGCGATTGGTCTCGATCAGAAATCTCTCCTCAAAGGAGTCTTTGTAAACCTGATTAACAGCCAAGACAGTCGAGAGGTTGAAACCGCAGCAGTTTCAGTTTATGTACTGATAAGTCTTCTTGAACGTTTGATCGGGTACCTGTAGGTCAGACAGCATGCCCAGCAGACTCCTGAGCAGACTGCGGTCTATTGTCTCTCCATTCCTCTCAAGTTCTATCTGCTCCAAAATGCCGTCGACTGTCCGCTTCTGCACACCGCTGTCACTCACGATATGGGTACGAAACAGCTCCAACCCAGTGTCCCTGCAGCAAACACATGACATCAGTCTCCCAGAAGAAGCTCAAAACACAGAATGATTTCAATGAAGTCGAACTTTACCAGATGGAGGGTAGTAATGAGTTCTGAAGCACGTAGGTACGATCCAGGAAAAGAAAGATACTTCGGATCATTATCTGTAAAAGGACAAATAAAAAAGTGGGACTTACTGTCCTGTGAGCTCAACAGATCTTTATCTATGATATAGTCCTCGACAACATACTTACAGTTTGCCTGCAGTGGTCCTGCCAGCAGCGGTTCATTCGCTTGAGGAAGGAAAGGTTGTCCAGAGACTCTGTGAACTCAGTGTTAAGAAAAAAAAAAAACTCCTTTATGCAAAAAAAAAGGAAAGAAACTCAGATCAGAGTGTGCTGTGGGAAAGCAGCATGTATCAACACCCTGGACACAGCCTTATTTGGATGTGGAAGTAATACCCTCCATACTTGTATTTTGTTGACCCCTTGTGAGAACAGACTGCAACAACACCCACCAGATGCCAGAGCCAATACTTGTCTGAGGAGAGTCTGTTGATGCTTCGCCATTTGTCTTATCAGCAGTGTTGCGTTAAAAAGCCGGCTGAAAGCAGATCTAGTGCAGTTTGCTATATGGTAAATTGCTGGCTGAGATCTTGAGGATGTATCCTGATGCGAAATGTAAGAGATCTGAAACATGAATATATGCTTGCATAACTTGAAAAACACTTTGCATTATCAGCTGTGCTCAAAAACAAAAGGATATTCTCTAAATTGGTGGATCTGGGCCTGCACGTGATCTTCACAGACCTGCCGCAGCTGCTTGTACAGCGTGGGGGAGACTTTATAAGAGCAGAGGTTCTCCACAGCCTTTTACAAAAGAGAAACAAGAGACCAAAAAATACAGTTTAACAATTCTGATCAAAGACAGAATAACAGAGGAGACACAATGTCTTCAGTTAAAAAAAGGCTTTTTACTGCAAACTACATCAGTTATTCTAATCGACTACCTCTAAAAATCCATATTAACTATACAATTTGTTTTGCAACGACACTTGAACAATCAGATATTACTTAGGAGAAAAAGATAGGGTTTATTTAAAGATGTCCAAAAAGAAAAAGACCACACACCTGATAGAGCTCTTCCAGATTGTACTTGATAGAGGTGCTGTTCTGGATTGCACCCACTGCATCTCTAAGCTTTAGCCATGTGTCCTCAGTGTAGTTCTCTGCTAATTTTGGCCTATCTGTTACAAAAACAAAAAACAAATGACATTCAAGTATGTACATCACATTAAATTAACAAGAACTCATCAGGATAATGAACATTTTGGTATGTTTCACACATTGCCAAAGGGATCTTATAATTCCTCAGAGAGAAAAAAAATTCTTTTTACTCATCATCATCTGGTAAAGGTAAAGGATATATGTTATTGTGATTCAAGGTCTTGGTAAAAATGTACACATAAGAGGGGAAAATCATTTTCCATGATCAATACTGGAATACCCGACAATGACCAAAGCACTGATTCCTGAACTGTAGACTTTGGACTTACAGTTCAGAAAGTAAATAAAATGTTTCACTGCATGTGGTAGAGACGAAAAATTTGGATATAACTTTTGAGTTTTCAATTGGATAAGAAAGCCTTCCAACTTCACTCCTATACAGGTTTAAGTGAGTGAAGACAGTGGAGTGAAGGTATATTGAGGTCGGACATGAAGCATAGTAACGTGCACTGCAAATTATGTCGAGTACATGTTCTCACAAAGTCGGGGAATATCTATTTCACCACCTGAAGCAGTGTGACACGGCAGAGCACGCGCAATGCAAAAGGTTACAAACCCGCTTTCTCTAGCGCAATGCCTTATGACAAAACGTCGAAGAGACACAAAGACCTCACAGATGCAGTAGCTTATTCTACTGCAAAAGACACACTACCATTAAGCACTGATAATTTTCATTTTTTATATCCTGATATACATTGATATCGACTGATGTGAAAAAAATATAACGTGATAAACTTTTTCCCATATCGCCCAGCCCTAAGTAAGGGTTGGTGGTGTCTTAGGCTGTGTCCGAAATGGATCCCTAACCCCTATATAGGTGACTACATGGGGGTTAGTGCCATTTTGAGGGGTGTCCAAATCTCAGTAATCAATTCCAGTGCTGAATATAGGTGACTCAAATTTTCCCATAAAGCATTGCAAAATGTTGTGACCATCTGATGGTCACTCAATGGTGGCGGGCATCCCGTCATGCATTGTGTCTTGCCATGTAGTGTCCGAAACCTCCGGTAATTGAGTTCACTACATAGTGAACTATATAGTGAAATCCCAGATGGGGGTTAAGGGTTAGGGATTGAGTGATTCATTTCGGACACAGCCTTAGATTACATTATTTTGTAAGGTATGACTGACATATTGCTCCCTTCATGCTTGAGATGAAATACCAGGAACACAACACAAGCAACACCTACTATGTTTTTAATATCAAACATTGATAGTAATAATAATAACACTCATTATCAGTCACTTCATGTCATCAAAAGAGGTAGCTTCGTATGTATTAGGTTGCATAAGGTGCCCAGGGGTTCCTAATGTTATGGCTGGTCGGTGTGTGTACTAATGTAAGACAAAAACATGCTGAAATAAACTAGTTACCATCACTTTAATAGTGTGAACCTGGATGTAAAAAAGCTGTTAGAGCAGTAAGGTAAATGTGATTGTTGTTATCAGACTGTACCTTTGAAATTTTTGATCACTAGTTTCTTTGAAGCCCCACTTTTACTAGAGGCCACAGTGGAGGTCCTGGCCATCCCGTTGGTGTTGTGCTCCGTTATGGCAGAGAAGCTGGCTCTCTTGTCCTGTCGGGTGTCCTCTGCCATGATCAGATTAGCGCTTTGGCTTAACGCTGTATGCTTCAAGTGTTGTTGTGTTTTTTTTTTTTCTTCTTTTGCTAAAGTTACTGAGGGATTGTTCAGTCGCCTTGTTTCTATTCTGTCAGCTACACAGCCTCTCTTTGTGGCGGCAGATGTCTTTGGTTGACAGCACGGACAGTCTGAAAGTATCTCAAACACATCTACAAACTCACGGCTGACCTATGTTTGATTAATCAGAAAAAAACATAACGCCAGCTGACTGAGCAGAGAGCTAGCTAACAGAAACTGCTGCTGCACACTTTAGCCTTAGCTTTAGCAGCTACTCCATGCCGGTCTTCCGACACTCTGAGGTTTTAACAACTATTTAATTATTCTATTTGGCAGCAGTAAGCAAACACGTAAAAGCGACATCGTTAGCGTTGATGTAACGGACCCATATTATTAGTGGCTTTCTTTACCACACAGCTAGCTAGCACAACAAAATGGCTTTTCTCAGACGGTTCACTTGGACAGGTGCATCCTGGGTGATAAGCGGCCGAGTTGTGTTCACTGACAGTCCGTACTTTCACCTTCAATCACAGTTTCTCACACAATTAAATAATAATAATAATAATAATAATAATAATAATAATAATAATAATAATAATAATAATAATAATAATAACTTTTAAAAAGAGAAGTTTACAAAGTGCTTTGACAAACAGTTGTAAAGTATGGTGGCCGAGAACTGCCACTGCTGCAAATAAAAAAAGAGTGCAAAAAAAAAATAGCGCAAAAAAAGTCACAACGAAAATTACCGATGCAAAAAAAAGAAAAAAAAAGGTACTAAAACTTCCGTTTTGCTTTTTTTTTGTTTGTATCCTTTTTTTCTCTTACAGTCACTAACTTATTATCATTTTTTTTTTTGTGATGCTGAAACGTCAAAGGAATTATCTCCTTGTTTGTGAAACCTAGCAACTGAAGTTCAATTCATCTAAACGCTCCACAGCGCTCGATTAAACAACTAACAACAGGTTAGGATGGCTATTAGCTACAACATTATTCTCGTAAGTAATGATTTTATATTGACTTTAGTCTCTTAAGTAATTATTTTATTTCAACTTTAGTCTCGTAAGTAATTATTTTACTATGACTTTATTCTCATAAGTAATAATTTTATTACGGCATTATGCTCATAAGGAATGATTTTATTACAACTTTATTCTTGTAAGTAATTACAAAGTTTTACCTATTTTTCCCCTAATGTGGCTCTCATACTCCGTCGTATGTTGTTGCTTTTTTTTTTTTTTTTTTTTTTTTTTGCATTCTTTTTTTATTTGCAGCAGTGGCGGTTCTCGGCCACCGTACTTTCCCGCCTCCGTTGCAATATGTAACATTATTAACTTGTTATGACATGACAGTAACCGGAATGGTGATACAAAACGGCACAGTCCCATTACTTTTTTTCTCTTTGAACTAATCCAATGAGTCAGCAAGACCTAGACGGAACGCAGCCACCATTCATGTTTTTCGCGCTTTGTCATGTTTACATGTCTAGCTGCAGTGAGTATCGTGGTTACCATGATTCACTGTCAAAAATAACTTGTCATATGAAGATCGCTAAGCTCGAGAATTGTTACACGTGATACAATACGAAGTTAGCGTAAATTGTTTAGAGTTACTGTCTAAACAACAATATTCCACTTGGTCAAGTGCTCTTGAACGCACCCCTGTATCACCTCCAGCCAGCAGGAGTTGTTCGTCTGTGCAAATGGGCGGTGTTTTACACTGGACAAGGAAGACCTAGCGCTGCTACAACTCAAGCCATATTATTCTCAGCCCTGCGAGAGCACCATGGCTTTCTTTCCATCTGCCGGTACATTAAATCGGTGGTGGTGTGTGTCTGTGGAGTAGCAGGGCTCGCTGTGATCCTGGTGGAGACCCGGCCTGCCGTCCTGAGCGCTGTCTGTCTGCAGCGGTAGGTTTGCTTTACTAACGCCTACAGCTTCAATACACACCAGACTGGGAGCATCTCTACACAGGTGGTGAAGCTGACTGTGTTAAATAATGAACGTCGCAAGTTTCTTTTAATGTAAAAGTACATGTTTCTGAACAAATAGTCACGTCTAGCCCAGCATTAATTAGCTTGCTGCTGTTGACAACCCTTGAGAACAGTCTTTTAAGCTAACGTGAGCTAAGCTAGCTGGCCCAGAAGCTAATTAGTCAATTGAAATAAAAACGGCCACCACTTCTTCATATACTCAATTTTAGTAACTTAATCTCAAGATATTACACCTTCAGTCTGTGTTGAGCATTAACATTTGCTATCATCTCTAACCAGTGTTATTTTTACAGGCAGGCTAACGCTAACGTCAGGTGTTAGCTGTTACCACATAGGACAGAGTAAGTTCGCTCATGTTTCCCAAGATGTTAAAATTTAGCCTTAACAGACAAACATGATATCTAACTAGGGGAGAAGGGCAGTCTGGTTTCTTAATAGTACACAGAAGATTAGTCAAGGGTGAAGTTATAGGTACATTTAGCGTTTATTGCGAAGGAAAGACATCAAGCAAGTGGTGGTTTGACTGTAACCACCTGCAAGTGAAACCAAGTGATCTCAACCATCAGCACAGTTCTCATCCATATGTGTTATACCCATAATGTTAAGCCTTTACAACATACACTGTAGTGGCAAGCCTGAACAAAACCATCAAGCCAAAAAAATATGTTCTTAAAATGTAAGGCATATATTTTTAACCCGACCTAATTTTTCCTTATGTATAAGTTTATGTGTCCTACTGGCACTAAATCATACATCTACAGTATAATCACACTGTGTAGTTTTCTCTCACATATGGCACAAGGCTCATTTCATGGGTTTTAACTGTGTGAGTACCAGGAACAATACACATTGTATATACAAGATAATGCAGCACTGGTAAGTCATGTCATCATTGCCTATTTTTGGAAGTCTATTTGAACGATTGAAAGAGTTGTTTGGAAAATATTTAAAGGGATATTCCGGTGTAAAATTAATTTTGTGTTAAACACACCCCCTCAAGAGATGAATGTTGCAGACGGCTTGCTTTTCTAGTTATACCAACTTTAGTAACGACCACAGGATAGCAATACACAGCGGTCTGAAGAGCCATAAACAAACCTCGACCAAAAGCCACTTTATAGCCACAAATAATGCTCAGAACAGCACCTAACTTCATCAACAGGACATATAGGGTCCCAGCCACAGTACTAGCCACCGAACATCTTTTTAGCTTTGCCTAATTTCTTTATCAAAGAGACTAAACACAACTTACCCGCTCTCCTCCAGCAGCTGCTTGTGTGTAGTGAGACCTCAGGCCAGTCCATTACAGACTGCAGCGGGGGGACGCAGCTCAAGGAAGAACATTTATGATCATTACTTTATCATTTTGCACTGCAGACGCGGTAGTCCTTCTGCCTTAGCGTCTCGGTCTGATTGCATTTTCCATGAAGAAATGATCATAAATGTTCTTCTTTGAGCTGCGCCACCCCACAACAGTCCGTAATGGACTGGCCTGAGGTCTCGCTAAAAAAGAAGCGGCTGCTGGAAGAGAGTAGGTTAGTTGTATTTAGTCTCTTTGCTAAAGAAATTAGGCGAAGTTAAAAAGATGTTTGGTGGTTAGTGCTGTGGCTGGGACCCTATATGTCCTGTTGATGAAGTTAGGTGCTGTTCTGAGCATTATTTGTGGCTATAGAGTGGTGTTTTGGTTGAGGTTTGTTTGTGGCTCCTTAGACTGCTGTGTATTGCTATCATGCGGTCGTTACTACAGTTGGTATAACTAGAGACGCAAACGGTCGGCAACATTGATCTCTCGAGGGGGTGTGTTTGACCCTAAATTAATTTTACGCCGGAATATCCCTTTAAGCTCAAGGCTATCATTTACCTCCAACTGTTAGATATTGAAAATGAACACTTTTTAAGGGGCTGTGTATTCTTACCTTAGGCTGATCAGTCAAAAATATCTGAAACAAACATGTATCCCACATGCCTAAAAGCAGATAAGATCCAGAGTTTGTTGTGAATGAGGGACACAGCCTTGCCTCAGCTGATTCTATCTGTTAGTGATGTACAAAAAGATAATGTTGACAGAAACAATGTTTGTTTTAAATTGTCTGCAGTTTTGATGATGCCTGTTTTTGTTCTGTATCATCTAGTGTAGATGCCTTGGCTGAGATGAGTGTGAAGGCTTTTGAGCTTGTCCCCGCTGTGGAGAGAGATCTCCTCATGGGCGACAAAGCTCGCATCAATATCGAGTGCATCGAGTGCTGTGGGAAGCACCTTTACCTGGGTACCAATGACTGCTTTATACATCACTTCCTGCTGGATGAGGTCACTACTTCCAAGGGGAAACTGAGTTACTCGGCTCAGAAGCTGCTGCACAAATATCTGGGCCTTAAGAAACCTGTTGCCGAGCTGCGCGCCGCCTCGGCGTTGGAGCGTCTGATAGTGCTTTGTGATGCTATAGTGTTCCTTGTTGATATGGTGACACTGGAGACTGTGCCCTCTGCAGCAGGAGGTGGAGCCAAAATCAGAGGTGTGACGGCATTCTGCATCAATGAGAATCCAGTTAACGGTGATCCATTCTGTGTGGAAATGGGTGTGCTCTCGTCCAAACGGAGGACTGTGCAGATTTACATGGTATATGAGGACAGAGTGCAGCTAGTCAAAGAGGTGAACACTCCCGAGCAGCCTTGTGCCGTCAGCCTTGATGGTTACTTCCTGTGCCTGGCTCTGGCTACACAGTACATGATTCTGAACTACAACACAGGAGCCTCCCAAGACCTTTTTCCGTATAGCAGCGAGGAGAGGAAACCTATAGTGAAGAGGATCGGCAGAGAGGAGTTCCTTTTGGCAGCACCAGGTGGTCTGGGTAAGTGAGGACATAGGCAGGTTGCCTGTGGGCAGTTGAATGAAGTTTTCTTAAAAATGTCTGAGAGGGTATTTTTGCATATCAAAGAGGTCTCTCCTCTTTTTTTTGTATGTGGTTAAGAACTGTCAGGAGAAATCCTTAAATAAGAGGAGAGGCTGGTGCATCAGGGGGTTATTTTTGCAAGTATTTCAGTCTATTCGAACAGACCTGTTATGGAGTATTTTTTTTTTAGACCTGTTCGTATTTTTCTTTTTTCTAATAAATTTTCAAAGATTTTTTTTTTTTACGTCTCTGGGTTTTGCTCTTGTTAATCGTTTAAAATGAAGGTTTTCTTATTGGGAATTACTCACTAAAATGTGACACAACTGTCGCTTCATTTGCAAACTCTGTATTTTTCTCATTACCCTCACTTGTTTTCTAGTTGTCTGTGGCCATAGACTGTATATAGAATGGACAGCATCTGCCTCCTCGCTGGGTGAAGCCACTCGCAGAACAGCACCCTCTGGTGACGGGCTGCAGTATAGGTCATAAATCCCGCTTGTGGGGCTGTGGACAAACTTTAGAAATTTATTACACAGAATATAAATCACAGAATGTAGTTATTGTCAGACTGGTTTGTGCTCAAGTCCTCTTTTTTCTGTGAAGCTCCGTTTTTAAAAGTTATTAGGGGGTTCATGTTTTCTATGATTGACACCTGATACAGCCTATTGGCGTTCAGGGATTGCGTAGCTCACACGGGGGATACGCTGTTTGAGCCGGGCGTCATCACGGCGACTCTCCCGACGAATGCGCACAATGGTACTGCGCAGCGCTGGTTTCAGGAAATGAAGAAAAATCGCGGAAATACCGAGAACTTTTTGGCTTCAAATCCATATACAGGCAGGAGGCGGAACCAAGTTGTCCATAGTATATACAGTCTATGTCTGTGACCCAAAAATTTCACAATAGTTTAAAATTGCAACCATTCTCAGATTTGTCTTGAACTCTGATTTTCCACGATAAGCACTTCAAGTTTTACACAAATCTTGTTGCTAACTTAGTCAGAGTTACATTTCTAAACCTCCATAACTTTGGAGTCTTCAGTTAAAGAAAAGTGCCCTCTTCTTGACTTTTATCTTTTGCATATGCTTTCAGGGATGTTTGCAAATGCAGAAGGTGTGTCTCAGCGAGCTCCAGTCAACTGGTCGGAGAGTGTGATCAGTGCTGCTGTGTGTTTCCCGTATGTCGTGGCTTTGGATGAGAGCTTCATCACCATCCACAGCATGCTGGACCAACAGCTAAAACAGACTCTTTCGTTCAGGGATGGACACATTCTGCAAGACTTTGAAGGTATTCTTCCACATGTATTATCATTTCAACTATTTGAGCCACACAACTACAAACCACAGCGTAATGCTCATCTTGTGGATGGCTTCATGCTGTAGTTTATTATGATTCACTTTTTGTTACCATTAATGACCAAAGTTTATACGCTTTGGCTTTCAAGGGTAGTTAATGTTGGCAGTGCGAGCAGAGATTGTGTCACACTTAAGCAGCTAACAGGTGCTGATCATGTAATTCAACCTAATCTAACACAAACTTTAGTGACATGACTCGAGGCGGTTTAACAGATTTTACACAACAAGGCTTTTAACTTTTACATTTGTTGTCTTTTATTCATTTATTACATTTATCAAATTCAGTGTCTTAAACTGTTGAGTGCCTCCACTTCACTAAAAAGTAGCCACAGGCCATGGTTGTTCATGAGCTCAGGACTAGACAGCATGGAGGCTGTTGTTTGCTGGACTGAGAAAGCGAAACTTTTGGCAGGAAGCTGTGCAGCAATGAAGACTGGCATCCTAATCAGTAATGCTGACTGAGCACCAGCAACCTTTTCTTAGGAAAAAAGCATTAGTATGGTGATCAGAATAAAGAAAATACAGGAGCTCTGACAAACAAACAAACAGCAATGAAAGCTCTTCTTAATGTGCACAAATTCACAGATGGAGACTTGCACAGAAGTATAGCTAAGCTCACCTTTTTGCCTGCAGTTGTTAAAATAAAGGTATTTGCATGATGATGGGCGCTTACAAAGTTTTAGGATGGTGAGTCAGACTCGAGAGCAAAATCAATACTTTACCCGTTAAGACCTGAACCCTGTCTGAGACACGCCTCTGAAATCCTGAGGGCAATTTTGAGAAGGGCCGCCAGATCCTGAGGTTTTCTGAAGTGTTGAGGTTTACAAAAAAACTGATATCTCAGCCTCTGTAGTAGATAGAAACAAAATTCAAAAGGTATTTGAAAGCTTACACGTGTTGCTTTCAAGAAAACTATCTTCTATTTTTCCAAACCTTCATTGAAAACTTTGAACAAACAAACTCAAATAAAATAAAGCGGCTGTATAAATAAAAGTAAAGACTCTGCACTGGAGAATAATAAACTATTTGCTTTCTATAAAACAAGTGGCAGGCATGATAAAGTGTCCATTCAACATAAATGTAAATATAAACTCTGTGCAAGCGCGGCCCTGTTGTTGTTTTATTATTTACTCGTCATCATTAGCCTGAAACTATTGAACTTTTCCTGTAACTTTGTGTATTTATAGCCATTTTTTGTTTTATTGAAGTTCTGACATGTGGACTATTTTGGTTAAAGGAAAGGTCATCCTGGCGTCCACCAAGGCCGTCTATGTTCTGGTCCCCTTGCCCTTGGAAAGACAGATCCAGGACTTGTTAGCCAGTCACAGAGTGGAGGAGGCCCTCATCCTCACTGAGGGAGCACAGAGAAATATTCCCAAAGATAAGTTCCAGGTAACAGAGCATTGTGTAATTCTGCTACTTCATATTCTGTCGATTTTCTTAGACCCAAGTCTTGTTATGAATGTAATCGTCTAATATGTCATTTTTTTGCATCTTCAGATTTTGCACAAAAGAATCTTACAGCAGGCGGGTTTCATACAGTTTGGTCAGCTTCAGTTTCTTGAAGCAAAGGAACACTTCAGGTAAGAGCCTGGGTCAGAGATAAAGACTTTTCTTAAGCGTCTGTTTAATTACCGTGTTTCCTCTTTGGGATTAAAGTGTCTGTGGTGTGAAACCTGTAAATACCAGTTAGGTTTAAAGTGAAAAAGTCTTCTCTTTTTAAGGAATCAGTGTTGGATCACAGAGTTAACTTTTCCGTTTCATACCCAAACTGACATTTATAAGGTATTTGATGAAACGGATTTAGCATATAACATCTTGAACAGTATTCACACAGTCTTTTAGGTCATTGAGATGATTACTTGCCATCTTTCTGTGTTTTCAAATCTTGATAATTAATCTTGGCTCGAGCTTCTCTTCCGACTTACAGCAGAGAAAACCATATTCCTCCTGATGTTTCTGTTTTATTCGCAGGAAGGGTCAGCTGGACGTGCGGGAGCTGATATCTCTGTACCCACTTCTGCTGCCGGCTTCCTCTTCATTCACTCGCTGCCACCCTCCTCTCCATGAGTTTGCAGACCTGAACCACCTGGCACAGGGTGACCAGGAAAAAGTGCTGCACTGCAAAAAATTCCTCATCAGTTACTTGGGAGAGGTGACTCTGTTTACCTTGCCACGATTGCCATAAGTCGTTTGTGTACTTTTTGTTCCTTTAGATAATATTTGTTTTAACCCCACACAGGTACGAAGCACAGAGGTGGCTAATGGCTGTAGAGAGGACGTGGACACCGCATTGTTAAAACTTTATGCCGAGCAGGATCACGAGAGCCTTCTTGATCTGCTCGCATCAGACAACTCCTGTGTTCTAGCAGACAGTGTGCCATGGCTGGAGAAATATCACAAGTTTGTATATCATTTTCTTGATAGTCATTAGTTAACGATACTTTCTCACAAGAAGAAGACTCACTACATCTAAACATATGCTTGATTGTACCAATAAAATGGCATTCAGTGACTTCTAATTGTAGAGCTTAAGTGTTGAAACAGTGAGACACTTTGCTCATCCTTCATCTTGTCACCCAATCATTTTGTTGTCGTTTCGATCACTGCATAATAATCACAACTGATAATAATAACATAATAATTGATACTGTGGCTATGCTTTCAATCTGTTTCATGTCATCTGGCTTATTTTAAAGGTCACCAGCTTGATAAAGAGTGGTTTGTTTAAATTAGTAGTCCCGGTTGGATTGTGTTATTTTAAACCGTATAATTGTGGGAGTTGACAGTAAAATTAACCCTCTTGAGGACACTGGGAATCAGAAGTTTAAATCTTTTTATTTCCTATTGTAGATTTTTTGCACTCGGGCTGCTCTATCATTACAATGGTCAAGATTCAGCAGCACTACAGGTATGTATACACCGGTTTTTGGTCCTCATTTAGAATCAACACCAACATAATATGCATGACTTATAAGAAACTGATCATTTTTCTGACAGATGTGGATTCGAGTGGTGGATGGGGAACTACAAGACTCCACAAGATCGGACCTGTTTGAGTACATCGTAGACTTTCTCTGCTCCAGCTCAAATCTGGACCTTATATGGAAATATGCAGACTGGGCTCTGCGAAAGGATCCCACTGTAGGTTACCAGGACCTGAAATAGTTATCTCTGTCAGAGATTATGAGCTTGTCTGTTACACTGTTGTCTAATACCCAGAATTCAACACGGTGGTGAGCTATCGTGGTAACCTCACTTTCCTGGTTTCTCATAGAAAGGTGTCCACATCTTCACTAAGAGGCCTCAGAGCAAACACCTTTCTGAATTGAACCCTGATGATGTCATCACTCACCTGGGAAAGCACACCATGGCACTACTTCTTTACCTGGAACACCTGGTGTTGGAGAGGAAATCGCAGGTATGAGAGCGAGGTTTTTCAGCGGTGCTGTTGTCTTCACTGATGTGCCCTTTAGCAAAACTCAAGCTGTGTGCAAACACTTGCGTTGTTCTTGTTGCTAAACCAGACTTTTCTGCAGGGTAGCAAACAGTGTTAAAAGGAATTTCCCAGCAGTATCACTTCCCCAAAGTACAGAAAGTAAAATTAGAGTAAATAAGTTCTCATGACCTTTTACACTTCACCACATCAGAACAGAAGTAGAACAGGAATAGTAACAGAATCTATCACTACCTCTTAACTTGTTCCTATGATCCTGGCCTCTGAGTTTTGGTTTCGGTTCAGATCAAAGTGTTGTATACCCTCCATCTTGGATCATTCCTCCTCCTCAGGATTATCTTGCTCACAGTTTCACAAATTTACCATCACAAGCTGCCCACCCACCATCTGATGTGGTTTTTACAGAGATACTCTTCATAGAAAAGTCTTTTTTTTAAGCGTTGTTGTTCTCTGAGCTGAGACAGACAATTTACATCACCAATACCAAACATAGTTTTTCCTCTTTAATACTATTTTTATTTGTAAGTTTTAATAATGTCTTTAAAAGGGGATTTTATTAACATAGCTGCAGCAATACCAGTGATGTGAATGATTTTATAAAACAGGTTTAGGTGAATTTTGCTGCCTTTCTACAGGAAAGATCATAAACTTGAGTTGTTGTCTTCCATATTTTTAAATGCAGAAAGAAAAGTTCCACACACATCTGGCCGTGTTGTACCTGGAGAGGGTTTTGTCTTTACTGTCAGAGTCGCCAAGAGATGAGGAGCAGATCACCCGAGCCAGGGAGAGGCTGCAAGCACTGCTCAGGGAGTCCAATCTGTACAGTGTACAGGTCCTTTTAGGTGAGGAACTCGTGTAAAGATGTCACTGCACTTGCTCCTTCACCTTCTCATTCATTGGTGATGATGTTCAATCTGGTACAAAATTGGTTTAAGGGGTCTTTCAGTGGATATTGGTCCTTCATGTGTCTTTACTCATGTGTTTTTGCTCTGTTTAGGTAAGCTAGAGAACTGTGAACAGCTGCTGCTAGAGCGTGCAACACTACATGGAAAACTCGAGGAGCATGACAAAGCACTTCACATACTGGTGCACAAGCTCAGAGACTTCCCTTCTGCAGAAGCCTTCTGTATATGGGCCTCTTGTTCTCGGGACTGTGCTTACAGACAGCGGCTGTTTCACCTGCTCTTAGAGGTGTATTTAAAGGGGAACCACACATCAGCAGGAGGTGGCGTTGGAGATCCAGAGATGGCTGCTGTGGACCTCCTAAATCGGCACGGGGAGGTTTTTGATGCAGTCCGGGTTCTGCGCATGCTCCCTGAGGGATGGTCTCTACAGCTGCTGCGGCCCTTTCTGGATCGATCCGTCAGAGCCAGTATGCACGCGTGCCGCACGTCCCAGATCGCCCTGGGACTGTCCCACTCTGAAAACTTACAACTACTGCATGACAGGGTGAGAACCACACAACATGTATAGATATATTTATATAAGTAACAAAAAGAAAGAATGAACTTTTACCTTGTGCATGTTTTTTTTTTTTGGGGGGGTGGTGGTTATAAGATGACAAAAAAACTAGGGGGTGAAAACATTTTTTTAAATGATAATTTTTTTAATCAGGGAAATTTGCTGAAGTGTACCAATACTAAGTATTGTTAATAATAATAATAATAATAGAAATGATAATGTTGGTAATAATAGTAATAATAATAATAATAATAATAATGTTGGTAATAATAACAATAATAATAATAGAAATAATAATAATAATAATAATAATGTTGGTTATTATAATAATCATAACAATTATCATATTAATAATAATAATGAAAATAAAAATAATAATTATAGTAATAAAAAATGATGTGATGATGATAATGATGATAATAGTAATGATGATGAAAATAATGAAAATAATAATGATAATAATAATTAAAATAAAATAACAGTGAAAATAATAACAATAATAAAATAATCATGATTATAGTAATGATAATGATGGTAATGATAATAATAATAAAAACAATGATAATAATAATGATTATAATAACAATGATAATGATTATAATGAAAATAATACTTTAAAAAATATAACAAATAATTATAACAATCCCAACAAAAGGTAAAAGAAATTTGCAAAAAAAATATTCTTTGCTATAGATAGAAAATAAACTGTATAGAAATTGTTTAAAAAATATATATTTTTATTCTGAAATGCAAATGAAACTATAATTAATATATTTTTCTTATTTCATGTCAAAATATAATTATCATGAGAAAAGGGAAGAGCACATGTAAAAGTATTAACACAAAGTCTCATTTCTCCACAGCTTAAAGAGCGGAAGAAGCCAATTTATGTTTCTGAAAAGAAGGGATGCCACTTGTGCCACAACACCTTCAGCGAGCCTGACGTGGTGTGTCTGCCGGGTGGAGTGCCCGTCCACAAGCACTGTGTTGCCCAGAGAGTAAGAGACTCCCCCACAAAAAGCCAGTTAACTAATAGCAGTAACCATACGTGACACTCTGCCCTTCAAACTACTGCTCGACCTGTGATCAGAGGCACCAAACTAAAGCAGGACCTGCTGAGCGGATGGCTGAGGACTGGGGGAGTAGCGATAAGCACAGAACAGTTGTTGCCTCTGCAGAATCTGCTATGGAGCTTTGAGAAACATGAGAAAAGCTGTGAGGTGTGTGGGGGAAGAAAAAGATGGTTTCATTTATTTATTCCTGTGCTGCAGAAATAAAAAAATGTTCAAACTACAAGTTTTGAATTAAAGATAAAAACACAACAACAGCTTAGTCACCTGGCCCTTTAATCAGATGACTGAGGAAAAATCAAAGACAGGCTCTTGCGCTTTATTTGTGGGTTCAGTGCTGCACCACTCATCGTCTTTGCTTGAACAGTTTGAAACCTATACACGAGAAAGTTCAAACTGCAGATCACAATATTTGAACCTGTTGCAAATATTTCTGAAGCATGCATAGTATTATCACTCTAATGGTTCCAGTCGCCCTCATCTCCTCATATTGCTGTTGTAATAATATCGTCCTAACTTGCACACTTCAGTGTAGGATTTTAATGTAAACTACTACCAAGACTCATCAGATCACTGATGGATAATGAGTTTATCTTTTTCCTCCTGTATTCTGGTGTCACCGCTGCTTTATTTCCTCCCTCCACCGTAACGGCACTCAGTGTTGAATTCACAATCTCACAGTTGTCAGTTTTTTCTGATGTACCGGGTCAATTTCATCCAAGCCCAGTCAGATCTGAATGTCCTGTTGTTTTCGTACTGATGAGACGGTTATGAAACACTACATGAAATCTTTTAATTTTATTTTATTTGTTTTCTGTTGAGTTAAACTAGGGATTCAAACTGCAACAAGAATGACTCAGACTGACCTTTCAAAGCAAATTCAATACTCACGTCGATGATATACTGGTAGAGTTTCTATAAAACAGCTAAGCAACTCTTATGGTCTGGATATAAGTGGCAGATATAAATGTCTACTGTCATGAATCATGTGAAATCAAGTTTAATTTATTTTGACTGGTTTGGGGTAACAATAAAATGAAACTGCAAGAATCTTCGCTGCCACTCTGCAGTCACAACTCCATCTTTCTGACTGTGGTGCACAGATTGTTACAGATATACAAAAGTAAAGTATCAATCCCAATCGAAATGTGCTGACAAAAACAAAAAGGTTATATACTATAAACATGCAAATAACATGTTCAAGGAGAGAGAAAATCGGGGTATAATTAACTAAAAATTCACTTATTTACACTAAAATGTGGTTTTTAATTTGGGCGTAAAAAAGTTAAGTGCCACAAGATGGAAGCATTGGGTAAAAAGTGAAATATGAACTAACAGATGAACCGATAAGTCATTTCAATTGAAATGGAGCTGACTTAATGACATGTGCAACCACTTTTCTCCAGAGCATCCTTTATTTCCCTAATACCATATTAAAAACTTACAGAAATGTTTCATTACCGTAGTGGTATGACCTAATTAAATAGTTAGCCGATGTATTTATCTGATCAAGTTCAATAAGAATCAAACTTCTTCACTTTTTAATAATTTCCTTTTTATTTGATTTTTTTAAATAATCCTCCAGTTCCATTTAAATTCAGTTATTTTCTCCCCTTAACCTTTGTTTTCTCACCACACTAAAATCTATTTTAACACAATCTGGTCTGCCTTAATCACCAGTTGGTGAAAAAAAGCTTTATTTTAGGAAGTTTTAATAAGTTTAGTTTCTCTGGGTGAACAAAAAATAAGGAAAAGACTCCTCCAATATTGTGAGAAATCTTGAGACAGCACGCAGTATTGGTGTGACACTTGTAGAAAAAGCTGTTGACATGGACAAGAAAGGATTTTACCACAATCACAACAAAAGATAGACATGAATGAATACCTCATTATTAGTGCATACAGCTAGAGTTTATTCTTAAATTAGAGAATAAGAGAAAACAAAGTCTGACCCTTAAGAGTTTAACATTTTAATCACAACATCTTTTTCGAAACCTGAAAGAAATTAAATTCAAATTAAACTTGATCATTATGAAGCCTTAATTTTTTAGAGGCTTGTCATTAACGAACACTGTTTATTTCACGAGTGTTTCCCTGTTGCAGCTGCTGTACACAGAGTACACTCTTAAAGTGAAATCAGTGTACCTCCATGTTGTTTCTTTTGAGAGTGCAGCTGTAATTTATTGAAGATGTCCATGCAGATGCAGCGTTATAAAATGAGCTGTTATGGGAGTTGAAACCAGTTTGTCTTGAACACGAGAAGTAAAAAGGGCAAGAAGAGGTTTTCTACCAGGTGTTTATTTGAAACTTATCTACATGTCCGACTTTCCTCAGCACATCACTGTTGTGGGGTTTTCTTACTTCTCTGATGCCTGTGCTGTTGATGCTTTGCCTTCCTTGATCGAAACACATTTCTCTGAGGAACTCTTGAGACTCTTTTTCTAACACGCAGATCACAGTAATAAAGATACTGTCGGCTTGGCTCACTCTCCATGACAGAGATTCACAGCTTCTGCACAGCCTCTTTCTGTCTGACCTGTTCAAGTGTTGCTTGCTAAAAAGGCCTCCTATCCATGACTTCATATACTTTCAAAGATACAGTACTGTTGTGTGGAAAAAATACTCTTGTATTTTATAAATATATGTAAACTGGTATGTATATACTGCATTTGTACTTGTTTGTTGCTTTCTAAATCAATGCAATGTGGATAGGGTGTACAGACTGTAAATCCGTCCCATTTTAATAAACATGAAACTGTAAACTAGTTCATGGAGCCTCAGCTGCGTATTTCAAACTTGGACTTTGACTTGATTATTGTTCGAGAGAATATAATTTACTAGTTTTATTCATTTTACCCACCTGTGAAAAGAGGAAAACCTCTGAGGGATTTAAAACGGAAAGGAGAAATTAGGGCTGGGACGATATGCTTTTCTCCCGATTCAATTCTTCTACGATTTTTTGGATGTCGATTCGATTTAAATCGTGATTCTAGGATATTGTCGATTTTTAGTCTGCATTTTTTTGAATGATTATGATTGTCTACTGACTATTCCAGGAACCATATTTCCCCCAAAATACACATCACATGTTAGTCAGTTTTTAGGATTTGTTCTTAAATTTGGGACAAAATATTGTTTTTTGAACATAAAAATCTAAAAATTTCAAAACAAAAAATCACGATACTTATGTGAATCGATATTTCCTCCCAACGCTAGGAAAAATGTATGTACTAGGTTAATACTGAGATACAAAATCATTCAATACAAAGAAGCACAGATTTGTTTCACATTGAAAAATAATCCACAGACTTTAAGAAGCAGAAATTACATCCAAAAACCAATTTGTTGCATTCAGTAAGAAAGAGAAGGTGCTTCTGCGGTCAGAAAATCGTAAATCCTGTTTTTATAATTGTAGAAGTTGATGAAATAATCACCTCGGCCCTCAGACCAAGGTAAGGGATGAGGAATGTAGAACACAGTTAGGATTTATTTCTTGCAAAAACGAATCCCACAGCCTCAGTCCTTTACTTCCTACATGTTGCCATGAAGATCTTCATCTCCCCATCTTCAAACAGCACAGATGTCTGAAAAGCCTTTTTGAAGTTCTCAGTGAAAGTCAGATCAGTCTCAAACCTGACCTTGTTGGCCCAGATCAAAGTTGTCCCTGGTTTGCAGAAATACTTCATGGTTACCAGGAGCTCATCCAGGTAGTCATGGTGATAGACAATATCAGCTCCCAGCACGTAGTCGTAGTGATACACAGATTTAGGGTAGGTACGCTCCAGGTTGTAACCCCAAGATAGAGCCTTAACCTGGGGTGTGTGTCTGCAGCGCCCCTTGGTGTTTCTTGTCACGTTTGCCTGGAGGTTGCTCAGAATCTCAGGTAGGTCTGTAGCTGTGGCTGATGCTCCTGAGGATGCAAAACAAGATATATGAAACCACCACAGCTACAGCAACAGGAGGCTCGAGAGCGTATCTATCTTTGTGTTATTTCTGTATTCATTTCTCACCCAGAAGACTGGCAACAATAGTCACCAGTCCTGTTCCTGCTCCCAACTCCAGCACATCCATGTCCCGCAGGTTCACCCTCTCCCTGTTGTTTTCCAAATAGGAGCACAGAGCCAAAGCCTGCAGGACAAACAGATAAAGACCTGTTGCTATGTGGACACGGTAGGTAGTCTATAGTAGGTAAGGTAATCTATTCATCCTGCTTTATTCACCCCATGTAATGTTTTTATTTTATGTTTTCAGAGGTGCTTACTGCAGGCCACATCACTGCTCCAAAAGAGTCAATGGACTCATGAATGACGATGTCCTGTCCAACGTAGTGGTAGATATCTCTATCAAGTCTTCTGTTGATTTTGGGGAACCAGGTTGTCGTTGGGTCATACTTCACCACTGTTTGGTTGATGTTCTCCTGTCCTGTAGAGAGAGCAGCGATCCAAACCTTTACACTACAAACTGTAGGTTTAAACATCAGTTAAAAAAGGATTAAGAAATCTGTTCAGCACATGAAATAACCAATTTATCCAACTCTGATAAAACAATAAATCAGTCTGTGTCTTGTTTCCTTATATGTCCAGATACTCTGGGGGAAGTCAATTTGCCATCTGGTTTAACTGAGAGCAAACTAAACTGTATGACCTCACCACATTTTGGCTTCATCACTTGTGAGTCACAGTTCAAATTTAATTTCTTGCTGCTTGTCTCGCCAAATGCTTTTTCGTCCAAAAGATGCCTTCTCACTTTGCTGTAAACCACTCGAACACAAGACAGCTCCAGAAAAACAAACCTAAATTTATCTCTTCATAGGGCTGGGAACATTTGGCTTGTCTACCACAGTGGGCTTTACCTGGGGACTATGATCTGTTGTAGGACTTTAGTGTGGTTCTTCTGCAAGGATTCTGGTCTAAACTTAGTTCCAGGAACATATTGTTTCTTCAACGTTAGTTTCTATGGGGTGGCTTTTTCAAAACAGGTGGAAATTTGTGGTTTGTTCTTGCAGTGCTGAAAATCGTGGACTGGACAAGAGTTGGTGGCATTCCCATTTGGCTTTTAAGCAGAAATAACAATGCCTTTTAAATTACATGATGTTGTCAACTTTACCAAAAATGACAAAATGAATTGTGAAACAGGCTTCATTTTAGCCCGCTTTGAAACTGTTAAAACACAAGGACGTCATGTGGTGGAGGATAAAGAGTTGTGGGTTCTTGTTGCTGGTTTGTGTGTTATCTGTAAAAGTCCAAAGGTCTAGGTGAATGAATTTAGAGGTGATTGGGGTGATGATATTTTAAAAGTGACCTCTTCACAGCCATGCTAAGAGCTCTATGAAGTGACATTGGACTTTCTCTTTTGAGCTACATGCTTATGCCAGTGTGCTAACATTGATCACAAACATTCAGCTCGTATGATTTCAACCATTTTAAAATACCTAAATCTTGGTCAATCTTTAGTTGAGACCCTTAACATTTATAAATTTAGATTTAGCCTGGCTATTAGCAACAAAAGATAAGTGATTAATTAAAGGGATATTCCCTTTAATTAAACACAACGTAATGGACTGGCCTGAGGTCGTGCTACGAACAAGCAGCTGCTGGAAGAGAGTAGGTGAGTTGTGTTTAGTCTCTTTGATGAAGAAATTAGGCAAAGCTAAAAAGATGTTTGGTGGTTAGTGCTGTGGCTGGGACCCTATATGTCCCGTTGATGAAGTTAGGTGCTGTTCTGAACATTATTTGTGGCTATAGAGTGGCTTTTTGGTTGAGGTTTGTGGCTCTCTGTATTGCTATCTTGCGGTCGTTACTGAAGTTGGTATAACTAGAGAAGCAAGCGGTCGGCAACATTCATCTCTTGAGGGGGTGTCTAACTCGGTGTTATGGTGTGTTTGACCCTAAATTAATTTTATGCCGGAATATCCCTTTAAATGAAGCAGTTACACTCTTCCTTTTAGAGGAAGTATGAAAGCACTGACATCCTTAACAACAATGTTGGTTGAGTCATTAAACTAAATAACAAATTTGATTCTTATAATGTTGATGTCAAGATTAAACTTCAAAACTTTAAACTGAAATATTCGAAAAGATCTTGATGTAATGAAATTTGCACAAAGCGGTTATTTACACTTTTTTTTTAATTAAAAAAGAAAAGCCAGATTACAGGTAAATCTAACTCCTAAATAGACAAATTCTCTCATATTTTCTTTTCAAATATCATAGAAATGACTCACCTGAAAAGTCTTCATCACTGGCTGAGCTACAGCGTGCGTCATCAGTCTCAGTGGTATCCTTCTCATCCTCTTTGTACTTATTGTCTTTGAGCAACACAGTCTCTTCCTCCTCCTCCTCCTTCTCTTCTTCTTCTTCTTCTTCTTCTTCTTCTGTATTTACACTGAGATGCTTCACATCATCCTCTTCATCTCTACACGTTGCCATGAAGATCTTCATCTCCCCATCTTCAAACAGCACAGATGTCTGAAAAGCCTTTTTAAAGTTCTCAGTGAAACTCAGATCAGTCTCAAACCTGACCTTGTTGGCCCAGATCAAAGTTGTCCCTGGTCTGCAGAAATGCTTCATGGTTACCAGGAGCTCGTCCAGGTAGTCATGGTGATAGACAACATCCGATGCCAGCACGTAGTCGTAACGATACACAGATTTAGGGTAGGTACGCTCCAGGTCGTAACCCCAGGATAGAGTTGCGACCTGGGGTGTGTATCTGCATTGGCCTCTGGTGTTCCTGTTTAGGTTCACTCTCAGGTTGTTCAGGACTGCTGGCAGGTCTGTGGCTGTCACCCAAGCACCTGAGGACAGCACGAGAAACTGTCAAAGCTTTGACATGTTTTCAGAGTGTCTTATCTCACCCCTGTCAGGCTATGAAAATACTCCAGACTAATAGCGTATCCGAAATTGCATGTGATCCCTTTATGCGGCTACTTTCAACTTCCTGTAGCAAACATTAATCAGGGAAATATGTCGACAGCACGTACTTAGCTTGTGGTAACCTTAGGAAACCAGCAGAAGTAATCACCTCAAATATCTTTTGCTTTTGGCCCTTTTATTCTGAGCAAGATTTCTCTACGTGTCTTGTTTTGACTTAAACTCTGGTAGTCACACAACAGATGAGCAAATTGAGTAAGATTTGAATCTCATACCAAGGAGTGTTGCCACGATTGAAACGAGACCGGTTCCTGCCCCGATCTCCAGGACTGCCTTGTCCATCAGATCGATCTGTTCACGGTGAGTTTCAAGGTAGTGGCAAAGAGCCAAACCCTGAGGGGTAATCAATAACAAACCAGAGATACAAAGAGATACTGGTGAGACTACAAATTCATCAGACTGCTGCTTTGACAGCAAAGGCAGTTCTAGTTTGGGGGTCTAGTTTAGGGGTTTTTATGTCTCGCAGACACACATGGTGGAAAATGGAGAGTGGAAAATGGAGTTAAGGGGCCCCACAATCCAGAACTGAAATCCACACTTCTACATACTATTTTATTGTATTATTTTATTTTCAGATTCATTTTTATTATTTCATCGTTCTTGTATTATTCTATTCTATTGTATTATTTTATAATGGTATTTTTTCTTGTGTTATTTTATTGCTTTTATGTAAAGCACTTTGGGTACCATTTGGGATATTGTAAAGTGCTATATAAATAAAATTTGATTGATTGATTGATTGAAGACATTTGATTACATCACTTCCTGTTTGCAAAGCAATGCACTCTGACAACTGTGGTTGCACGCATGTATACATCATCCTATTTCATACGAGGTTGCAAAAGTCAATGAGGCCTGTACTCACAGCTGGCCAGATCATGCCTGCATACGAGTCGAGACCCTCTTCAATACTGATCTCATGGCCGACATAAGAGTACACCTCTCTGGATGATGAGCAGAAGAAACACGGAGCCCAGAGCGGCTTCTTCTGTACAGGGACAGCTGGTTCATCTGGATGATACAAGAGGTAGACACTCAGATCTGTGCAGCTTTCGACACACCGTCTACTCAATGTAATTATATTTATATGTTATATCTTTGTCGGGCATCTTACCCTTCTTCTCTTCCTCATCGTTTTTGTCTATCTCCTCCTCTTCGTCCTGATTGTCCTCAAATTCCTCTTCTCTACTCCTGTCGTTGGTTTCTTCCACAAAGGTTGCGGCCAAAGTAGCCATGTGAAAACCTGTTTACATTTTGAGTGTAAAAAGACAGATATTATCAGCTCTACACCACACAGAAGAGTAAGATACTAAGTTCATAACAGATTAAAGCTCCTGTGAGGAATTTTTGGTTTGTATCAATCTTAGCGCCCCCCTGTGGATGAAGCAGTCTTTGCTTATTTTGTCCTTTATATATTTTGTCCGAGACTGTTCAGACCCCCATACTTTCAAATCACTCCTAAAAACAGCCAGTGAACTGTTCTTTTATTGTCTTTTCATATTGTGTCTTTTTTAACTTTTTACATTGTTGGTCTTATTACCACAAATTTTCTGTATTTTAAATTCTGTTTCCCTGTAAAGTGTCTTTGAGCACCCATAAAAGTAAATCCATCCAATATTGCACTACTGCATAATTTATCTGTCATATACTTATATTTATAGTCTGTTTATAGCCTTCATATTTACAACCAGATGTATAATCTGTTCATAGCCTGTACATACTTATAGCTATAGCATATTCATAACAATGTTATATACCTGTGATATACTCATGTATATATCTACTTCATACCGTGTACATTTGTAAATATATATACTTGCTCAGCACTTCAGGATTGATGCAAACTGCATTTCCTTGCTCTGTACTTGTGACATGTGCAATGACAATAAAGTTGAATTCTGTTCTATAGATAAAATGTATTATTATTATTATTATTATTATTATTATTATAAAATGCTTGAGTAGTAAGTTCTGACAAGAAATCTCATCCTGCTGACTTGTGAAAGTAAAAATTTGTCATTTATTTTAAAAGGTTGATATGGAAAACATAAAAACAACAATTTTCTTCAGCAGCCCAACTGTTACCTACCCCCTCGCATTAGTTTCAGACATCAAAACGACATTATAACCATGGTTAAACTTATTATTGATGGTCTTGTTTGGTTTTGTGAACCTTAAAAAGACATTGATATGAATTTCAGCCCATTTGATAAATGTCAAAGAAGTCCTCACAGGAGCTTTAAGATCAGATTCAAGTTTGTCTAATACATGTACCATTATATTAAAGATGAAAATTCAAAGGATGAAAAATGACTCAATGCTGAGAAATGATACAGGATTATCAAAGATTTTCTTTTCATACAACTCTCCTCATTTCCCACCACAAATAAAACCTTTATTTCGCTTCCTTAACGCACATAAAAGTTGGTACAATCTACATTTATACTTCAACATGACTGATGCAAAATCTGTGAAAACTTAACATTTAACCTCCCCCTGACCTTTGACGTACCTGCTGTTGCTTTGTTCTGCTGCAAGGAAAGATCTCAGGAGCGACTGTGCTGCATCTGGAGACCTCAGTGCAAGGTTATAGAGCCTTAGCATCCTGTTGGACACACCCATCACCATCATCACAAGGGCATGAGAGTATTTTTAGATAGAGCCTTGCCCCAGAGAAATAAACACATGGAGGATACAAGCACAGGAGGCACACAGATACATGTGCACACGCCGACAAAGATGGTTCACTGGTTGAGCCAGAAGGAAAAAGAGAACGACGGGAAAGTGACGATGCCAACAGCTACCAACAGATATCTGCCTCTGGTGTTGCTTATGACCTGAGTCCCTAGGTGCCATCAGGGTCTGTAACCTCAGACTGCATTTTATCTGAATTCACGTCACATGGATACTAAATCATCTTTGCAGTAGTTCAACTGAATGAATTCCAGCTGCAATGATCAGAATGTACCAGACTAATGTATGAAAACATGATTTAAAGGCATCATTACATAGAGTCCTCAAATATGTATTTACCAGAAAAATGAGTTTAATCGATGGAGTATGTTGGTTTCCTTCCTTTTGCAGTGTCTTATTTCAAAAAACAAAGATAATGAGGAGTGACTAGACTGCAGGTCTTGTTCTGCAGAAGTCTCTGTTTATGTCACGTACGTAGCGTTGAACATGTCCATGTTGTGCTCACTAGCTTGGATGTCCTGCAGTGGCTTCAACTGCTTTAGCAGGGACAGAGGGTAACGGGATCGTACTGGCATGCAATCCTCATGCATCATCCCTGCAAGAGAAGAAGGGGGCTCCTGTAATACAAACCCCAATTAGACCTCCCTTGGTTCCCCTTAACAGTCTAAGCCGATCAAGTGTCAGCATTCACTTTTAGATATGGTTCATCTAAATCTACTGAACATATCAAAATTCCAAAACCATCAAGTACCTCTGGATGGTTCGATGAGTTCATGGGGAGATGAGGTCATATTCTGGTTTTATTGTTGTTGTTGTGGCCTCGATGACAGGCAGCGACGTGTTGTTTGTTATGAGACACTATTGAAAGATAAAGCAAATCTCCATAAGGCTGCACAGCTGTTTGGTGTTTGTCTAGGCAATGATCTACGATGCTTCACAGCCACCAGTTTATATAACCACCCTGTTCCTCTTTTATCAAGCTCTGCTCGTCCGCAGCTAAATAGTCATATAAATCACACGGGCAAAGAGACAATAAAAGACGGGGTAAGATCTTTGGATTCAAAAGAGAGATATCAGGTTTATTAGGTCAGAGTAATGGCAGTGAACTCATCATCTTTCTGACATGAGCCGGCTGGTAGGTTTCCAAAACATGCCAAATCTGTGTATAACACATGAGTGTTCAGGTTACCCAAGCAGCAATTACTGCCAGATACTAATGTGATCTCTAACTTGACCTCCTTTCAGTGTTATAAAAACATATCCAAAGGTTTCACTGTTTGGCTTACATATGTTTTTTTTTTTAATTTGACAGGTTTCCAAATGTGAGTTCAGCTGGTTGAAGGTTTTTAAATGGACATTCAGGCTGAGATGGACTTTGAAGAGATCGTGAATTTTCTTGTATAAGCCAAGACCTCAGAGTATCATCATCAGTGCACCACTTTCTGTCTACTGCATATTAAAAAAGTTGGAAAAGTTAAGAAGTAACACTACGATGCTTATATAAATGATTCTGCAAAAATTATAAGATGTTATTGGCTTTACGGATTCATATTTGTTTCATTTTAATATCAATGCAACTAAATTATGCAATAAAAAGGTATAATCAAGCCTTATTGTTTCTCAATCCAAAGACCTGATGAATTAAATAAAATGCTAAAGAAATAAAACATTAAATGAAGCTTTAAGGAACAAAAAGTATAGCTTCATTATGCGTGTCTTCACCTCCTTTTTGCTCCTGAAATATGATACCTCGTCCCTGAGCTTCTTGATGCTAAACTTTGTTCACAGCTGGACTCTAACACAGAAAAATCTAAATCCAATAATGACTGCAGATCTTTGCTGTTTATGAGCGATGAGAGTAAATCAAAAAGTTGAACTGAAAAGATGCACCACAGGATTTTTGTAGCTGGGTTTCAGAACAACAACAGGCCAGTTTTTGATCGAACTTTGCAAAAGGATAAAGGAAATAATTCGGAATCCATCTGACCTGCCCAAAAAAGGAGGAGATCTACTTGGCCTTGGTAGAAGTCCAGCTGTCTTGGTGTACTTGTCTTCAAGTTTATCTAGACACGCCTTGCCTTTGACATTTAGACTTTGTTTTTAATCCCAGAGCTTCCATGGTTACATTTCTATCATTGCCAGTCAGGGTTAGATCTACAAAAAGAACAATAAATGGCGGCCAACATTTTCAACAATCCATCCTATATAGTTCTTAAGGTGCTAAAATAAGTATAGGCATTGCTTCATCCAGTTCTGGGACACCTTGGCGTTATCAAAGCAGAACATAGTATCCAGGTGACTCACGCTGCAGCAGGTCTCTGGAATGGAAAGATCAGGGTCATTGGAAGTCCTCTGGGAAGTTCAGAGACATGTTTGTCATGATCGTCAATGCTGGGAGATGAACCTAAATACCTCTGTCAGCCTAAAACTTCAGTGAGAAGTGTGTGTGTGTGTGTGTGTGTTGTTACATGTTGTGGATTTTTGTAGCTACAAGATATCCAGGTAAATATTTGTAAATGTGCAAAAACTGTCGAAGTCAAGACAATTTGATGTACAGATTTATCATAAAACCTCAGAGTAGAATTCCACAATCACATCTGATATCACAAATTAAATAAAACATTTCCACAACTAACAAACACACCCACGCACACACAGTTCATGCTGCAGCTTCTCTGTGGTCCCGTGTCTCCCTGCCCCTCCTCCAGCCTCGGTACAGTTTGATGCTCAGACTGGGGAGGTCGTACAGCTCCTCCAGGTGGAAGCGCTGCTGAAAGCGATCCACGAATCTGTTCTCTGGGTCCAGACGAAAGCGCATGGCCCACAGGATCTGTGTGTTTTCCTGACACAGGTGGTCAAAGGTGTCCATCAGCTCATTTAGGTAAGGATGGGCGTAAACCACATCAGCCGCCAAGATGAAGTCGAAACAGTGTGTGGCACGAGGGAAACGCTGCTCCACCTCTTGACCCCAGATCAGCTCTGTGACCTGAAAATGAGATGGTCGTACCCAAGTTTGTTTTTCTTATAAAGAGAGTGAATGTTTGTTCATGGTCAATCTAAATTAATGTCTTATCGAATGTATGAACTCTGTGTGATAAGATATAAGAATGAAACCTTACCGAGGGGATGTACTTGCATCGGTCCTTAGTGTTACGCAAAACGTTGTACTGGAGGTTCCCTAACACATCAGGTAGATCAGTGGAGGTCACTTTAGCACCTGGAGAGAAACAAAACAGTTACACCAACCAGGATTTAAAAAACACCAAACCTCAAATGTGATCCTTGAGTTTTCTTGATTTCTTTTATACCTAACAGACTGGCGACAATGGTGACCAGCCCGGTTCCAGCTCCCAGTTCAATCACGTTCTTGTCCAGGAGGTTGTACTTGTCTCGATTTGTGTCTAAAAAATGACACAACACCATCGCCTGTTGGGGGATACACAAGTTTGTAGCTTACATGCAGGTCTTAAATGCCGCACAAAGATTTTGGATGAAGAGGACACCGGATAAGTTTGGGGTTTACCGACGGCCAGAGCACAGCTCCATAAACATCTGTGGACTCTTTGATCTTGATCTCCTGATCATGAAACCTGTAGCCCTCCCAGGCCTCCACACCAATGACAGAGGGGCGAAAACCTCGAGCCATTATGGCTTTGGCTAGTTCTGCATCGACAGCAGCCCCTGCATCAGGTAAGACAGGTAGGGTTTGAACGATACACATCGATATAAATTTGATAAATGCAGAATCTATAGAATAGCACAAGGCAGACGGGCAAAATATGAAGGGGAACGATCACATAAATAGTTAAAAGCCCTCATAATAAGGGTGTCTGTGTAATAAGTACCTTTTTCTACCCCTGCTCATCCTAAAAACATGCCTTTAACTTTAAATATTTAAGCCAAACTTTTCATTTGTATTGATTTTGGCGCCCCCGATGGAAAAAAAGTGACACAACATGACTATTTCTTGAGCTTGTTCTGCGTGTATTTAAGGTGAATTTTGTTTTCAGGCACAAAAACTCCCCCTGCTTTCTTCCAACACCCAAATATAATGATCATTGTGAATCGCTAAATACCAATTACCATCTTATCTGACACCCGCTCTTTAAAAACTACAATATAGAAATTATAAATCTTGATCCTGATGGTCTTGTTTGCTTTTTTAGGACATGAGAAAGCATCATGTAGACATCTAAAAACTGCTCACTGGACCTTAAACATTTAGATTATAAGACATTTAAATAAAACTTTAAAACATTTGAATATTTATTTTTAGTATTACAGCCGTATTCTGGTTTGTTTCACTTAAAAAAGTTGTTGTTTTACTCTCTACTTCAGCACAATTATGCGACACAGTGATTAGTTGAATGGATAATCACACAGATATCAAGACTGTATCTGCAAAGGGGATCTGAATTTTCGTTTAGTTTTTCATGAATTTAACTAGATATACCAATAACTCATCTCTGATAGTTCCCTGTGAGGACCATAAGTCATCTTAGTTTGCAAGAAAACATCAAGAATTATACAGATGAAGCCAAGAATGTATTATTGTTCACACACACATCTAAGTAATCCAGGTTAGCAGATGTTTTGATAATCCGAACTGAGGCCCTCTTACAGAAAACATGTCAACATGTTCACACAACAGATTTTTGATTTAGTGTGTCCTCCTGCACATCACCCAGCGTGTGACAGAGTCACTGCAGCCTTAAATCAAGCTGGCTGATCATGCTGTTTTTATTTCATATCATCTTACAGGTAACCCTTGATTCGCCTTTGTACGGATCGCACGTAGGCCCAGAAAGCTCCTCTGATCTGAGCCAGTGTGTCATGCTCCAACTACGCCTCAGTGCTGTTGGTCACTGGAACACAAACTCGTATTATGTAAGACCGGGTCAGAGAAAATGTCAGGGGAGTCCACAGTGGGAAAATGAAAAGATTGTTCGAGGTTGGGGAGGGGTTTGGAGCTTGATCTTTAGCCTTTATTGTCAATAGCTCAGCTCGATTAAAATGTACAGGTTGTCGGGACTAAATGTTCCCATACAACATCCGACTTTAGATTTATATGCTGCTAAAGTATTTTCTCTAAGATGGTGGAAAAAAGGGGATCTTTTCCCAAAATACCTACAAATCTTTGCTTCGTTGCAAAGAATGAATTATGCAGCTGAAAAAGAAAAACAAATCTGAAAAATTCTGTTGTTTTTTCCTGCGTTCTCACCCTCTTCTTTGGTGTCTTCAGTGGCCTTGGACTGTAAGGACTCCATGTCTGAAGGAGTCCAAAAAAAGAGGGCAGGAACACCCCTGAGGAGAAAATCCTCAGCAGTCGAATCCTGATCCTGTTTTCTGCTTTCTTTGTACTTGGGTCAATATGGGTCCAGTTCTTACGCAATAGTCCAGTTGTCGCCTTAATGACACACAAATACGGTGTTTTCCTGACTTCTTTTCCAAACACCCCACCACACCACGCTTCCTCAACTCCACCCTACGTGTCTCGCTCTCTCTGGGCATACTTGGACTCTCCGAACTGAGGGAGTCAAACTGACGGACAGCGACAGATGCGCCGACTCTCTGCTGAACTGGAGCTGGGGGAGTGGGGGTGAGGAGTTACATTTCCTCGGCTAAACCAACAAGTTAAAAACCCACCTGTTCAGAACAACACACTCCTTGTAATTTACCTTATCATATTTTATATTTATGTTTGTTTTAATGTATGTTTTTAAACTCTTGTAAAGTGACCTTGAGTGTTTAGAGAGGCGCTTATAAGTAAGATGTATGTAAATAAATCAGCTGTCTCAGACGCACATGGAAATATTTCAACTTCCAAAAGCGGGAAAATTTAATGCAAAGCATCTTCAGTCCTCATACTGTCTGTTACTCTAATACAAACATATTTCCTGTGGTACAGAGAAGCTCATTTCATCATGATACATTTACATAATTCATATTTAAAGTCACAGACATTTATAGCACCTTGTTTTCAGACATGATTTTCGTTTGTCAAATCCGTCCGACAGTCAAAGTTCATTTTTTTCCTCTTAGTTTCCCCTTGCCTTTTCCTCTAACACTTCCCCTTCCACGTGGATGTTTCCCTCCTCGGCCTCGTCGGCTGCTGTCAAACACAGACCTGGCTGTAACCATAGCGACTCCATCTCCACCATCATCACTGCCCTCGCTGGAGCTGCTGCTGCTCTTCCTTCTGATCGTCTGAGTCGGAGTCTTAGTAACCTGAGGGGTTTTGACCGTGAAAGACTCCTGGCTGCTGCTGCTGCTGCTCGAGTCATTCAGAGATGTAACAGGAGGTTCAACAATGACCTCTGACCCCAGAAACCCTCCTCCTCCTCCTCCTCCAGGTCTCCTCTCCTCTCCCCTTCCTGCCACCCCTCCTTTGGCTGGACTCTCATGTGCTGTCCTGTCTTTTTTGGGTTTTGACGGGGACAGTTTCTCCTCTTCGCTGTCCTCCTCGCTCTCCTCTCCTGCTTCTTTCTCCTTCCTCTTCATGCAGGTGACCGCTCGGCGGAGGCGCTGGCTGCGGATCCCCTGCTTCTCCTGTTGCTCCAAGCGGAAGAATGAGTCGATTCGCAGCTGAGTCTAAACGAAAACAGTTGGTGATGTTAGACGACGATGTGGTTTCCATTGATACGGACTTGTTTTAAACTCACGGGACATTCAGGGGAAATTTGGTGGAAAAAAGGAGGTTAAGGAAGATGTGACAATGTTCCAGACTGGTTAAAAACGATCTCACTTACATGCTGAGTGTTGAGCTGTTTTATCACCGGCTGAAGAGTCTCTTCTGTTTTCCGGCTGCTCCAACCAAAACGATTCAAACAGAACGTAAAGAGACTGGTTGAGGAAACTACACACGCTCCTGCTTTACACGTACAAACACATAATAAACACACAATGAAAGGATATTCTTTGATCATATCCAGCTGTGGGCGTCCCCAAGTGAAGGTGCTGTCTGACTGGTCCACAGCGGGCTCCATGTAAGCCTGAGCGACCGCAGGGCTGGGGAACCCCGGCTGCAGCTTTAAGGCCCTCAGTTTCTTCTTGACCTTTGTGTCCCTCGGATCGGACACCAGGCGCTTTTTCTCTTGAGCCTCTGACCACCACTGACTAAAGCAAAAAAACAAACAACGAACAGGCAAACACACAACACAAATTTCAATCACAAAACCTGCCTGCAACACTTCAAGCCACAGACCACAAAAGGGATCTGAAGGCACTGAAGGGATCGCCTTTAGATCTCTTGAAACAATAAATGGCATGACCCAGGGCTCTGTCTTGGGTCAACTGTTACTTACAATGTATGTCAACAGTATTGATCTTACTAGACCATAATATGCTAATTTTGAAACAGGTATTGAGCGCTCTCAGGATGGTTTGCACACAGTATCTGAGAGCTTCGATTGGTCTTGACTCCTGACAAAATTCATGGTATTTGAAAACTCAAAGACTCTGAACTTACAATCTATTATTCCATCTGAGGGTGATGTGATTGAATCTATATGATCTTATAGGATTCTGAATCAGTATTTGCTGTTTTTTTTCAGCTTTTCATACATCTTTGAAAGAAGTTGTCGTGTCAGCTGGGCTTTTTCGTTCAGAAGCCAGTCAAGTTTTTTTGTTTTTTTTTGCTGTAAAAACTTGTTGCTACCACTTTTATCCCTGTTAGAATAATGTGCATAAATGTATATAGAAGTTATCATTATTCCTCATATTCTTATGTAAGAGTTTATACTACAAGTATAAACTGCTTTGACCTCTTTTTATACATCATATAAGAGTATTTTTATCATATAAGAGTGTTTCCTAACTTCTCTCTCCAATAGATTTACTACACAGTACAACAATGTTTCTTTCAGTTTTCTGTGACCGTGTTTTTCCTATCAGCAGGTGTGGGTGTGGGGGTGACATATCCTCCACGGATGAATCGTGGGAAGGTTTTGGGGAGGATATTCTTATCAGAAGGAGCTCGTTAGATGCCGCCTTGACCTTCACATATTCACAAGTTGTTCATTATTATGCTTTATGAGAGTGCTAACTTTGCTGCACAATTTCCCCCCACCTTTTAGAAACATTGTGTAACCAGGGACAACCCTAAATAAAAGAGGCCGGACAGAGAAAGAACCCTTAGAGTGGTATTGAGATAGCTAAAAAAAAGATCACTGTCCATTCTCCTCGAGTATATTCCATTGTCTTTCTCCTTTTTTATGTGTTTTAAGGTATTTGGGCAGGTTTTAGACCCAACAATCCCCATGATTGAATGCGCTGATATTTTGTATATGCATATATGCGTGCATCATAACAATACCTTCACTCTTTAGCTCACCGCTTCTCCCTGTATGCTTGAGTTGCATAAAGGGAGCAGTGTTGACTAAGTTACTGGCGTTTCCTTACATATATGGAAGCTCTTAACTTGCTTGCCTTCTAGTCTATGTAATCTTGTCCTTATGAAGAGTCTGAAAGCTCCAGTCTTTGCTCTTTTACCCGGTCAGAACACTTATTCTTTTATTTCTGTGCACAGTGGGCCATCTTGAAATTGGGAAAAAGAGTTTTTTGTACGCTGATCCGACAGTCTTGACTTTGCAGCAGGATGATCTGGGTCTAAAGGGGCGCTAAAGGTTCCACCAATTGTTTAGATGAAGAAAAATATAGTACAGTAAGTTAGTAAGTGCTATAATTCACCTTGAAGGTCTCAAACACACCTGAATTGTATGAGTGGCTCCAAGCCCATCCCAGGGAACTCATTCAGTATCTCCATGCCGGTCACATATCCGACTCCTGGCACTCCCTCTGTGTAGTCACTTCCCAGCAAATAAGCGAGGTTGATCAGTTTAGTTCTGTCGAGGCCTGAGCAAGAAATCAGTATAAAAAAAACGATCGAAGAGGGAAGAAAACAGGAGTTAAAAATAGAGGAAGAAGAGGAGAGGAAGGGAGGGGAGGGCGTTAAGTCCAGTGTGAGCGGTCAGTCTGCTGACAGCTCATCAGTCACTTCTGGATCACACTCATCTACAAACACCTGTCTCTGATATGTGTAATATAATTCCATCAGATTAACACGGCAGCGTGTTATCCTACCACAGTTTCATCACCTCACGCTTCTGTTTAGAACAAGGTATCATCATGCAGCCGACCGTTACGTGACTCTTGTCATAAACAGACCGACTAAAGCCAAAATATCTGCAGACGGCAGATGTTCCCACAAACACTGACCCAGCTGGTTTTGCAGGTCGCTGTACTGATAGTGCTCCACGTATTTTTTCTGGCTGAAGAAGTTTTTGTAGACGTGTCGTCCTCCAAACAGCCACACGTCGGAGTCGTCCGTGATGGTGCCGTTTGTTTGGTCGGCGCGGTCAAGCGCAGCGCACTGAGCCTCAGCTTCCATTGGAGCCACCAGGAACGGCACACCGAACAGCTGCAGCAGCTCCTGAAGACCAACGCCAGAAGAAGTTATTGATCCCATACATACTAAATACACCCTGTTAGTCTGTCACGGTACTTCCTCTTGTACCTTATAGGTTTTGACACCATGTACAAAGATTTTCAGTTACTATAGAACCAATCTATGAAAACAAATCAGTGACAGTAAGTCAATCCGGCCAATTACTGGTACATGTTTCTGTATTTAACTGAGAAGTAGTTAAGCTCTTGGCAGTCTCTTCTCTTCAGTAATAAACATGTGGCCTTTATAAAGTGAAACTGAAGACTGTGAGTGAGTTGATACTCAGTCACAGTCTGACAGTTTAAATATAACCTGACCCCCAACTGTTGTTCTCCTCCTCTGTATTGTTACACTGTCTTTTTCACATTTTGTCACTCTACAACCACAAACTTCTAAGTATTTATTGAGATTTTTTGTCATCGACCAACACAAAGTAATTGTGAAGTGGAACAAAAAACAAATAAAAACCTGAAAAGTGTAATGTGTGCATTTGTATTCAGCCCCCCGGTGTCAATACTTTGTAGAGTCACCTTCGCTGCAATTACAGCTGCAAGTCTTTTGGGGTTTGTCTCTACAGGCTTTGCACATCTAGAGACTGAAATTTTTGTCCATTCTTCTGTGCAAAAGAGCTCAAACTTAGCCAGATTGGATAGAGAGCGTCTATGAACAGCAATTTAGGTCTGGACTTTGACCTGATTGACTTGTAGAGTGACAAAATGTGAAAAAGTTTCTTCTTCTACTTCTTCAAGGCACTGTGTATGTTGTACTTGTTTCTTTATTCTGTTTATTTAGCCTTTATTTAACCAGGTTGGTCCTGTTGAGATTACTAAACTCTTTTACAAGGGAGACCTGGCCAAGAGGGCAGCAGCAGCACAGTTCCTTCAACAGATAAAATTCACAGCATGTCAACATTAAAACGATCTCACATAAAACATTTACACACAGATGAGGGAGATTGTCATGATTTCACTACATTTTTTAATTCATTTAGTTTCACAAGAGCTTGAAGGCGAAGTTTAGACTGTAGTTTGTTTCAGGTATTAGGTGCTGAAAACCTAAAACCCTTCATGCCCAGTTCAGTCCTTACTTTGGGGGGCACTTATGAATATATATAAGAATATATATCTATGTTTATATTAAAAATGATAAGTCAAAGGTCATCATCACTTTTCAGGGTGGATAATATGTGTTTTATACGTGTCTGTATGTTAACCTGGCTCTCCAGGTACATCTGTCCAGTGACGGTGTTGGCCATCCTCTCCTGCTGCTGCTTCAGCTCCCTCAGATTGCTCTGCTCCGTTTGGAGAGAGCTCTCCAGAGCCTCCAGCTCACCCTGCAACACAACACAAGCACAGACACACACTAATACACATGCGACATCACTTTGCTTAAAACCTACAGGGGCGCAGAGACAAAAAAAAATGTTTGACTTTTTTTTCTCTCTTTGTTTTGTGTTTTAAATTCTACAGTTAGCGTCTATAAATGCAGCACCGAATTTTGGCTTGGCACGTCTACACCTGTGTCTAAAGTAAGGAATTAAAATAATAAGCATGATCAGTTACTATATGCATTAACGTGGTCACATGTCCCGTTTGTGATTTTGGTGAACATTGTTGATCTTCTCATCATCACTCACCACATCAAAATGTTCCCACTCATTGACCGCTGGAGTTGAGTGTGGCTCGTTCTCTGTCCTCTCCTTTGACTCTTCCTCTTCAGTCTTTTCGTCCTCTTCTTCCTCTGATGTCATGACAGCGTTCGCTTCACTTTCAGCTTCTGTCAAATCTACCTCTAGCTTTTCTTTCGTATTGGATTCATGTGTATGTTCCTTATCTAGGGGTCTTTTTTCTCTTATCACAACGAGCGACTCCTCCTCGTCTTCCTTGAATTCCTCTTCTGACACTTCAATAAAGCTTTCTGCGAAGAGACAGAACAGATCTCCAGTTGATATCTTCTGGAAACAAAAACAGATGAATGAATGTGTTTTTAAAAGGATCATTACTGTACCTTCTGACTCACTCTCCTCACTGGGCTCAGACTTGGGACCACCAGGAGGGACTTCAGTATCTGATGCAGCAGCCTGTTGTTGAACCAGATCTCCATTCAATCTGATCAAGCCTTCCTCTGGCTCTCTTATCTCAAGCTCTGCTCTTGTTGTCTGTTCTCTGTTTCCTCTCCTTATATCCTCTATTAAACGGCCTTTTTTCATTTCCTCCTCTGATTTCTCCTGAGGTTGTTGCAAAGCTGCAAAGTGAAGTGCTTTGTTTCTCTGACCTATCACTTCCTCCATCTCATCTTCAGAGCTGCTGACTAACAATCTGTCCCTCTCAAGTAAACTTTGTCCGGTTGTACTCTCTTTCAAATCAGGATTTTTTAGAGAAGTAAAGTTGACTTTTTCTGCCTCTTCGTCTTCGTCTGAGCAGCTGATGACCACCTGAGGGACAGGACGGGGAATATCCACCTTCAGTTTGGTGTTTGAGTTGCTGTGTTCAACAGCAGCGTCTTCCTCAGCAAGAGCTTGTTGGATCGCCAGAAGAGTACGTGGAGACGCATTCCCACTCATCTTATCTTGTTCTACCTTCTCTTCGTCCGAGCTGTCACTCATTGCAGCCTGGATTGCTTTAAGGGTGCGAGGAGAGGGTGGCGATGTGTCTTCCTGAAACGGTTTTGATACTTGGGGTTTGGAGTCTTCCGAGGCGGGACCACACACTTTCTCCTCTACATCACCGGCAGGACGCCACAAAGGCTCCGGTTTCCCCACGGCCCGTCGAATGGAACCTGACAGGGAGCTCCCCGACCAGGGATCAGCTGCAGGGCGGCTCTCGGGGACAGTTTCACTCTTTTTGGAGCCTAAATAGAAAAATTTCAGCAATGTGAAAAATCTGTGATAAAACTTTTTTACTCCGACAACTGTGCAAAACTTTCCCCTGAAACAAACACAGTCCATGTCATACCTTAAGATTATAGACTGATTTCTTGCAAAACTGGTTAAGATGAAGTTCAATTAGGCAACAATTGGTCTCACAAAGATGATCCATCTCACAAACTCAAAGTTTGTTTTCCTTTCTTTGATATTTAAGTGGTAGAGTAGTCAGATTTCACCCCATTTCAAACAGTCAAATGCTTTCTTGTCTTGGATGTTTTTTTTCTTTAATATAGGTTTACTATTTTCTATTGTAAATTTATCCATTTCTTAGGGGGAAAGTGTGTAAAAATACAGTCATGCATCTGACCTTCACCCGAACTCAACAAGACAAAATGGCCGTCTTCAGTTACCTTCCTGTCGAACTTCTAGTTATCAGGCTTATATCACTTTTAGAGGACCTAAACTATGGAATCATCTGGATGCATCTCTAAAACCAAAATCATCCAACAAATCCTTTAAAATCATGTCTTAAACACATAATTATTTGTTATGATCATGTTTCTTTCCTTTTTATGTATACTTACTTATATTGTCTCTATCACTGGTTGATGAGTAGTCTGTGTTCTATTTATGACAATTTGTATCTGTTTGACCTTTCCCTAATCATTGTATTTTTATAACCTGTCTATGTCCGAGTTACTTAGTCGTTTGCACCCTTTGCATAAGTCTATGGGCTTTGTTCCCTCCTTGCACTGTTTTTAATCTGTGCTAAATAAATAAATACAAATAAAAAAGCTAACAACCAATATCGAACAGCTTCTCTTTAAAACAGGTAAAAGCTGAGACCGCAGCATCAAAGTCGCCCTCACCTTTGATAAGGATGTAGTGGGAATGATCTTCAGAAGCGAGTCGTTGTGACTCCACATCGTGATTCTGCTTGTCTCCATCCTCGTTGTAAAGCTGTGGTGCACCTCCTGCACTCTGCTGGCTCATCTCTTTCTCCACGACCTCCAGGCGCTGGTTCAGACGATTTCTCTGCAGCAAACCAGCCAGCTGATACTGAGAGAAGTCTCCAGAACTCTAAAAGGGAAGTAAGGTCACAGTTTAAGAAGAGTGAACCCGAGTGTGTGAGTGAGTGTGTGTTTGTGATTAACAGTGGTCAGTACCTCTGGGGGTTTTTGGTACATGGTCCGGCGCCTTTTACAAAACTCTTTCATTTCTTTGAGAATCTCATGTTTCATTTCAGAAGGCAGGCAGGCAAACTCCTCTGAGTTGATGTCCACTGAGTTCGGGTCTCCATACAGTTCTCCCTGAGACACAGCACGCAGTTAACAGTCTGGCTCTGAATGGTGACATGGTTCATTTTTGACTTTTGGATGATAGTGCGGCTTTAAAGAGAAATTATTTGTAAGATGGGAGGATGACCCCTCTGCTATAAAGCTTTTTTTTTACTCTGGTGAAATGCAGTGCTTCACAAGAAAGAGTCAACACATTCGCTGAAGATGAAATATCACATCAACAGAACAAAGTAGGCTACTTATTCAACTATCAACATGTTTCCTGGTATTAAACATCTGCAAAGTCGGGAAATAACAGAGCTATGTGAAAATGAATCGTTTTTTTTCTTCCTTTTCTGGCTTTGGTGCCTTTACTCTGAGTGAACAGAACTTTAGATAGAGTGGGACACTGGAAGAGAGCGTAAGGAGAGATATTTGGGAAAGAGGCTGCAAGTTGGTATTGATCCCTGGCCACCTGCTTAGTGGAGTGTAGCCTCTGCAGGTGGGGTGTCTGACTTTACTATGAGGCCAAATCGGTGCCCAAACAAAGCACAGCTTGTAATTTCTTTTTGCAAATAAACTGCCCATCACTAATCATTTGTTATACTTCATACCTTTTACGTATCTTAAATCATTTCCAGTACTTTGCTCTGAGGTGTGGCTTACCTCTATTTGTACCTGTTTCGCTGTGTAGCAGGAGGAATCATTTTACCTGGTACATGTGAAAACTATCAGCGCTCTCCTCCCACTCTTTACTGTCCTCTTCCTCCTCTTCTGAGCTGTCAGAATAAAGCAGATTGAAAAAGTAAACGGATTGTGCAGTTGTAGACATTTACACAAACATGCTTGTTTAGCTTTCTTGGCTGATTTTGAGTTTGGCTTGTTATCTTGTAAATAATAGCATGTCAAGTGTTGAACAATAAATATATTTTTTAAAATTATGACTTAAATACCCTGCTCTTTATCCATGCTAGAATAATAACCTCTTCTTGGTTTCTGACCTGCTTTTAACCTTCTCCTCTGCAGCTGGTAGGGCTGGCAGTATGTACATGTCATCCACTTCATCTCTTCTCACGTTGGAGAGGCTGGGGAAAGGATCTTTACTGCAGGACGAGAGAATTAATGCCAGAATCAGAATACGTGTTTTCATTTTGGGGTCTTATTAGCCAAGAGATAGAGAGCAGATGTTGTCTTCTTCGCCGTCTATCCACCTGTTCTCTACCTGTGGTCTCCAAGAGCAGCTTTGATAGCTTGTCTCTTCAGAAATGTCTTGAGGAGTTTCTCATTGGTCTGTTTGGACTCAAGGTTCAGCTCCTCTTTCCTCTGCCTTCTCAAAGCCTACGAAGAGGACCCACACAAACAATATATTGTAAATGTAAATGTTCTTTATTTATACGGCCCTTTACAACGACCCTTTTGGGAAACCAAAGAGCTTTACAATACATAGTAAAAATGAATAGATAAAAACAATAAAAAAGAATAAGATACAATGCAATAAAATAAATGTCACCACACTACTGGGTATTTAAAGCCATCTTAAATAAATATGTTTTCAACCAAGATTTAAAAAGGTCAGAAATAAGTCTCATTTCAGTGGGTAGATTATTCCAGGGCCTGGGACCAACAACTGAAGAGGCTTGGTCACCCCAGTGTATTTTGACCTAGGGAACCTCCAGCAGAAGTTCGTTTGACGACCTCAGAGCTCTACCCGGCTCCTGAACGGTTAAAAGCTCAGTTAAATAGATGGGGGCGAGGCCGTTAAGAGCTTTAAAAACAAACATTAATAGTTTAAAATCAATCCTATAGGGAGGGGAAGCCAATGAAGGGAGCTATGGACAGGAGTGATGCCCTCACGTCTATTAGTGCTGGTTAAAAGACGGGCAGGCGACTTGGAGATGATTGGGAGATGCCAACATAAAATGCATTACAATAGTCTAATATTGAGCTGATTAGAGCATGGATGGCTATCTCAAGATCGTGGCGGCTTAAAAACATTTTGACCTTAGAAACTAGTCTGTACAACATTTTCAATTTATTTGTCAAACTTCAGGTGTTTGTCAAAAATCACTCCCGGATTCCTGATAGTTTGACTGAACTTTGGAAACAAGGAGCCAAAGTCAGCCGTCACTATGTCCTTATTATTATATTAGGACCATTTGAAGGACCTCTTGATGGTTTTGGGAGAACATGACTTACCAAGGTTTGCTTCTTCAGCAGAGGTGCGTCCCCATCAAACACAAAGACTGGCCTGATGCGGAAGAAAAGCAACTTGCAAATGCGGTGAAAGAGAGTAAGGAGGTGAGCATTCTGGACACTATTCCCATCACGGTCCCTCACCCCCTTCACCGCCTGGTTCAGCCAGATACTGATGTCTGAGGGGGGGTCTGGTTAAGGTTAATGATGGACACATACAGAAATCTGTTGGTTATATCAACACATCTGATAGAAGGAAGAAAGAGTGGTCGGGTCACACTTTAAATTCACAAATTAGAGCATAGATCAGGATACCAACAGCAAGTATCTTTCCCTCTAAAGTCTCAGGGTTGATGGGTTTCCCTGTGCTCTCCAGCAGCCTCCACAGTCCGTGGACTCCCATCACAACACAGGTCCGAAATCCTTCTCTCAAGTTTTCCGAGTAAACGGTAACAACATCAGCTTAAATCCGCTTAACTACTTTAAACGTTTTGAACACAAATCTGAAGAAGTGAAGTATAAAATTAACATCACAGCGGCACTTTTCAATATTTGTTGTGACGATGTTTATGTCCGTAGAGGAAATGGTGACCGTGCACGAAGGTTCCGCGTCTATTTAAAAAATACTGTAGCAGAGTGCGAGGGCGCCTATACTGGATAGGGATTAAAATAAACATCAATACAGACAGTAGGCTAGTCTTTTCGTGCCGGCAGCAGCGTCCACTTTGTTCAATTTCTTACTCTTTTTCACTCGTCAATTTCAGACCCAGTTAACAACATCAACTTCCGGTATTCCTTCAAAATAACCCTCGACACAGAGCTGCTACAACAAAAATAGGTTACAATACAGCCAACTGTTTCTTACGATATTCATTCACGTTTAAGTTTGAATTAATTTATTAGTTAACTATTTTGAAAGTGGTTAAATATGAGAGGAACTGAACGTTTGCAGTTGTGGATTTAGTTACGTGTAGTGGAAAGTTCCAAATGTGATTATTTTACCCTGAGTTGTATCTGCTAGGTTTTCTTGCGCTACCTAGCCAACGCGATAATGATACCATTTATACGAACAATTGTCAGTATTAATCTTTTTTTTAACACAATTTAATATGTGGACATGTTACAGGCACTGAACGGTGATTTATTAGTGAATTTTGTGCAAGAAAACGGTAGCCTGCAAGGCAATTCTCAGGAGGAATATCGCTTTCCGTACGTCAGACGCCAACTGTGTCCGGTGACAAAATCAACAGCGAAACAATCGAGGAGGATCGACCCCTCGTCAGCCGGTATATTCATTTTCAGTTCCTCTAAAATAATGAACTTTAAACGAATTGACATGAATAATGCCTCTTTACGTTCTCTTGGTATCGCTCGTGTAATTTTAACGTTCTCTGGGCTTCTTTGTTTTGGGTAACGCTACAACAGAGCTAGCTTAAGCTAGTTAGCTTTTTTTTTCCAGCCATCTCCCGTTATCGCGTTGTTATCTGTACCTCAGCTGTTAAATCTGTCCTTTAACCCTCACATGTTCACTGTCACGTTTAAACAGTCAACCCTCACGGATGTTAACCTATTGTTTAATGTGTTTGTCTAATGTTTCAGAGCGAAGATCAATATAAATCTCAGGTGAAGCAGCAGACCCTACGCCGCGTCCACCATGACGGCTGCTGCAGTGAGAGGTGAGCATTGTTTTCATCATTTACAGCTATTATTATCAACAGTTTTGATATAAATAACTCTGCGGGACTACAGTGCAAACGTGGGAAAATTATAGTTAAACCAGAGGAATTTGATAAAAGATAAGACAAATAAGATTACAAGTTTGGCTGACTTTTGTGACATTGTGCGACGAATCAACTGTTTTGTGTTACATCACCAAGTTGGGTAGAAGTATGCAATATGACAACCACCCAGTACACAATACTGACACTTTATTAGATCTTCAGTGTGTCTTAGGAATGGTAATACATGTCTTTGAAGACAGTTACTAGTATCTAGGGCTGGGCGATAAAACGATCACGATATATATCGATAATTAATTTCCCCGATATCAATATAAAACATTTTCGTAATACTGGTCCTGTTTACTTTTGTACATCATTTAAAAAATAATTGATAGAAATTTCAGTCTTTTTATAAATGTCAAAGAACTCCTTACAGGACCTTAAAGTTGAAAACTGTTATTTTGATCCCTTATTTCTCACAGGCTCAGCCAGTGTGCCTGTTCGAGGCGCTGGCGATGGCATGGAAACTGAAAAACCACCTGCCATCTTGGAAGTTAAGGCAGACCCACAGCCACCAAGCTCACCAGCAGTCCCCCTCCTGAAGGTGGCAAGCCCAAAGCAAAGTCCCAAATCCAAGCACTCTGCTCCCCATGTTACCCCGCAGCCTCTCGGGGTGCTTCATTTGGGCAAGGTGAGCCGAGAAGCCTGCACAGAGGTGGATGCGGTGAGGATTGTGGTTCCTCGTGCTGCGATCAGCCGAAGTACCCGAACAGGACCTGCTGAGGGGAAAGGAGAGACTGGGCAACAGAATGAGGAGCAGGGCTCCCCACCTCTGCCTCTGGTAGAGGACTGGAAAATTCAGCTGAAGAAGCTGCAGAACTCTGAACGCAGGCTGCTGCAGGACAAGGAAGGCCTCTCCAATCAGCTGCGTGTTCAAACAGAGGTAAGGCCCCAATGAAAAGGAGTTTTATATGGAGATATTTGACTTGCCAGTACAGATTATTGCTGTTTCATGTCTTAACTCATACAAAAGAATTACAACAATCTAAACTTTCTGTGAATTTTATAATTTTTTTGTGAAATATATTGAATTTATTTGTACGTCTAAGGAAATTCCACTAGTCAATACAATTCCATTATGGTCACTGAAAACTTTCCCTGTACCAGGTGAACCGTGAGCTAAAGAAGCTGCTGGTGGCGTCAGTGGGCGATGACCTACAGTACCACTTTGAACGGATGTCTCGGGAGAAGAACCAGCTGATCCTGGAGAATGAGGCTCTGGGTCGCTGTTTAGCACACACTGCTGAGCAGCTAGAGCGCATGAGCATCCAGTGTGATGTTTGGAGGAGCAAGTTCTTGGCCAGCAGGTATGAAATGCAGTCAAAACTTAAATAAATGGGATGCCTAATCTAATCCAGGGCAAAATTTCAGTTAGTATAATAAAGTGGAATTTAGTAGAACATATTTAGTAAAGGTGGAATACAACATAAGTAAATTACATAAACTTCAGTTGTTGTAAACTCAGAATTAGTCTTTTATAATTTAACCCCCTTTTAACACCAGTAATAAAAATGCTGTTGTTCAGAAGCAGCAATCACTAATAATATGTTGTTCTGTAAATTTTTTTTTCACATCATCATAAATATCATTCGCACAAATTGCCTTAAAATAAAGCAATATCATTTTGAGGCTGTATCGCCTACCACTATAGCAAGTCTGTTAACTAGATATATCAAAATATTTCAATTTCTACACACTGTACCCTTAAAATTATGCTTTTAATTGGTTAAAATTTGTTATGAATTTATTTCAGAGACAGAAAGCATTAAAAAAATGTAAGGTATGTACGGATTAGTCTAAAATAATTAAGGATGGTTGTCGTGGTCCATAAGCATTTGCATGTGTTTTGTCTCTTCAGGGTCATGGCTGAAGAGCTGACAAATACCAGAGCAGCCCTGCAGAGACAGACCAGGGAGGCACAGGGAGCAATCCAGGACCTGCTGCTGGAAAGAGAAGAGTTCTCCAGAAACATGTTTCTCACTCACAGGTAACAGAAGCCCAATAGCTAAATTAAGATGTTCACTATTAAAACATTTATAAGTTCTAGTTAATTGTAATTAATACGAAAATGTATTTACACCTACATTTATTACATATTGATCTGCTTTACGGGTTAATACGGGTGCTGTCCAAGTTTATTGCACATTAATGAATCTAAAAATATCAAGCAGATATTCATAAAAGTGACTGATAAGGTACGGGCAGGGTTACATACGCACTGACGGTGTTTACAGTGTCTAAAACCTGATGTTGTTTTTTCTTTTTATTTCAGATCACTAGAGCAGCTGCTGGTGTCTCTGCAGTGGGGCAGACAGCAGACATACTACCCCAGTGCGCAGCCTCTCAGCACAGGAGAACTCGCTGCAGCCAATCATAAGCTAGCCGACGCCATCAATTCCCACCTGCTTGGTAACACCAGTAGCAGCACCAGCTGTAGCAGCAGTGTGGTAAAAAGCAGCAGTACAACAGCTGAGCAGCTGTGCAGCACACCAGCAGAGAAGATGGCTGAGAAGGTGCAGTATCTCTGTAATCTTTAAATATTGAACGTTTTCGAGTATTTTGCGGAAATCCCAAGTTTAACGTCTGTGCTTTCTGTCCATCTAAGGTGCTGAAGATTTTAGACCCAATTTCCTGTTCGGAAAACAACACAGATCCTTCTCTCAGCGACTCTCCTGCCACAAACTTCCTCACTAACAAGAAGAGCATCGGCAGATTTCATCCATACACCCGCTACGAGAACATTACCTTCAACTGCTGCGAGCGCTGCTCTGGAGACATCCTGGTGCTGTGAGGTCAGAGAATCGGACGCCAACACAACAACAAAGCTCATTTCAAATGACTGATGGCTGAGAGGGAGAGAAGCCTGGAGGATTCTGCTGCTCTGTTTATCTGACTACTTCAGTAAACATCAAAAGTTACCCGGCCGAGCAGACTTTAACAGTTTGAGTCTTATGCTGCATAACTGTGTAGCAGCCTTGATTATTGCATTTCTAACATGTCATAGAAGGATTTTAACATTTTTATCAAGCTGTCTTTATTTTATGACAGTGTAATGGGGCGCTGTTAAAGATGAAAAATAGGTTTTGAGAATAAAGTTGTAAATTTGCAAGAATAAGGTAATATTAAAAATAGTCTTTATATGAGAGTGAAGTTGTTAAGCTATGAGACATCTCATCATTTTTGTCTATAGTTCACCTGTTTGTTATTTTAAAAGGGAATATGTCATTACACCCTCTTTTCATTAATTTACAACTTTATTCTCATGTGTATACAAAGGGTTCAAAGTGTATGACTGTTATTTTAAAATTTTATTTCAAATGTATTTTCTTTTGCTTTCTTCTGTCATAACATTTTATCATGAACCTGAGAAAAAAAAAGAAATTAACATGAGATGTTTGTTCATGAATCATGCAGTAAAAGTAAAGAAAGCAGAATGCTTTTCAGGGAGACTGTAGCTTCGTTTTAACCACGAAAAGTTCTATTTATTGCTCTGACATGAGGTTAGGACAAGGTATTATTGCTGAGCAGGCGTTATGAGGGTGTCGGCTCATTCAAACTTGAATTTTAGGTTAGTGTTCTCTGAGTTTACTGAATGATCAAATAGTAATTGTGTAAATAACAGAACAAACAGCCCGTAAAGTGTAAGCGTAAGCCCGAGGCTTCGCAGAGTTGCCTGTTGTGGAGAGCTGACAAAACAGATGAGCTATTTGCACATGTTCACTATTGCTGTAAAATAACATGGAGGTGAGGATAGAGAGGACTTCGATGCAGTTTTTTGGTACAACTGTATTTTAAAAACATGAATATATATCCGGTTAATTGCTGCAAAGACACCATATAGATTTCATATTTGATTTTCATGATGGTACAATGTTACATGTGCACATGTCCGGTTATTTGCAAAGGTTTTCACTATTTTTTTTTTGGTGTTTCAAAGACATTTCTCAAAACATCTTAAGTTACATGTCATCTGCTGCATCGTTCTGTTATTCATGGCTGAAAAAAAAAGGAAATGACTGTTTTTTCTGTCGCTTCTAAACACATCATCATTACATGAGTCCAAAGTTACAAATGCCTGTTTGCAGTTCTCAAAAAAATCAAGCTGCACAATATTTATCTTTGTTTCTCAGGTATAAAAAAATTTGTGATGGTGAGAATATGATTTACAGTGCAAGCAGCTTTTTGATTTTCATGATAAACCAAAATAAAGACCAAAGTAGTTTCTGGCTTTTTAAATGTGTTTTTTCCTGCCTTGTTTTTAGTTCAATGTAAGAACTTAGTCCAAGAGGACATCCAAGAAAATAACACTTTATTCATCACATGTCCCTGACGGTGGCTAAAGACATACAGGATGAGATATCATTATACTTTATCCCTTACTCCACCACTCCTTGCTCTTGCCTGCACTTTTTCTTCCCTCCGTATTGCTCCTGAAGGATGACCGTGCTTTAACTGCAGCTGTCTTGTCAAACTTATAGTCTTTAAGGGGCCGTTGCAGAGCTGGACCCTCACCTTTAAATTTCGTGTCTTCATATTTTACAGGCCTGCCAGCAAATCCACGATTTGATACTCCTCTGGCTGTGTTAGTGGTTATCGCTGTCTGTTTCCTTTGATGGTGGAATCCATCATGCTTTCTCACTGGCACAGCCTTCAACGCCTCGTTCCAATTCCCTGTATCCTTCATAGCGAGCATGATACGGACCATCTGGTCCAGAGTCAGGTTTTTGGCCCCCATCCCCCAGTGGAGGAACTCATCTAGGGGTAACCGTGCTGTTTCCAGCTTCAGACGCTTGGCATTGGCTAAGGACAAGCCTGGCTGGATTGAGCGGTCCACAAGGCCCCCGATGATGTAGACTTTGGAGTGGTCAAACTTCCGGAGAACATTGGGTGAATCTGCTGTCAGGTACACGAGCTGTTCACGGGGGAATAAGTCGACATGCCTGCGCTCAGAAGTGGTAATGAGCAGGTGCTCCCAGACCTTTTCCCCATAACGCTTGAGCAGCTCCTGCATTAAGACCCCTTCCTTCTGGAGATTGCAGAAGTGGAGGTGAAAAGGCTCTTTGGCGCGCCGGTTCCACCCTTCTACCTCCATCAGCTGGGACACCGTGTTCCCCACCTCCCGCATGTTCATGTTGGATTCGTAGCTCATGTCAAACACCAAAGGCTGGTCAAACAGCATGGCCTGGGCAGTCCTCCAAGCCAGAAGCCGGTCTAGGGAGCGACTCCAATACTGGCGAATGAATGTGTTTGTAGGATTATGACCTCTCTCATCACCCTCTTCAGCTCCTTCAATGCTCTGTCTTTGTTTCTCCTCCTTCTTCTTCAGATATTTTACTCTTGCAGCTCTTTTGAGGTTCTCCTTGATGGCCAGGAACTTCAGGTACTTCTTCCTGGCAGACTTGGTGGTGAGCTCTGCCAGGATCTGAACCTGTTCATCAGTCATCTCTTCAGGTACAAACTTCCCAGCCTCACGCCACATTACAACCATTTCCCGTGTTGCCTCCAGTGAAGAACTCAACTTCAAATCATCTCCTGATTCATCTTGTCCATCACCATCACTTACTTCATCCTCTATATTGACTTTCTCTCTTGATGCAGCTTGAGACCTCATGACAGATTTCCACTTATCCAGATCTATTGTGTCCGGTTCCTCTGCCTTATCCATGTGAGGTTGGAGAGCATCTTTCCATGCTGGACTCCCAGTGCTGAAGGCTGGACCAGAGATGAGAGGTCTGGCTCTAACAGAGAGAAGACATAATGTTTTCCTCTTCGAAACACAAGATGCAACGAGATGACTGCATTTCCAGAGCTCAGACAAACCCTGGGCTGCGAAAAGACGGAACATCGCAGTGAATTCGTGATAAAGTGATAAAGAATCCGGAAATATGGACAATCCCTGCTGGTTTTCGGCAGTTTAGACGGAACAAAAGTCCTACAGCACGACTTCTTCTCTCCTTGTTTTACAGTCACGAAGAAAATATCCAGGAAGCTCCCTCATCTTACTGGTTGTCTCCAATATCCCTGAAGTTGTGTTCACTTCTCACTGCGTCCATGCTGCTCAAATACCGGGGAAGGTCACGTTGTTACGTGGTGTCACACTATAATTGGTCGTTCTGAAACGGTCGTTCCTGCCGGGGAGCCTCAGGGCCGCAGAGACTGTTGATGTTTTTTAAAAGGAGGCTCAAGACTCACCGTTTTAACCTTTTCACTCGTTGCCTTTTTATATTTCTCTCAGTACAAATGTTCATTTTAATCGGTGTTAATTATCTCTGTTCTTAGTCTTTTCCTTATTTCCCGTTTTAGAGGTTTTTACTTCTTTTACCCCTTTTACGTGGTAAAGAGCTCTTACTTATCTGTTCATTTAATATTACTTTCTTGTTTTAGTCCATCAGGTTTGAGTCTTTCTTTTCACCATTTTATTTTATTTTTATCTTTATCTCCAGTGTTTCTCAAAGGTGGCTCTTTCCTCACACATGTCAGTGTCAGACCATCGGTGTGTCCCAAATCGCATACTTCCATACGAAATACATAAAATTTTGAGTATACTCAACTCAAAATGGAAAAAAGTTTGGATAGTATGAGAAAATTTAGTATGCAAAAGTACCCCGATGACATACTCAAATCAGTCAGGATTTTGAGTATGCGACTGTGGACACTTGCCCGCTCATTTCATTGGTAAGAATGGCTGCGGACAGCTGTGGTGCCAGTGTTATGCACAATAAATATTCAGACATGAGGCAAATCGCGTCGTTATTTCTGGTGAGTGTCCTGCATGGCAGTATACAATTTGGGACAGCACTGCACCCTAGAAACTCGCGCACTGTGCAATTAAGTACATGATATGCTTAGTATACTCAATTTGTTAACAGTATACGAGTGAGAGTGGGTGTGTGGGTCCATGGGTGGATGTGTGAATAGGAGGTTCGGGTTTTATAGTTGTTAATTGTTGTTTTTAGCCTCTGTGAGGCACTTTGAACGGCATTTTCGGTCTGAAAAGTGCCATAAAAACAAAGTTGAATTGAATTGACCTCCTGTTTGCTGAGACAGCTACATAGTGTTATATTTTTCATACAGTTAAACTAGACATTTTTTTTAAATTTCCAAAACCACGTTAATATTACTCATAAGTCGATTTTCTACGGTAACGCAAACTTCATAATGTTTCTATACGGGAGTTTGACAGAGCCGCACAAGCTAATGACGTAATATCCTCCTCCTCCTCCTCCTCCTCCTCGCAGAGTGGGAAACGCTGACTTGTAAGGATAATTAAAATTAGAAAATGAGTTTGTTTTTACCGAAATTAACCTGCAAAAAAGACATCGATGAAGCGATTAAAGGCGTGGCGGAAAAAGTCTTGGTTTTGAGGTTCGGCAGAGACGATGATTCGGTTTGTCTCCAGCTGGATGAGATTGTGAGCTCTACGTTTGATGAAGCTGATGCTCTGTTTTTGTTTTTTAAAGTCTGTTTCTGATATGATCGATTATTTCTGTTTCTTCCAGCTGTCAAAAACAGCCCACGACCTGAGCAACATGGCTGCCATTTACATAGTGGACGTGGATAAAGCTCCAATCTACACCAGATACTTTGACATCAGTTACATCCCCTCCACTGTTTTCTTTTTCAACGGGCAGCACATGAAGGTGGATTATGGGTGAGACACGAAAGTGCATTTTAGTAACTTATTATAACTGTATGAAATTCGTTCTGTCTTTATATAACCCTTCATGTACCATAAAAGGTGGATTGGCTCAAAATTTGTAACATACTCTCTTAATTTTCTCAGTCATAAAAGCATTTGGCTGATAATTGAAGTGAAATGTAAAAATAACTTCCGTAATTTGCTTAAATTTCTACACATTTCCTACATCTCTGGGGTGCTCACCTCGTCAAACCAACTGTCCACACCTGAGAGCTATGTAGTCATGATAAATAGCAGCAAATATTTGCATTTTAAAGGCTGGTTTTTGTTTGTTTGTAGTGTTTCTTTCTTTGTTTCTTCTCAAACAACCTAATCGGTAATTAACCACAAAAGCCCCAAGTGGAAATGCATCCATGCATGTATTTTTACTGTGTTTCTGTGACAGGTCAGTTTCAGTATTCCTGAGATGTTTACTTAGCATCAGTGATAGAAATAGACTTGATTGACCATATATGGTGTGGGTAGTTATGGTGACCAGTCACAGGATTTTCCTTTAAGGTCCTCTGGAAATGATCCTGTTGACACTAGAAAACTTATCCATCTGAAAATGATAAAACAGATTAAACTATTGACACAAAAAAGCTGTTATTCTCTGATTACAACAAAAATCAATTGAGAATCCAGAAAGCAACAGAAATGAAGTCATTCCTAAGGCAAAGGCTGTGTGAATATATTGACTTAAGTTTTTTTATTTTAAAAAAATAACATTTACTCATTATCACGGGAAACTGAGTGAATTGAATGTATGGACACATGTCCGCCTCAGGCTTCATGCTCTATTTATTTAAGAATAAAAAATTTTTTTTTTTTTTCATTAAGTGATGCAAAACAGAACATGACAGGTGAGGGACAACAAACTAACAAACAGATGGGGGAGACAAGACAGACACAAGCTAGGATGACAGTTTAACTTTTGTGTTTGTGTGTGTGCGCGCGTGTGAGTGCGTGTGTGTATGCCCATGTATGAGTGCTTGTTTTGGGGAGATATATAAAACAGATAACATTTGAAAATAGTAATACTAACTAATGAAAGTAAAAAGAATAATGCAACAGAGCAAAGAAACAAAGCAAAAACAGAAAACCCTTTATTATTATTATTGTGGATGGCTCAGTTAGTATATGGTTATAGGTTGCCCTCCCTCAGTCGAGGAGGGAGCTGGCTGATGGGAGTTTGAAGGCCCAAACCCAGACCCAAAGGGAGGAAGTCTGCTCATAATGGCCTTTTTTAAAAATTTGTCGCAGACAGTTCTAAGTTGATGTAGTTACATGAACAGCCCATGCTCCTGTCTTCGGATACTAAGTCTGCATAATAACAAGTAAGTTGTAATATATTATGTTTTATTTTTGAAATCTTCCAGCTCTCCAGATCATACCAAGTTTGTCGGCAGCTTCAAGACCAAGCAGGATTTCATGGATCTGATTGAGGTCATTTACAGAGGAGCCATGCGTGGGAAGATGATTGTTCAAAGTCCAATAGATCCTCAAAATATCCCCAAATATGATCTCCTCTACCATGGAATTTAGAGCCATTATCTGCACAGTGTAGCTGTGCAGCCATGTGGACTCCTGCTTGAGTGGCATCACCAGTAAATTAACTGTTGGTTCAAAACCTGATTAAAAAAACTATTTTATCGACACATGATTTGGGCGAATCACATTTAAAGTGTCTTACATTTCATGTTTTTTCACTCTATAGATGCCAAAAAACAAACAACATCTTAACCTTTTTGGCCTCAAGCTTCGTGAAAAGGTTAAAGACCTTTATGTCGCACTATTCACAACAACTTGAAGACTGAGTAACAGTGATCAAGAGGATTGCAAGCTTGTAAATATAAATATAAACAAAGATGGTTTAAAAACTGGTTTGGCAAATATTTTATGCTGAGGAGTTGTCTGTTACACCTCAAGGATATGCTGATTGTTTTCCTGGTCAGTAAGGGGACAGTAAACAGAACCTTTGTTATCAAGACAACTTAGCAGGTCAGTTGTAAAAGAAAAACATGTACATAAGAACATTGTTCACCCAAAGATCGGTGGAATTCAGCTTCAATCATGAGTGAAGAGTGGAATTTGGTGCAACTTTATTTGCAGATGCTTGAGAGATACAGTAATTTTTTTTATTTTTTTTGCAAAGTTGCTCTTTAGTTTAGCACAGAGGTGTGATTATTGATAAACTGCTTTGTTCCTTTTTTTTTTGAAAATGCAGTGTTTTTGTGATGTTTCCTATGGAAAATCTATGCATATTAAAAGAGACATAGGTAATTTATTGAATGTTTTTGATAGATTTTTACAATAAACTTGTCATGAGCTACATTCTTTTTGTCCGCATCCTCTTTATATTTCTTCAACCTTATTATTGTTTTACCTTTCGTGTGAAGTGATACTTTTTGAATTAAAGGAGTAGCAGAATTTATGTTGAAGGTTTACAATAAGCATGAAAGCACAAAGTGTATTGTGAGGCATCACTTCTAGACTAAGTTTTAGAAACCTTGCACACGAACTGCAAAAAAACAACAAAAACAAAAAAGACCTCTCCTGAGATAGAAAAGCAAATGAATACACTCAAAGAAAAACACAAGAAGAAAGTCTCAGCTGCAGCACTCTCTCCAGAACTGATAACCACTAAATCCGATAATGTACGGTAAAGATAATGAACAGATAGCTGACTTTCATCCTAACGTGTCCTAACATGTCCTCTCTGTGAAGCTAAAAGTATATTATCTCATTCACAGTTGACTCAACGTTGATTAATAAGTCCTGGTTTCCTGTGGGTTCTCAGATATCATTCTCTCTCTTTCTCTTTCTTGTTAAAAAGAAGAAATGCTTGATGCTAGAGGAGAAAAGCAGGGCCTTGATGTGCAGCATTATTTTCAGCCCCAGTGTAACTTTTAGCTGAATAGTAGACCAATTATCCAAACCATACACACTGGTGCTGTGAAATCCAGTAATTTTGAGTCAAGATCATGGTCTGTATATACAGTCAAAACCTTTTTTTAACCTCACCCCGACAGTTTCAGAGATGTTTTTTGGTCATTTTGTCAAATTACTGCATCACAATGTCACAAATAAACTCTCACAATCAAAGATGTTGTCGGATTGTATATACAGTCTATGGTCAAGATACTGTTTCATGTGCTGCCAGTATAAAATGTATTTCTAACAGGCCATTTTCTTTGTTTTAATGAGAAGCAGAATTTACCACATTTATTGAAAAAAGTTATATGGCTACTTGATACAATACCAACATTTACATACATTGTAAGAGCCCATGTGGTGTAGACTTGTCATAACTGTAATGGGACAAAGATCTTGGGGAAATACCACTGAAATGAAAGTTTTTATTGAGAACAAAAGGGGGATTGAGAGCAGTGGCAAACGCAATTCACTACCTTCAAAGAGGCAGGTAAATTGCTTTTGTGGAGTTGAGAGGGTCAACGGAACTGCTTACATCCAACACTTCAATCAATTAATCAAATTTAATTTTTAAAGCACTTTTCATACATAGAATGTGGCGCAATGTGCTGTACATTCAAACAGGATATTAAAAACAATTAGATAAAATTAATAAAAATACAAATACCAAAAATTAGGAAACACTGGATGTAGGACTAAAATGATTAAGCCATGATAAAATATAATAAAGATGATAAAGCATTAAAAGTAAATTCAATAAAGCAGTCTTAAAATCAAACAGTAACAGAAAGTCAATTAAAAAAGAGATAATAAAATACAAAATAGTTACTCTGGGAGTAAAATAGGGTAAAATCATATAATGCAAATTAAAAGATTAAAACAAAACATTGAACTTTTATTGTGAAAGGAAAACATAGAGGAAGTACTTCCCCACCTGGCGGAAGTCAAGGGAGCTACACAGCAATGGCAGCGACCTTGTTCACTGCATGGTGTTCTGAACAGATTAGCTAAAACGCCTAAAATGCTGTTGTATGAACCGTAGTAGTTGACCCGTTTGTGTTTATAGCATCAGTGTTAAAGTCAACACCATGCTCTCCTTCGTAAAGGCTGCTGTCGGCGGGTTTACCGGTATCTGCAGAGCCCACGGTCACCAAGGTAACAAGTTAGCTAACGTTGACGTTAAAATAACGTTCATGTTAGCCGCAATAACAACACTATCTTTCTCTGCTGTCATTACTACATCCAACTTTAAGTGTTCATCGGTGACCCTACAAACTTTTAAGTGAGAAGTTTATAGACTGTATTATTTATTTATTATTTAGTGTAAGTATTGTCACAGTATTTGTGGAATGTGTACTGTGTTTTATTGGTGCTATCTATCTATCTATCTATCTATCTATCTATCTATCTATCTATCTATTTAACATTCCTTTTTTTCCTATACATGTCTTATTTATTTTTATCGTTACTATCAATAATTACCTGTTTTGTCTTTTGCTCTACAGGTCCTTTGCATAGCCATCTAAAAGTCCTTACTGCTGGACTGCAGACACACGCAATACCTCCAGACTTCAGTGGTAAAATGTTCTTACTATCATATTGTCATTTATTTTTAATGGCTTTCATTCTCGACAAAATAAAAGCATTACGGGCACAGTCACAATAGGGTCATTTGCCCTGTACAGCGCCTGACTATGATTTCCAGTCCCTTGGCTTAGCTCCAGACTCACATAGGCCTAAACATTATCATGTTGCAGTCATAGCTTTCCATATTTATGTAGTGTCCCTAATTTTCACGAAGCACCATTCAGTGGACAACACCCCAGGTAACGTTACTGCAACTTTACTGACTTTGTGGCAGAGTTAATGGTAATATTGATAATATTTTAAACCATGTAAAACAGCTTTTGAACACGCGCTCTGAATGGCCACAGTCAACCCACACTTAACAGCAATGAAAACCAACACTACTTGCTCCATGATCTGACAAACTATATTTAATTTTTTGATTAATTTAATGACTTAATCTCTAATGCAACCACGCATAGTTAAACTGCACATCCTGACGCACTGAGAGGGATAGGAGGGAGAGAGATCCTGTAGAGTTATGTACCTGTGTTCAGTCTTATGGAGTTGTCGAATCAATCAGCTGTATGCTTTATTTGACTTTGAATAATGCTGTCATACCATAAGCTACCCTGGAGAAAAGCTGTTCATTTCCAAAGCATCTTTGATGTACATTTTCATCCATAAAACCAGCACAGTCAGTGAAGTCAGTGTGGTGTAGATTTCTCTTAACTTCAACCTGATCAGTTGTAGAAGACCAATACTGAGCATGTCGTCCTCATGTGCTGATTGACTTGTGCATGTTCTGCTAGTTAATGCCAATACCAATGTTGTCTTTTAACCATCTACCTTCTCATTATTTTGCCGCTATGTCAATTTGCGTTGGTGCTTGGATAAAAACTTAATAAAAGTCAGGTGCTTCACTGTGCTGTGATTGTGCTGTGATTACCTCTCCAAACCTTACCAGGGCCAAGGAAGCACGCACACTTCAACTAGACTTTAAGGTTCTTTAAGGGTCAAATGTGCTTGAGTACTGTACTTGGTTGCCTAGTGTGAGTGCACCCTAAGACTTTCATGGACCTCTTCCCTTGGTTTAGTCTCAAAGTCTTTTTTTACAAATAGTGAAAATTGGCTTGACACTATCTCTTACAATGTCTCTTGTGTTATCCTGAAGATGTGGTGTTGCCAGAGAAACCAAAACTGAAGCCTACCAAAAAAGTTCCCAACTTCAAAACGATCAAGAAGGAGATGAAGAACCTACAGGACATCCAAGGACCAGCTACGGCAGCAAATACCTTTAAAAAAGGACGGTATGCTATCGTGGTGAGTACATGCACTCATTTGGTATCTATAAACGCTGACGCCCGGTGATATGGAACACTGTCAGATACTACATCACCTGCTGTATTTCTGTTTGTTTGAAATATTAGATATTGTTGACAGTGTTTCTATTACAGAATCACAACAAGTGGTTTTCATGTCTCCTGTATCTCTTTTTGACGTTTAGGCCATGGGAGGGGGCTACCTTCACTGGGGTCACTTCGAGATGATTCGCTTTACCATCAACCGCAAGATGGACACAAAGAGAGCCTTTGCCCGGTGGCGCGTCAATAGTCCATATAAACCAATCACACGGAAAGGTCTGGGTCAGCGCATGGGTGGGGGCAAAGGAGCAATCGACCACTATGTGACACCTGTCCGCGCCGGCCGTTTCATTGTTGAGGTGGGAGGAAAGGTGGAGCTGGCAGAGGTTCAGGAGGCCTTGAGTCAGGTGGCGAAAAAGTTACCCTTCCCTGCCAAGGTGAGAGAACAGACGCAGTAAATGATTTGACTAATTTTGAAGATTGATAACTGCTACATGTCACAATTTAGGGACACTCTTTGTCCCCACTTCAGCACCTCTCTACAACCTATTTTTTAAAGAAATGTTTAACCTTTTTAAAGGTTAAAATGATTAAAGGCCCTTTCACACCGGGACCATTTTTTTCGTGCGATTATTTCAGACGTCAATATCTTTTTCGAACCCATATCCTGTCAATACAAGCGTTCACATCAGCAACGTTTTCCCATCCTGCCATATTGCGGCATTTATTTTTTCGGATCATGGTTGATTTTTCTAAAGTTTCGCATACTGTGTCTCCACTTCTGACCAATCAGATTTCATTTTGTTGTGACGTCAGATTCACTGGTATATCCAACATGGCCGACCGGCTGATTGTTTACGTGTCGGAGAGCAGAGTGCTTTTTGATAAAAGACACAAACATTACAAAGATAACGACCTGAAGGACAATATAGCGTTGGATTTCTCATATGACGATAGTTTGTGTGCTTTAACAGTTTGCTAAACGCCTTTGTTTTAACTTTAATCTGTGCTAACGTGAGCTATCGGTTGTTAACATAGTTTCATGTGCTTATCTTATCGCCTCTGATTGGCTATAAGTGCTGACCGTTTGGCTTGAGGGTGTGATGACGTTTCCAGCTTTTCTAGCCAATCAGAGGCAAAGGAGGCGGGACTTTCCCCGGGAAAAGTCTTCCCCGGGATGCGTCTCCCCCGCCCCCGGAAAGTCGTAAAATCGCATCGGGCTTGATGTGCATAGTCAGGTCCGTCAAAATTCACCTACAAATATTTCGTAATTTCCCGTTCTATATTCACGTCGGCCCCGGTGTGTAAGGACCTAAAAGGGCAATTTTTGCAGACTGCATCTGTCTAAGATAGTTTCATTTCATAATCTAAAAGCTGATAACTGAGAAGTTGACCCCGAGCAGAGCGATCTGACTTCAGTTTGACTAAGTGAAAATTGACCTCCTATTCAAAACTGATGAGGCCTCTTAACATAATGCAATTCCTGACATTTTACAGGTAACAAAATGATTGTGTTTAATATAGATTAAATACAGAATCTCTTGAATGTGAACTGATTCTCTTTTTTTTTTTTTGTCTACATTTTTATTAAATTCAGGTAATGAGCAGAGAGAGCCATGAAGCGATGCTCAAGAATCAGGCTGAAAAGGAACAAAACAACCAAAACCCTTGGACCTTCAAACAGATAGCACAAGGCAACATGCTGGGTATCAGGAGAATTCTCAGCCCCTTCGATGTACGCACTCATGGACGCTTCACGGGCAAATTTTATTTTCCAGGGAGGGTGTAACCAACCTGAGTGACTGAAACCATTGCAGTGTCATGCTGTGACTTCATACAGGCCTCGACGATGAGAAAGCCGCTGTAATTTAAAATGTTGTTACTTTTGGTGATGTCTGGAAATCTTTTCTACCGCCAACCCCTCCTTTTTTTCACAAAATCATTGAATTGATTGAATCTGAGGGTTATTGTGAGAAATGTTTATTCTCCTTTTGTCTTGATAAACCAATAAACTACTGGGAAAAAAAGTGTTGCTTGCTGCTCAAAGTATTGAGTTTTTCTGTGTAAGTCAAAAAGATGTGAAAGAGGAAACCAAAACAGAAATCCACAGTTAGGCATCTTCGTACAGAACCGATATCTCAAAAGTATTTCAGTTCTGCAACAACGAATTACTGAAAACACGCTTCTGTTGATAAATACACACGTGTCTCGCAAAAGGGGAGAGTGGGGTGAGATGAGCCATTTTTCGTATTTCAGATCACTACATCAAGGCAATCATAGTTTTGTCTCTAACTAGTGTATCTGCATATATTTAAAGATGTTGTGCATCCCTGCAAACCAACAGAATGAGTGTAAACAGAACTGCCTTTATAATCTAGCAAGCAAAAAAAAAAGTCTCCTATGGTCAACTTACCCTGTGTATGGGGTAAGTTTACCATAGGAGTGGGGTAAATTGAGCCGTATCCCTACTAAAATAATCTTTTTTGGTCTGAACACAATTCTAATAGAACTTATGACAGACTAAATTCACTTTTAATTGTGCAAAATGTTTTTTTTTGTAAATAAATGTCTAACCGCTTCACTCATGTGCTTCTAACCTTCACAGACTCCATGAATTGATGCCCATCTCCTAAATATTTGGTCACATGATCAATGTCTTTTGCCGTATCCAAGCAACAAGGAGTGGCTCAACTTACCCCACTATCCCCTACCGTTTATACGCGAGTTTATTTTTCCTGTGTTTAGGCCCACAGGTAGCATTTTGGTCAGATGCCGGAGTAATTTATCCTATGAAACGAGTCGGCTTTGTTCTTCCAGTATGTTCTTGAATGTTTACAGTAATAAGAAAAAAATAATATGGAGCCAGCCCCACAGACAGTTCACTCGTAGCGGTGTAATCTTCAATCGACACAGATGATAGCAGCAGCCTAGCAGACAAATCACTGGGTAACGTTTTGTTTGTGACGATTGCGCATTGTATACTGTGTCGAGGCGTTTGAAAACAGCCGCGAAAAGTTCCTCCTTCGTCATTTTCTCTAAAATTGTGATGTTTATCCGTATATATGAGAATTACACTTGACTTTTGACGTTTTATGACTTCTTAGTCGTGACTCTGATGCAAGAAAGACCGTATTTGTCGCTTTTCTACCAGTATTGACTCATTTATGTTAGCTCATCCGCAGATTTGCCGCTGACATTACTCCACTATTTAGGACATGAAGCCTGCACGAGGTTCAAGCCGAGCAGCTTCAAAAACACCCAACCTGAAAAACAAGAAGCCTTATCCAGTGACAACCAAAGCAAGATGTCAGGTAAGATAAGGCACTCGACAGCTGAGGCCGACCTGTGTTGTTACTTCATGAATGTGATCAAATCTGGTGTTTGGATTACAGGAGCCCGGTGATACAGACAAGGGCAAACCCTCAAAGAAGGCGCAGAAGAGGAAAGGTTAGACCAGATTTAGCATGCTTCCTGAGTCTATATCTGTCCACTGCTGTGTATTTGGTTATACCAGGATATTAATGCTTCATACTGTCTGGGACATTTCAGATAACCTACTTCTCTCTGGTACTACTTTCAGCTGAAGGCTCACCATCACTCCCTAAAAACAAATTCATTGCTAAGAACTGGAAACCGATGACATGCTCCTCTATTTCTGCTCTGGAGAATATAATGGACCTGTCAATATTGTAAGTTTTACACTATCTTCACTCTGGTACAGCCCTGTTCCACCTAAAAGGATGGATAATTGCATTATTAAGTTTTCATGTGGCATAAGCAGAGAAATTCACAAAAGATTAGATATTGCAAATTCATGCCTCCCATCTTCCCCGATATGGTTTAACAACGCCTTTAAAAGCTGCAGGGAGTCCTCTGTTTAATAACGAATGGTTGTAGTTGTATCTCTCAAATTGTAGAGAACAGAGAGATTCTATCCCTGGAAAAACTTATTAAAAGATATAACATGAACCTGAATACCAAAAGTTTTTTTTACAGTACTCCCAGTTTAAATCAATTGTCTCTAAATGTCCTAAAACCTATTTTGATTATAATTATGAAATTGATAAAAAAAAACTCAAAGTTCTGTCATCAAATAGAGGAGTAGTTTCAAGTTTATACAAATTATGACTTTATTCCACTTCAAATCCAAACTCAAAGACAGAGTCACAATGGGAATGTGACATAGGGGTTCAATTCTCTCCTGAAGAGTGGGGAAACATTTGGTGTGACATGAAAACAACTTCCAAATCAGTCAGAGGTAAAGTAATACAACTGAAAACTCTCCACAGAGCCTATATTACTCCATCTAGACTTGATAAAATAGACCCAAGTACCTCAAATCTGTGTTGGCATAAATATGGGAAAGTGGGAAACCTGATTCATATGTTGTGGTTCTGCCCTGCTGTTAATTTGTTTTGGAAAGAAGTTTGCAAGTTGATTTCAATGATTGTTAATGTCAATATTTCGCCATGTCCACCGTTATGTCTGTCGGGTCAGAGGGATTAACAGCTGAAAACCAAACAGGAAAGGAAAACACTTGGCATAGCTTTTTTAGCTGCAAAGAGAATGATCTTGTCTAATTGGAAAATTCCCAAACCAAATTGTTTTTCTATTGAAACCTTCTTGTCTGAGTTTTTCAACCTTCCAAGCGCGGAGCGACTCACAGAAAAACTGAATGATAATAAAGTAAGATCTGAGGTAATTTGGAAACAGATGCGCGTACTGTGATGTAAAGTGAAACAAATAAGATGTTTGTAACATGTTGTGGCCTGACTCATCGTGTTTGCAATGTACCTCGTACGAATGAAGATATCTTGTTATACTCCCTTTTAATATATGAATTATTACCTAAATAGGAGCATTAGGAACATGCACTAACCCCCCTTCTCTTTTTTAATTTTATTATTATTATTATTTTGTTTTTTTTTCTGTCCTGTGTAGTCGTGCGATTGTTGTTTTGGTGCTGTCTTGTGTTACCTAAAACATAAATAATAATAAAAAAAAAAAGTGTTTCAGCTACACTTGGTGAACCAGCAGAGGCTGTCCCCTCCTGTAATGTTGTTGAAAAGCTGCTCAGAACACATTTGTAAGATCATTCTCATCTCCATTATAGAGCAACTCTTGCCTTGAAGCGGACAGAGAAGAAGGAAGGCCAGGAACATCTAAACAAGATGAAAAACATGTGAGTGATCGTGCAGAAAAGTCATGTTATTGGCATGAGTACAAATGATCCGACTAATCAGAACATAAGAACCACATTTATCCACCCACTCTCAAACACTGAATGATCATAAACATTGCAATACATGTATAACAAGATGGGCCATCATTAATCAAATGAATAAGGATTACAAATACAACAGAAAAGTATTAAAGATTGGGATTTATTGGGATTTCTCGCTCATCATTTTCAGGTTTCTTGCACAGTGTAAACAGCTCAAAGTCCCGGTGCAAAAACAGAAGAGTTTCGAGCTGCTGTCGCACCAACACCAGAAGGAGTCAAAGAAGTCTGTGCTTGGAAAGCAGACTTTGAGCAGCCTGAAGGTGTGAACTCAGTCTTTACTCTTGATCATGGGTGCATAGCAGTAAGTACTGAAACAACTTCATTTTAAATCAGTTAGTAAAACAGTTTTTCTTAAAAGCTATTATTTTAGGATGTTATGTCTCTAGTGGACAGTGATAGTGCAGGAAACCAGGAGACAGTGGGGAGTGATACATGGGAAAGTGTTCACAGACTGGAACCGGCCTGGGGCGGTTTGGTTGAAGACTAAAGCCTCTGCAGATTAGGCGCCACATTGAAGTGATTTTTAAGACTTTTAAGACTTTTCTTCAAATGTAAAGATAAATAAATAACTCTGTTAGGTGATTTCTTTTACTGCCTTTTGCTATTTTCAACTGTAATGTAAATCTTGCATTTCTTCGTCTAAGAACTATCAATTTGATATACTTGACGGCTTGATGGAAAAATGATTGATAGATTAATCAATAACATAAATAGTCTTCGGCTGCAGTTGTAAGTGCTAAAAATCATACTTATCCTACATAATTGCCAGTTTTAAAAAAAGAAATTAACCTTCTGTATATGATTTGTTATTGAATTGTTCTTACTACCATGCTATGTGATTTTGTTGTGTCATTGGGGTTTTCAGGGGGATATGAAGGCTTTGGTCAGCACTCTGGAGATGGCAGAAGAGCAAACAGAGTCTTTACAGCACAGATGCAGTACGCTCAGAGACCAGGTGGAAGAGGAGGAGGAGAAAGCTAAAGAGGTACAGGTCACTAACACTGGGAGAAACATTACTCAACAAACTCTGAATATTTGTTGTCATCTTCTTCCTCCTTTTTTTGAATGATTACTCTGTCGTGTCTAACGTATGAGGGGGAAAGTCTATATTCCTCTCATTATAGTTTTGATTTATTTTACCAGAAATGATCTGAAAAAAGGCAAACAATATCTCAGTAAATTACCTTCTTAATGTTACTGACCAAAAAGCTCTTGCAGACACTTCTGTTGCCACAAGGATTCAACAAATGTTGTTAATATTAATTTACTCTGGAAACAATGAGAGGTTTTTTTTGTGCCATTTCATCACAATAGGAACTGGAATTGAGATGATCAAGATGTTAAAGTGGTAGAGTGCATTTCCTCATACAATTTTTATCTTGCTTGAGAGTAAATCTGAATTTTTTTCTAAAAAAGACAAAGCGGAACATTGTGGTGAAAACGTTGAAAAAAAATGACATTTATGCTGACATAGTGTGTGTATTCATGAGAAGTCTTATCAGGGGATGCAGGAAATGAGTCTTCACCTAAAGCAATTTTCTTGCACCACGACAGGATGCAAGATGTTTTTGTAGAAGAAGGTTTTTTCTTGATGTTTTTACCTTCACTATTAGATGAAGAGATAAAGATGCAATTATCTTTGCACCTTTTTTCCCCTCAGATTTTACAAATAACTGAACACACCGCGCTCAATCTCCCCCCTCTCCCTTTGCATGGGTGGAAAAAACATTAGAGGTGAGCATATAGTCTCTGCTGGACTTGTCTCTTTTGCACAATAGTTTTGACCATCAAAGGGTCATTTTCTCTTTCTCTCTTTTTGAATAAGAAATAAGCGGACACTTCCTCTACTATGAAAAAGGAAGGCCAAAGCATGCTCTGTTGTGCAACATTTTTGTAATATTTAAAAAAAAAAACTGTCTTCTTACGAAAGTCACAGAGAGAACATGCAGTACATGATTCTGTGTTGTATAACCTGATGTTACTAGTTTGAAGATTAAACTTTGTTTTCATGACACTTAAAACTGTGCAAAAACTCTTTCAACATTCAACAGCTATGGTATTAGAGTCAAACAATTAAATCATAATTTTGTTTTCCACGGGCTCAGGGGAGAAGAATAACACCAGAAAGGCAGACTGAGACCACTCCAGGATGGACAGATACTGCTGCTACAGACACACAGACATTGATCAGCTTCCAACCTGGTTTGGCTGAAATAATGATCCACCTTGTTCAAACTGGAACTTTGCTAAGTGTCCCCTCACACAGATCTAAAAACGCAAGGAAAATCTGCAGGTGTAACAAGAAGTGACAACACAGTCTGAGGTTTTGGTTTTAGGAAATATTACTTAATCTTTCTGTTGTAGTTCCTGGTTCACTTGTGGTAATCAGTTTCAGACAGCAGGTGCACTCTCAATTTTCTTCCTTTAGTGTTTTAGTCTCCTATGAAAATGAATAAACAGATGACTGTTGTGCTGTGGATGCTTCTGTTTAGTGTGCATTGGTATAAAGTAGGCCTGGGCGATTTGGGGAAATAAATGATCACGATTTATTTTGTCATCTCGTCCGATCTCGATTATTATCACAATTATTTTTAAAGTGCCAGTTTTAAAGCATCTGTACTAAAAACTAAAAAAAAAACTAGAGATTAGTTCAACATTTTATTAACATATAAAGTAAATAACAAAGCAAATTGAATAAGATACACTTAGAAAAATCTAAAAAAAACATTTTAACTCAACAGTACTACATGTTCTACATGCTCTCTCCCGTACGAGGCTCTCTGAACATCTGTACATGAAATACAGCACTCTTTAATCCGAGGCTGCCCTGAACGCATCATTCTCGCATATCTCGCGTTTGTTTTCCTTTCATCAAAACGTTCATTTTGATACAAACACTGTTTAAATATAGTTTACAGCTGAAACCGACCCGAATCATCCCAATTTGTAACGTCAAAGTATCAATCCACTGTCTGTGTTGGCAGGAATGGATACAATTGATCGCTGTTTTGGTCTGGTGGCTGCACCGCTAGTTGTGGCTAAACTGTTAATGCTACTCGTACCGTCAGCAGTGACCGGCTGTGCAGACTCCGCTCGCATTTTCATGTTTCTTCCAATGATTAAACAGATCTGTTGTGTTGCCGGTTTATCTGCTTTATTGCTCTACGTCACTTTGGAGAGACGTTAAATAACTTCTCAACAGCACCATCTTCTGAGGATGACTCAAAGTCACGGCTCACATCTACTTTGCTGCCCTCAGCTCTGCGTGTAGCTCCACGTTAGGTCATTCTGTTCACTTCTCATGTTTATTTTTCCGGTAACTTAGTGAAGTGAGCAGGAAAAGCTCGACTCTGATTGGCTGTTGTGACGCACATTTCCGCCATCTTTGATCGAGTAAATAAGCTCACAGCTGATCACCGTGATCGAACTGAATTTGATCGCGATCATCGATCACGATCATATAATCGCCCAGTCCTACCCCCAATACTTACTTTGTTGTTATAGTTCTTGTCTTTAACTCTTTTAACATACTAACTTTTTATTATTCTTCTACTTCTGCCTTTCTTTACTTTCTACATTTATACAATTACTTTAACTTCAGCTGTTTCATACTTTCTACATTGGTATGTAGGGCAGTAACTGAAGCACGGCAATAGATGGTGCTGTCCTGCATTCTCAAGTTACTATAGTTGGATGCTGCAAACTGCAGAAATCTGTTTTACTATTTATACATTTAATGGGAACATTGTTACACATTATTTTAAAGGCATTTGTTTTTCAAATTCATTTATCCTTATTATCAGTTCTGTTATTTCACATAAGTGTTATACGTTTTTCACTTAGGCTATTATTCAATTTGTACATTCATCCAACTAATTTACCTTCAGCTATACTACAATTCTGTCATTCATACCTTCCTCCATTTTTTATTGGCAGTTTTGCATTGCTTTTTCAGCTTTCAGCACTATGCATTTCCACGCATTTTCTTCAAGGAAATGCAATTTTTCTAGTTATGTCTTCTTTCCATTAAGGTCCTTATAAAAACCAGTGGAAAGAAGTTTGTTATGACACCTCTTATTTGACCCTGTAAGATTCTTATTAACTGTCCACCTGATTTTTATAAAATCCCACAGGTGGGGTTTGGGTTTGGGTCACACACAGGAGCAGGGCTTACATTTTTAAATTTTGTAGGGGCCACTATGGAGCCAATATTAGTTGGATCTCCATTTTGACATTGGTGCCCTCAAGAGGACGCCCATCCTGATCTGTGTACCAAATTTCATGTGGCTGTGCATATCTGTACAGTGTTGCCGACTTCTCAGTAAGGAAAGTAGCTATTGGCTGTCATAAAAGTTGCTAAATGATTTCATCTGCTAATTTGCATAATTGGCCAAATTGTAATGGACGCTGTAAGTGAGATAAACAACAAAAAGTGAGTAACAAACACCCCAAATACGTTTAGAACTACAAATTAACTTTCTTCTGTCGAGTCGTGTATTTTTTATTTTTTTTGTCACAATACCAACCCTCCTCCTTAATCCGGGCTTGGGACCGGCAAAAATGACACAATTGAGACAACAATTTGGCGGAGTTACTGAGGTATTTTTTTTTTTATATACAACTGTATAAAATTGGGGAAACCGAAGCACTCGGAGAAAACCCCTTCTCTAGCCAAAGTGAGGCTGTAGAGTAAAAACATGAGGCGGGACCTCAGGCCTCAGGGAAAGTGGAGTCCCTCCCACCCAGCCTCTTCAAACGTACAGGCTTTTTAGTCACGTTTGAAGATGCGGGTGAAGGGTTTGAACACAGACTTGAAGAAGCCTTTGAATCCACTCTTTTGTTTGGGGCTCAGTTCTTCTTTAAAGGCCTCAATGATGTGGGTGAGGACCTTAGGATCCTGTACAACGGTGAACTTGATGAGCTCGATATCTAACTCCTTGGACAGTTTCTTGTGCACCTTCCTTACTATCTTCCTCATGTCGGCAAAGGACAGTTTAACCTCGACTTCAGAGCCCTCCATTTCTGCCCACAGAGCCTCTGTCAAAACCGAGATAGCCTGGTCTTCTTTGACATATATCCTCCAGGTGTCCATCAGCATTTTTACCAGCCCAGCCACCAGCATTTCACATCTTAGTCTATCCCAGTAATCCAGCCAAGCTCCACCGCTTAGCTCAGCTTCTTCACTGATATTTGTCTCCTCAGTAACAGGAGCTGGTGTAGCTGCAGACTGGGAGATCTTGGTCGTCTGGATTTTTGGGAAAGCTTGATTTTCGTACACAACTGCCTCGATCTGCCTCAGAGCAGCGGTGGCTTGATCTTTCCCTCTATTGTGCTTCTCTGCCTGCGCAACCAACCAGTTCCACATCATCTTCATGAACTGGTCCACCTCAGTGCGGATAACACCTGCAGAAAAGAGCTTTTGTTTCTTCTCACGATTCATCAGCTGGAACAAGACGAATGCCACCAGTTGGTTTTTTTTCTCTTCAAACTGGTCCTCAGTGATGTTTCTGGCCATCCTCCTGTAGAAGCACATCACATTTGTGCACTCTCTCCCCGTTTCCTCGATCATGTCGTCCACAATAGTTGAAACCCCCGTCATGAGTGGCGTCATGACAGAATCTCTTTCTTCTACAGAGATCTTTCCAGTGAGTTTGCGGAAAAGTTTAATGATAGACTTTTTTGCAAACCTTTTTGTGAGAAACATCTTGATCCTTCTCATGATATTTCTCTGTCTTGCTTTCTTTGCTTTGGCGGGTGGTGTGGTCTCTTTAACAGGTGAAGCTTCTGGCTCCTGTGAAACGTTGTCACCCCAGACAATTTTTACGATTTCAGAAGCTGTTTCGTCTGTGTCCCTGTCAGAGATGGACAGATGTTTGGATAATTCCTCCTCTGAAAGGTCATCTTCAATGTCAGTACCATCCAGGTAATCTGTGTGCTTTGACAGGATGGACTTGACCGCCTTCAATGTTTCATGTTTGAGGCTTTCTTTGTGGAACATTTCAGGTTCGTCCTCTACAAAGGGTGTCACAGGGGTCTGAAAATGGTCCCCAACTGGCTCTTCTTCCTTTACGTCTTCTTCCTCTACTTGTGTGTTCGTACAAGTCAGACTGTTAATAGTAGTCGGACAGCAGAGGCCATTAAGGGCAAAATTACATGCAAATTTGTAGTTCGTGACTATGATCTTTCTGATCTTTCTTGCCATATCCTTCAGTCTGTAGCAGAAAGACTTGGTGGCCTGCTGCTCTTTGTTGGAGTTGATCCGCTCTGTAACCTCCTCGACCACGATAGAGTTCACCTTCTCTGTGGTCCTGCTATGGATGTCCACTGGGATGCCCAATGCATCTGCAATGGCGAAATTAATGCTGTCTCCCAGGATTGCGTGGACCTCTTTCTTTGAGATTCTCTTCTCTGTTGATTTGGGAGGACCTTCTTCACTATTACTGTTTTCAATTGCAATGGAGATGTATTTGGCTACTGTGTCAACAATGTCCACACACATGTCTCTGATCATGTCTTTGGTCCCCTGGTCCAGAGACCCATGCGCTATTGTGATCCATTGATTTCTAGCCAGTTTCCTAATGAATTCATTCACAATGGGAAGAAGGACGGTGGGCTCGATCATACGAATGTTCCCGACCATGTTCATCATGATTCTTATGTTCGGCCCTTGCCTTACTGTGATCCATTCATTATCAAACTCTTGCCGAACTAACATGTCCACTTCAGGAAAAGGGACGGTGGGCTCGGTAATAGGAACGGTCCTGACCATGTTCATCGTAGTTCTTGGGCTCTGCATTGTTTCTTCTGTTTCTGTTTGTTTGTAGAAATGTAAACCTCTTATCTCTGCCAACTCTTACACCGGTTCAAACAACGAAACTCTCACCTGCAACATTCTGTTGGCGCGGAAGTCGAATCCATCTGATGACTTCAAAGAGAGTGATGATGTCATCAAAGAAAGTGATGATGTCACATTCTTCGATGACATCATTGCATTTTTGATGACATCATCACATTTCTTCAGATTTTTTTTTTATGCCAGATCGATTCAATAATCTTTATTGACACAAAGGAACTGAACAGAATGACAGTCCTCAGACAACCTCAGACAGTTCATCCTAGCCGTTATTATTATTGACACTAGTTTTGATAACATTTCAATTTAAGTTCTTCGAATTGTTATTAAGCCACTTATTTGATCTTGTAAACTTGATAAGATGTTCATCAACATAAAAAATACATGTAAATGAAAGAAAATTAATATCATATGGATGTTTAAGAGAAGTTTATGTATGTGTCTCATAATCTATTAAGAATGTGTAAATTAGCAAATTGATTTCTGTGTTACTAGTGCGCTTGCACTTGACCCACATTTAAAGGGTATTCCGTTTTGTTTTATCATTTTTCCATTTTTGTTGTTGTTGTTTAACATGTTTCTTTATATTCTTGTCGGTTAGTTTGTTTCAGATTCAGCATGTTTTAATTTACTTGTATTGATGGGGAGGATTCCCTATCAGCCCTTTAGGCTTCTGTCATCTCCTGCAAAGTTTGGCTGAACTTCTTTGTTTTAATATGTAATTACTTTATGTCTACTTTTGTGGAAAAAAATAACAAATAACTCCACCATTAGAAAGACATTTGGGGAGAGTGGGGTAAGATGAGCCATTTTTCAAATTTCAGATCACTACATCAATCATAGTTTTGTCTCTAACTAGTGTATCTGCATATATTTCAGGATGTTGTGCATCCCTGCAAACACAGAATGAGTGTAAACATAACTGTCTTGATAATATCGCATGACGAAAAAAGTGGTCAACTTAAGTTGACCATAGGAGCGGGGTTAGTTAAGCCGTATCCCTACTATGCCCCCACTCTCCAGCCCAGTCACTTCTTCACATTCATGCGTATTTATATCTATTATACACTATTCAACTGATACAGTGATTATTTTTATTAATATTGCATATAACTGCTAAAAAGCTGTTTTGTAAAAAGCCATTTTAACATAAGAATGTCTTTAAGTGATTCAGAACATTCACAGCTGTATTCTTTAAAAGAAAAAGTCAAACATTTCAACAATCTGAACTGAAACTCTGACCCTCTCATCAGACTCCTTTAATTTCTCAGTTGTGCCAATGGCTTAACTTAACCCAGCACTACTGTTATGACTTTATTAGTCCTCTAGGCTAAAATGGTGGACTTTTATGTAAGGTTTTTGACCTCATGTTGTAGCTGATAGATACCGCAATTGATGTATGAAACAAATTTAAAATGCTAGGCCGCGCACACGCACACACTATTTCCATTTGTGTGCATTACTGTCTTTCTGTCAGTAGAAAATACACCCCCAATTAGGCCTGGGCGATTTGGAAAAAAAATGATCACGACTTATTTTGTCATATCGTCCGATCTCGATTATTATCACGATTTTTTTTAAAGTGCCAGTTTTAAAGCATCTGTACTAAAAACTAAAAACACTAGAGATTAGTTCAACATTTTATTAACATATAAAGTAAATAACAAAGCAAATTGAATAAGATACACTTAGAAAAATCTAAAAAAACATTTTAACTCAACAGTACTACATGTTCTACATGCTCTCTCCCGTATGAGGCTCTCTGAACATCTGTACATGAAATACAGCACTCTTTAATCCGAGGCTGCCCTGAACGCATCACTCTCGCATATCTTGCGTTTGTTTTCCTTTCATCAAAACGTTCATTTTGATACAAACACTGTTTAAATATAGTTTACAGCTGAAACCGACCCGAATCATCCCAATTTGTAACGTCAAAGTATCAATCCACTGTCTGTGAGGCTCAGCAGAAACACAGGACAATCTTTGGTTGTCTGGAAACTTTGGACAAATATAGTGATCGGATTCATGAATGAACGTGGGCCATTAAACTACGGGAGATTCCCGGGAGAAATGACAATACGGGAGGAGGGCGGGAGAGAGGTGTGAAACACGGGAGAGTGAAAAACGGGAGTGTTGGCAGGAATGGATACGATTGATCGCTGTTTTGGTCTGGTGGCTGCACCGCTAGTTGTGGCTAAACTGTTAATGCTACTCGTACCGTCAGCAGTGACAGGCTGTGCAGACTCCAGTCGCATTTTCATGCTTCTTCCAATGATTAAACAGATCTGTTGTGTTGCCGGTTTATCGGCTTTATTGCTCTACGTCACTTTGGAGAGACGTTAAATAACTTCTCAACAGTACCATCTTCTGAGGATGACTCAAAGTCACGGCTCACATCTACTTTACTGCCCTCAGCTCTGCGTGTAGCTCCACGTTAGGTCATTCTGTTCACTTCTCATGTTTATTTTTCCGGTAACTTACAGAAGTGAGCAGGAAAAGCTTGACTCTGATTGGCTGTTGTGACGCACATTTCCGCCATCTTTGATCGAGTAAATAAGCTCACAGCTGATCACCGTGATCGAACTGAATTTGATCGCGATCATCGATCACGATCATATAATCGCCCAGTCCTACCCCCAATATTTACTTTGTTATAGTTCTTGTCTTTAACTCTTTTAACATACTAACTTCTTATTATTCTTCTACTTCTGCCTTTCTTTACTTTCTACATTTATACAATTACTTTAACTTCAGCTGTTTCATACTTTCTACATTGGTATGTAGGGCAGTAACTGAAGCACGGCAATAGATGGTGCTGTCCTGCATTCTCAAGTTACTATAGTTGGATGCTGCAAACTGCAGAAATCTGTTTTACTATTTATACATTTAATGGGAACATTGTTACACATTATTTTAAAGGCATTTGTTTTTCAAATTCATTTATCCTTATTATCAGTTCTGTTATTTCGCATAAGTCTTATACGTTTTTCACTTAGGCTATTATTTAATTTGTACATTCATCCAACTAATTTACCTTCAGCTATACTACAATTCTGTCATTCATACAATTTCTTCTTCTACTCCACCATTTCAACAGTTTTCCCATTCATACCTTCCTCCATTTTTTATTGGCAGTTTTGCATTGCTTTTTCGGCTTTCAGCACTCTGCATTTCCACGCATTTTCTTCAAGGGAATGCAATTTTTCTAGTTATGTCTTCTTTCCATTAAGGTCCTTATAAAAACCAGTGGAAAGAAGTTTGTGATGACACCTCTTATTTGACCCTGTAAGATTCTTATTAACTGTCCACCTGATTTTTATAAAATCCCACAGGTGGGGTTTGGGTTTGGGTCACACACAGGAGCAGGGCTTACATTTTTAAATTTTGTAGGGGCCACTATGGAGCCAATATTAGTTGGATCTCCATTTTGACATTGGTGCCCTCAAGAGGACGCCCATCCTGATCTGTGTACCAAATTTCATGTGGCTGTGCATATCTATACAGTGTTGCCGACTCCTCAGTAAGGAAAGTAGCTATTGGCTGTCATAAAAGTTGCTAAATGATTTCATCTGCTAATTTGCATAATTGGCCAAATTGTAATGGACACTGTAAGTGAGATAAACAACAAAAAGTGAGTAACAAACACCCCAAATACATTTAGAACTACAAATTAACTTTCTTCTGTCGAGTCGTGTATTTTATTTTTTTTTGTCACAATACCAACCCTCCTCCTTAATCCGGGCTTGGGACCGGCAAAAATGACACAATTGAGACAATTGAGACAATTTGGCGGAGTTACTGAGGTTTTTTTTTTTTTTTAATACAACTGTATAAAATTGGGGAAACCGAAGCACTCGGAGAAAACCCCTTCTCTAGCCAAAGTGAGGCTGTAGAGTAAATTGGACATGAGGTGGGACCTCAGGCCTCAGGGAAAGTGGAGTCCCTCCCACCCAGCCTCTTCAAACGTACAGGCTTTTTAGTCACGTTTGAAGATGCGGGTGAAGGGTTTGAACACAGACTTGAAGAAGCCTTTGACTCCACTCTTTTGTTTGGGGCTCAGTTCTTCTTTAAAGGCCTCAATGATGTGGGTGAGGACCTTAGGATCCTGTACAACGGTGAACTTGATGAGCTCGATATCTAACTCCTTGGACAGTTTCTTGTGCACCTTCCTTACTATCTTCCTCATGTCGGCAAAGGACAGTTTAACCTCGACTTCAGAGCCCTCCATTTCTGCCCACAGAGCCTCTGTCAAAACCGAGATAGCCTGGTCTTCTTCGACATATATCCTCCAGGTGTCCATCAGCATTTTTACCAGCCCAGCCACCAGCATTTCACATCTTAGTCTATCCCAGTAATCCAGCCAAGCTCCACCGCTTAGCTCAGCTTCTTCACTGATATTTGTCTCCTCAGTAACAGGAGCTGGTGTAGCTGCAGACTGGGAGATCTTGGTCGTCTGGATTTTTGGGAAAGCTTGATTTTCGTACACAACTGCCTCGATCTGCCTCAGAGCAGCGGTGGCTTGATCTTTCCCTCTATTGTGCTTCTCTGCCTGCGCAACCAACCAGTTCCACATCATCTTCATGAACTGGTCCACCTCAGTGCGGATAACACCTGCAGAAAAGAGCTTTTGTTTCTTCTCACGATTCATCAGCTGGAACAAGACGAATGCCACCAGTTGGTTTTTTTTCTCTTCAAACTGGTCCTCAGTGATGTTTCTGGCCATCCTCCTGTAGAAGCACATCACATTTGTGCACTCTCTCCCCGTTTCCTCGATCATGTCGTCCACAATAGTTGAAACCCCCGTCATGAGTGGCGTCATGACAGAATCTCTTTCTTCTACAGAGATCTTTCCAGTGAGTTTGCGGAAAAGTTTAATGATAGACTTTTTTGCAAACCTTTTTGTGAGAAACATCTTGATCCTTCTCATGATATTTCTCTGTCTTGCTTTCTTTGCTTTGGCGGGTGGTGTGGTCTCTTTAACAGGTGAAGCTTCTGGCTCCTGTGAAACGTTGTCACCCCAGACAATTTTTACGATTTCAGAAGCTGTTTCGTCTGTGTCCCTGTCAGAGATGGACAGATGTTTGGATAATTCCTCCTCTGAAAGGTCATCTTCAATGTCAGTACCATCCAGGTAATCTGTGTGCTTTGACAGGATGGACTTGACCGCCTTCAATGTTTCATGTTTGAGGCTTTCTGTGTGGAACATTTCAGGTTCGTCCTCTACAAAGGGTGTCACAGGCGTCTGAAAATGGTCCCCAACTGGCTCTTCTTCCTTTACGTCTTCTTCCTCTACTTGTGTGTTCGTAGAAGGCAGACTGTTAATAGTAGTCGGACAGCAGAGGCCATTAAGGGCAAAACCACATGCAAATTTGTAGTTCGTGACTATGATCTTTCTGATCTTTCTTGCCATATCCTTCAGTCTGTAGCAGAAAGACTTGGTGGCCTGCTGCTCTTTGTTGGAGTTGATCCGCTCTGTAACCTCCTCGACCACGATAGAGTTCACCTTCTCTGTGGTCCTGCTATGGATGTCCACTGGGATGCCCAATGCATCTGCAATGGCGAAATTAATGCTGTCTCCCAGGATTGCGTGGACCTCTTTCTTTGAGATTCTGTTCTCTGTTGATTTGGAAGGACCTTCTTCACTATTACTGTTTTCAATTGCAATGGAGATGTATTTGGCTACTGTGTCAACAATGTCCACACACATGTCTCTGATCATGTCTTTGGTCCCCTGGTCCAGAGACCCATTCGCTATTGTGATCCATTGATTTCTAGCCAGTTTCCTAATGAATTCATTCACAATGGGAAGAAGGACGGTGGGCTCGATCATACGAATGTTCCCGACCATGTTCATCATGATTCTTATGTTCGGCCCTTGCCTTACTGTGATCCAATCATTGTCAAACTCTTGCCGAACTAACATGTCCACTTCAGGAAAAGGGACGGTGGGCTCGGTAATAGGGACGGTCCTGACCGTGTTCATCGTAGTTCTTGGGCTCTGCATTGTTTCTTCTGTGTTTCTGTTTGTTTGTAGAAATGTAAACCTCTTATCTCTGCCAACTCTTACACCGGTTCAAACAACGAAACTCTCACCTGCAACATTCTGTTGGCGCGGAAGTCGAATCCATCTGATGACTTCAAAGAGAGTGATGATGTCATCAAAGAAAGTGATGATGTCACATTCTTCGATGACATCATCACTTTTTCTGATGACATCATTGCATTTTTGATGACATCATCACATTTCTTCAGATTTTTTTTTATGCCAGATCGATTCAATAATCTTTATTGACACAAAGGAACTGAACAGAATGACAGTCCTCAGACAACCTCAGACAGTTCATCCTAGCCATTATTATTACTGACACTAGTTTTGATAACATTTCAATTTAAGTTCTTCGAATTGTTATTAAGCCACTTATTTGATCTTGTAAACTTGATAAGATGTTCATCAACATAAAAAATACATGTAAATGAAAGAAAATTAATATCATATGGATGTTTAAGAGAAGTTTATGTATGTGTCTCATAATCTATTAAGAATGTGTAAATTAGCAAAGTGATTTCTGTGTTACTAGTGCGCTTGCACTTGACCCACATTTAAAGGGTATTCCGTTTTGTTTTATCATTTTTCCATTTTTGTTGTGTTGTTTAACATGTTTCTTTATATTCTTGTCGTTAAGTTTGTTTCAGATTCAGCATGTTTTAATTTACTTGTATTGATGGGGAGGATTCCCTATCAGCCCTTTAGGCTTCTGTCATCTCCTGCAAAGTTTGGCTGAACTTCTTTGTTTTAATATGTAATTACTTTATGTCTACTTTTGTGGAAAAAAAATAACAAATAACTCCACCATAAGAAAGACATTTGGGGAGAGTGGGGTAAGATGAGCCATTTTTCAAATTTCAGATCACTACATCAATCATAGTTTTGTCTCTAACTCGTGTATCTGCATATATTTCAGGATGTTGTGCATCCCTGCAAACACAGAATGAGTGTAAACATAACTGTCTTGATAATATCGCATGCCGAAAAAAGTGGTCAACTTACCCCATAGGTTAAGTTGACCATAGGAGCGGGGTTAGTTAAGCCGTATCCCTACTATGCCCCCACTCTCCAGCCCAGTCACTTCTTCACATTCATGAGTATTTATATCTATTATACACTATTCAACTGATACCGTGATTATTTTTATTAATATTGCATATAACTGCTAAAAAACAGTTTCATAAAAAGCCATTTTAACATAAGAATGTCTTTAAGTGATTCAGAGCATTCACAGCTGTATTCTTTAAAAGAAAAAGTCAAACATTTCAACAATCTGAACTGAAACTCTGACCCTCTCATCAGACTCCTTTAATTTCTCAGTTGTACCAATGGCTTAACTTAACCCAGCACTACTGTTATGACTTTATTAGTCCTCTAGGCTAAAATGGTGGACTTTTATGTAAGGTTTTTGACCTCATGTTGTAGCTGATAGATACCGCAATTGATGTATAAAACAAATTTAAAATGCTAGGCCGCGCACGCGCACACACTATTTCCATTTGTGTGCATTACTGTCTTTCTGTCAGTAGAAAATACACCCCTAATTAGGCCTGGGCGATTTGGGAAAAAAATGAAAAAAATCTCGTCCGATCTCGATTATTATCACGATTTTTTTTAAAGTGCCAGTTTTAAAGCATCTGTACTAAAAACTAAAAAAACTAGAGATTAGTTCAACATTTTATTAACATATAAAGTAAATAACAAAGCAAATCGAATAAGATACACTTACAAAAATCTAAAAAAAACATTTTAACTCAACAGTACTACATGTTCTACATGCTCTCTCCCGTATGAGGCTCTCTGAACATCTGTACATGAAATACAGCACTCTTTAATCCGAGGCTGCCCTGGACGCATCACTCTCGCATATCTCGCGTTTGTTTTCCTTTCATCAAAACGTTCATTTTGATACAAACACTGTTTAAATATAGTTTACAGCTGAAACCGACCCGAATCATCCCAATTTGTAACGTCCAAGTATCAATCCACTGTCTGTGTTGGCAGGAATGGATACGATTGATCGCTGTTTTGGTCTGGTGGCTGCACCGCTAGTTGTGGCTAAACTGTTAATGCTAGTCGTACCGTCAGCAGTGACAGGCTGTGCAGACTCCGCTCGCATTTTCATGCTTCTTCCAATGATTAAACAGATCTGTTGTGTTGCCGGTTTATCGGCTTTATTGCTCTACGTCACTTTGGAGAGACGTTAAATAACTTCTCAACAGTACCATCTTCTGAGGATGACTCAAAGTCACGGCTCACATCTACTTTGCTGCCCTCAGCTCTGCGTGTAGCTCCACGTTAGGTCATTCTGTTCACTTCTCATATTTATTTTTCCGGTAACTTAGAGAAGTGAGCAGGAAAAGCTCGACTCTGATTGGTTGTTGTGACGCACATTTCCGCCATCTTTGATCGAGTTAATAAGCTCACAGCTGATCGAACCGTGATCGAACTGAATTTGATCGCGATCATCGATCACGATCATATAATCGCCCAGTCCTAGTATAAAGTTAAGATTTACAGATTTGTTTTTAAAACTCTTCTTAGATATGCTTTGCTTTATCTTTGCAAACAACCTTATCATCTCTACTATCAAATGTGAGCAAACTGACACCCTTCAAAGGTCTGACTTATTTTTATTAATGTTTTAATGCAGGAAAATAAAGTGCTATATATGGTTACAGTTTCATGCCTTTGGTCAACAATGACAGAAAAAACATTTCAAACAACATTAAAGCTTTCTGGTTGTACATTCAATATTATATAACAATCTTGCAACAGTTTTGCTTCCTGTTTAGCATGTTCCTGCTTCAGTCCACACAGAGGCACATATACTGTCATAGGTTTATCAGTACAGCTTCAGTGTATTTGTAGCCAAGAACTGGAGTGAATGATTTTAGATAAGGTTATCTCATTATCAAGTTGCACTATAATGAGAGGGTGCATGGAAGCTTGATGATGCATATTATTGAAGGGATAAGTCAAAGATCACCCCTGGGTTAGGAAACCGTGCTAATGAACTGATAATATTGCTTTGGCTTTTTTTTCCCCTATCAAAAAGGAGTTTCCTCCTGCACACCTATAAACCGCAAAGTGATTCATGATTTCATTTGTGTTATCACGCCTTTAGCACGCTGCAACAGTCTCAACATTTTTTAACTCTGTAGTCATCTTCTTGTCCTGATGACACTTGTGTCCATGCGTTTGCTGTTTTTGCAGAGAAACCACAGCTGCTCCGATGTGTGATCTGAGGTTTGTTTTCTCACCCTTCTTTGGTCTGTGCTCAGCTGTAATGTCCGGTGTTTTGGTATTTGTGAAAGGCAAAAGAAAGGGACTGAGTATCTTATATACGCAAGCAGTTTTCACAAATGGAGAAATTAACACATGAGTGTTAAATTTGTGACACTATTTGTTGGATTGCAAAAAAAAAAAAAAAACTTCACAGCTAATTTTCACTTGCACAACAAAGTTTGGGTGTTTGGCCTTCAAACTTTCATTTTGCAACTTTGAAGCTCCCCACTTAAAGGGATATTCTGGCGTAAAATTAATTTAGGGTCAAACACACCATAACACTGTGTTAGACACTCTCGAGAAATGAATGTTGCAGACTGCTTGCTTCTCTAATTATACCAACTTTAGTAACGACCACAGGATAGCAATACATAGCAGTCTACGTCTCCACATGCAAACCTCAACCAAAACGCCACTCTATAGCCACAAATAATGCTCAGAACAGCACCTAACTTCATCAACAGGACATATAGGGTCCCAGCACAGAGTACTAGCCACCAAACATCTTTTTAACTTTGACTCATTTCTTTAGCAAAGAGACTAAACACAACTCACCTGCTCTTTTCCAGCAGCTGCTTGTTTGTAGCCAGACCTCAGGCCAGTCCATTACGGACTACAGCGGGGTGACGCAGCTCAAGGAAGAACATTTATGATCATTTCTTTATCGTTTCCTTGAAGTAATAATCATCATGTTAATAATTTTTCACTGCAGACGCGGTAGTTCTTCTGCCTTAGCGTCTCGGTCCGATTACATTTCCATAAAGAAATGATCATAAATGTTCCTCCTTGAGCTGCGTTAGGGACTGGCCTGAGGTCTCGCCACAAACAAGCAGCTGCTGGAAGAGAGTGGGTGAGTTGTGTTTGGTCTCTTTGCTAAAGAAATTAGGCAAAGTTACAAAGATGTTTGTTTTCTAGTACTATGGCTGGGACCCTATATGTCCTGTTGATGAAGTTAGGTGCTGTTCTGAGCATTATTTGTGGCTATAGAGTGGCGTTTTGGTTGAGGTTTGTTTATGGCTCCTCAGACCGCTGTGTATTGCTATCGTGCGGTCGTTACCAAAGTTCGTATAACTAGAGAAGCAAGCGGTCGGCAACATTCATCTCTCGAGGGGGTGTCTAAATTGGAGTTACGGTGTGTTTGACCCTAAAATAATTTTATGCCGGACTATCCCTTTAACAGTATTGCGACAGTGAGATTCTGAGTCTCATTTTAAAATATTAATACATTCACGTGAAATCTGCCAATCTCTCTTCTATATTTGTGAGTTTTTGAGAGAGTTCTTGATTGACTTCCGTCGAATGGACTCCATGGAGTCATCATTGAAAAGTCGTTCAATAGTGGAGACCAGTGAAGCTTTGATAGCACGGCCTAAGCCCCGGGCAGCGAACACGTACAGTACTGGGTTGAGAGCGCTTTTAAAGTACACCAGGTACAGGGAAATGTATGAGCCGATTACGACTCCTCGGTAATGCGCACTCGATCTAGGATGTCCCTCAGCCAAAGCCCGCAAGAGCCGACAGACAAAATATGGTACCCAGCAGGTGAGAAAGAGGAGCATGGTGAAAAACATGACGTGATACATCCTGGTCATCCTGCGGGCGACTGAGGGGGTCGATGAAGACGAGGGTGTTGCCGGCACTGTCTGCTTAACAGTCAGCAAAACAGCCAGGTTACTTCCCAAAAACACCACCAAGGGCAAGATGAACCCAGCAACAGTTTCTGTGACCAACAGACCTATGTTAAACTTCACACTCTCCAGACAATGAAATGTCCCGTTCCGTTCTCTCAAGTTGGAGGTGTAGAAGTAGGGGGCAGATAAGATTGTGGCCATCAGCCATAAGATGCCACAGGCCAGGGGAACGGCCCAGGAGGGGCGACGCAGTCCGGCCCATACAGGCTTCAGCAGACACAGGCATCGCTCCAAGGCCACGGCACAGAGGAGGAAAGCAGATGCGTACAAGCCCAGACCTCGCAGGAACATGATCAGCTGGCAGAAACCACGGCTGAAAGGCCAGCTGTAGTTGTGGGCCAGATAGCCTAACATAAGAGGAGTACGCAGGAGCAGCACCAGGTCAGCCAAGGCCAAGTGTAGCACGTAAATCCGGAAACTGCTGGCTGCACGCGTTTCTTCGCTGCTGCCCCTGCGAACCAGGTGGCGACGACCCCTCATCCCAAGTGCCCAAACCACGATCCCATTCAGAGATACACCCACCTTGATGAAGCAAGAAAGACAAGTTACCACCAGCATACAGGAGAGGCTGATTTTCACAGTCTTTGCAATTCTAGTACATTGTGTTTTTGCATGTTATAAATGTGATGTCATTGCTTGTTGGCATAGAGCTTTCTATTAAGAGGAAATGGGACACAGCCATCCTGGTAATGCCTGCCTCTGTATAGGGGAGAGTGGGGTAAGATGAGCCATTTTTCATATTTCAGATCACTACATCAAGTCAATCATAGTTTTTTCTCCAACTCGTGTATCTGCATATATTTGAAGATGTTGTTCATCCCTGCAAACCAACAGAATGAGTGTAAACAGAACTGTCTTTATAATATAGCATGCCAAAAAAAGTGGTCTCCTACCATAGGAGTGGGGTAAGTTGAGCCGTATCCCTACTACACCCCCACTCTCCACCCCAGCCCTCCCTCACCTTCTCTCTCCCTAAATAACAGTCACTTCTTCACATTCATGTGTATTTTTATCTATTATACGCTATTCAACTGGTACAATAATTATTTTTTATTATTATTATTGCATATAACTGTTAAAAAATGGTTTTGTAAAAAGTCATTTTAACATGAGAATGTCTTTAAGTGATTCAGAACATTCACAGCTGTATTTGTGAAAAGAAAAAGTCAAACATTTCAACAATCTGAACTGAAACTCTGACCCTCTCATCAGACTTCTTTACTTTCTCAGTTGAACCACTGGCTCAATTTACCCCAGAACTACTATGATGACTTTATTAGTCCTCTTAGCTAAAATGGTGGACTTTTATGTTTGGTTTTTGACCTCATGTTGTAGCTCATAGATACCTCAATCGATGTTTAAAACAAATTTAAAATGATCTCTTTTGGTCTGAACACAATTCTAAAAAGACTAAATTCACTTTCAAGAGCGAAAACAAGTTTTTTTTGTAAATAAATGTCTAACCCCTTCACCCATGCGCTTCTAACCTTCACAGACTTCATGAATTGATGCCCATCTCCGAAGTATTTTGTCACATGATCAATTTCTTTCACCATTTCCAAGCAACAGGAGGTGGCTCAACTTACCCCGCTCTCCTCTAACTGGTAAAATCAGTTTATGAACTTGTTACGTCCGTGTACACAGAGTGTTAAAATGAGAAGTTGTGGTTTTTGAGAGTCTGCTACGAGTTTTGGTGTCTGGAGTGTCACCAGTTCTAATACTCTTTCAAAGGCTTATTTTTTTAACCTTTGAAAGAATATTAGAGTTCACAGCTCTCAGTCATTATGTGAAGCTTTACCTTCTTGCTGCCTCCATTTACCTTCAAGACAAGGGAGTGCTATGCAGAAGATTAGAAATTTATACAAGCCTAATGTTATAACAAACAGATCCCCAACTATTAATATAATGTATGCGATGTCTTGTTAAGTGTCTCAGCTTAGTTTGCAGTAATAGTGGATAATGACTGGAGGGTTTCTCACCAGGAAGATGAGAACAGTTGCTACAATTTCTGCTCCTCTCTTTGCCTCATCCTGCCAAGAGCTGCTGGAGACAGTTGGCTGCATGTTCCCTGCATGGACAGCAACCTGTGTTCCATTCATGTCGGCCATTGGGATGGCGTCAGACTGGCAATGAGCTGAAACACATGGAGGGGAGATTTCATTTTAACAGGTGGGTAGATTTTGTGGCTATTTTTCTTTACTTAGCATGCCTTTAAGGAACACAAAAAAGGGATTTATTTCACAACTGAGAAATATGTGCAACATGCATGATTGCATATAGATTTGAGTTTCACATGTGTCAGCTGGTTAAAACTCAGATAAGTGTCCACATCACACCAGTGTTACCCAGCATACTTCCTCCTTTGCATTTGTTCCTTTTTGTTTCATCCTAAAGCGCTCTGCAAGCAGTTAACAGCAAAACTAGGAAATGTAACTGGTCCTTTATGCACTTAAGTGTGTTAGGCACTGCAGTCTGAGTCATCTCACCTCAATCTCACCCTAACCCAAAACGCTTGGCTGTTGTTTCTACAGAGGACATGAGGACATTTAATTAACCAGAAATCACTGCCAGGATACCCTAACCCAAACTTGAACCCCAAGCTCTCCCCCAATTTTCATCACAAAGGATCCTCTGGTCAGACCAAGAGGACAAAAACACATCTCCAAATGGCACTCTGGTTCCCAAATCTTGTCTTATCAACTTGGTATACATACATGTCTTTTGTCAGGTGTTGTATCAGCAGTAATGATTACAAAGAAAGGAATCTGTAACATTTTTTTGCATGCTGAACTGCCTCAGGGCCCTCCTGAATGTACTTGTACTTTGGGCCTGTTTGTGTGCGGATGGAATGAGAACAGTAAGCATGCTGATGAACACACCTCTTTCAGTCTCCGCACGGTAGCAACTCTAACCCGTGCCAAAGTTATTAGCTGATGGCACGTGCGATTCCTTGATCAAAAGCATGTTAGGTTGAGCTTTCTAATATCTATACATTTACCAAGAAGTTACAGATTAACCATCTATGTCTCAAAGCTAGTTTGGAGAAGATGCTGTACATGATTTGGAAGTTAAAAGCTGAGTTCTTACCTTTTATTTGCCTTGTGTGTGGGAGAAATAGGGCAGCAGATAAAGAGAAAAGGAGTGCCTACTGTCTATTATAGGACAGTCTCTCCCTCTCTCTCTCTCTCTCTCTCTCTCTCTTTCCTGTATCTGATTGCAACACACACTTCTTCATATGAATTTATCATGAGCATCAGAGGCGTAAGCTTTGAACAAACGAACCAATGAAATGCCATTTCCTTTCACTCCTTTCATCTTTTATTGACTACATGCTCTGAGTAAATATTAACTTTGGCTGCATAAAATCACAGGTAAACTCGGGTTTTCAACCTGTTGACATCAATATGATTTATTCTAGAGCTAAATGGAAAGAAAGCATTTGAAATATACTCATACATGTCTATAATAATATACCATTTTTTTTGTAAGGTTATGTCTTTATAGTGCCGTGGACAACTTCTCCAATTTACTTCTCTAAATTACTTTCTAGGTAATTTCATTGTTACATGGTAAAAAAGAAAAAATCACATAGATATTCTCACATTTTTATCTTTATACTTTAGATTCAAGGTTTTATGATCAGTTAATGGTGGGTTTGAAAATGTGGTCATATGAATAAGTGAGATAAGCAGTAACCTTTCTTACATGTGGTGTTGTGCCCCTCTTAATACACACACAAATGTAAAACCACGGACCCAAAGAAGATCGTGCCCCTCAGGGTCCTAAGTTCCGCAGCTTTGCAACCATATGATCCGGCTCATTTCAGACACAATTTTTGAGTCATAAATCAAAAAGATTTGATGACAGCATCAACCCGTGCTGTGAAATGTTTTGATTTCTACTGAGTCATTGACCCTGACCCTGATCTTAAGTCAGATATTTAGATAAATCTTTGCCAACCTAGATTTGGAGGAGGTTGATAAAGGGATTGTGAGGCTCTGTTAAATGCTCTGCAGTATTTTTGTTGTGGAAAAGCTGAACACTTTACACTCATATAGATTAATTGGGTTAGATATTGTGAGTGTTGGACAAATCCAGGGATATTAAACAATATCTGATGCTTCATCTGGCGTCTTTTAATATCTAGGTCCCTATAGTGTTACTGGAGGTATAAACTGATCACCAGCACACATTTACTATCTGTATTTCAAAAATATTTCAAGATTAGTTGGGCGCTCTTTAATCAAAGAAATATTGTGTTTATTATAAGAAATATTTTTGTTTTTAGTTGTCAAATTTAATGGTGGTGATGAAAACTAATGTTTTTTTCTTATTTTCTTTCTTTTTATCTTTTATTTTTAAAGACATAAAATTAAAAGATATTCAAATTCATGCTAACAGTTTGTTTTAAAATTAACTCACTGCTCTATTTTTGTTTTTTAGTGTCTCCATTCACAAAGTTTTTAGAACAGGAAGACTTTATGCTGCAGTAGATAAGAAGTGCCAGTAGGTGGCAGTGCTGCTCATGGTAAATAAAGTGAAACTGTAATTGGGCAATTCTGTGGAAGTGGTTTCAACAAGAGCAGCTATGAAGGATTTACTGCTTAAGTGACTTAGGGTTTTTTTTATTTTTTACTCTAAAGCTAATTTGAAATGGATGAATATAATCTTTATATTGTTAGGATGTGTGTCTATTACATTTTTTAATTGAATGTGATCTGATCCTTTTTTGCTTTTGAAAAAAAAAACAAAGAGAACAAAACATAAATCTGAATTCATACTTAAGTCCGAGATCAGCTTTACCTCGACTTTGTAACTATTCATAAGTGAATTTCAAAGTGACTCTCTAGACTAAAATGGGCTTTTATTTTCTATTCAATAGTTCTTGAATCGGTCTGTAATCATCCACTTGTCTTTTGAGTTTTTAATGAGCCCCATACTAATGAAATATATACAAACAATTGATAGAAATAAAACAAAAACAACAAGAAACAAACGAATAACTGAATAAAAACAAAAAAAACAAAAACAACTCTCAGTCAGTCTACTATATTTGAATGCAGAAAAAATGTGTGGTCAACATTGAAAACTTCCCAAAAGGCAAAGAGCTTAACTTATTGATTTGAAAAAAAGATATAAGACGATCTAACCTTTCAGTTCGCACAGATCAAACATTGATTTATGGGTGCTACCTGAAGAAATAAATCTGAAAATCATTTGTATATTAAAATTAGTTTGTGGAATTGAATCATAACCGGCGTTGAGCTTTCTGCGTCTTACTCTCACCCACACTTCCTCTAAAACTGCTAATTTTAGACACTGGGGTTTTGATCGGGGAAACCAACTGCTCGTATGTCTCTGTGGAAGAAAAGGAATGAAACAAGAGTCTGAAAAAGTTTGTTCATCTTTGTAACCCAAATCTAGATACTGATCTAGATAGAGGTTGTTTAATATTTTAGGGAGAGTTAAGAAAGAACTGCTTCAGGTGGTGTAGCGAGGGAAAAATAACCGTAGAATCTGAAATTTGTGGTGCCAACATGTGTCGCACTTTAAGGATGCACAGACCTCAGGATGTAGAGCTGATGGAAATATTGGCTGACAATATCTTTTCATATATAACCCACATATGACAGGAAAGACAGTGAAGTCGTCAGATTGCCCACGTGGAAACACTGAAACAGAACTCTGTGCTGTAGAAACAGACAGAAAATAGAAAGTATGTTTGTTTCCTTTTTTGACTAGACAAACAGGGCTTTGAAATCCATTACAACTTTTACTCTGGCTGGCATCTTTTGCTTCCAAAACTCTGGCTTTTAGAGAAAAGCAGGTGAGGTTAAGACTGAAGGTGACAGTGGTGATGTTTTGTCCTCTCTGTTGGACATCTGAAGAATATATCACTTGGTTTCCCATCTCTCACACATGGGGCCAGTTTCTTTCTGAAGTTCAAGACACTCTCTCTCTCTCTCTCTAATCAAGATTTTCAACATAATGTGAAGTCGTCTTTTCTTTTGAAATGAAAAGGGAAACTCAAAGGGACTTACTAACAAAATTTTTCATCTGTTACAGGCAGACAGAGAGAGAGAGTGAGACAGACGAATAAAAAAAGTTGGTGCTCTCAGCTGGCATATTACACATTGTGAATTTCCAATACGTGAAAGGGAGGGGGGTCCCCTCTGCATCGCGGCTTCTTCCCCCGCCCCCTCGTGTACTTTCAACCTTTTCCCTTTAACTGTAACACCACAGTCTTCTTCCTCTTAAACACGTTGACAAGAATGTGATGTCGTCCACGCCGTCACACTCCACCAGTGTAAGAACAGGGTTTAGCCAGTACCCAGAAAATACTATCCTCAGTGTTAGAGTGAAGAGTGGAGAGGGGGGAGGAAGAGGGGGGGATAGGTAGTGAGAATGAAAGGGGATGCACCTTGTCTTCTCAGAAACAAATCACTATGACTTAGTTACTGGGTTACCACAAGCAAACATTGCGTGCAGCGAGATTCTGGGCCACTTTGCAGGCACCAATCTGAGAAACAAAGAGGATAGTTTTCTGGATTACAGTCATTTAGAGGAAAAGGGTCTATGATAAAATCCCCACCGGTGACACTCCTTTAACTGTCAAACAGAAATCCAATTCATTTCAAGACCCCACATAGTCATAATCAGAGATTTCACTGTGGCTAAAGACCAGTGAAGGTGTGAAAAGAAAGAAGAAAAGATACTTTTAACAAAAGTATGATTTCAAAGTGATTATCTCACTCTTAAAATTCTGTTAAAAGTAATTTTATCTACATTTTGAGGACAAATCCAGGTCTACATCTATTTCCCTTATGGGTCTAAATTGTGAGTCAAATGGGGTCAAAATTAAAATTTCTTTGAACAAATTTACCAACAAGATAATATCAGACTTAACAGTAAAATCTTTATCAATACGACGTTAGTCACAACAACATGTGGATAAGAATTAGTCATCTCAGAGGATACCATGGATTGTTTTCATTGAAGGAAAAGTCTAAATTTAAACACTAAAACACCTAAAAAGTCAAAGAAAGGATTTTCAAACAGACAGATTATCTGGAGAAGCTGAAGTTGAACCAGCAATGCTGCAGGAAGTCATATGTTCAACAGGAGCAGAAGAAAAAGCTCCAGGATGTGAGGTATTAGGGGGTTTCATTTGACAATGCATATAATACAAAACGCTATAAATGGTAATAAAGAGTTATAAAAGCAGGTAACAGCACATTCATGTGGCTCTAAGGATGGTATCTCTATCGTACCTACATACCTACGTAATACTCTGATTGCAGTTATTTGAAGTACCCATCAGTATGAACTAATTACACTTTCACTCACATTGACAGGTTGTAAAATGTCAATGTCAATTTTATTTGTATAGCACATTTAAAACAGCCAGTGGCCTACCAAAGTGCTTTACAATAACGAATGCCAAAAGAACCCCAAACAAATGATAATAAAAAACAGCTGAAGGAACATATACAGACTTACATAAATATAAAAGTCATTACAGAGAGGCTCAAAAGTAGACAGTACCAAACTTTGTGAAAGACTGTGTGAACAGATAGTTTGAAATAGTATATTGAGCATTTGGGAATTGAATCATGTACAGTAAGCATCACTAAACGATTCATTCTTTGGAAATCTGCAAAAAGGACGAGGCTGTAAACCAAAACTAGATGATCTACAGGTCCTGATGTGGTAGTGAATAAAACACAGTCACGACTCTGCGGTGGAAGTCACTGCATGGGTTCAAACTCACTCCCATGATGTATCATCTTTAATGCAAATTCAAATTTAGTGTTAGGATTTCACTCTGCCAAGAATCAAGTAACATTTCTGGGTCTGAGTCCTTCTTTGATCGACTTAGGTGAAGTGGGAAAACAGTGTGTGGTCTTAAGGATCAAAATTTCATATTTAACGTGGCAGTAGCTCAGACGGTAGTGCGGTTGTCAAGTAACCAGAAGGTTCAATTCTGGTTCAATTCCCCCCAATCCTGAGTCTGTCTGTTGTGTCCTTGGGCAAGACACTTAACCCACTTTGCTCCCGGTGTGTGTCCTCCACTGGTGTATGATTGTGACTGTTGTGTGGTGGTGGTCGGAGAGGAGGCCGTAGGTGCAAACTGGCAGCTGTGACTACTAAGGCAGTTTACTACCACAAGGGTGTGAGTGTGTGAGCGAATGATGAATCCAATGTAAAGAGCTTTGAGGGTCTCTGATAAAGCACTATATGAAATCTGATGCATTATCATTATCATTATCTGCCAATCTATACAGGAAAGACAACACCCATCTTGTTATCACATACAGTTCAAAGGCCAGCATCCCTGACGATACGGGGATATATTTGTGTCCATAGCCGGCACATCTGGAAAAACACTGATGCCTAATGACACAAACAGGTTTTAACAGGCTTTTTAAGGAAGGCCTAGTCCATATCAGTAAGATAATGCCAAACGACATCCTGCACATTTTACAACAGTGTGGCTCCGTAGTAGAAGAGTCTGAGTTCTTGACTAGTCCGCTTGCAGTCCTGACTCGTCCCCCAGCACTGAAAAGCAGCTGAAATTCTATATCTAATTCAAATACTCCAGAAACTAGTTTCCAATTGAATTCATGTTTTTAAAAGAGGAGATGATGCAACACAGTGGTAAATTTCCAATTAGCCTTAGCTGCACTTAATAGTTAGAGCTGATGTCAACACCAAGATGAAACAGAGAAAATAGTGAACCTTTTACCTGTAAAACATAACTATATAAGCCTGCTATATAAGCACTAATGAATGTCTGTGGGTTCATAAAACACACCCTTATGAACTGGAAACAGATTTATAGGTTGTTGGTGGTAAAATATCAAGAGAAAGAGAACATCACAGAAAACAAATATAAAATAATATAAAGAATAAACCTTTGTATATCAGTATATTTCCTTCATTTTGACATTCAAAGGTCAAAATTATTGACTACAATGTCTGTTACTGTGTCTAGTATTAATTTGCCTATATGATGTACAGCTTTAATAAATCCCCCTGAATATAAACCCCTTTGACAAAACTTTAAAGGGTAGTAGGATGTGTTTTTACTCTCTTCATGCTAAAGAGGGGCCTTTTGTTTCCTCTCTTTTTCTGGTAAATGTCTGACACATCTATTTTACATATCTGGACAAAGCATTGAATCTGAAATAACAATGTAAGAGTGCCATCATCTTTATCTCAACCATCATCAGATTAATAATGAAAAAAAAAAACAGATATGAATAAATTCTCTTTTGTAGGCAGCATTTACATGAGGTATAAAAAAGCATCTTACAAAATCTGTTGCCTTTCTATTTGATAGTCATTCTGCTAGAGAGGGGGAATTCACATGACTCATGGGAGTGTATAAAAGACATGTTAACCCACATTCTGGTTTACTGTTCAACGTGGAGAGAGTGAAACACACATCCAGAAGGTGGAGAGAGAGAGAGAGAGACAGACGCTCTGCAGAGGAGAAGAGAAAGAGAGGAACAAGTTGCTGTGAGAGGAGGTGCTGCTGTTGTACCAAGGAGCCAGGTCAGTGACTACCTAACAACCATTAAAACAAACACACGCTCACTTCCTGGCGACATCTCAGCTCAAATAGGCGTCTAGATTCTCAACAAGGGTGCTAGCCACCTTTTACATCCTGTTTCAAGTCTGTGGATAGAGAGACAGACTTGAGAATACAGAGTTTGAATGTCACCTCAGGCTGGACTTTATTAGTATTTAAACAATAATACAGACACTTTTAAACAGGATCGTAACTCACAAGGATAACTTTCAGAGTGCCTTCTTAAAGTCATGGATTTAAGCACAGAGTATGTTAAACACAGTTATACGGACAGCTTTTATTATGTCATTGAAAAGCTCAGTTGTTTGAGTTAAAATTCATAAAATGTGGTCCGCTCACTATTTTAGGTCCTCTATGTTTAATGCAATCTGTAATTCAAACAGATATAACATTTTAAATACAAAATACAGGCCATTTGAGGTGGATACAACTATAATAAAGCTCTTATTAGAGTTATTATTTTTTGTTTCTTGTCAAATCTCAAAAACTCTCAACCATGTGCTGTTCAACCTTTCAAATGTACTGATGATGTCTGTCACCCCCTGCAGGTCAACCCTTAGAAGTGTGGACGGCAAAGGTGATGAGGCACGCATGTGGGTGATGAAACAGCCTTCAGGTCCATTTTCCCAGGTTGAGGTTAATGCTAATCGTGATAGGGGTTGTACCATACAAGACGCCTAACATGTTAGCATTAGCTTCACTTTGGGAGAACTCACCTAAATGATATGATGAAGGCTTCATTAAACACTGCTGAGGAATGACAGACATGAAGGTAAAAAAAAATGCTTCAAGAATCCACTCAGCTCTCTGTGTGGCAGGTTAGTATATCTTTACATCCTTTAAACATCTTTAAACATTTACAACCTTTTTATTTCAACTTCAGACATTTAGATTTATCAGTTTGTTCATTAGACTTCCACCTAAAATGAACAAACGCCTGTAAATGTAAAGCTATATGACAATACTTCTATAAATGAACTTTAATGTTCGTGTATCAAAGGAGCATATTGAGTGAGTAAAGACTAATGCTCTTTGGTGGGATACTGCTGCAGCACACTCGTGAAATCTGATCATCCAGCTGCTGTGAGTGATTTTTAATTTTTCAGAAACACAGAAAAATTGAGTGTCAGAAATATTTTCACACTTCACAGAATGAATAAACCATTGACAAACACATGAAAATGCAGTCTTTCTCACTCAAGGACGATGACAATTCATACAACGACTCTAATGAAACCAGGACTTTAATGACCTCAATTATAAATGTTGCACAAAGTAATTTGTCTTTTCTACCAGAGTTTGTCTGTATCTGTGTACTTTGTTGTAATTCACAGCTTAATGACTATAAGTAGATGTTGAGGGCATGTTTATCCTGTGTGTATTTTTACTAATGTTCATTATCATGCACTATTACTATCAAATAAAGATCTTTGTATTTTTCACTACAAGACTGCATGGGTTTTTGTTTCTAACTGGATAGTCTAAAGCTACATTATTCCTGATTTCTTCATGCCTTCCTGTCTTAGCAGCAGGACATAAAAGTATAAATGAAAAATTTAACCAAAGTTAACATTTCAGGATTGCATATCAAAAGTTCACTGCAGCAAAACCAAAAATTATTCTCCCATAACCTTGAGTTTAACATCTCTCCAAATCTCCAGCGCCGTCTGTAAAGTCCATGACACCAAACCCCGTTTTGATGATTCATAAATACGTCCCCCCATACTTTGAAGACATACAGTTGGGAAATTTCAACTGTCATTCGTGCTGCTTTAGTCTTGTGACAGAAGCCCTGTGTAATCTTTTAAATCACTTTGTCATTAGTTCAGAGTCTCTGAAAATGAGCGGATTACAGTCTAGGCTCCTCAAATCCAGAATATATAGGATTCTCAAGAAAATCCACCCGTCAGTTCAACGCTGATTTTCAACGATGATCAATGTCAGGATAAAGATCAATCTGAAAACATGTAGAAATCAGGTCATTTCAAAGATTTATCAAAGACATTTGACTCACTGATCAGATGTTTTTATAACATCAATGCTGTGGTGAACTTGGCAGAGCACAGAAGCCAACAGCTCCTAGCCTTAGTCCTTAGAGTCACATAGGGAGGCATAGTCCCCTCTAAAGTAAAGAGTTCGGCATTACTGTTAAAAATACCACAATTTTCAATTTCAATTATTCACCACAAACACAATTATCCAAGCTACTATTAAGTATGTTATGATGATCTTAATCCATATGTGCAAATTTGATTAATGACAACCTCAGAGCAGACGCAGCTTTGCAACCCCCTGAGATCCCCCGTTGGGAACCTAAAGGTGCGTTGCAACTGCAGGAACTTTTCCCCGGGACCCACAGACCCTTTAAGGAACTCTGCGTTTCGACTCAGGGTAGGAATCAGGGTAGTCCCGGGATTAGTGATCTAACCCTTGAAAAGCCCCTGCTCAGGGGATAGTACTTTCCAATGGCCCAGGGACTTTTGGACGCAGGGCGTGAAGATTTCATTTACGCTAATTAATTTACATATAAAATACTGGTAGTGATGCACATGTGCACACATAAACAGAGGAGGGATGAGAGATTTTGGATTATACCCTATCCTAAGATCAGTAAAACTATGACCACAAACTTTGACTCCTTTCTATGTACTTTTTTTTAACTTTATAACCAACACAGCTTATCTGTTATGGTTTGTGATTAACCTTTTGTACCTAAGTTCAGCAGACTTGAATAAGAGCTGTGTGAGTAACTTCATTTCCAAATACTACCTCTGGATGTCATTGTCCTGATTTGCACAATTTATCCAAGACTTCAGACCGCAGAAAACACAGACAACAGGAACCATTTAGCTCCCTGAGGAGAAGTCTCTGGACTCAAAAGTTCTGGGTCTTTAGGTTGAAAAGCATCTTGAGGTGATTACTGAGTCTCTTAAGTCTGTATTCTCATGCCCTCAAACTTATTAATTTAATTATTGATAAAATTCTGAGTTTATTTCAGAATAGGTAAGATTGCCTACATGTAGGACTTTGTATGACCGCAAACTCTAAATCTTGATGTGAAAAAATCTTCTTTATAACAATAATTTTAGCAAAAAAGTAGTCTATATGTAAATCAGATTGATTAAATGATACATTTTTGTCTTACAGATGCTGATTTTATTGTGTTAAATTGAGTGTAAGAAGCAGCACACACTTTTCAAATATGTCCTTAAGTGTTCAGAGGCAAAATAAAAACATGTCCCTCATCATTTCTCGCCTCTCCAGCTTGGTCTTTTTCTCACTCTTCAATGTGAAGAAATTTTCATGAGGGAGAGATAAAAATGAGCCATCCAGCCCCGCTCTCCCCTACGCACGAGCCAGTGTATGGGCGGACCGGTCAGTCAGCTGATCACTCAAATACTCCACACAAGTCCTGTCCTCAATACACGGAGTTCGTCACACGGATGATTTTCTAGCCAATTACGCACAATGTGGAAAATTTCATACTACTGCAGGGGGAAGACTCGTAACTTGGTGGGATTTCACTCAGAAGGGATGCGTCCTGTGTGCGCACCTGGAGCCGCAGGAGACATGCAGCAGAAGCGACGCATTCCCGTCTGTTACCACCACTCTGGTTTATGATACCGAGCCGCTGTGAAAGCTGACATTTATTCCTGTGATGGGGAGAACCACATGGAGCTGCGGTGCCCTGATCCTGCTGGCCATCATTAGCTCATGTCGTGCCGTCACTCTGGAGTCCATCCTCTGGAGCAGCTCCAATACAAAGTGAGTGCATGGACCACTTTTCACCATCCCAGATGATGGATGCAACTTTCTGCTCCTCCGACTCATTAATTCAGTTAATTAGAGATTTAATCCATTAAAAGTGCTGTATGTCTCATGCAGCTCCAATAACAAGTGATCGATTAAAGTCGATTTTTGGGAAGTGGTGCAGCTCCAGATTCTTCAGCAGTTTTGTGCTATTTTTTAAGCTTTTCATTTTGAGTTTATCTACAGATCCTGTCTACAAATGTCACATTATTTTGTTATTTTTGATATTCTCATTGTCAGAATATTATAAATTCTCCATTGAACATTTTCTTTTACAAATGTGTAAAAATCTAAAATCTAAAAGAGAATAAGTAAAACATGACAGGAGACACAGAACTGATTCATTTTCCTCTTTTTCTTCTCTTGGAAAAAGGATTGATCAATCTTTAAAGAATAGTTGCGATTCTGAATCAACTTATTGATTAGTCAAGTTGTCATTTTAGCTTAGTTTCAATGTCCTCCTGTCTTTCAAACAAAACCAACAATGTTTGGACATCACCATGCTTCTGAGACATTTGAGTTTGTCGGATTTTTGTGTCTCAAACCTATGCACGATCGATAAAAAGTCCTCGGGCACCTTTTATACCATCTTTATTCCACAGTTGGCACCATCACAGCCAATCTTGACCTCACATACTGTATACTATATCTTTGGGCAGCAGTAGCTTAGGAGGTAGAGCGGTCGTCCAATAACTAGAAGGTTGGCAGTTCGATTCCCCCACTATCACAAGTCTGTCTGTTGTGTCCTTGGTCAAGACACTTAACCCACCTTGCTCCTAGTGTGTGTCCTCCACTGGTGTATGATTGTGAGATAAAACGCTTTATGAAATCTGATGCATTACTATTATGTTCATCGGATGGTTTTGTCTTTCATTTCCTTTGACAGGTTCAGTCCAGGTAAGGGTCTGGTCCTGTACCCTCAGATTGGGGACAAGATGGACATTGTGTGTCCCCGTGCAGACGCTTCCTCCGGGGTTAAAGAGGAGTTCTATCGAGTCTACCTGGTCTCTAAAGGTCAGATGGAGACCTGCACCATCCACAAGACCGACACACCTCTGCTCAACTGTGACAAACCCAACCAAGATGTCAAGTTCACGTTCAAGTTCCAGGAGTTCAGCCCCAACTTGTGGGGTCTGGAGTTTCTCAAGGGGAAGGACTACTACATCACCTGTGAGTCACTGTATGTGATGACGTAATGACACCTGAGTCACCTGTTTGTGTGTATGTGTGTGTCGGTGTTGTATGAACATATGTAACGATGGAAAAAGCAGGACAAAGCTGCTGGTTTTTACAGGTGGGGCGGTGTTTAAATCAATTCTTTCTCCTTTTCCTCCTTTCAGCCTCGTCATCCTCGCCTCCCGCTCAATTTGTCAGTTTGCGTGAGAATCACAAAAATGTGGCCTCGTTATTGGGTCGCTGTCGGTTGAACCGGCATCTTAGTGGCAAGTGATGCATGAGATGGAGAGCAAGTCTGACCATGTAGCCTCATCCACCTCGCCGTGCTCTGACAGCACACTCCGCTCTGGCAGGCCACTGTGATTCCAAGGGCTTACATGCCCCAAATCACACAAGGCTTTTACAGCATCAGGCAGATTTGAAGGGAGCTTTCATGGCAACGTGGCTTGTGGCCTGTGAGATGTTGTTATCTGACCTAAATGCTGCTAACAAGTCTGTGTGTGTGTGTGTGTGTGTGTGTGTGTGTGTGGTGGGGTGGGGGTGTCTTTGTGTGTGTCTGTGTGTGTGTGTGTTTATTTGTGTGTGTGAGTATAAAAGTGTGTGTGGGTGGCTGAGGAGCAGGGGTGAACCAGAGTTCTTGCTGTGTGTGTGTTCGTAGATACATGGGCGTGCTTTCGTAATTGACGTGTAATATATTCTTAAATTTTCTTACTTTTTATCTGGAGCTGAAATGAAAAGTTTATAAATACTTCAGGTTGTTTTTCATCAAGATGTTTAAAAAATATGGGCACAGCTTCTACAGGAAGAGGATTTGAGCATTTATGTGACATGAAACCAAATATCAGAGAATTTTGGTTATTTTTTAACTCTGACAAAATAATCACTTATTTAATATACTGTGCTGTCCTCTATGCGTTTTTTATGACAGAGTGTTAAGAGATTAAAAAAATTTAGACTTCGAGATTAAAGTCTTTGATATATGAGAATAAAGTAATTACTAACAAGAATAAAGTTGTGATAAAGGAATTACGAACGAGAATTAATTCCCACTAAAATCATTACGAGAATAAAGTCGTAATAAAGTAATTACTAATGAGAATAAAGTCGTAATAAAGTAATTACTAATGAGAATAAAGTCGTAATAAAGAAATTACTAATGAGAATAAAGTCGTAATAAAGTAATTACTAACGAAAATAAAGTCGTACTAAAATCATTCCCTACGAGGATAAAGTCGGAATAAAGAAATTACCAACAAGAATAAATTCATACAAAGATCATTCCCTACGAAAATAAATTCGTACTTTAATCATTACTTACAAGAATAAAGTCGTAATGAAATAATTTCTTATGAGAATTAAGTCAGAATAAAACCATTATGATACTTATGATAATGTGGTGCTGATGTGCCAAAAGTTCAGGTATCTCCTTGTTTGAGAAACATGTATTTAAGTACATTTTAATTAAATGCCCCATTGCTCTAATTTCAACAACTGTCATCATAAAAAACAGGTTAGAATATAAGGAGTTTACTATGACTTTATTCTCGTAAGTAATTATTTTATCTCGACTTCATTCTCATTAGTAATGACTTTATTCTTGTAAATTAATCTCAAAATCTTCTTTTTTTTTCCTAATATGGCCCTAATGCTCCATCGTACATTTTAGCTTTTTGTCAGCTTTTTCTTGTCTATGTGATGCAACACTCAGCAACAGGCCAAACAGCCTGTGAAGATTCATACTGGAAATGTGCGTTGCTTGATTATCAGATTGTGTAAATCTTTAGAAAGTTCAGCTGTAATATCTGCCTTCTCTGTTTTCTCTGCATGTCAGCCACCTCTACAGGCTCTCTGCAAGGTCTGGACAACGCTAACGGAGGGGCGTGTAAAACCAACTCCATGAAGCTGGTGCTGAGAGTGGGCCAAAGTGAGTGCTTAGCGTTTGTGTGTGTGAGTGTGTGATCGGAGGAATGATGCAGCTATACGTGACAAAATAATGCTCCAAGGCCTTGTCAGTCTGGTCATTATAATGCAATATTGTTACCTCCTGACTGGAATAACTAAGTGGTCAGATAATCCCGATCATCTGTTCTTTCTCCTGAAGAGAGATTGCCTCCTGAATTATCTGAAATCCTGAACTCAAACCGCTGGCAGCTTAAGGCCTTCAGTATTATCCTGCATGCGATCATTTTGACTGGCAGCAGCAGTCAGTAATCTTTTAGTGTATTAACATCAGGATAGTCAAGAGCTCCTTTTTTTTGTTATTTTATGCTCTGATTGTGTGCGAACTGTCAATAACATTACAGTCAGGTAACCTCGAAGACCTCTTTATGTTGTATATGTAGTTCTGCCGACATGTCAAGAATCATGTTAATCCAACATGTTGTGTTTATTTTTAACTTTCTTAAGCTAAATCTGTTACAGCCCAAATGTTTTTTTTGACCACAGAAATGTGAAGTAGTATTCATCTGAATTATTCAAAAGTTTAAGTTCAAGATGAAAAAAAAAATCTGCATCTTGTGTGTTTCTCATCTGATCATAACTGAAAATATGGAGCTGTTTTTCCCCGCGGTGTTTACAAACACTGTTGATGTAAACAAACCTTTTAACAGCAACAGAAAACATGAATAATTCAGATTAAGTTGTAATCTCTCATTAATCTCTGCATATTCCACATGAAGTTGCAGTTTAAAGTGGTGAGTTTAGGTTTTTGGGTTTACCGCAGCCCCCCTAGTTTAGATTTGGATTTATGGATTGTGACTTCAAAGCTGAAAATCTTATCTTAGTTATTTGGTGTATTCAGGCTGAATGTGGTGAGTGGTGCTAATGCGCTGACTCTCACTGGCCTGCTGGCTGGACAACAGTTTAACATACATGACGGATCATTAATGTTTGTAGTCCTCATAAATCAATGCATGAGATTCCTTCATAAAAACTATTTATGAGACTAAGACTGTTGCATGGGAATCTAAGCAAGTCTTGGTTGTGAACCCAGCTGCTTCATATCACTTGTCCATATTGATACCAAAATACCAAAACTTGCAGAAAACAGTGGCATAAAAAGTCACCTGATTCTTTACCTGGAGTCCCTGTGAGAAGATACCAGTGCTCCTTTACGACCCACAAAAGCAACGATCATCAGCTACAAGGCTGTTAAAATTCCTTATAATTTTAAATGACTAAAAGTTAAAATTCCTTATAATTTTAAATGACTAAAAGTGCTGCAAGGGCGTAAGTGAGACAGTCTTCCTTTGAAGGGTCAGCGGCGAAGCTTAGTAATGAGAGACACATTTGATTGTTAAAGAAGCAGAGGGGGAGTTTATGTCTAAATCACTACCTGTGATTGTAAAGGACAGGATCAGCCCACAGGGGGCACCAGAATTGACACAAACTGATGATTCCTCACAGCAACTTTGAGCTAAAGTAGTAAGAAAGTGATTTTGAAGTCCCGGTTACAAGTAAAAAAAGAAAAAAAAAATCTGCATCAAATATCAGGAGTAGAAAAAAGGTTTAAAGAGGAACACATTCTAAGATGTTCCTAATTTCTCAGGTAATTCATGTAATATTTTCTTAAGACTAAGTTGCGTCACCTGTCATCACATTGAAACATGCATTGAATAGCATGCATTGATAAAAGGATGTATGAAAGAAGTATTAATAGCCTCCTGGTAGAAACTGAGACCAATTCAAGAGCCTCAAACCTGCATTTTTTCTAATGGCCACCAGGGGGCAACTATGCTGGAAGCTTACTTGCGTGGGATTAGTTTTACAAATGTGATTTTTTTTCTTATTCAGTCTGTCACCTTTCCTTTTTTAAACAGCATCATGTTTATTTTTAAGGCCGCCTTTCAAAGGAAAATGAGGGATGATGCAATAAGGTGCAGTTACCTGGGACTGACCACCAACCATAAACCAATACAAAGGCTAAAGATGGAGTCATATCCTTTTCCCATCCAATTTTCCCCTTGTCCAAATATTGTTACCTTGCCAATAAAGTATTAGCATGGCAACAACCAAAATGCAGAACTTGAGGTTTCCAAAAAGCAAGCCCAACAAACCGATGGATGTCTTCACAGCGTCTGTGTCGACTTCTGCTTTTCAGAGCCGGGAAAACCCCTAACCTCTCTGCCCCCACAGTTTGCCTGTTTTTTATTGTATTTATTAAATTTATCTCACTTTTATTTCCAAAAAATATACATATATATAATTTTTAATTTTTTTACAAGAGAGACCTGGTCAAATATCCAGCATAAGTAAGGAATCTCACAGTGAAATAATAAGACTCAGAAAGAAAGTTAAATTAGCCTCACTGAGTTATGACTGTGTAGGATGAGAAAGTGAAAACATTAATAGTTTTTCCAGTGAAGAGATAAAGTTGAGACATGATCACCACTTTTTGTCATCTAATTAGCTCATTAAGATTCTTGTCATTCTTGTCCTTAATGACTAAAATACTGGAAGTCTGACACCAAACACTTGCGATTCAACATATATTTTAAGCAGTTTTAATAAATCAAATTTATTAAAACTATCAGTTGTAATAGAAACATTTGACATGACATAACCATACCTACATAGAAATGCCAAAAAGATACGTTAATGTATTTAAAATTGGGGGATTTTTGCAAAGTGTGCTGTGACTTGACATCATTATTGCTGTATTTTTACTTCAGGCTCTTCAGATCCTCCTACAACCCTCCAGGAGTCCCCCACCAGATTCCCACCCACAAAGCCGAAGTCCAAAGCCAAAGACCCCTCAGTGAAAGAAGAGGATGCTGGAAGTGAAACTGGTAGGAAGCCACAGCTAATACAATACAAAGAGAATACTTTTAGGTGTAATGTTTGTGTATTTAAATTATATTTTAAAAAATGTCTGTATGAGCTGTTGTTGTGTTTATTGTCTGTCTATCCACCTCTCTCTTTAAGAGTCTTCCTCTCCCCTCTTTCTAATCCCAGTAAGGTCTCAACGGGTGGATGTTTAACATAGGTCTGGTTCTGCCTTACTAAATTCCGTAAAGTCCTCCACTCATGGTGAATTTAAATAAGACAGGACTAAGTGTTAAGATAGGATGAGATTGAAACATATCATGTATTGATGCTGAAAAGTTCGGTCCAGACATGCTGTTTTGTAAAAGAACTGATCCAACTTCTGTCATAAATTGGCACCACACAGCCTAAATCTAAGATTAATTCATTGACTGGCATTCAAAACTCACAGCTGTAATAATTTCTGGCGAGTATCAGATGGCAGCCAAGTGTTAAAACAGTAATTTTCTTGTCTACATCTTTGAATACTGATTTGCACAGAACTTCCAAGTAAACCTTGATAATGATCCTGTGACTCATTCAGTGCCAAAACAGACTCCTGACCTTTTACTACCAGTAAACGAAAGATTAGAGCGCACTCTCTTATGTCCATCTGTTCATACTGATCTGCTGAACCTTAGCACTGAGTGGGACTTTTTAAATCTCTGTTTCATTTGTCCTGATTTACTCTTTTATCTTTCTGCTGATTTCATCGACAGATTTAGAAAAAGGACAAACAAACCCACGTGGTGCCGGTTTCACTGAGCCTGGGCTTCTGATGTGGGTTGTCAGCGGCGGTGTGATCCTTCTCCTGGTCATCATTGTTGTGGTTGTGGTGGTGGTGTGGAGGTACCGCCGCCGTCAGTGTGTCCCGGTCAACCAGCAGTCCTCTGCGGTGTCACTCAACACTCTGGCTGTGCCGAAGCGGGACAGCATCAGCAGTGACAACAACGGCTCGGACCGCAGCGATGTTGTCTTTCCGATGCGGGCTTCTGACAGTATGATCTGTCGTCATTACGAGCGTGTGAGCACTGACTATGGGCCTCCTGTGTATATAGTTCAGGAGATAACACCCCAGAGTCCCACCAACATCTACTACAAAGTCTGATGTGATGACAGACTTCTGCTGAAACTGTTGGGAACATGCTCAGGCTGCTATCGATGACGTTTCCTTTTTTCATACAGTTACCTTTCGGGGCCCTTTTTTGTCCCTTATTGATAGAACAACTGAAGAGAGGTTGGAAAGTAGGGAAAGTCCTGCGACGAAGACTCGTGACCAGGAGTTAAACCAGGACTGTGGCCTCTGTAAATGATGCAGGTACCTAAACCGCTCGGCCAACTGGTAAACAAATAACTAAAGGAAAGGACTAAATGTGGTGGGCTCTCTGTGTCGCTCTGCACCACGTGGAAAAAATGTTGTTGAAACGTTAAGTTTTGTAATACACTGATGATGACGGGAATGACAGTCCAAGAGGAAACTGATGTCCCATCATTTCCTTGTGTCCATGAAAACAGTTACGGCGAAGCTGCGCCTGAGTGCAATTCTTAGATGTGTGTAGGTTATGCAAGGATTTCCATTTCATTATGCTTTTCACTTTGTCACATTAACCCTACAGTTACCGTTGTCATAGTTACTTGTCACTTTAAAAAGAAGAAGGGCACTCGGATAGTTTGGACTTATACTATGCAAATCTGTGACTACATTCACTTGGTGCGTCTAGATACAATTTTTAAAATAAGTGGGTTATTATTGACATGTTGGCTAATTATTTATTATGTTTACGTCTAAACTGGATTTATTTTTATTTTGCTGAAGATAAAGGGTTGAAACTAGAAAAGACCAGTATCATGGACCAATGTTAAATGCTTCATTATTAAGAAGAGCTGTAAGGAAAATAACTTTTCTCACAGTTTACTATTTACTGGTTTCTTACATGGTTCACATTAAACTTCGATCATGATGGCTCAGCTGACGGACAAACAAACAGCACCTTAAATCTAGCCTCCTTAAAAGAGATAATTAAGATTTTTTTTAATTGAAAGAAACTTGTTTATGAAGAAGTCCAAAAACTCTGAAATGTAGTAATTATTGTCAAACAAAATGCTGATTAATTGGTTCATTTTTGTCCAAAACAGGATTATCCACTCTTTTAAAAACTGATGAATTAAAAAGTAAAAAGCAAAAAGGACATTTGAGCGGTCACTTACAGCCGCAGGTGATTTTAAATAACAACCAGTCAGTTAAAAATAATAATTAAAATTTGATTCAAGTCATAAAAAAGCAGATTTCATCATGTTGGAGCGATTTTAAACTTTTTAAAAAAGTTTATGGCAGGACTTGTGAATTTTTAAAAGATGTCACATTAGTATTATTACCAAATTATAAAAACAAAACAAAAAACAAATACCTACTGTTTGATGTTTGTAATTATCAAGAAAAAGAAATCTTAGCACATTGCTGCAAGTGCCAGATTTATTTGTACAGAAACAAATGTGTATTTAGTATTTTAATAAAACCTCAAAAATATCAAAAAGCACTCTGACGCACTTCATTTGTAAGCACTTAGATGTGAGTTATCAAAAACAGTTGTGTAAACTTGGTTGAAATGCTGTTTGGCTACTTGGCTGTTGATTTTATTAAACTATTACAGAAGATTCAACTCTCTCTCTGAATTAAACTGCCTTTATACATTTATTTTGCTGTCAGATTATAGACGATGATTTCTAAATACTCTTTTGGAGAAATACAGGGGGCCAAGCTTCAAGAAATAAAACTACTCAATATGTTGGTTCTTTTAAAAATATATTATATAAATTTGATAATGTTGTACCTGGCCTCGTTATCTCCTCTCTGCTTTCTGAAGGACAGACACTGGAAACTTTGTGCACAATAACTTTAACATCAGAAGAAGCAGCACTATTGTTTGTAGATCATTTTAGTTAAAGGGATATTCTGCTGTTATGAAATCTGACATTTTTAAAAATGTTTTTGTTTTTATTTAGTTAAAGGAACAAACAGTTTTAAGAGTTTTGAGTTGTTCTTCTAGAAACTTAACTAAAAGGATCCCAGCAGAGACGGGCCATTTTCTCTGAATGTCTGAAGAGTTTTCTTTTGACCAGGAAAATGAAGTTTCCCACATATCTTTCTGTGATTTTAAGAAGAGAGGTGGATGATGGACACCTGAGCTCAGACTATAGAGAAGATGTTTTTTTGTTTGTTTTTTTGTGTTTTTAAACCTGGAGTATTTTAAAATTAGGGCCCAGGTTTTTAATAAATGCACCACATGTTCCTCTACAATAATCAAAGTCCTTGCATTTTATTTTAAGGATCTTAACACATTTTAGTTTTTTTTTTTTAGCTGAGGTAGATTTGAAACCAACTTTAAAAAAACTGATTTCTGAATGGTTGCAGATGGATATGCTTGAATTAAACTCTGCTCAGAGAAGCGTGTCTCCTCATTTCTTAATGATGCTCATGGGACAGTGACTGTCAGTCTGCTGTGAACAGCAACATGATGAGTTTGCACCATGTCGAGTTAGGTCAGAAGCACAAGAAAATGATTGAAATTGTAAAAAACAGCTTCAATTTTGTTGAATTTTATGAATAAAAAATGTTTAACATGTCCAAATAAGAGTTTAAACTGCCACTAACTTTAGCCTATCAAGAGAAAAATACACAAACACCTGTCTGATGATCTTAAATTTCCAATTAACTCTGAGTTTCCCGCTCAGAGCATGTTCATCATTATCAGTGTCATCCTCGCAGGCCAGCACACTTCCTTCAGCCAGCCTTCATGTTATTCGGTGACAGCATTAAATCAGGAGAAAACATATTTGGTTTATGGAGAGGTATAAATAAAAACACTCAACATTTAACTGTCTCAAAGCCTCTCTTGTGGGTGCCGTGCGTGGCATCCATGGGTGAACATGTTTCATGCTCTTTCAGCCACATCATGCTGCACATTTTCAACCTGTCAGCCTCCATGAGCTTTCCCTCCACCAGGGACACTGCTGCGTCTGAGAGCGAGGAGCAAGACTGCAGGATCTTCAGGACATGTGTATCTGTCTGTGCGTCAAAGCGCTTATCTGAAATTCACTCAATTCTGTACAGAAAATTAAAGTGACTTGTCTGGAGACATTCTTGCGACATGCAGTTTTATTTTCAACAATTTCATGCAGCCTAGCACTTTGAAAAGCTGCAGATGTCAAGTGTTGTTTGTAATCTTCATCGACAGATAAATGCAATCACCAAGATTCAGAAATTTGATAAACTGTAACTTTCTTGATACTTTCCAAAAAGGACTTCTTTGATGGTTCAACATTTCTCTATCCTTTTGCCAATCCTAAAGATGCATTTTGCCGCAGTCCAACAGTCTTCACATACAGTTTGAACATGACTCTGGTGTCTGTCTACATTGTAAAAAAAAAAACAGTATAACAAAAACGAGAGTATGACTTTGAGACACAGCAAAGCGTGCTCGCTATCTGTGTGTTTCTGTGTGTGTCCTCCCACCCCCCCGTCTGAAGTGGTCCCTGCTCTTGTGAGATGTTTTTGTCCTGTGTGAGGCTTCACAGTTGAATGGGCTGTGGTCAGGCGAGGTGAGTTCAGTTGACCTCAGGGTCACAGTGAGACAATAGTGGCCGAGCTTTTATAGAAGAACAAAACAGAGACCCCCAGGCTCATGGCCTCTGTGGTGGGAGGGGCTTAGATATGGTAGACCATTTTAGAAAGAAGGGACAGACGGGGTGCAGCATCTGACGGGATGTTCTGCAGCTCTGCAGGTTTAAACATTACAAGTGTGAGGGCATTAAATGTTACACATTTACCCTGATAAATCCCTGCTCACCTTTTGCAGGGATTTCACCTGCATGTGTTGCTGTTTTGTCAATAAACACCACTAACTTTTTCTTTATCCAGAGAAATATGACTGGCCCAATGAAAGGGAGGCAAAAGAAATCTTTAATTTGCATCTGTGGCCTGCTCTATGCTGATTTTTGACGATCATTTTGCAGAGAGCACAAAGCTTAAAGAAGAGAGAGGGGGCAGGGTTGGGGTCCAATATGGAGAGCCGTAGGCTTTTATCTGACCCCATGGGACGATGTGAAGTCTACAACCTCCCTGCATCCTCCCACCCCCCACCTCACTTCCATATGCAGAGGAACTAGCACCACCACTGGCTTTGTGTGGGGGGTTGGGGGTCATGACTGAGCGCTCACACTCCCACAGTGTGCTCAGGAAAAAGTAGACAAAAAGATCCTCTGGTTTCAAATGTGTTTTTTTTTCCTATTCTTTGACCAGATGGATCATTTTGGAGACTGAATTAAACATATATTCTGGTAAAACACTCCGGTTTGAGGATTTTCCAACTAATTTTACAATATTTGTGAGCAGAAAAGAGAGATTTACTTTACAACTTTGATTTAAAATGTTAATTTTCTTTCTGACAGACCCCTTTTCCCTCATTCCAACACCTCCTCCGAAACTCTCTGTTACATAAAGTCAATTTTTTAAAACAACAGATACGCAATGATGGGGAAGTTGTGGTCAGTGCTTCCTCTTACAGTTGAACAGCAATCTTATCATAATGGATATACAGTATACAGATAGCTAGTTCCCTCTGCTGGCCAGCTACCATACTGTACAACAGGCATACACTGGTAACATTCACAGGATTCAACACATTTCAGCTTTAGAAAACAGATGTTCAGCAGTAGACAGGGTTAGCTGATCTGGAAGAGCTCTAGGCAAATTGAATTATTATTTTTTTTCATTCCAGTAATGTTCACCAAAAGCTGATCAGCCCTTACCCGAATTCCAGGAAACTTTTATCATGCTGATAACTTTAAGGGTTGAGGTTGAAGGCAGAAATGTGGTAATAACTGCAATGATCATTTTATGTGTCTAAATCTTTGTGTTGTGAGATTTTAAACAAATTTTAGACTCGCTTAAAAGCTTCATGATAACTGCAACTGCTATTTTTAGTGGACTTCAACTTACATAATTAATTTAGGTCAAGCAAAATGGTGTGTAACATGAGCACTTTGGATTAAAACATCTGTGAGTAGAACTTCGTTGTTCATTCACAATTGGAAACTCTTAGGAGCTTGCATCAAACTTTAAAAGGTAATTATTGTGCAAGTATTTAATTAAAATGTGAAATGTTTCTATCTGAAATGAATGAAATCAGTGTTTTAAGTAACATGAATAGGGAAGTACAGTTTTAATTGTGCTTAAAGAATTATAGTGGCCTGTATATTTCCCGCTCAAAGTAAAACGCACAGATTTAGAAATGTATTTTCAGGATAACTCACAAAGTTTTTACATGAGGTTTACAAAATTAATTATTCTAAAGAAAGCAGAGAAGCTGATTGCACTTTCTGTTTTAGTCTTGGTGTGACTGTTTTTGTCGAAACACCTGGATTTTGTGGAGGCATTTTAGACAAAAATAGTCACACCAAGACCAAAACAGAAAGTGCAATCGGCACACACCAGACCACAAGTATTTTAAAACCCCTAAAAATGTGAGAAATGAATTCACCTTAGCATAATAAATCAAAGTTTTTATTTAAATATGATGATATTTCACGCAGCACATTTACAGCAATTTTAAGTTATTTAATGTATTACAAAAAGTACATGTTGAATGCAAAAATATAGTCATTGTTTATGTTACAATTATTTCACTAAGTTTTAAAATATTTTAACATCAGTTTCAGTCAGAATCTAGTTTTAGTTCAAATAAGCTTTATTAAAAAAGTATCTTAAGCTTGTGGTTTTTAGATCATTTATATAATTGAGCTTAAAATGCTGTGAATTAGCTGTTAGTGCTTTTATTTAGTTATAGTACCAACAATTTTTCATGAAACTTTACAAGAACAACTCATATCTCCAAAAACCCAAATTTATTGTAGTGTAAAAATATTTGTAAGATTACAATCTAAATACAAAGTCTCTTTTAGATTAATTACAGGAGATGCTGTAGCCTATATTATACTAGCAAAAACAGACTTTCTTAAACTTTCATGCTCTCCATTTTTCCTGGCAGCTACTTAAGTTTGTTGATAAACTTATACTTTAAGCTTGGAAAATTTACAATATAAAACGAATACGCTAACTGGTCGTTTTTTATCTATATCTTTTGTAGTGAATTCAATAAAATTAGTCCCATTAAATATTTTTTTTCCTTTTTGTCTGTCTGTTCAAAATTTAAAAAATCATACAAATCAGCAACTTATCATTACATGTCACAACATTACTCTTAAGCTTATTTTAATGTGTTGTGAATCAGCAACAGGTTAATTAGTCATCTTATTTTTCTAGTCAAAGGAACTTATATGCCATAAAGGAAATTACTTAACTATTATTTTTAGCAAGCTTATTTAAAGTACAATCTTGTTATGGGATTATTTATGTTTTATTCTAACTCAAAACTTCATTGTGCCTCAAACTGCATGAGTAAACAGGCTGTTTCCCGCTATACATGCATGTATTCTTCTTTCTATATCTATCTGTGCTGAGAGCTGCAGTGATATATATCTGCCTGTTTCCCTCTCCTTCCCAGGGAGAGGTGGAAGCTGTTTGGTTGGAGATGTGGGTCGGAAGTACCGTAGTTTATGTATGCTAATAGGGAGAGTTGGGGGTTGTAGCTAGATATTTACGTTCAGTGGGAGCCGCCCTTCATTCACCCACATGGTTACCAACTGGTCGCCTTCGCGCCACTTTCCTAACCCCGCAATCATTTTAAATCAGCATATCTGGGCTATAAATTCACTCACGACCAGTTGAGATTTCACTCCATGCTTCGTTTTCGTTCACCGGTAGAAAAGTTTTCGGATTAGTTACGTATTTATTCCTCTCTTTTGTCGGTGAGAGACTACACGGCAGCCCAAGCAAGTGAGCGAAGATGGTGGATTTCGGCTGGTGAGTGTCTACGAGCGCATGTTTATCGGCAAGGAAGTCGGGTTATTTGGGTTATTTTTCAATCTGTGTTTTGGCGGATTAAATCTCGAACGGTTTGTTTTTTGCTCGTTTTACGCGTCTTCGTCTCGTGTTGTTGGAGATATCTAAACATTAAGGCTTAAACGCTATGCTGGCGATGAAAACAGTGTAACGTGAGGCGCATGGCAGCCCCCTCTGCTCCACCATTGAGGGAATGAGGGAGATTTGAAAAGCTGTCCGGAGCTTTTTCTCCGCTGCGCCGTCGCAACTAGTTTGTGAAAAAAACCCACCCTCAACCGAATGTCTTTATAGAAGTAAACACGCCATTCAGACGTGTGTAAAGTTAGTTTGTAAATGTGATAAATTTGTTTGTCAGTGTTGAGTGCAGTGGTGTGTGAGTTAAAGTGCCCCCCAGAACAAAGCAGCAGCACATGGGGCAGTTTTAGGCCGCGCGTTTTAGCTCGACTAGCCTAGCCTAGCCGTTTAAACTCTACTCATGATTCACGGGGGAAAATTCACACAAAGCCTCACTTAGTAACAAAAACTGCACTCTGTACGACCTTTTGACTACATCCAACACAGCGTTTTAGTGCCGTTAGTATATTTGGACGTGTGCTCGTTTGTTGTTGGCTCACAGCTAGTGTCGTCAACCCTAACTCAATTTACGTGAAATTCAGCTTTTTTGCTGAACGTAACCCACCCAAACAGGCTCTTTGCGTGTTTTAATGTTTTTCCTAATATGCCTGTTGTGTCTCTTAACACGTTTTGCCATGTTTTATCTAAGCTAACACAAGCTCTCAGCGGCTAAGCTAACCAGCCCAACAAGCGCACGGCTGCTGTATCCTGCTAACCCCTTGTCTATTTCCTGTTACGTCCGAAATCGCAAGCAAAACCCCAATCCCTGCAAACAAACAAGACGCAACTGCGATTTTTTAGTGTGTAACACTCAGTTTGCGTCTGGCTTAGTTTGTTTAAAAGCCACATAAGCTAAGGTTGGCGCACTTCGAGGCGCCATGTTAAAGACGGTGGGGGAGGGGTGATCAACACCGTTCACTGCGCAGGCGCCCCAGTGGCGCAGGGAACGCGGGCCGCAGGCTGTGCTGCTCATTCATGTTTTCAGTGACCTCGTGCCGCTGTAATAAATCATAACATCTCGTGTCAAAACAACTTCGTGCGACTATCTGCTAATGAGAGAATAACAGACACTATTATTATTAAAGGTGATGCGAATTTCTAGGTCTAAGCATGAATAAATGGAGTGAGAGTACATGTGCACATACAGTTATTTTTGCATATTTTATTAAGAAGCTGTTCATTATCAAAGCTATCCTGTGCTTTTTATTTTCAGATCCACAATGAAGTGCGGGACTCATAAAGAACAACGCAATCTGAAGCAGTTACAGCGTCTTTCCCATGGCGCTGGTGTGCAGGGACTGGTAAACAGTCTGTGTATTGTCAAAGTGCTTACAGTGCAGGTAGTACTATGGAATACCTACTGCAGTGGAGGCACTTACAGCAATACGCAGACACTGTTGTGCACATTTTGTGCTTTACAAAGTCATGTTCAAGTACTGTCTTTGTGCTAAGGTGCATCTAGTGCAGATAGTGAAATAGACTAGCACCTACTGCCCTAAGTGCTCCTTCTGGCATAAGGGGCTGTGATATGCGCCACCAGACCATTTCTAATTTCTGATTGGGCTCAATAATCTCGCAGTTCTCTGCTAGTTTTGCATAGTTGCACTACAAGAATAGATGAGTTGTGCAAATCTATGCAAAACTGATGGTGGCCTGCTTGCTCTCCACCTGTTTTTGTTCAGATTTTTTGGTTTTGGGGGTGACACATCAAACTCATTCTGCTTGTACTGTCCTGAGTATTGTTGTCCTTGAGCAAGTGTGTTTTTCTACACCGAGCAACACAGTTTCAGCAGTACTAAAGTGCTTATAGTGCAGGTAGTGTTTACTATCTACTGCAATGTAAGCACTTGAAGTACTTCTAACTAAGTGCGTCATGACAAAAATCACACATTTAAATCCTCCAAATATATCCTGAATTATTATCACCTCTTGGTCAGTTTTGCTGGTTTGCATCCGCTTTAACTTGTAGTTGCTGTGCAAATCCATGCAAAACTGATTAAGTTGATGAACTATGTTTCACTTGGTGGAGGCCTGTAGTGTAAGATTCTGTTTTCTCTTGTATTATGAGCTTCATTTATGAAGATGTCCCATCCTGCACAGGTGGGGATCAGTAGCAATGCTGTGTACCTAGAGGTATTGCACTTGTCCCGGCCTGTGTGGGAACAAGGAGATGACACTGCCCTGGAGAATGCATCATTTAATGTTTTCATCATGAGTGTTGAAGAGAAAGTACCCGACACCAAATGTATTGTGTTGAGGCTGCTCCGATGTAATGTTGTTTCAAATAAATTAAACTTCACAAAACTTCTTCTGTTTAGTTTGTTATTCCATTAAAGGTTGTTTATTTATTGGTACAGTTAAGGGATGAAGCTATCCTGGATTTTGAATCATTTACTCTGGTCAATATTATATGAAGTTTCTCAGCATTTGGTATTTATTTTTTGTATTAATACACTGAAAATACTTACTCTACTCTTGGCAAAACCATTTAAACATTACAGTTTAACCCAAATCTTTCTGGCAGCATCATGCTAGTGTGTTGAGATACTATTCCAGGTTTATTTTCAAGAGAGTAGAATAATTGTATGTTTCAAACAGCAAAACTGCATTCAAACCTATGATAATATAAGAACTTAAGGTCCTGGCATAAGTAGACATGTTAATGGTAAAATCACTCAAAACAGCTATCTTACTATTCCAGTGACTTAATGATTATGACACTATTCATTATAGGTTAGTGAATCAAAACAACACTCCCTCCATGACACCAAAAGTACAAGATCTTCTCTTTTCTCTGATGTTAAGGATAATACAGTCACTAAGGGCACTGTATTTTTAGTAGCCTTGTTTATAGAGCCAATCAAGCTGCTTTTATAACAAACTTAAGTTTTGTAATATTTTAAAGGTACCAAAAAGTTTGTATTTGAAGGCCACTGCTCAAGATGTCAAAAAAAATCAAAACATATTTCTTTTTCATCACAGTAAGTGGCTACAGTTACTTATTTAAAGCTTGAAATCATAATGAAAGGAATCTTTACACAGAAAAGCTGCTAAAACTCTCCTATTTAACCAGAAAGAAAAGTCTGGATGTGAAATCTTAATGATATGCTTCAGAGTGAAATGAAGTGTCAGTTTGCATGCAAAAACACTGTTAAAACAATGTACAGTTCTTTTATTATCACTTGTTCGTATTTCTCCTTTTGTTTCCTCCTGCTGTGTCACAGAGATCTCTGAGGTCCTCATTAAACAGGCTAAGAATCACACAAACACCGTCCTCAATCACAGTGACTTTTCAACCTTTTTTGAGCCATGGTACATTTTTTCATTTTAAAAAATCACGAGGCACACCACCAACCAAAAATGTTGTTAATGACACAATATAGTCTCTCAATTTATTCATACTCACCCAGTGTGAAACCTGGGGCTGTAGGTTACAGCACAGACACTTGAGAATTGCATACGTTATTCAAAAAATAGACAAATAAAGTGAAATTGGTTAATTTCTCAGGGTACACCTGACTATCTGTCATGTCACACTATGGCCATTGCTCTATCAGTCGTACCGCACCATGGCGGATCAGGCTGTGGGCCCCGTGCAGGAGCTCTTTACTGACATGATCGGTCTCAGAAGTTACCTGAAGTTATCTGTCTTGGTAGGCCATGGGCCACACACAGGGTAGAGACAGCTTGGAGCTCTGCTATAACTCCAGTTGAGCCTTTTCCGTTTACAAATGCACTAAAGGATAAGAATGTTTATAAAAATGAATATGAAGAGTCAGTGGCGGTCTTACCATAAGGCAACACTAAGCGGTTGCCTAGGGCCCCAAGTTTCTCATAGCCTTTTGGTGAACAGAGGTTTAATTTATTTGCACACATCAATTCAGTGTTATAGCTTTGAATTATTATTGCTTTAGTGTGCGTTATCATTTACTGATGTTTATGGCTGAGCTAATTTTAAACAAATTTATGTACAGTTGGGCAGTTTTAAGCAACTGTCATATATTTGTAGCATCACTATCTTACATCACATCTCTCCTGTGAGATTTAGAGGCTTATTGACAGTTCAGTTATTTTTTTATAATAGAGATTTTTTTGTTTCCCTGGAAAAAAAGGGCAACCCACCCAAAAAAAAAAACAAAAAACAAAACAAAACAAAAAAAAATGAAAATCAAACAAACATTGGCATTAGAGATCAGCCAAATTGTTATGTTTAACATTGTATCCGCGTAGAATTTCACAATCGGTGCATCCCCAGAGTAAAAGGATGCAGAGGGGCCCCATGCCTGCCTCTGCCTGGGGCCCCCAAATTCCTAAGTCCGCCCCTGCTAAGAGTACAATGGCGCGTTTTTCGGTTCAAAAGAGTTGGACCCAGGGGTGTCATACTGATTTTAGTTCTGAGAAGTCCATTTAACGCTAAAGATCGTCCACAGGGCGGCGCTGTCGGGCTGCATGTCGGATGTACTGCCCGCCGCGGAGTGCAGGTAACGTTACGGTTCCGCCTCCGCTGTCGGTCCAACCAACTTGGACAACATGCCGCCTTAAAGCAGAGGACTCTCCCCGCAGCAACTTTCCCTCTCTGTGTGGATTTTAATGATTGTCCGGAGCGTCACCTCGACACGGACACGGAAAACCCCTCATGCTCAGTTCTGAAACCTGAAATGTGGATGGGACTCACCTGAGTGGTCCTCAGGCACACAGGGAACCACGAACTCGTGTTTTTGGAGCGGATTACTGACCCGGGATTTTGAGAAAATGGGTGCGCTGTGGACTCACGTTATCTTCCTCCTGGCGTGTAATTTTGGATCAGGATCTGGGAGCACAAACAAATGCGATGAAGTGCGAAAAGTTTTCCAACTCCGGCAGATTGGACCGAGTCAGTTATTACCTCTGAGTCCCAGACCAGGTAAGATTCAGACCCTGAACAATCACCCCAATTGTTTGGTTAGTATCCTGACTCTTAATATCCTGTCATCCAGTTAGAGGCAAAAAGATGTGTGTTTGGTTACTTAGTTTTCTCCTCATTACACCAAACTAATGAATTAAAGAAACACAGCAGAACCTCTCTGTTGAGCTCATCGACTCTCCTGAAACTCTGAACCTGTCATTTTCATGCTTCTTCAAGTCTGTAGTTACAAAACGCACCTTTAAAACCCATTTAACTGGAGTGTGTAGTTATGATAATGATACAGACTGAAAAAAGGAGTCTGAAATACAGCAAAAACTGCCACAAAACTCCACTGTATTTACACTTCATTTTAGACTTGCCTACTTTACACGCTTAAAATAGCAACTAATAAATGAAAATCAAATCAGTGTTAATTTCACCTGTTCTAGGAGCAGATTTAGATCTACATTGGCACAGCTTTGTATAACAAAACACCCTTTTAAAGACTTTTCACTCACTCTTGTTCACTACTTTGTTTTTTTATGAGCTAATATAACATGTGCTATGTGATAATCCTATAAAACAAACTAAAGCTAGGAGATTACTTGTTGGCACTCACCAAAATATAAAGCAAACTCTGCTCCTTTGTGTGTTTTTAGAGCAGATAAGTGGCTTTCAGGGATAAACAGAATTAATTGTGTGCTAAAGTTTGGTAAACTGGGGTTCACTTTACTTTTGAGAGCACCACCCACAAAGTCTTTCCTCATGAAACCTTTCCACAAGATCTCTGTGGGGGAGAGATTATGCCTTTCAATATTTCATGCTGGCTGTGACTTGACTCCTGGCTGCATGCTGCTGCTGCTCTGCTCTGTGTGCTGCTTTTGGAAAAGTAAATCTTGATGGTGTTGACTACCATCCTGCCACAAACTGCTCCCTATAAACTTCACCACTGCTTTTCCTCTGCTGCTGTAAAGCAACCCACGCCACTGAAAGAAAACCCTCAAATGCCCCCTAAACCTCTGAATAACCTGCGTAATGCAATCAACACTCCTGGCTCATAATTAAATCCATGTGGTTGTGAGAATTTCAGAGTGGGTTGCATTTTAGGTGCAATTAAAGAATATTTTTATTGTGTGTTAATCTGTTGGCTGTTTTATTGATGAGTTGGTAAGATATGTGGTTAAAAAACAATAACTTTTTAGTGCTGGAAACAAAGGTCAACTTCATCAAGGTAGAACAGCAGGATTAATATGATAAAATTAACAATTAGGCTGCCCTAAAACTTCCTCTTTTGCCTTCTTTTGATGATTTTTTAGTGAAAATCTGTAAAAACAGTTTGTTTCTGTTACATATTACTGCACCTCTGCAAAACTTCAGATAAACCCAAAGACTGCTTCTGTGATGAATTCAGATAAATGTACTCAGATACATCAGATTAAAAGGTGGATAGAGAATGAGGTATGTGGATGATCTCGGAGAAGATATCTTTAGTTAAGTGTATTTCCCAAAATTTTGTTCTGGGAATCAGGGAGTGAGCTGTCTCCATCTGAGCCAATCAGCCCTGAGCTGAGATCAGAATATTTAGAAATTAATCACCTGGGCTGTTTCCTGCGGTGTCAGAAGCGGAAATAGTTCTGGTAAGGATCTAAAAAAGCAGGACCTGGGGCACTTTGGAGTTGTCTTATCTTGGAGAGTTTAAATTCCTCCATGTGTGCCATCGCCTGCTCTGCTCCCTCCTCACTCTTGAACCTCGCAGGAAGCTGATAGGGTCTCTGGCAACATCTCTGAGCTCTGCCTAGACTTGTTGGAGAGGCTCCTGCAGAGTTTTGGGTCGCTTTTAAGATGTTTTGATTGTCCCGTATGGGCACAGATTGCTTCACTTGTTCATAATGGAAAGCATGAGACACGACTTGATGATGAGATAACAGTTTGACACAGATCTTCTATCAGGTCCAAGTTGTTTTTAGTTTTCTCACTCAACTAAATCATTCTCTGACAGAGGGACCGCTTGATATGATCTCTCTTTGTAGTTTTTATTTACGCTTCAGGCATGTGTACTGGTAGTTTTACTTGTAAAATAATTTACACATCCAGAAAAATCAATCAGTAAATAAGTTACACAGACATGAAAACTTCATCTATGTGTATAGATCTTAGCTGAGCAGATAAGGAAATAATCGTTCACTTTGTTATACAAGCATGAAATTTGGTACATATACTCTTCAAATCCCACTGTGGACACCATCTTGTTTTTCAAATTTAATGTTATAACCCTCATGA